GGTACTAATTGGGGTTTCCCAAAAAAGGAAGGTTTTTTTTTAATAACCCCATAATCAATAGCATAATTCTTGCAATGTTGCTTGCTTGTGACCCAAGAAGGAAGGGGTCAGTTAACCTTGGGATTTGTGGTATTTTTTGGGGGTTACCCTTAATTCCCTTCCTTCTATTTAAATACTTCTTTCAATATTTCACTTCAAATAGTCAGAATAAGAGTAATACGAGATACCAATTGTTATGATAGTGATCTATTTATTTTCAATCCGAATCCACTCTGAACTTTATTTATTCGCAGATGACGCATTAAACTAAATAAACGCGTTTTGTTTTGTTGGCTTCTACTACGATGCAGTTGACACAGTAAGTGGCCTCTCTCTCTCTCTCTCTCTCTTCTCTGTAGATTTTGTTGAGAAGGAAAGAAAAAGTTTCTCTCTCTTGTGTTGTAAGTTATATACGAAGCGAGCAAAGGAAAAGGAAAAGGATGGAAATGAAGCATAAAGTAGCTAAGGTGGTAGTCAACCATGGGAACAAACACAGGGCTCGAGAATGACAGACAGACAGACACACCACTGCAGGTACACACAATTATTGGGACTCGCACACATCCATCATTATTCACTTCTCTTCCTTCCTTCCCACCACACAAACCCAAAAAACCCAAAACCAACAACACAACAAAAACATAACTAATAATAAATAAAGCCTCCCTTTTTTTATTCGTTTTTTTTTCACCCACCCTTTTATTGGGGTAACTTAATGCGCGTGCCACACAAGACAGAAACCTTCAACTATATCTTCATGATGTACACAACTAGTTTTCTGTGGACTAAAATTTTTAAACTAAATCGCTCATTTGATAAACAATTTCAGTTTTTAAACACGGAAAACTTTTTGGGTAATTGATTTCAGTTCTTAGTTTGATGTGAAACTTATAAATCGAATTTTTTGAGGTCAACTTGTGAATTTGATATCATAAAATGAAAGTACATGTTACAAAGAATTCATAGTATTTTTCGGTGAACTTTTTGAAATTTTGGATATGGAAGTCCCAAGGTTTGGACTGGCTCCGTGGTTGAACACAATAATCAGGTGGCTAGGTCCAAGTCGGGAGGTCCCAAATACCGAAGTTTGCTAACTGGAGTGCATTTCATGTGCTATTATGTAAAATTAGTGAATGAAAAATGAGCGTAAACTGAAAACACTTTTAAGTTGTTTTAAAAAATAAAGTTGATTTTGAAAACTAGTTTGCGCTTTATCTTTTTAGATAATAAATACATAAGCATTCTTCACATGATTTTTTTTTCTTTCCATAAGACAAAAAACAAAACTAGTGATATTGTATTTGTCTTTTGTTTTGTTCGTTTTCCTTCTCCTCTTCTTCGGCTCATTCCAATAAGTTAATAACATGTCAGATACAAATTAGATCTTAACCAATTTGGATTAAATATTAAATCACATACTTCGCTTTCACAAACCCCCCTTCTACTAATTAATTAGGATTTAGTAGGTCTAAAAGGATTGTGTTTTGACCTTAAATTTGAACGACAACTTAGGGAAGATTCACGAATCTAGACCCATTTCCATGCTTTTGTATTTATGTTATGCACAAAAAGTAATCATATATATATTTATTCCTCACATGCATTCTGAGTTGGCGAAATCTTTTTTACGAGACTCGTTTATATAAACAAATTCCACTTATGCGAGAGATGTGATTATTAATATACAATTAACTAACTACACAGACAAAAGGAGCAAAACTATGTAAGTCACAAAAATTTATAAAATTAAAAAAAAGAAGAGACTTGCTCAGTGTATGTCATCAAACATAATAAGCATGACTCATGAGCTTGCAAAGTTGTAGCAACAACCAGTACATATGATACATTATTCGCATAAACAACTCTAAGTGATTGGAAAACCATGTAATGATCTATATACTATATATTTATATATAGAAACTTTTCTGCATTCGGTCCTTCTAACAGGTAAAGTAAGTCGTAGTAGTTAGCCAGCTGTAATTTCAAAAGTTGACAATGACCCCTTATTAATTTACCTTCGCATTTCTTTCAATTCCAATCTCTCGGTCTCAATCTCCTATGCTATGAGTTCCATTTTATATACAATTCTTGTTACGCCGGTTTCATTTGGCAACTTGGATGACAACAATAGTTGTGATTTTATTATATACTTCAAAATTATTTTTTCCTGCTCACCTAGTTGTGGATTGTGTTGTTTGTAGCTTAAGTTGTATATGTACCCGAATTTATGTGTTCGGATCTTCCCCATGCAGTATTGTTTGTATAAAAAACGATTGTGTTAATAATTGCCTTGTACCCAACAAATAACAATTTAATGTGACACTGTAGGACCCACTAGTATAGCAAATGACCAAATGACCAACTAGCAAGATTCAGGTTCGAGTTATAATATTCGTGTTGTGTATATAAGTTTAGTATATTATAAATCATTCTCAACACGAAAGATCCTAAAAAATAGAAGTGACATTGTACTATACATATGAATGAGCGATTGGACGAATTAATTGGTCCAACTTCCAGAAAATTCAGTTTGCAAAATGTAACAACGAAATTAAAAAAAACCCTAGTTGAGTTGAAGTATCAAGTACATATAAAAGAAGTGATGGCCTCCCACATGAATATCTGACTTTGAGAACTGAGGGTGGTCCAGTTTTCTATCAACAAAAGGCATTCAGCCATCTCCAACTCGTGATGCCAAAATTCTAGTTACATATATTTTTGGATGGTTAAGATTTTATTGAGCGAGTGAGAGGTGAGAGAGCAGTTTGTCCTCCACATTTTCAACAAGAACCATGAGAAGTCTATGTCCAATTTGACACCCGAAATCTAATAATTTACCAAATAAAATAAAAATAAAAATAATAGACCATTTTATTATTATTAATATTTTCGCAAACTGACGAAGATGCCATTCACGTTCTTATGACGTGGCTTGATGTGACTGGGTGGTGCAGTTCCCAACCATAGGCCGATAAACATCCATTTTCGGCCGTCGACCGAAATTGGTAGACAGACACAAACTTACAAAAAGAAAATTAGAAATTCAAAACTCCAATTATTTTTTATTTTTCCAGATGTTGTTATGAAAAATATAAAAGATAAACACATACACACTTTGGGGAGGGGGAGGGGGAGGGGGGGGGGACAGAATATTGTACGAGGAAGCTTTGCACTTGGCCGACTCATGTCCCACTAGGGCCATGCCAGGTCAGCTTCTGGGCCCAACAAAATGTTGGGTCCTCCATGACGTGGACAAACTTTTGGTAATTGGTAGGGTCGTAAAACGACCCAAACCCACAACGTTTTACTATTTCGATTTGAGTGAACTAATAAAATGTTTACTCCATTGGAAAAGAGTACGAATTCCAATCCCGCATCGTATGCCCGAAACGGCGCGTCGTCCAGCGGTGCGGCGGTGCCCGTGAGATTAACCTTTAATGCCGTTTGTTTATTGCATTAAAAGACGAAACTGCCCCTTGATTCAAATAGTCAACCGCAGATCATATGGTCCCACAGTGTGACTAACTATTCATTAATAAAGTTTGGAATATGCGGAAATTAGTTTAATTAAATTTTGGGAGAAAAATAAAACACAAATTAAATTATTAAAAGGAGGAGGTGGCGCTGTGTTCCCCCTCAATTATATTCTAGAAATACGACAAAATACGCCTCTTTTTCACTGCCCAAATCTCTCTACTTCAATAAACAAATAGTAAAAAATAATCTAAAGTATTGCTGACCTGGATACTGCCATTGATAAAGTAAAAAATATCAAAACTTTGTACCAGGCTTTAATATGCACATCACCGTAATAAACGTGAATTAGGTTAGTCGGCTAATACAGTATATGAACTCCTTTATATCTGCTATCCATCCTCTCCGTATCCCTTTCTCAAAAGAAAAAGCATCTCATTGTATGTTAGTAATGTAACATATACTGGATAAATAAGATTTGAATTTACTAAATTGCCCTATGCAGACAAGTGGCCGTAAAAGAGTGGAGGAGAATTTTGCTTTACAGCTAAAGCTTGGTGTAATGACCACCATAATTTTCACCCCAAAAAAAAGAAAAAAAAAGAAAAACAATTTGGTCATGTGAAGTGAAAAGGAAAGGTGGAATAAAAGTGGGATAAAAAAAGTGTTAATTATTTACGTGCGGAATATTAGTGGTTAATACAAGTGAGTTTTGGAGTGTGTTTAAAAAATAATATTTGGAGCAGAAATAAATAAATAAAAAATAAGGGTCTGTCATTAAAGAAAAGGGGCGGGTTTTCCGGTGCAAAAAGGACGAAGGAGCAAAAAGCTGGCGAGACGACACGTATCGATGGAATTGACCGTTGGATGAGCATGCGAATTTAACAGTGATTGATCATTCTTTCTTCCATTTGAGATGAGATTATGACATCCATAGCTAACGAAAAGAGAAAGGTGTTATGTTATACAGTCAGAGAGAGAGAGAGAGAGAGAAACAAGACGCACTGCTCTCAGAGCTAAAAAGCTCATCACCTGCAAACAAATCAGAGAGAGAGAGAGAGAGAGAGAAACTTAAATTTGTGTGAGCAGCTTGTGCAGTGCAGACACAGAGAAAGAGAGAAAGAGAGGCATGGCGGCGTAGCAGAGAGAGAGAGAGAGACTTAAATGCTTTGAAATTTACAGACGAACACAGCACAGCACAGCACAGTGAAGAAGAGAAGGGAGGGGAATTAAAAGCGCGATTAACGCTGCCAAACAGAGCCTAACGTCTGTCTCTCTCTCTGTAAATTTTCACCCATTTTCTCCAAACCCAACAAACACTAAGCACACCCAAAACTCTCATATACTCACACAAACTTCACAGATTACATAAAGATTAAAACTTTAAGCACAACAGTAAATACCCATCAGGGAATTGGGTGTGAAATTGGGTTCAGAATTGAGTGGCTTGATTTTGATATGGATTTTCGGTCACAATTGGGGCAGCAATGGCTGGTTTTTTCTCGTTAGGCAGAGGGGGCAACAACAACAACAACCAAGATCAAGACCACCATAACAGCAATAACCCACCCCCACCTGATCATCAAATTGCTCCGGAGACGTTGTTCTGGTACAAGAATGAGGACGTGGCAGCTCAGCCGTACAAAGGGTTCGAGCTATGGCAGCAACAAGAGCAGCTCCTCCAGCTCCAAACCCAGCCACAACGCCTCTTCCACCACCACCCCCATCACCATCAAGATCTCTACGCATCTGCTGCCGCTCTAGGCGTGGGGCCCAGCAGCAGGGGCTCGGATGACACGTCGTCGTCGCGGTCGGCCGCCGCGTTGATGATGATGAGGTCGTCCTCCGGCGGAGGCGCAGGTGGAAGCGGGGGAGGAAGCGCCAGCTGTCAAGACTGCGGAAACCAAGCCAAGAAAGATTGCATTCACATGAGGTGCCGGACTTGCTGCAAGAGCCGAGGGTTCGACTGCCCGACCCACGTGAAGAGCACGTGGGTTCCGGCGTCGAAGCGCCGCGAGCGGCAGCAACAGCTCATGGCTTTGCAGCAGCAGCAGCAGCAGCAACAACAGCAGCAAGAACATCATCAACAACGACAGCAGCAGCAGCAGCAGCTGCAAGTGATTCGGGGAGAGAATTCCAAGAGGCTGAGAGAAAATCCAAACTCCAATTCTTCCCTTCGCATTCTCGGCAACACGTCAGGTACTATTATATATACATATATATGTGTGTATATATGTATGTACAGTTTTTGTTTTTGTTTTTTTTAGTTCGAGAAAACAGCTTACTCAGAGTTTCTTGAAAATTTGACCCTCGTCTGAGAGAGAATATTAGCCAGAGGTTCTGAATAAAAAGAGAGAAAAGAAAGAAAAGAAAGGGTTTTGGAAGGTAGCGAGTAAAAATATAAACACAAGTAGAAGAGCATATCGATTGCGTGTGGAGTGGAAATCGACCTCCATAGTAAAAATCTTCTTCTCCTCCTCCATAGTAGAAGAGCATATCAGACGTCGTCAGCTTTTTCCTTTCTTTCTTTCTTTCTTTCTTTTGATCATTATCTCCCCTTTTCCTTTTCCAATAATACTGTTATCAAGTCGTCCTGACGAGTTTCAACATTGACAGGGAAGAAAGAAACACTGTTTTTCTTTCTTGCCTTGGCCTATAGCTATAGCTAGCTTTAGCTTACCCTCTTTTGTTATGTGTGCTTGTGTCCATATCTCTCTCTCCCTCTCCTTCTCCCTCTGGCTTGTTGATATCTGTGTTCATGTATGTGCGTTTCCTTGCTTTTGTGTGCCTTTCTTTTTCTTTTCTTTAAAAAATAAGATAAACAATTTCTTAATTTCCACTCTCTTTTCTTTTGTATTATTGTATATACCATGAAGAAAATATAATATAGTTTATATGACGGGTTTTGGGCTAATATTACTTGTGTATGTATTTATGTAGGGTTGGAGTTGGGGAATTTTCCGGCAGAAGTGAGCTCGCCCGCGGTGTTTCGCTGCGTAAGAGTGAGCTCCATCGAGGACGACGATGATCAGTACGCGTATCAGACGGCTGTGAACATAGGAGGCCATTTGTTTAAAGGAATTCTCTACGACCAAGGCCCCGAAACCTCTAACTACAACATGAACATGGCTGCTGCCGCTGCTGCAGCTGAAACTTCATCTGGTGGCGGTGGAGTTAATATCCAGCCGCTCAATCTCATTGCTGGCGCCACCACCGCCGCCAACACAGCCACCATTGGCGGCGGTGATGACGAGGGCGTGGCGGGGGCTTCCACGACAGTTATAGATCCTTCTTCTCTATACCCAGCTCCACTTAATACATACATGGCTGGTACGCAATTCTTCCTACCACCAAGATCTTGATGATCATCATCAAACAAAAGTTTCTCACCACATTCTTCATCCCTCTTCTTCTTCTTCTTCTTGACTGCCTGCTGCGGTCGACTTTGGCGTAGTTAGTTAGTGTGGACTCTCAAATATTTGATAATATCTTTGTAGCAAAATTGACACCCCCTCCCATTTGAACTAGCTTAGCTAGGAGAGAGAGAGAGAGAGAGAGAGAGTAGAAAGAAACGAGAACCAGCTTAGAGGAAAATGATGCGCAACAACGAACGAGTTTGTTTTGTTGACAGTTTCCAATGCTTGTTAATTAGTTAATTTAAACATGATCATTATTATTCTTCCGTCTTAATTAATTTCTTGTTCAAATTCAAAGATGTTATACTTGATTTCTTCTTCTTTTTTTTGTTTAAATATATGATTTTGTTGAGTTTGTTGGGTATTTTTCCCTCTACTGGTTTGAAACCCCGTAACACGTTTTGGTTGGATTTGAACTTGGAAGCTGCTTTAAATTTTTTCCTGTTTACCCGCATGTTTGCCGGTTTGAAATGAATCTCGAAAACTTGGTTTCGTCTTTTGTTGGACAAACTTCAAAGACTTGTTGTTTTTCATTTCGGTATGGGCGGTCCAGCCATGCATAACCAGCATTCAAGTTCAAAAGGTCAAGCAACCCTCTCTCTCTCTCTCCCTAAATTAATATTTACTTCGTTTGACCCTAATCTTAAAATGCATAGATGTGACCTTTATGTTGAAATGGGAAAATTTGCTCACCATCTGCAGTGGTTTAATGCTTCTGCAGGAAGGTATATATAATTACAGAAAATGCTTCACATTTTTTGGAATACATAAATATATTTGCACATGAACTTAAATAATATTGTTACTTATTGTATGAAAATTTAGGAATTGTAAACAAAAAGGCTTTCCTTAGTTTACAAACTATTCTGACCGATTGCATGTTCTCTCATTTTTCATACATCAATGGTCTCTGCAGTTTCTATTTCTCCCTTCCCATTACAAGTCCCTTTTAAGCCTTTTAATTTCAGCCTTGCTTAGGTAATCTTCTTTTGTGCCAAAATATAAATGAATGTATAAATTTAAGAGGGAAACATTCTAAGATTGATTAATTAGATAATAATAATATATGAGATTTTCGAGTCTTGCAAGAATTTTAAATGAAGAAAGAATTAAGAGTAAAAACTTGAAAAGGAGTCGTCTACTAATAATCATTCAAATCTCTGTAAAGCCTATTTAAAGTAACTGAATGCACAAACACATCCCTAAACTCTACCAGCATCTCCAACATAGTTGCTATACTCTAATCCTTAGTTATTTTGGCTAGAATGAGGGCAAAATGTAGCTCCAACAAACTTGTTATATGGCTCTCTATTTTGGAGAACTCCCTATTGAGTTTGGTGGCTCTCTACGTTCGGAGAGGAGGACAAGGAAATTGAGGGTTCTCCATTTCTTTCTCTTCTCTCTCCGTAGGCACACAACCCTCTCTCCTACGTTTGGAGAGGAGGACAAGGAAATTGAGGGTTCTCCATTTCTTTCTCTTCTCTCTCCATAGGCACACAACCCTCTCTCACTACTTTTTGACTTTTTAATGAACTTTTAGAGAGGAGAGAAAAATAATAAATTTTTAGAGATTAACCAAAGTAGAGAACATTGCGAGAGGAAACTACTTTTAAGTAGTTTGCTATGATGACTTTCTAGCTATTTTAGCTAAAATTTAGCTAGAATTTGGAAACTCACTTGGAGATGCTCTAAATCTTAAACCTTAATGTGAATACGATGAATTGGTATTCAATTTTGAAACATGTACATGGTTTTATACAAAACCTTCTTGTTGAAGATAATGGAGAGATCTCCTACTTAATATAGGTTAGGGAAATGATAATCAAATCTTACTAGGGAATACCTTGTATTGCATTACAATTAACAAGTAAACTTGAACCAAATCTTACTAGGGAATACCTTCTATTGCTTACCAGTCATTTAACTTTGATTCAATGGACATTGGTGAGTAGAAGCTTATATGATATATCTAGCTAGCGGTCTGTCAACTATTATGATCCATTTCTACCATATGTGATATATGCAGAGAAGATTTAAACACATCACAATTTTACACTATTTCTGACAAGTACATCTCTCTCTTTCTCTGTGTGTGTGTGTGTGAGTATCTGTAGTTTGGGTTTGTTAATGGAGCAAGTTGTTCCAATCTTTGAAGTAGCCAAATTATTTGTGTATGAATCAGTGATAGTCTAAACTACAGGGAGAGGTTTTTTCACATACACACAATCAAGATGCCATGAGAGTTCGAACTTGAAACCTCTTATGTGCAAGTCAAGGTTCTTTTCCATTAGGCTAGACCTAGTTAGCCTCATATAAGGATTTGCAGGAATGTAAGAATTGGTTAGTATGATTTTAGATATTCAATGAAAAAATTTATAACCTAGGACTTTATATCGACAGGTACTGCTTTAAGGTAGATAAAATAATTGCACTTGAAATTATTTTGAAGTCCAGAGAGGGTGAATATAGAAATCAAGTAGTCTCCTAACAAAGCTTTCTTTTTTACCTTGATAGAATTTTATAAGGAGGAGTAATATGTGTATTTGATGCCCTGTCAAAATAATTGAACACATAAATTTGTCACATCAGAAAAACACAAAATAACTGCTCATTAAGACAAGAAAGAAAGAAATGGAAGTAGGTAAAACAAATGTGAAACTTTATTTATGTAAAATTTACCACATGAAATGATGCCAGCTTCTCTATCTGTCACCGTCCCGTGAAGTCCTCCCTTAGTTATTCATCAGTTGATTTGCTTCTTGTTGTTAGTGTATTATTTTTTCCTCACAATGATATACCTAAAACTGGTCATAGTATATCATTTATGTGTTAATTTCATTGTGATCAATAAGTGATCATTTTAAATAAATAGGGTAATCCTTGTTACAAATTCAATGTCTATTATATCAAGATATAGGACGAGTGAAGAGTAGTTTAAACAAAGTTTATTTTCAATCTCAGCACATATCAAATACGAGAAAGAAAATAAAATGATATTTTGCAGTTATTTTCTTTACATTACTAAACATGAAAAACGGTTCATTTCTTATCCCTTCAAAGATATACGGAAAATGATTTCATGCGAATTTCTTTCTGTGAACCGAACGTTTCTCAAGTGATGGATTCTAAATGAATATGGTACATTCTTGTTACAAATCCAGTCTCCATCATATTGACATATAGGAAGAGTGAAGGAGCCAGTTTAGATTCAAAGTGAGAGATTTCTATGGTCTATCCATGTTAAATTGAATGAGAACTGATTGAGATGTTTCTGTAGAAATTAACCCAGGTCTATGAGTGATATTTCATATCATTTTATGTGCACTTCTGTTACAGGAAACTAAAAATATCACATCACATTTTCTGGTAAATTACAGAAGGGCTTTTCTTCCGACATGTTTACGGCTGGGAATATAAAGCAAATGTGTTCCTACAGTGGCGCCATGTGATGCAGCTGTTTTATTGTGGCTTCTTTCCCTAGGAATATATCTCTTTTTTCTTCTTTAAATAAACAAGAAATTTACTGACTGGCCAAGAGAAAATAAAAAAAATTTGCTCTTGGGATTCCGTAGGAAAATACTTAAATTGCATTTGCCAACTACCCCAAACCAAATTATTATGTTTGGTGAAAAAAAAATATCATTAGTATATAATATAATATAGGGAAAGCCAGGCATTCCCAATGCAAAAATAATTGATATTACTTTTACCAGAAATAATGATGAGAATGACGCCCATGTTTTTCGGCTATAAATTTTATAAAATTAAAAATAAAAAAAAATCCACTCGGAATATCAAGTTTTCTTGAGCTGCACAAGATCGAGAATAAATATTCCTTCCCTGGACAACTGGGCAAGTTCCTGTCGGGAATTGAATTTTCAATGTTTGTATCCATCCATTTTCTTCATCGACTGTTTCCCATTTGAAAGTATCTTGTCAAAAATCTCAAGAGCCTATTTGCCATGAAAAATATCAATCACCGCCTTTAATCGTAGTGTTAATCATGGTAAAACACGTATTGTAGAATATGTACACTGCAAGTATTGCGTAGAGTGGAGTGGTAATATCATCCTCGTATAAAATACCTTTCACATGAACGCATTAGAATGTTACGTTTTTCGTCAAAAGATGTACAAATATACAATATGTAGTCATGTAAATGGGTAGGTTATTGTCAATCAGGACATTGATCAAGTGGAAGTAGTTCTAATCTGAATGTGTAGTTGAGAAACAAAAGCTCAGATTTTGGTTAAGTTGACCTAAGTTGCACCGATTAAATGTTACGATATTCAAACTATATATAGTTTGCAAATGCATGGAAATTGTTGCCCGACTGCGGTCTAGCTGTATTTGTACACGCTTTAGACCACAGTTTTTCTGTAGCCGCTGACAAGCGACTTTCCTTTACTATCTTCCAAATACAATGGAAAGTTTGTCTTGTATTAGGGAAACCAATTTGCACCTATAATTTCTCCAATACTTTGACCTACGTACATTCAACTACTTCCTTTTTAAATTCCACTATTTTTGCCTAATTAATTCATTTTATCTTCATATGCCCCAAAATGAATTTGAAGGTATGTTCTAATATAATCATATTTTTTTGTATATGTAATATTATTATTCTGCAAATCAGATAGAGTCACATCAAATAATGTTATCACAACTACAACATTTGCATTATTTTTAACTCTATTATAGCACATTTTCTCTATACAATTATGAGAGAGCGTACAGTATCTAAGGAAGAAAGTGATAGGAAGAATGGGACAATTAATACAACCGGAGTAGGGAAGTATTTCTTCCACTAAAACATTGCTAGCTCTCCTCCTATAGCAGGAAAGCTTTCAACAGCCTGTAACCCAACAGCTTTATTACTGTATATCACATAATCACGGTCTAGAATATCTCAGACTTGTGTTTGCCACCAGACCAGCTAGCTAATAGCTCTCTCTCTCTCTCTCTCTCTCTCTCTCTCTCTCTCTCTATATATATATATATATATATATATATATATACGCACACACTTGCGTAGCTACTTTTGTCAGTACAGAAATGGGCAAGAAAAACTCAGACCCATATTATTAGGGTTCTTGTAATGTTTGGCAGTGAGTTTTATTTGGCCTTTAATTTTCTCCTTGCACATAAGATATATATTTATGTCTAGAGACCCATAGAGCAGTATAGTTAAGCACCAGAAATGGCTAGATTTCCCTAGTAAGCCAAGCCATGGCACAATCAAAGAGAGCACTAGGGTTTGTCATGGTGTATTAGGGCAATCATAGGCAGGCGGGTTGGCATGCATTTTGATCAGCTCTAGGGTGGTAGAGTAGAGTGAGCCCAAGAAAGACATAATGTGGTTTTGTGTGTGTGTGTGTGTGTTGGGGGCCATTGTTGAATTATTGTGGTCCCTCAACAAGTGCAATTCTGCTGCAAAAAAAAGCTAATTTTGCTTTGGTCTTCTCTCTCATCTCAACTAGCTGTTTTCCTCCCTCCCGAGCCCTATTTGCAAATTCTGAGAAAGCAGTAGAGACTAGAGAGAGAGAGAGAGAGCAAATTGGTGCAAGTTAAGTTTTGTTTTTGTTTCCATAATTAACTCGAAAGCCTGTGTGTCTTCTGTCAGCAGCACAAAACAAGGCTGCAAGTAAAAAGGGGTTGAAGCCGTGACTTTTGAGGCACATTTTGGAAGACCAAGCCTTGTTCATCTGCGATGAATTGTCTCTTCATGGACCAGTAAATATTCTTTTGGTTGCTTCATCTCTCGACCATTACTTGTAGTTTATTTTTATTTTATCCCTTCCAAATTAGGTTGACAAGTTGACAACTCATGTTGCAAAACCACACACATAATCAATTTGAAGAAATTAATTCATTTAAACCATCTTATTATAATTTAATATATATTTAAAAAAAGAATTCAAAAATAAAAACCTTTTCCTAGGTTTTGGATCCAAGAACAAAGGCATCTTGGGTATACTTGTTTGTATTGACTTTAGTCATAAGGTGCTTGAATGAGACCTAGACCTCCCACTAGCTTTCTGCCCCACGGAATTTTATTGTAGCAATATCTTACTTTTCTTCAAGAAATCCCTTTGAAATGGATTGATATGGAGGACCTTTTTGAAATGACATGCATGAAAGTGAAAGCCATTTGGGATTTAAATAGAGAATGTCGTGAGAGGTTTGTCAACATTTCAATATAATGACATATATATATATATATATATATATATGTACTGAAATGCCTTTTTTATTTCTTCTTTTGGTAAACAAAGAGAATTAAGTTGCACTCAAATCAATCAATGAGAGCAGTAATTCCAATTGCGTTGTATATCATTTTTTGTGCTAAGTGTTATTTTCCACAATCTTTTGTACTAAAGTTCGTAGCTGTTTGCAAAGGGCTATTAATGTAGTGGTTTGATGCAATTGCTCCTTCAAGGAAAGGTCATAGGTTCGATTCCTACTATCCGTGTAGTGTGCGTGAGTTTAATATACCATCGCCCCTCTTGATAAGAAGGTTCTCCAAAAAAGGTTGGCAGCTGTTTCTTCTTTGAAACCTACTAAAATTTCACTAGATTGGCATGATTTAGCTGCACCCACCCATTTGGCAAGCACCCTTCGGCAAGCAAAAGGAGACCCAAGAATTCTTTAGCAAATAGAAAAAAAAAGTAACTTGGAACGTCGCACGAACAAAATTAGGAACCAATAGATACACGTAATTTTTGTGACCAAAAGAAAAAGCAGAGGTTGAAATACGGCATATAAAGTTTAATTTGTAAGCCTATGAAAAATTAGATGCAAAAGCAAGCAGAACAGTAAAATTTATATACCAAAATTTTCTATATTAAAGAGAGAAAAAAACAGGGGATCAGTCTGAAAGCTTCCCCCATGTTGAAATATAAGGCTTTTACATGCAAAGCTAACAGGAGTAAATGAACTGCTACAGGAGTATGACTGAGAACACGGGGAGGCAGGTCTATGACAGCTCATCAATCAGATGCTGTTTCTAAGGCTAAAGGATACAACCCTACGTCAGGCTTATGCCGATTTTTCTTCATCAAAGGAAGATATCAATGAACTCTCTTTGCTTCTTCAGGGCTGTGGCAATCATTCGTTTAGTATATTCATTATGAAAGCAGTGCTGCTTTCACTGATCAGATGAAGCACGAGGTTTGCCCTTTATGGAGTTGAGGTGTTGGGTAACAAATACGACTCCCATTACAAGTATGAGGCAACCAACCAGGGTGCTGAAGAAGAGGGCGCCTGGTTGCCTGGTCTGTACGAACCCGTACACCCCAGTGTTGGTCACAATGATAAGATCAGTGAGGCCATCGTTCGAGAAGTCCTCAGTGACCAGGGTGTGTGTAGGTGGTGCTGGAAGGTCAACTGATGTCAAAATACTTCCTCCAGGAGATATCACGACAGCCTCTTGTTCTCCAGCAGCAAGGATCACTTGTTGATTATCATGGACTCGTAACGAGAATGACTTCAGTGTAGGTACCACTATACCAGATTCCATCATCCCTGATGGAGATGGAAGATTTGACCATATAGCACCCGTCGAAAGCTGCCACTGCCAAACAGCACCATGACCATTCAACCCAGGGGAGTATGATGTTACCTGAGAGAAACAACACTTCTAAGATTCCAACTCAGCATATGAAAACAGAAGCCTGCACCTTGCTGGCTAACAACTGAATTATGCAAGCAATCCTGTGGGATTCATTTGAGCACCTCCAAATATAATCGTCCCAATCAATCATGCAAGGAATTTTAATAAGCATAAATGAAATTTCATTCTGAAAACGCCCCGATTTGATGCCAACATTTTAAAGGTTCTAGCAACTTTTGAGTGATATGACAACTATAAAGGCCAAACAACTTTTTGGTGCAATCTTAGATTCGTGTATTGAAATTAGCTTCAAAACCATTTTGATCTGATAATCCAAACAAAGGTCCATTCTCAAGATAACCACAGGAAGAAGACTTAAAGTACCCAGATTAGCATGCATACCTCACCACGATTTGTCAAGAAGACAACATCACCATGGCTTCCCTTACGATGCCTATGGCCATCACTTCTTGGGATGAGAATGGGAGTTGCTACCTCCAATGAAGCTAAATCATGAGTTCGACCAAAGTTTCTTGAATATTCTCCATGTTGGAATAAGTTAAAAAGGGAATGATGGCATATAGAAGCATTAAATAGTTGTTCTCGTACAGGTACACCAGAGGTTGCAACAGCCCAACAGGGGCGGAGCACTTCCATGGATCCACTGGCAACAGTCTGCTCAGCACCATTTCCCCCTACAGCCTGAAGAGAAGGAACATATTCTGTCACGCTTTTCACCCAGGATTCAGCCAATAGCAAAATGTAATATTCAAAGGAAAGGCCACCACTTGATTGAAATTCATATGCAAAATATTTGCTTTTCTGCTGCTGTGCACCTCCATTAAAAAATATGAAGACTTCACACATGTACCGTGCCGGTATAAATGCAAGGGGAACCTAATATGCAAACTAGCATTTTTTGTGGTTGCAGTCACCAATCATAAGATACATATCATTGTGCTTTAGATAAAATTTTATCCATATAATTGCACGAAAGGGCTGGATTAATGTAAGCTAAATTACTTAGCATGCTCCCTGTACATCACTGAACCTCTGAATAAATGGGAAATTGAAGAGGTAGGTAATCAAAACTCAACAGACATTAACTTCCAACATCCACTGAGCAGCTTTTGTTCATTTATTTGGCTGTTCAAGACCAATTACAGTTGAGATATAAGACTAGAAAGCAAAGAGATATGCACCTGGACATGATCTAGGACTCCATCACCATTTATATCAGCATGAAGGCCACCCTCTTGAAGATGAAGCTGGTGAGATCAACAAATTTTAATTTTACTGGCTAAGGCTAATATAACATAAAATTACTCGACACAAACATAGTTTAAGCAGAATATATTAATGTAGAGAAGTATGTCCATATTAGATACATAAGCAAAAGGTGGTGACCTAAAACCACAGGAATATTTCCAATAAAAAAAAGGACTGAGCTGAAGCAGGGTGAATTATCTCAAAATTGAATTTTAAAAAACGAAAGAAAAACGGTTGGCCATTTGTTGCCCAAACAGAGGCATGTACAGCTATTATATCGTGTAATTTCACTTTGGTTACGGCACTACGAGGGAAATTGTGTGGGCATTTTGTTTACCTTACAAAAAGTGCGACCAGATGCTAAGTGAATAGCTTCTATTCCTTCTTTTTGATGAGCTACAACAACATTAGGAACCCACCAAAGTTGTGTGTGGTTTGTTATGGTAGGAATATATGGAAATGGCTGCATCAGAAATATAAACAGGTTAAAATGCCATTTCAAAAGACAATCAACAATTCTACCTATAAGTAGTTCACAAGTCACACCTTCTTAGGTTTTGCAGAGCCAGCATACTGTGCAGCTTTTCCAATGAAGTTAGAAATTTTTTTTGTTGAGTCTTTTCCAGGAAGATGGTTTTCTTCAGGCTTGTGGAAAGGGTAGTTAATAGTCTTTCCAGATGTTCTCTTCAATATTTTCCTTTTGTGCCTCTTGAACCTTGCAAGTTCCAACAAAGTATCTTCTCTTCTATCCTGATGATGGCACAAAAATTGGAAAATCACTTGCCACCTAAAAGAAATACAATGAATAGAACAAAAGTTCAATGAATCGAGTAAAAGACAGTATTTTTAACCTACCCAGTGATGTGGCATAACTCCAAGGATAGATTCTCTGAATTCCCTACATTCAAACTACAATTTAATCTGTATCAGTGAGCTTATCTCACAAAAACATATCAGAAATTTGACCCCAACAAGAATGAATCATAAGAAACTACAGCAACAAGATGGAACTAATAATAGAGGGAGAGAGAGAGATTTCCATAAGAGCTCATTCAGGCCCATGTCAAGTCAGAACTCAAACATGTTATATGTTTGGCCCATTTCACAAAATTACTATACAAAAAACAATGAGTATAGGGATTAAGACATCCAACATTGAGCAACAGAAACAGGTGAACCATGCCATTTTATAAAATGGATAAAATGGCAGAATAACATACCTCTCCTGGTTGACGACTGTTCAAAGCCTGAACATCAAGCTTGTAGTTATGCTGTGGAATTAACCGTGATGCATCTGAAGAATGTTCTTCGATATTCTAAACAACCAAACGATATAATTAGCTACTTGAGAAGTCAGATAGTTCAATAAGCTTAACCAAAAGATAAATCATCTATTTGAGAAGAGGTGGACGCTAGGTAGTAGTGTAATAGCAACGCTCATAAATTAGACCCTACAATGAAAGCTTCTTGCTTCTACACCTGCTAAACATTATACAAGAGAAATTCTGGACATTTTACACTAAAAAGTTAATGTCTTGAGTGTTTGACAAATTGATGATATATTACAATGGCAGCACAATTCTAAGTGTTTATAGACTGATATAAAATTCTAGGAAAGGTACTGAAGTATCTACACACCAAAGCTCATTGGAGATTAGTATTATAACCCACGTTAATAGTTCTATATTTGGACTCTTCAATAGTTTTCAATGAGTCTGCGACAAACTTACTGATACCCAAGTTGTACACAAAATGGAAAAGGACGGGGAAAAGAGTCATCCTCCAAAATAGCGATACCTCAAGAAAAAGCAACTGACTTTCTTTTTATGAGGAAATCCTTTTAGCATATCATGAAGCAGAAAAGTGCCAAAATAGGAAGCATATGAAAAAATAGTAACAATATAAAGCACCTCATTCTTTCTGGTCCATCGAATTGTTCCAGAGCCACCAGCAAATGCAAACAATGCAAAATGCCGTAAATCCACAGTTCCTGAATTCTCAGAAGCCTGAGACAAATAGAAAAAATCATCAAAACACTCTACTACTAATAACAAAAAACAAAACTCTACTATGAATGACTAAACAGAAAAAGAACTCCAGCTGTTATTACTGGCTTTCTATAGTTCATCCATTTAGAAGCTCAAAATATAAAGAGAACATATACACTATCATGCCTTACACCAAGAAAGTTATAATGCTTCAGTAAATGCAAAAGACTGAAAACAAATTATCTACTCTAACCACAAAAAGAGTAATTATGAAATCATACAAGACTTTTTCATGCATAAGCCAAAAAATGCTTTTACCTCCTTTTCAGTTAGATTTCTTCTATGCTGATCAGCACTTCTCTCTGTCCTCCCAATTTCTTCAAAAGGGTCCAGGGAAATCTAAAGATCACAGAAGAAATTATTTCTAAGAGCATTGAGGAATGATTAACATTTAGAGTCATCAGATTAAACATTAATACAGTATCAACAGGTCAAAATGCAGACGCAGGAATGCTAAAAGTTTGTGATGACACTGGATGCAGGACTTCTAAAGTTAGTGGATAATGCCTCGGCCATCATACCCGATGAATTGTTTAGAAGTTATGAATCAAAAAGATGGCCAGCAAACTATGTAAACAACCTTGGCGGTTGGGTGAATTTGTAATCATACATGCTTTATCCATTACTTCTCCATAACGGAGACCAGAAATAGAAGCTTGATTTGTCAACCCAGAATAAATGTAAACAAAGTTGACATAAATACAACAAAAAACATACATGAGGCTGCATTTCCATCCTTCCACCAACAATCACCAATCCTGTATCCCCATGCCTCAAGGTGTAATTGCTAATGGAGATGGCAATCTCCCTATGATGAGCATTATGTGGAAAATCCTCCTGTAGAAATGCCAATAAGAACAAGAATGTGCATTAAAACAAATAGCACCATTACGTCACTGGTAGCTAACGAGCCAAGTAACCATTTTCCAAGAAAGGTGTGAACAAAATTGAAACTTGCCACAAACCTGCAAATTGACTTCCCAGAGCTTTTTGAGGTTGGAATCGAAGCACATGACAGACCAACCCGACGTAACAACCACCAAAACCTGCCTGGGTCTTTGCCCAGGTCTGAGCTTGTCGATAACCCCAGTAGCCATTGCCACGGGGCGTCTGCCGGAGGAGATGCGGATTTTGTCGGGCAACAGGCTCACCTCCGCAAGCACGCGAGCATTACTGAATCCTTCATCCACACGCCTACTATGAGGCTCCAAAACCTAATGATAACAATAACACAAAACCCCCAACCATAGCCAACAAGTAAGCAACAACACTGCTTGTTATTAAAAGAAAGCTAACATGAAAATGAAGTGAAAGAGTGAGAGAGAAAGACCTGGATTTTGGCATCGTGGGTGGCCACGAGGACTTCTTTCTTGCCGTCACCGTTGAGATCGGCGACGATCGGCGGAGGGAGACGGTCGGCTTCGTACTTGATGGGGTAGTCATCGGAGAGATGCATCCATGCCTCTCTGAACGAGAAATCACCCTCGTGCTGAAATTCCAAAAACAAAGCCAATCAGAAACAATTCAATTCGATTAAAAAGAATGAAAAATTCGTTCGTGCTTAGGGTTTGTTAGGGTTTTGGGGGAGCTGACCTGAAGAGAAAAGAAGATGGCGAAAGCAGAGAGCATGAGAATGGCCAAATCTCGCTTCCTCATGTTGAAGCCTCGTCCAGTGAGAACCCAATTTTGCAGAGGCTACAGTGCTTGCTTTGCTTGCTTAGCTGCAGAGTTGAGTTGAGCCTCTGAGTCTCTGAGACTGTGAGGCCGTTACTTTCGGCTAGATTTTACCTCCAGTTTTCGGACGACGGCGTTCTGACTTCCGAAACCCCTTCCTCTCTCTTTGGCTTTTGCCACGTTCGTTAAGGCAATAGATCACCGCAACGGTAGTACACGTCACCAATTCTTTCTTTTTTTTCTAATTACATTTTTGCTCGTCATCAATTTGTATGTTTAGATGGAGAAAAATAACTAAGGATTTACCTCAGAGTAGGGAATTGAAGAGTGGAAATTGATATTTCTATTGTTTGTCAAGCATTGAATTTATTGGATGACGTGCAGAAAAAATCATAGACATTAAAGATCAAGATTCACGGGTTTAATTTCCGCCAAAAGAGAGGTCATTTCACAATTTCTATTTAGTAGGATTTCGTTTTTCACAATAATGTTCGTCATTTACAAAATTTAATATATATAAATTCAAACACTGAAATGATTAATTGTTAGAAATTTAAACGATGGAGATCTAATTCCATCATTTAAGAATTCTATGCAATTTTCAATTCATTCATCCAAAAACAAGGGTTAAGAGTGTGTTAGCTAGACTAGGTCTTAATCGATCTGATGGCCCCAGTCCACCCTGCTGCTCGTGCTAATAAGGTAGTCCAGGCCAACCTTTCCAAGAATGAAAGCGTCTCACACCGCAGAGTCGAGGTGAAATCTTAACTTCTTGTGCTATACTCTAATTGCAAGGAGAAGTTCCATCCGATGGAAGGAAGATAAATTCTTTCTGATCGAGGGGGCTTGACCAGGTGAAGGGGAAGGGGGACAAAGGGAAGAATGGGGCTTGAAGGACATGAACCGCCAGAGATCTCTTTACAAGCTATTGTTGGTATTCGCACACCGCAAAGCACGCAAGTTTAGGGACTGCTTGAAAGAAAAAGCCATCACCATTCTGACTGGGGACTTCTAGCTCACTGAACCCGAAGTCCTGTTTTTATTCCCTCTTTTCCGAAAACAAAAAAAAATTATAATCCATATTAATCATAGTCTATATTATTATAGTACTAAAAATATTTAGGACAGTGTGCCCGCCACTTCGCACCGATGACATTAATCTGCAGTAATCTCGAGGGAGAAAACTAAGGCAACAAATTGTGTTAATGAGCTAGCACTGTAACAAATGAAGGCAACTTGGAGAATAAAGAAGCTTTGAGGCTTCCAAAGAGTTGCATTCATTTTTTCACATTTCATTAACATACGTTCATGTACATTCTTTCGTAGTATTAAGCATTCTTCAAATTATATCCAGAACTAAGGTGGAGTAGGCCTGTGAAGCGCTTGTCCAAAAGCACAAAAACAAGTGATCTATAGCTACGGTCTATACAAATTCAGAAGTATCAGCAGGTGGATCCCTTCAACGTTGGTCTAGTTGCAGTGACCCGTTCAGAATGTAGTTCAAAGATTTTATCAAACCGTTTCGGTAGGTTGTTTCATTATCTTTTGCTTCCTCTTTGTCTCTAAATATGAGGCAAGTTGAGCGCTCTTCCTTTTGGCCATCTCCAATTCCTTCTCTAGGTTTTCAATCTGTTTCATTCCAGAAACAAAAGGCAAAACTCAGTATCCCATTATTCAAGTAACTCAGGCAGTAAGTTGAGGTGATGAAGTATGAACCAAAGAAGTAATTTGGATACGAGTTTATACATACCGTCTGCCTCAACTCAGTCTCCTTCTGCACCTGTGCCTCACACCTGTAGCAAAAGGGTTTTGTTGGGTTCAACTCAACAAAATCATAAAGAGCCACATCATATAGCATGTGAATTCTAGCCCTACCCCCAACTAATATGTCTGGTACTTGAACCTAGAGGAGTTCATAACAAGGATATACAAATGAATTCCAGACTATTTTATCAAATATAAAATTAAAATGATACCTCATGAAAAGTTGTATATTCTCTTCACATATCTCATCAACTGACATGGGCTCTCTATTGTCAGCAGACATCACTACTTCCGATGACTTCTGCATTTGCATTCAACAATGTAAGAATACTTCAACCAAAAAGAAAACTAAGGCAATGATACAGAGAAATAGAGGATCCATTGTGGCCCATTCCCTTAGAAACCATCATACACGACAACATTTTTTTATTTTATAAATGTTTATGAACATGAATGTGGTGAACCTGCTGATAAAATGTTCTCCTAAAACTTCAAGTGGCTGTGTCAATATATTCACAGTTAAGCATTTCAGGTGATTATTGGTTAATGGTATGTTCTTGTTTAGTTACTGACAAATAAGATTTTTCAAGTTAGAACTAATTCCTGCGCATTGCAATACATAACAACATATGATAGTCATAGGAAAAAATGAACACTGCAAACATTTAAGACACCGAAGCTAGTGACCAGACTGTCAGCAAACTCATCAACATAACTCCTCAGCCATTTGGACATCCACGGTAAGGAGTTTAACCAAGAATGTTCCTAACCTGCATGTGCTTGCTGTCAACTATACTAAATAGATTGGGATAACAGTGCTAAGAAGCAAACCAGAAATCACTTACAGTTCGCAAATCATTTTGAAGGACATTAGCAGAAAGGCCAGCCATAGTTTGATCCAGATGCATATCTTTTGGTGTAACTCCAACAGAAGGTTTAAAAGTCTGATCCTTCTGCAGGTTGCGTGCACCAATGGGCTGATATCCCACAAAGTGACAATTGGTTTTCCTGTCTTGTCCAGAACAATTTCCACAACTCAGATGAGTGTAAAAATACATCATTCTGTGTCGGAATAACACATCAAACTAAAGTACACCAAACCATGTGTGTTTGTGTATGAGAGAAGGATGTATGGAAAGCGTAAACGGACACTAGTAGAGCGATTGATAGTACATTGACATATTTCATGAGAGAAACCCTTCTGATGCATAAATGCATACTACTAGATAGCACACCTAATATTCCATTCATCTATAAATGCCAAGGGAAAAATGCTTGGAATCTAAAATGGAGACCAAAGTTTGCTTCTATGGTGCACTCGTTTTAACTTTTAGGAATGTCTAGACCTTCAGTGGAATCAAGCTCCAACTCATGGAGTGGAAGCTTCTTCCCTGAGACCACTTTATAATAGATAAAGAAGTATGCAACTTTCATTTTCATTTTTGGATTTAGTATTGTTTACTTCTCTTTTATGCCTGGTCTTTCTTACGTACACCCCCCAGTGCGCCTATGATATAAATCCTTTTGAACCTTTTTATTGGAAGATACTTACCACCAGTTTCTTTTTCTTTTTTTTTTATTAGGACCAAACATCCTCAACACTGAAACGACAAGAGTGTGGATTGGCGCAGCTAAAATGCTATCCCCAGATTCCCTACCCTTATGGGCAAAAAGTCGCCTGTAAATTGCAAGTTAAAGTAACTCACCAGTACTCATTTACCATTTGTTTCAGCCTAGTTTCAAGACGGAAAAACAATGAAGATCTCTCAAAATCCTGCTTATCATGTGCTGGCTCTATAAAATTTGCTTCAAGAATTCCTGTAATATGTACATTAATAAAATTAAGTAAATGAATACATCCAGAACATATCTAAGTGAGAAATACAGAGTTAAAGAATGATACCAACAACACCGTTCCCTTTCGAAGAACCATCAGCTGTGACTTTCCAAAAGGGCTGCAACAATGTAAACAAACTCGCTGCCTTAGTAAACTAATTGGAATTACTGGCCCACAATTACACAATGCTCATCCTTATCATGTAACCAACTTGGAATCCCATAAACTTTCATGGAAGAACTCAGCTGTACAGGGATCAAAATAATCAAATGAAGTTCAGAACGCTGTGCGACTAAAAATTAAATTCCGATCTTGAACTTCCATACGAGATATATTAATTCACAGTGAAAGCAACGTAAAAATCAAATACATAGAAAGTGCACTTCAGCATTATCAAAACATACCCTGATGAGGCGATTTTTATGGTACAGGTTGAATCCAGTAACTCCAAGATCAGGCGCCTCCTTTATGAATCCAATGGTTGTTTCCACTATAACCTTAAACAACGAAATCATGATTTTAACATCTACTCTCTTCGTTTTTTCAAAACTATAGAACTTCCACAGTGACCTTTTTTCATACACTTGAGATTACTTCTCCAAAACCTCACGAAAACTTCAGAGCTCAAGAAGATTATTGCAGGGAAAAGGAAAGATCACTAGATAAGGATTGATGCTTTTATCTTACCTCATTCAATGTTGTTATCTGAGGCCTGTATGTTTTTACTTCTAAATATTTCAAGTCATCTTTAATATGATATTGCTGTATAGGTTTTCCCCTTAATACAATTTTGAAGTTCGTGAATGTTCTGAGGTACAGAATGGAAGCATATGCCTGACCAAAAGAATATGATTGAATTAGAATCGTCTCAGTCTGTCAAACCAATAATGCTGAAAACAGAAATTTCATAAAATTTTGATGAGTTACCCTCAATGAATAGCGCATTCGGTAAGATATATGGGATTGTATTTTCTGTTGTATTTTAGTTGACTTTCCACCGGCAGCTTCATCTCTCAACCGTATATCCTACATCAAACAAAAGAACCACAAATACTATGAATATTAGGATCCTCTAATCTATATCAATGAATATGTTCCCTCCCTCCAACTTTTGAAATAAAGTATATGGAGTACCCTGTTAACATTAATCTATTAAAATTGTACACAAAGATAGTTTCTTTTTCATTAGAAAAAATAGTTTCTTTTTCATTAGAAAAAAATTTCAAAATAACATGATATACCAATATACTCAGTTTTTGCAAGTTTTGTATGCTTGATGTCGCAAAAAACTTTGTGTATGTTCGCATTAGTGCATGTTTTAAGGGGTTGAAATTTCATACAAAGCACTTTTATATTCATCATTGTGTAGAATAAGTTATAAGATAAAAGGATCATCTTCAGAAATGCTGAAAAAGAGAATTATAGCCAATTAGTGGTTATCAGGGCATAGTTTAACTGAGTTGACTTAACCAGTTAATGAGGAACACTAAATCATTCAGTTATTCGGTTAAAATTCTGAAGTTCAGACATGTAGATGAAATTTTTTTGTACATCAGTAATTCATAATAAGACAGCTCTTAATATATATAACTAAAATATGTCCTTAAGAAAGCTTTTACAATTTACGTTCTTCTGAATAAGTATGGCATACCTCATCATCATCATCAAAACTCAGTTCATATATTCCTTCATCATTTAGCCACAAATTGTATATAACTATTCTTGTTCCATGGGCTCCAATTTCCTCAAACTGGAAAATAGAAATTATAAAAACAAGAACAAGAACAAAAACTAGTCAGGGAACAACGTATGTTGATGGCAACCTATAAAATAGTAAGTAGTGCATGCAGTAATCAGAGCCTGTACATTCGGTTAAAAAAAAGGGCAGCCTGTATATCCACTACTGTGGTTGTAGAAATGTGATAGCTGAAGGCATCATGGCATGCTGGAAAAGTCAGTGCAGGCACTAACTGCGTGGCCTTAGTAACTACAGATATTAAAACCTATTTCCCTATTTCTCAAAGGATATCAAAGTAAGGGCAAACCGAGCATATGTTTCTGCCTGCAACACCACTATGGGATTGTTCAAATCCATGTACCAATATAAACTCTTTGTTCTAATAGCTTAAGGAAACATGAAGACCGAAAGCAAGGGCATCTCCTGCATGATAAATCTGTAACATATCCACACAACCCCTTCCAACTAGGTAACAACCATCTGAAAGCAGATACTACCAATGTACAACTTCTGTCAAACAGTTGCTTTTAAGTTAACAAACTTAGGTAGATGATGATATTTCTGTAAGAAGACTCAAATCAAATAACCTGTAGCATGAGATCCTCCTTTGATGCAAAGGGAGACCATTCTAGGATTGTTTTCAAATTAGAAGTCCAGTCATCCTGCGAGCCATAAGTTATTGGTTCAACCCAGTTTCCAGAGATGTCAAAATCAATCTGCAATACAAATAAAACTGAAGTGTTAATTGTGTACACGGATTTCACTGCAAAGTCTCAAGGAGGAAAATACAAGCTTGATGTTAACGGGCCAAACAATACCATTGGAACAATAACATCATCCTGTCCAGTTCTCCGGAGGAACGTATAAGATAATAGACCAACACTCTGGGTAGCTTTGCTAAAAGACAGGTGTAAGGGGAAAGTAAGTCATAACATTGAATTTTTTAAGTCAATTCTGCAAGCGGAAATTTTATTTATGTCAAGATAAAATAATTAGGGAAAGAGAATATACTAATCCACGTGAGTGCGCAAATATCAATCAATGAAAATTTTGGAAAAATCACACAAATCCAAGCTAAATGCATACACAACCATTAGGTTTAAATCGTAGCTTCAAGTCGGAACCTTTAGTTTCATGAGGTTGGATGTGTTAATTAACCATATTTGGGCATATGGTTGTAAATGTGTGTGGACGTAGTGGAAAAGAAATATGGTAAAGGGTGGGAGTTGATTGCCTCAGCTAGTTTGACAGGAAAGTAAATTAAAAAGAAAAAGAAATTAAAAATACCCTGCGCGAATTGCACGGCTGAAAACAATGACATCAGCACCTAGCCGCATGGTACTTGTCTTGAATCCATTACCATCTGAAATGTAAAAGCTGTCAGACGGCAAGATGAACAAAAACATGCAAACGCTTGCAAATATTTCTTTAGCATAAACAAAACAAAGTCTAAAACCTAGCTATACATGCAACTCCTTGAAAAATAGTCCAACAAAAATGACATCGTTGAAAATAAACATACAGAATCACATAACTGTGCAAATGATAAACTGACAAATCAAGCCAACAGCTAGTGAAACAAGAAGATCGGTATAATTACATTGCCCAATAGTCGTGTTTGCCTTCTTAGTAGAATAACCCAAGCTCATGCATTTGCGCATACCTTCAGGATCCATTCCCCCACCATCATCTGCACAGAAAGCGTCACCATTTGCAATTTTTCTTTACTGTTTAAGAAATCACATATCAACCACAAATTAATAAACTTAACAATTGAAGCCATACCTTGGAAAAGTAAGGCTGGGGAGTTATCTTTCACAACATCAATTTTATCAACTCTCACAAAAGTTGCACCATTTTGTACCTTTATTAAGGTAGAGAAAAAAAGAAGAAGGATTTAATGTCTTACTTTCCTTTTTCTTCACTTTTGGGTGCATAAACACATATAGAAAGGCATAACACCATAAGCTAAAGCTCACCTCATCAACAGCATTGTCCAATAGCTCAGCAATGGCTGCAAACAAAAAACAAATAAGCAGAACGAAAATTGACTGAATTAGTTGAAAATTAGGAAGAAACCCAATTTCGCTAAACATGTAAAGAGGAAGAAGAGCTTACCGCCAAAAGCCCATTTATGCGAAGTAGCATTAGAATGAAGAAACTTGGGATGGACCCGGGCATGCTCCAGCTGCCCTTGGGAAATATAGGGCCTGGCAGTGGGTCCCACGGCATAGTCGCCGGCTTTCCAGAAACTACGAGAGTCTAGGGTTTGACAGTTGGGAGCCAAGGGCTGTTGCTGCGGTTGAGATGTGGCTTGCGGCGGTGCTCCGGTCGACGAGGCATTGTTGTTCTGGTTCGGTGCTCCGACTCCGGCACCGTTATCGTCGTCGCTGTCTAGCTCCACGACAGGGATGGCTTCCTTCTCTCTTTTAGGCGCCATTTCGAAGGCTCTCGCGTTCACAGTAGAGTAGCTTCACTTCTTTTTTTGGCATGCTCCTCCTCTTAGGACAAAACGCACCGTTTTGGAGGCGAAAGAGGGTAGGTTGGGCTTGGGCCTGTTGGTGAGTGCCATACTTACTAACCCACTAACCAAACATACCAAAAACACGCATTGTCTGATTTGGTTTGAAGCTTGAAGCATCTCTGGGTGCTGCTGGGCTCATTTTCTTGACGACAATTCCATTGCCCTTCAAAGGTACTCTGCTTCTCTTCCTCTGTCTCTACGATTTGTGTTGTGATACTCTTTTTGCTTTTAGCTACGGTTTCTTCAACCCCTGAAGTTTTCCTGACAGTTTCTCTTATTGGGTATCTAATTTAGGGTAAAAGCAAAACATGTAGGCAGTTGGGTGATGCCTCAAAGTATTTTTATGGTTGAATTGGAGTTAATAAATGCTAATCGGTGTTCTTTAGTACAGTTAAGATGAACGCTTGAGCTTAATTAGATGTTCCTTGATGGTCATCTCTTTTCTCATATGTATTTCTGAATTAGGCTGACATTTGCATATTGGTGACCCAACAAATGTGGATGCTCAATTGTGTGTGTGTGTGTATTGCCGAGTGGTTGAGCAAGAGGAACTCAATGAATCCTTGATTTCCAAAACTAGATGATTATAGCAGACCAGTATAAGGAACAGTTGACTAGCTTCTGACTTTATGTTTGCTCCCCAAATACATAAATATTTTTTTGAACATTTTTGTGATATGGTGAAGAAATTTCTTTTGGATCTTATCTTTATGATAGTAGGCGATTTGTAAACCTACGAAGATATTATGGCATTACCGTGTCCCATAACCTTATTGGAATAATGGAAAATCTCTTTTTTTAACAAGAGGAGTTAATTGTAAGAGTTATCTTTGACCCCATGCCATTTTACATAGGAGAAAATAGATGACTACAATTTGATGATGGGGCAATCTCTACTGTTAATGATTTTTTTATAATAGCTTTACCCGAATTTAATTAGAGTTCGTAATGTGTCATAATATTTGGTTGCAATCTGTTTGCTGATCTGCTGAAATATGCTGCTTGTTGGAAAATATTGTGTTCTGTTTGGGAAAGAAAGCATTTCTTTTTATCTTTTGGACAATGCATTTGTAAATTCTCTGTGTAAGTGAACTTGGTGCCTTTTATTTTGGAAGCACCTTTGCATTCCGAGCCAGATTTATGAAAAGTATATAATGTTCTTGAGGCAACTCAGCAGCTTCCAATTTTGGCAATGGAAACAAGTGCAAGCCCTGAGCACAACTTGATGATCGATGGAAGTGCTTCGCCAACTCTGCAAATTGACCCTAGAAGAGCCCGGTTTCCATGCTGCATTGTGTGGACACCCCTTCCTGTTATTTCATGGTTGATTCCTTTCATTGGCCACATTGGCATATGCAGAGAAGATGGTGTGATTTTGGACTTTGCTGGGCCCAATTTTGTGTGTGTGGATAACTTTGCTTTCGGAGCAGCGACTCGCTACATCCAAATAAGCAAAGAAAAGGTATATGCACTCTTCATATCTGAAACCTGATTTTGGCTCCTATGTAATTACCTTTTATAAATCTGTTGCCATTACTGGAGAAGTGTGCAATTACTATAACCCTGCTTCATGAGCAGGGACATGCCTATATACCTTGATTTGGTGCAATGAGTAGATGGGAGCTGCTCCCTTAGTCCAACATTTTCATTTATGTGTTAACCTGCTATTCCTGTCTTAATTTGTGTTCATTAAAATTTTGACAAGCAGTGTCACTCTATTCCCAATCCATCTGTGTGTCAAAGCGAGGATCAATACGGGCAGGATGAACCTGGAAGAGACATAATGACATGGGATGATGCACTTCGGAAGGGCACGCAGGAATTCCAACACCGATCTTATAATATTCTTACCTGCAATTGCCACTCCTTTGTAGCCAACAACCTAAACAGGTTAGGCTTTCGTTCTGGTGGGTGGAATGTGGTGAACCTTGCAGCTCTGATCTTCCTCAAGGGTAAATGGGTGAGCACGGCATCCATGGTGCGGTCCTTTTTACCATTTTTAATAGCATTCGGTCTTGGAGTTGTATTTGCAGGTTCAACCTTCCTAACTTACTTAGGATTCTTCACGGCCTTTCTTGTTGGATGGTTTCTTCTTGGTACTTACTGTTTCAAGAGTTTGATCCATTTGTAAGATTTCTGTTATTTGAAGTCAGTCATACAGAAACCTTGTTTTTAGAGACGTGTGATTCATGTGTATACAACAGTGGCATTTGCCAGCTACTCTGGACATTTTAAATAGCCCCTGATCTTTCCTGTTAATTTCTAAGTGTTTGTTTCCTCCTAAGAAGGCATGTGATCCAAGAATTGAATGCTGTTCCAATTTTAAACTTTATAGTTTCTTCTTTTATGTTGGTTTCTTGGATTTAAACTCTGCTTTGGTCTCTCCGACAGATCGAAAGCTTCTGTTACTACGTTTACGTTTATTGGCATTCTCATTATTTCTTAAATAATTAGTCAATTAACAAGTAGGAGAATTAAGATTTGAATTCCATTAGCAAGTCTCCAATGAATCAAACGCGCATTCGGACCTGACAACATTAAAACTCATGGTTGGTACGATAAACACTATTTACAAATTGGGAGATTCACTATCATACCCAATATTTTGCCGAATTTATATACCATAAATAATATGGATTCTACTAATAAAACATAGCAATCTTAATGGCGTGCGCAACAAATCAAGATTGGATTCTAGACATAAAAGGTTAACCAATTAGCCCTTTACTACAAAATTAAACGAATTTTTTTTAAAAATTATATGAGAGAATTTGATTCGATTGAATTAAATTAAACCATTATTACTTTGCTTGTTACCTTACAAGGAATCCAACAATTAACTTATCCTAATCCAAGCTCATTACTCCATCCTTCACCGCATGATTTCACCCCAAAGGCACTAAATCATTAGTATGTCCTCCGACAACAATGATGGAGTCACACGTGGGCTTGAGGATTGCCCTACCCTACAATGCGACAATAAGAACATAACTTGTTCCTTTTTCCACCTTCATTCAAATGACTCTAGACCTGTCCAAATTACATAGCAATGAAATGAAATGAATCTAGAGATATACCAACACATCAAGCACAATCAAATCACATGCTATATTAGGTGACCATCATACCTTGTTTGTCCGAGTATACCTAACCGGATGCCCTTGATTCTTGCAAGTCAACAGTCGAAGTCTACTCTATCAACGGTTATGATTTAAAGATCCACGGATCATATTGTGGGCTAGGGCACAATACGTCCTTCTAACAGCAGCGCTACATGACGCTCGCATTAGCGTACGTCCATTTACGTTGCATGGGAATCTCCTTTTATACACCGTCCTTATCGATCGTGGCACATTCGTAATTAAACCGAATACTAAGGCCAATTCGGCAGTGACAAACAACTGCGGTTTTTCCTTTTCTTATTTAAGCCAGTGAGAGAGTCCGAAACCAACATATAAAAATAACAAAAAGCGGACGCGTTTATTCTGTGTGGTATTTTCTGTTTGTTTCTTAAGAAAATTGTAGAGAGAGAGAAAATAATGGCAGCAGAGGAGGGACAAGTTGTCAGTTGCCATACTCTCGATGCATGGAACGAGCAGCTCCAGAAGGGCAACGATTCCAAGAAGCTGGTATTTTATTCAATTGCTCACACCCAAAAAAAAAACAATTTTTTTCATATATATATATATATTTGGTTTGCTGTTTCTGGTTGTGGGTGATTGGGTTAAATACTTTTAATGAATCTGATTAATGGGTTTTGTTTGGTTTATTTTTTCGTATGAAAAAGAAAAAGATTTGGTTGGTTTTCGCTTGGTCTAGATTTATGTACAAAGCGTAAAGATTTGGTTTGGTATGCTTCATAATCCATGCATGAATGAATTAGCCTGATTGCTGCTGTACCGTAGGCAAAGAGGTTCTGTTTGTTTGAATTTGGAATTTTCTTTTGGATTTTGGTGATTCTTCCATGGAAATTATGAAGCCCTTGGCTGGATTCGTTCTGGGAAAACATGTTGGTGAAAGCTGTTTAATAAATTGGCTTCGTTCATTTAGCATTTTGTTCAAATTCAATCGTCTTTTGTTTCCTTTGTTAAAAGTAATATGGAACCTCTTGTTAAGTTTTGTTCGACTCCACTCCACCCTTTAGTGTGTCCTTTATTTGATCATATAACAAGTTCTTAGGAGAAACACTTACATGAAACAAGATAGCTTTGCTGTTTCCGGGTAATCACGGTATGCGATGCGTGATAACTTTTTTACATGACATATAATAACAAAACAGTGTTATTCCCATTTTATAAAAAAATTTCTGAGTTAGTAGACGCACAACTTTTCTTTTAGCTTTTTTATTATCTGGAGGAAACGAACAGCCAAGGGGCATATGTGCATATGTGTTCATTCTTCAATGTTAAAAGAATATTCCAGCTCAAAGATTATATTTTCCTACGACGTTTATTGCGTTTGCTACGTTTGTAAATCTAAGAATCCTAGGTTGAAAACGACTTCTTTGTGCTCCTTATCTTGATAAGGGTATATTGGTGGAACTACATCATGTTGTCCCTCTGACTTAAAGTCGTTCTCTGTTTTTTATTTTGACCCTCCTGTTACTTTTTCATTTTGGTACCGACAAATGCCTCTTGTACCGTCGAGTTTCTTTATGAAGCACTTTTACTTATAAGTGCTTTTATTATAAAAACGTTGAAATTTTCATAAAAAATCAAAGCACATAGCAAATACTTTTCTAAAAAGTAAAGCACTTTTAAATTTTTCTGTCAAAGGCTGTCAAAAGTGTTTTTTATTACCAGAAAGTATTTTAAGCCCTTACAAAAACACTCCTAAACATGTTATATGTTGAACTCAAAATATTTTCCTTGTCAAAGTAGCAGATGTGCCACTAGGACTAGGCTTCAAGGGGCCATGGTGTAGTCATAAAAAACTAGTCATGATGGGACAAGGTATATATTATATATATGCATGCGCATCAGTAAGTAATGGAGGGATAAGGTTTTTGTTTTACTATTCACATTTTTCTCACAGTAAAGTTGTATTGTATTCTTTTACTTCTCTCTCGTGTTCTGAGATCATCAATCAAATGCAGATGGTCATTGATTTCACTGCTTCATGGTGTGGACCATGCCGCTTCATCGCACCATTCCTGGCAGAGTTGGCTAAGAACTGCCAAATGTCATATTCGTAAAGGTTGATGTGGATGAGTTGAAGGTAACATGCAAAAATAAAGTGAAAATCTCTCCTCCTAAAAGTAAAACTTATTTTAGTTTAAACTCATTGGCAAGTTAATTTTTGTTGTTTTTTTGGTTGGTAGTCTGTGGCTCAAGACTGGGCCGTAGAGGCAATGCCAACCTTCATGTTCCTGAAAGAAGGGAAGATAGTGGACAAAGTGGTGGGAGCAAAGAAAGACGAGCTGCAGCAGACTATAGCAAAGCACGTTGCTTCTGCTTCTGCTTCTGCCTGATAACTTATGATATAATTTGCATTATATGCCTACTTATCTTAGACTATATATATAGCAAAAGCACATGGCCACAGACCTTATGATGCGCTATCAATGTAGACTTTTATTTTAAGTTATAGCCCCTTTCACTTGTTCTAAGTCTTGTGTGTGGTATTTTTATATGGTATTGCTACATAAATACAGTTCTATTCAGCTCATTTCATGGTTTATGGTTGCATTTTATGCAAATCTATGAAGTTAGCAGATGACATGCTAGTTTGGCATATTGTGAAAATTCCGTATAGGTGCAGTAGGTAAGTCCATAACTTGAGAGGGACCTAGGATGCATGAGTATATGCTCTTGACCACTTGAGCTACAGACCCTTTGCCAATTTGCGAGTCTGGTGTGTTTTTACTTTTACTGTTGAAGGTACTATCATCAAGTCGTAAATCATGGGAGATTATTTGCTTTTTTTACTTTGCCTTTGATAGAGGATTTAAAGAATATGCCATCAGAGACAAAGCCGAAGTAACACAATGAAATGGACAGCACAAATCTCTCACTTTTCTTCTCATTCCTGAACTGCACAGTAAACAAATGGTCATACTAGGATCCACTCCCAACATGAACCTTAAATACCTAATTAGTTCTGGGGCATCCCTTTTCCCCAACAACAGATGAACAGTAAATCATTCAACAGAAAAACACATCACTTCCCAGTGCCCATATATCCCGTTAAAAGGCCGGGGACCGGGGCTTGACCCCTAGGGACCAAATTATAGGACCCCAGGTTTCCTACCAACTCACCTAAGTAACAAGTTCACTACTTTACATAACTTCATTAAGCTCACTTAAATTAACAGCTAATTGCCTTTTGGCTCCAAACATAGCTACTACTCTTCATCAGAAAGAAAAAAAACTATGGCACTCCACCTATCGCTGTACTTGAACTCTTATTCTTCTTTGCTTGCCTCTCTTGCTGTGGTGTATAATTATGGGATTAGGTGCAACAATTATGGTATGTTATTTCACACTTTCACTAACCCCTCGAATTGGGTTCCACGGTCGTTGAAGCTATGGGAGCACAAACAGCTTCAACTGACAGCCGCTTCAACACCTTCGGACATGGATCTCCGAAGTTGCTGTTGGATATGGTGACTGCACATCTCTGCTTCCCTATGCACTTCTGTGATCACAAAAGGTAAAAAAGATAGAACACAGTTAAAAAGGAGAGGGTAAGAATACTAGCACACTATGAAAACCAGAAAGCATTGTTAAGCACCTTCTGTAATACAGAATATGATGTGGTGGCATGGCAAGTTCCTTCTTGGTAGTTCCCACAGGTTCCCAAGGGTGTGCCGAAGCTAGCGAATTTAATGGAAGAGATAGCCTGGCCTGGGTTACACCGTAAATGCACCTTGGGACTCTGGAAGTCTTCTGCTTTTCCATAGCTTTCAATGTGCCAATTTTTTATTGTTGGGTGGTATTCGGCGACCTCAGCACAAACACTGCTCACTGATCTCTTTACTAGAGAAATTCTTGAGGGATCCCCTCCAAGTTCCTCAAAAATCACCAAAAGATTTTGCATTGGTTTTAACCAAGACCGAGGCACATGGTACCTGAAAATGAAATCCATGTGAAATTGAAGAGGAGAATTTGTTTGCTGAGTAAAGCCACGAAATGTTTATGCCATACTTTCATACTACAATTCATGTTATAAATTTCATCATAGGGTTACTTACACTCGTTGTGTGGGTTGGCCACAACCCACTTGACACTTTGGAGGCCTAAACCCTCCAGCATAACTGCAACCATTGCAATTACCATTAGCAAATGCAGTCCAGTATCTCCCAATACTCTGCCCATTGATCCATATTTGGCCCTTTCCCATTCCTTCCATGTCCAAAGCCAATGGCTCATCCCCTTCAGGTGCATTGAAAAGAGTCTGCAAAGTTGAGTGAGGGAGTTTTAATAATTCAATTCCCTTATTTTCCATTACAACATTGAGTTCAATTTCCTTTGTGGCCTACCTTGTGCCAAGTCAATGGCTGCTGTTTTTGTGCGGCTAATGATCCACGCATCCAATCAACAGAGGAAATAGAATTTGGAGATACAAGATTCATGGCTTCTCCTTTCAGTCCAACCTGTTAAAGTACCAGGGATAAGGGAAAACGTTCCTTTGAATATAAATAAAAAAATTTGATTTCTAAAGTAAGATCGCTTACCTGGTAGGTCCACTTCTGCCATGACAAGTCCCATTTTCCCTGGTCTAGTCCATGAAGTGCAACTGGGCCAAGGATTCCAGTATTCCATGCCTCAAAGTGGCCCCCCACATTCTTCAACAAAAACAATAACTTTAAGTCAGGAAGTAAAGAAGGAAAACAAGAAGAAACCTCACTGCCAAAAGTCAGGTTTTGTAGAATATTAATGAGGTTTTCACATCTCACATTCACTATTAAGGATTTGCGGATCCCTTTCACTAGACCACAAAGAGTACTTTGATTGGTCCTTACAAATTACAATATCTTCTCTGTTTTGACCATTGTTCTTGGGGGATAATTCCCCCAATACTACAATAGCCTGAAGCCAATTTTAATCTAAGGTTTGAGCTGACATGCTTCTATGAGGTTAACTGTTCATTCATTTCATGACTGCAAAACAGATTCCTCTTTCTTTTCTACTAGGTTCGCTATTACTCAATATAGAATATGAAAAATTAATAATCGAGGGCAATGGAACTAACTGGTAATCCAACAGCTACACTCAGCAGTGCGATTCTGTTTGTTCCTGCATGTAGATTGACCTTGCCAGTATATGTGAACCTCCTACTCTCCCTTGTTCCGAAGGAAGAACCTGTAATAATACTTGTTAAATTTTTTACTACTAATCAGCTAGGGGATATCCATGCAATAAAAAATGTACCTGAAAGCTGTCCATTAATGAAGATGTGCACAGCATGGCCTGTTGATTGAACAATAAGGGTCGGGAGTTCCCCTCCACGCAGGAAGGACTCAGATGAGCCAATATCAACACTGCAGGCACATTGAAACAAATACGATGCTTTAATATCTATCTTTCAGGTCTTTCTAAAGCTCTCACATCCTCACTTAATGTTTTTTTCCCTATCTGGTCACAGAGTCAGGATATCACTGAAGGCATATGTAACACTGTCCTGAGGCATATTTGATTGTTGCCTGTGTCTTATTTCAAATTGCATATTAGGTACTTGCCATAGACCAAGATGGTCAAATCGGAACATTCTTTTGAAAGGCTTTCTAAGAATTCATTGCTAAAGCTTTCTTCTGTGAGTTAGAAATACTTCTGAGAAAAACAGACCAACCGTGTTGAAATCATGAGATGGTGATAAACAAAAGAGTTGAGCTTAGGAAATTCTCACCTCGTTTTGTACCACAGGTAATCAGTACTATCCCTCGTGACATTTATCTGTTCCAAGAGACCAGGAGCGGTGATTGTTGAGCTGTCATCCAGAGAAGTAATATCTTCATCATAACTCTCCCATGATAGCATCTGAATATTTGTTGGCAACATTTCCATTTGTGATGTTTGAACTCCAACCTGAGGAGAAGGAACAACAAATGACTTCATCTTAAAAACTTTAAAACCTTTCAATGTTACAAGAAAATGAAACAAAGGAAATAAAGATTTGTGTTCCTGAAAGTGGTCACAGATTCTGCCCGAATACACATATCACAGTCCAGAATTAATACCTTCGCAGTGTTAAAGACTACATTTCTGCAATCAGGAAGGATACTGATGGACCAAGGAGGCAGGTTGTAGTGCATGTTATTAAACATCACTCTTGCAGCTGACTTGGAATCGTGGTTTGAAAGAAATGCTGAACAATCTCCTGATTCTGAAGTGTATACATAAGCCTGAAAATGCCAAAAGATACCTAGAGTTTAGCAAACAAGAATAACTTATGAAAATACAAAAGGCTGGTTTGAGAAAGAGATGAAAACCTGTTGAAAATTCCCCAGTGAAGTGATGATAGGATCGGCTGAAACTAAAGCACGTTCACACATCTTAATAGCCCTATGAAGCTCCTTTAGATGACCGTACTTTGGTTGCCTGATTAAACCTATCAAGTTTTAGGGTTGAGCAGTTAGCTATATCATCAAAAGTTCAAAACTTACATGCAGTGAACTGGTATATCATTACACACACAGATATCAGCTTGCTTAAGCAATTACTAGCAAAACTCATAATTTTGTGGTTGTAATATTTGAGATAGACTGATGGATGCTGAACATCTGTGCATGTTCAGATCATCAGATACACCTAAAAGAATGCAACCCAGTAACCCATTTAACTCATTATTTTGTGGTTGACACCTCTCTCTCTCTCTCTCTCCACATAATAAATCAAGTGGAACTCATGTCACTCCTTGGAAAGAAAGCTTGTAAGTTTTGGTTCTTACCATATTCATCTAATGGAGCATCATAGTCATAGCTGGTAGTGATGAAAGGGCCCCCCGCTGTGCGTCCAAAATTAGTACCCCCGTGGTACTGTTTCACAATGAAACACAGGGATTCAGTTTTATATAGGTTTTAAAATTTCACATCCGTAGCATCAAAATAGAAGTTAAAGGAAACTGACCATGTAATAATTAACAAATGATCCTCCTTTCTGTATGAATCTAGCAACTGCATATGCTAAATCCTGAACTGGTCGTTGGTGAATCGGACCGCCAAACTCCGAAAACCTTCACATTTTTGTTGAAGGAATGAGTGAAAAGGATGTATTTTCATTTGTAGCAAATTAACAAACAAACATAATAAACATACCAAGCAAACAAGCATAGTAAACATACCAGCCACTCCAAGCCTCTGTCCAAATCGTAGGCTTGTAGGGTTTGTTGGGAGCAAAAGAATCACAGTAGAAACCGTTACATGTGTTTATCTGCCACCATCATGCACAAAACATTTCAGTGACCTCTTCGCAAAAGATGGAATGAAACTAGAACAGATCTCTTTAATAAAGAGTGACGACACAAGTCACGTAACTCTTTTTCTCTTTTTTTCTTTTTTTGTTCAAACAAGTCACACAACTCTTTTAAGAACTCAAGAATCAGTAACCCATTGCAGGAATGTTAACTAAAGGGAAAATGCAGAACAAAACAAGCTAAGATCTGCAGCACAAATAGTTTTAATTGCTCACCACTGGATCTGGAGCATCTTCTTCCTTGCACATCACCCACGGCACCCCAGTTCCCAACCCAACAGCCATATTTGCTGCCCAAGTCATGTAATTATGGCCAGCCGCTCCAAATAACTTACTCTGTGCTCCGTACTCATTCTCAATCTGAACCAAAGGAAAAATATTAACAGATTTCCTTATAACTTGACTCAAAATAGTTTAATTTACTGCCAAAAATGAAATCATAGAGCAAAATGGAAAATCCAAAAGGCTCATATACCTGAGAGAGAATGATGGGGCCACCTTGGGATTCAAACAATTTTTCACTCTTCATCAGTCCCACAATCTTTTCGGTGAACCCTTGCATTGCCCTCTGCAACACCAGAAGTTGTACATTATAAAATTATACTGAATATATCCCAGCAAGCTCCCTAAATTCTTCTTAGACACGTTATACAACATAATTAAGAAGATACAGTAAGGAAGATTAACCTTGAAAGGCTCATTGTCCGTTCTGAAGCTGATGCCCGGAACATACTTCAACCAAACGGGAAACCCCCTAAAAGTCAGTCTCAGAAAAGTTAGAAAATTTGTGTCAAAAAAGAAAAAGAAAAAAGTGAAAATCCTCAAATGCAAAACAAGAGCCAAGATAGTTAGATCGAGAAACAAAAAAATGAGAGAGGGAGTACCCAAAATTCCACTCAGCACAAACATAAGGCCCAATGCGAAGGTGAGCATAGAGCCCTGCTTTCTGTATGGTCTTGAGGAATCTCACCAGATCGTACCTCCCTTCAAAATTGTACTGAAACCCAGCACAAACACAGCAACATGCATGATTAGAAAAGAAACTAAAAGGCAAACAGAGCAAAACAAAGTAGAAAATTTTGAATGTAAAATGAAAAGAGTAAGTGAAGAGTACATTGCCGGGAGAAGGCTCATGCACATTCCAGAATACATAGGTTTCAACCACATCAAGGCCTCCATCTTTTGCCTTCTGTATCAGATCTTCCCACATCTAAACAACCCACAAAAAGAACAGAGGTAAAGAAGCACAATTTTATGAAACAATTGTTAAAATGGAAGACAAGTGAAATGGCACAATGGGAAAGATTTGGGTACCTCAGGAGTGCTTCTGGGATAATGTATTGAACCAGAAATGAGGATTCTTCTTTGCCCATTAATCACAATGGCCCTCCTATCGTAGGTGACAGTACATTGGACAAGCTGAAACCCCAAGAAGCAAACCAAGCCCAGGAACAAGCACAACTTGGAAACTGAGTTGGTTTCCATGTTTTGCCTTTTCTCTCCGTCTCTCTATCAACTCAAATGGTAGACAGAACTCAAAGCAGAGAATGAATTGTGAAATGTACAGAGAGAGAAAGAGCAAGAGCAGCTAAGAGTGTGGTGAAGCAGCAAGACGAGCAGCAACAAGATCCATTCACTTCTTTGGTGTCCACACTCACAGGCCTGAGACTCTGAACTGAGCTATATAATATATGTATATATATATATAAATTTGGTCACAGAATAAGATAGGAATAAGATAGGAAAATACAGAATTGTATTTATGATTTTTTGTGAATAAATAAGGTAGAGTTACACATGGACCTCTTTACCAACTTTGGGTTAAGCGTTTGGTTTGGAGTGAACCTGTATTTATTACTTGTATAACAGATACAGACAGCTTGCACTCCTTCACAGTTCACAAATCACCACAAGTGTCCAGGCTCATCTCTGCGTGGCTTCAGGCTACAAATGGAGTGGAATTATAACTTGTCAAACAAGCGCAAAAAGGAAAAAGGCAAAGGTAAATGTAGCGAGCTTCGCATATATGGGATTAGTTAAGTTCGCTAAAGCGGATATATTTTTCACCCTTCACTCGAGTTCAAATATCTCTCTTTGTAGTTTAGATTTGAGCTTATGAAGAATGATAATTGCCTATTTCATATGTGAAGCATCTAAATTATACAAGTTCTGGATATAAAATTAAATTGCTAATTGCTGATAAAAGTTGGTGGAGGTAATCAAGGCTTGATAGAGAGTGTATAGAATTATTCAGATGGAGAAAATTAGGGACAATTAACACTTGGTAATTAATACTGTTGACTTATAAACTAGAACAATAAAGCACCGATCTCTATTGTTATTTTTAATTAAGCAGCCAATTAGTTAGGCCATGTTTGGCAGTAAAAAGGTTTTGACCAGCCAATGTGGCTATGACCAAAGGGCATTATTGTCATTTATCAAGCTGTAATAAGACAGAAAAGGGACACGACCCACAGTAGTCTGGCATTTTCCATTGCCATTGCCATGTGAACCCCAAAACCCTTTCGGTTTCTTTTGCGTCATGCGTGAACCAGAAACTCCCATAGTCCCTCTCAAGCTCAACCCAAAACCCCATCCTCCACATATTTTGTCACTTTTCTTCCTTCACATTGACACCAACCCAAACCCCACCACCCTTTCTGTCCTAAATTTAGTCTCTCTCTCTCTCCTCTCACAGCACAGAAGCACCCAGTAGATCTCTTATCTCTGTCGTGGAAGATCACAAAGACTATCTGTCATTCAAGTCACAAAGCAACCCTCCCTCCTTATTTTATTTCTGTGATCTTATTTATTATAGTGGTATAGTTCCAATTTATTGTAGTTATATGATAATTCTCTTTTGACCCAAGCATCTATGTTACTCATAATTTATTATAGACTTGTGACGAATTCTATTATTCCAGTACGTATTGGGAATATTATATTGTTATGCAACAGAGCTCACATCTAGTGACACCTTCTGGTCAAACTTACCATATCTTTACAATATTCCTTCTTGTATTTTTTCATGCCACTACCATTACAAAGCTTTGTTGAGAGTATAAATCCCACGTTTGCAGGGCCGGAGCTAGAGATGGATTGAGAAGTTTAAATATCTGAAGTTAGGAGCAATTAGATGAACTTTTGTTTTTAAATTGTCCAGAAATGCTACAAATAGAGTACATAAAGTTACATGTACGTTGGTGAACGGGGGTTATACCAACTATATCATTTTCCATGCTTACTGCTATGAATTCAATAGGGGGGGAACATTTTGTAGTTAGGGTAATTGTCACAAATTGACCCTTAATTAGGGTTAAGAATAAATACTTTCACAAAACGGGAATAGTATTGTTTTGTTATTCCCGATCAATAACGTCATGATATGCATAATAATTTTTTCACATATTATAACATTATTAGCCGATATAGAAAAATAACATTATTCCCGTTGAAACCAAAATTTTCTCATAGCTAAGAGAGAAACACGATTTTGACAACGAGAGTTTGGCAGCGGAAGATTGCTATTTGCTTGCCTAAATGTCCCATCAAAATTTGGCGCCACTTCAAGCATATTGTTTCTTGATTAGCGGAAAAAAGATTGGTGACCTGATTATTTTATAAATAAAATTCTTAATTAATATAAAGCCGTTGCAGCTTTCTCTTTGTTAATAGGACGACATGTACTAGTATGGGATACCAAAATCATCAAAAGCGCCTGCTTTCGTTTTTAGATCATTATTAAAAATAGATTATGATTATAATAATCACATCTCTCATGTGCTCTTTAATTATAGTAAATTAAATCCGTTGTGTTGAGTTGAGAGTCAACAGGGTTGGTCATGATCTAAGTGTTGATCATCTGTCCCTCCCTTCATATGGTCCCCATGTGCCATGCCTTGTTCAGTAGCCTGGCTAATCAACCATTTAATTGACCAAAAATAAAATCAACCAATTAGCAGGAAGCTTCTCTGATCTTTCTTTACCCATGTTCCTTCCTTCTTTAGCTTTTTGTTCTCTCTCTCTCTCTCTCTCTCTCTCTCTCTCTCTCCTGAACTAGCATAGCATTCATAGGCGTGAACAACGGACAGAATTGAAGTGAATTCATGGGAACCCTAGGACAGCGGGGCCTTCGTCGCACTCACCTCCAATTAGGTCATCTAGATAAATACAACTTTCAAGGCTTCAACTAATAACTTGTGGGGGATCGATTGTGTCGACACCCGAAGGGTGCAATGCCAATATTCAATCCTAGCTGGCTTTGGGATCAATCCATGGCCATATGTGGTGGATCCCTAGCTATCCAAGCTGGTACAAGATCCGAGCACAACTCAAACGGCATTTTGTTACTTTCGACAATGCTAACTGTTTTTACTACATTATTTTAAACCACATTCCAAATCGAATTATGAATAATTATCGGACTCAACCAAAGGTGCATGCCTTAACCTTTCTGACAAAATAAAATTCGAGCTTATGGTAAGTAACCAGTGTGGACAGCTTTATTATGTTGTAATATTGTTTCATAATTGTTATATATAAGTATAAATTATTTCCTGAAATAAAATAATTAATGAATTGCAAGTGAATATATCAATATGGCCAGTGGCAAGGAATTATATATATAAATTCTCCTATGGAAAAAATATCGGGGTGATATTATCATGTCAACATCATATATGTTTGCCAGGAACATATTGGTGGGTCTTTTGTGAGTTGCCCTAGTAAAATGGGGATCACTACACAACTAACATCTTTCTCCCTATGACTTTGATTAAAGTAATAATTGAAAGCCACTTTGGTGAGCACTTTTTCATGTCAAAGTATAAGGGCAGGCACCACTAAAGACGCAAATTCAGGTTATTTTCATATTAAAATTCACACAGAAAATGCCAACCGACAATATTCCGGGTGTTTTTATTAGCATAAACTAGGTCCAAAACCCAATAACACAAGAAAGCAGTCCAATATTCCCCTTATCACTATCTTCATTATTATTATTATTATTATTATTTAAAGCGACAATCTAAACTACAGTGAGGGAAATTTTTCATACACACACAACTATGATTCTATGAGGATTCGAACATGAGACCTTTGGTCTACAAAGCAAGAACATTTTCCACTAAATTAAACCCTGTTAACATCACTATCTTCATTATTAATTGTATAGCATAACAACTTTTGTAGGTGTATTACTTAATTTAATCTTGCACAGTATACATGTATTCAATCTCTTTTTTCTCTTCGTACCAAATAGTTTTTTTTTCCCTTCATACATACAGCTAATTAATGAACAAAAATCTCACCACTAATCACCTAAAGCATATACACATCGATCTCCCTCTCTTACAACAAAAAATAATTAGGGTATTTTAATTTTTATCAGTAGAAGAAAATGAAAGCACATTTGTCATAAGCTCTTATGAAAAATCACATCAACGAGTCAAATAATATTAATGGAAGGAAACACGTGGCACAGATTAAGGACATGTGCAGTGTTCTGATATATTAAGGGCAGGTGCCGCCGTACAACAGCCGAGCGACGGCGGGTACGTGGTGACGTGGCCGGTTGATGGTCCATATATATATGGAAGAAGGTGTGGGGTCTAAAGTGTAGTGGTTGGTGTGGGTCCATACGACGTCGATGCACGTGCTGTGCATTATTATTTGCCTTGGGGTTTCTCAAATTAACTGCGCGTCGTTTGTTGCACCCTTACCCACCAATATTATTATCGAGAATTTGAGATTAATTAGATGGCGTGAGGGGATTGGCTGGAGACTCATGATCCTCCTTCTGTTAACGTCGGTGGAAACGACGCCGTTATCGTTAAGCCACATTTGGGGATATTCTCTCTGTTTTTGCTTTCCCTACGCACCACCGGTTAGATTCTGTGTGTTGTAAGGAATTGATTGAGTATGCAATGGAGAACATGAATGCTATTGGTTATTTAAGCAGAGGAATCATGTCATGGGAACTGAGATCGCATCTTGGTGTGTGTCCAAAGATAACGGGAGAGTAAGATGATGTGATAACATGAGAAGAATATTTGGATGTCACCCTCTAACTGTTCTTACTAATTCACGTATTATAATATAAATAAATAATAATATTGATTTGTCATACATTTTGATAACCTCACTAGGCAATATGATCGTTGTACCAATAAATTATTTGTAAGATAAGAGGATTTATGTTGGATGCAATTGCTAATTAAAATGCTATGTATGCCACCATGTGGTTGGATTAGGCTTATCTCAAGTGCATTATTAACTTCAAAATTATATTAAGGGTTTTTCACAACAATGGTCCCTCAACTATACCCGTAGTTGCATTTGGGTCACTGAATTCAATTATTAGTTGCAGAGGTCACTCAATTAGCTGTTGTGTTGCATCATTAGTCCTTCTGTCAAACTCTGTTAAATTTTCTGTCAAAAGTGAGGGAAAAATCTGAAATTCATCAATAATCCTCCCCTTCATCCACAACCCTCCATTCTCGCAACCCAATCATTGCTTCTCCTCCCTTGTACCAAAATCTAGACAGAAAAAGGAAAAGAGAAAGACAACTCGATTGGGTATCACATATATAAGAGGAAAGAGGTTTCCTAAGAGAGAGAGAGAGAGAGAGAGAGAGAGAGAGCAGTGAAGGGTTCTCTCTGGGTTTCTTTTGTTTTTTCCATTACAAATCTGAAACAGGTTGGGATTTTTATTTTACGATTTAAGATTGAAAAATCTAAGCTCTAAAGCTCAAATTTGGTGTAATTTTTTTCACTAGGAAACTCAAGAACAATCTTTAGCCTGGTGGAAATGGAGAAAATACTGGTTTTTGAAGATCGGAGATTCTGAGAGAGAGACATTTTTTTTCTTTCCGTGAATTTGATCGCACCGATCATGCCTTTCCCAATGAAAATCCCACCAATCGATTTTCGCATGAGTCGTGAAGACGCAACCAGGTTCGAGGCGGTCAAGCCGGTGGCTAAGTCTCGGCTCAAGCGTCCATTCATAAACGTATTGAGAAGCTTCGCTGCGGTGGAATTGGCATCGAGGAGCCGTATTTCAACAAGGACGGCTTCGACGACGGCAGTGGGTCGGGCGAGTTCGAGCTGAGCTCGCTGTGCTTGGTGAATATGGTCCAGAGTTTCATGGAGGAGAGCAACGAGAAGAAATCGGATGTGGGGCGGTGCAGCCTGAACCGCTGCAACTATTTTAACGGACACTGCAACGACAGCTCCAAAGACGAATTGGAGGTGTTTGGCTAGATTTTCCTTTTTCTGCCCATATTTTGGTACAAGGGAGGAGAAGTAAGGATTGGGTTGCAATAATGGAGGGTTGTGGATGAAGAGATGGTTATTGATGAATTTTCAAATTTACCTTCACTTTTGACAAAAAATTTAATAAAGTTTGACGGAAGGACTAATGGTGCAACACAACAGCCAATTGAGTGACCCCTGCAACTAACAATTGAATTGAGTGACCAAACTGTAACTACGGGTATAGTTGAGAGACCATTGTTACGAATAACCCTTATATTAATGATCACCTCTCTAATATAAACAATACCCATTGTATAAGTAGACTTCTCTGATATAAGTAGGTACATATATACGTACGATTCTTTAGAAGAGGGATCTAGTTTTTTATATGTGAAACATCTGAATGCATGCACAATCGGCGACCCCTTTCCTTATAATTCACTTTTGAATCTCATCATGCGTAATGTACTAGGTTTACAATTTTAAGACTCAAAACCTAATAATACTTCTAATATGTCACAAGAACGTCACAACAACTCACCAAAGCATTCAATCAAGACATGCATACAAGCTAATTATCAATAAAGAAGAAAAGGTAATTAAGCCGTTGAAACAATGATTAGTAAGCACATGAGCTCCAATCACGGCAGTTAAGAGTAAATTAAGAGAGTGTGGGTGTGGCACACCAAACCCTAATTGCATGCCCAAGTTCTGAAAGGAGGGGACTGTGATTCATTAGGGTTTCGGCACGCGCTTGCAAACCACCCATTGCTTCATCTACAAGATTTACTTTGGATAGCATAGATGCATACTTTTCGAGCCCATCATTATCTTGAGGACAATCATCTTCTTCCCACTCCGGGCCTCCTCCCCTTTAAGATGTTCTCCTTCATTATTCTTAGGGTTTTCCATGGCATGAGTCACCCCTGTCCTCTAGAAACTAATTATCATTTTGTGTTCGACTGTTCTTTCAACATGACCACACTTGTTGCAAAGTAGATTTGATACCTCACTTTTCCTTTTTCCCTTGTTTGGCAGACCATCATCATCCAAGGACTAGGACAAGAAAACCGTTAGTTAACGTTAGAAAAGTTCATGGGACCGTTGAGATGTGCTTATAGTTTTTGCGTTGATCAAGTGCTTTGCAAACTAATTCTACCACAAATTTTAGAAAATGTAGCGCTAGATTAACTAATTTCGTTTATTAAAATTTGTGCTCACTTTGAATTTTACTTCTAATTGATGAAATACTTGATATATCATTAAATACGATTAACGCGACGTATTCTTAAGAATGATCACATTAGAGTTTAGAGTTTTCTCTTCAAATGTTATATATGTTATATAAATTGAAGGGTCCACTTCTCAAGGCCTACAAATCAACAGAACCCCTGTGCTCAGTGCTATAATGTGGTTTTTAGTTTGTCAATTAAAACGCTAACATGGATTAGCAAGAAGAAAACAGAGCTTGTGATACCTCCTGTGTACAGTATAATTAATATTATGATTCAATCCATGTTTTGGAAACTATAACAAGACCCATAGCTAAGCTTGAAACAATTATGATAAGCAATAATACCGTTAAAAACGTAACTATCAAGCATGGAACCTTTTTTCTTATAAAACGACAGCATTTTGCATCAGCAATAATATAGTTCTGTTCTTTTGTGTCGGTGCCTGCCTAACGTTGCATATTAAACTCCCAAAAAAAAACATATTACATTGCTGAGTCAAAATCATCATGTCCCTTGATAGTCTTTCCGAGGGGCCAATGCAACATAAGTACGTTTGGAGGAACAAACTGAACATAATTACTGCAACTAAATATTGCATACTACAAAGGTTTTTGTTTTTGTTTTTTGACAAAGCGATATTCTAAACTAATCTAATGTATGGAGATGGGGATTGAACTCGAGTGCAAGGGAACGAGCACACTGCCTTAACCAATTGACAAAAATTAAACATTTGCAATTAAATACGATGAATATAATAAAATTATCAAAATTACAACAAAATTTTGGGCCTGAGAATTGGCCCAACCATTTTTTTTTTACAATACAAAACGAGAAAGAAACATAGCCCAAATTTTATGCGATTTTGGGCCACTATGAGGCAGTTAGCCCAATAATTAAACTATCAATTTGTTATATGCGAAGGCAAAACTCCCACCACAGCAACTAAATTTCAAATCTCAACGGTCAGTCCCCTTGAAACCAAATTAACGACGAACAACACATATGCTTCGACGCGCCAAATGTCTTCATGGTGTCATCCCCGGGCATGGTTCACTTGGGCAGCTGCAATCGACGTCCAGATATCGCTCCTATCGGAAAATCAACAGCGCAGATGACGACGGCCGTCGGAAAAGAGAGGAGGGTCAAGATGGGTATTTGCAGTTGCACAAGAGCAAAGGCCAACACCTCTTAACCAATCAACGTATTCTCGACAGCATTGTTCGAAAATCCGCAATTAAACCCACAGACACCGTCCTCGAGATCGGACCCGGCACTGGAAATCTTACCCTCAAGCTTCTGGAAGCTGCCAAGAGCGTCGTGGCCGTCGAAATTGATAAGCGGATGGTGGAGGTCCTCCAAAAACGTGTTGCGGAGTGTGGGGTTCAAGATAGGTTGACTGTAAGTCAAATGGCGTTTATGTGTTTGATGAAATGCTTGAACCAAAATTTTGTGCTTTTGCGACGAGTGAGATTAAGGTGTTTGATAATGCGTTTTGCAGGTTATATGTAAAGATGCACTGAAGGCAGAGTTTCCTCCGTTTGATATTGTCGTGGCGAACATTCCGTACGGAATATCTTCGCCCCTGGTGGCTAAATTGGTGTATGGGGCAAGGTCATTTCGGAGTGCCACGCTTCTACTTCAAAAGGAGTTTGCAAGGAGATTGATGGCTAAGCCTGGAGACTCTGAGTTCAACCGGTTGGCTGTGAATGTGAAGCTGGTGGCTAATGTGGAGTTTGTCATGGATGTGAGCAAGAGGGAGTTTGTTCCTTGCCCGAAAGTCGATTCGTCGGTGGTTATAATTCGTCCGAAAGCTGAAGTTCCAAACGTTAATTTGGATGAATGGTGGGCTTTTACAAAGGCTTGTTTTGGTAACAAGAATAAGACACTTGGGGCGACGTTCAAGCAAAAGAAGAAGGTGATGGAGCTGTTGCGGTTGTCCAAATTAGCAGGCTCAGATGGTGAAACTGACAATTATATTTGCAGCAACGACGACAACGGGGATGGAGGAGAGAGCGATGACGAGGAGCTTTCTTCATCGTCTTGCTCGGAAATGGGAGCGAGTTCCTTCAAGGAGAAGTTAATGGGGATTCTGAAATCAGCTGATTTTGAGGACAAGCGGCCTTCAAAGCTGTCCAATGAGGAGTTGCTGCATCTGCTTGCATTGTTTAATCAAGCAGGAATATATTTTCATGATCAGTCCGAGAGTAGGAATGCTGAAAAAGAATCATTTTCTGTTGCTTACAGTTGATAGCTATTAGCCTATTAGCTCACTCATTAATTAGGATGTCATAATAGGAAAATCTTACTATAATATGACAATGATTTGTGTATTTCTTACTATAATAGAAAGTCTTTTGAAAACAGATCAGTTTATGTCTTCCTGAAATGCTCATGGCTCTAGTATTTCTCTAACTGGATGTAATCTCATGACAGTTCCATAACTAAAATGAATCGAAATCCATGTTTCAAGTCCAACCATCTGATTGTTTTATGTAGAACATCAGTGATGGTTTTATTGGTTAAGAGCATTTACCTACACCCGACGACAGTCTTTGAATCCCCTTTGTATAAAATCAAAGAGTAGTTAATTTTGCTGTAAAAAATAAAAAGCAAGACAACAAATACTGGTACGGTACAAAACAATCAAGGCTTTCTGGGCCATTGCACTTCATCTTGGTGTGCATTATTGAGATGTCACTTACCAGCTTTTTAGTGGGTCTATTTCACATCATGGATCAAGGATCTTGAACCCCATTCTTTGTTTTTTACTTGGACCCTATCTTTTCTTGATATAGAATTGCAGTTGTCCGTTTCTCTCTTCCTGTATTTTTCTGGCCAGTAGTGCATTTATGCAAGTTATATCTTTCATGAGGACCATAACTTTTATTCTTTGTAATTAATTTATAATTTTAATATAAAAGTCCAATTTACAATGGCAGCAGTGGAAGACCAAATTTTTTTTCAGAGTGATTCTTGATAGGCTAAGAAGTGATCACTTCTATGGAGAATCACTTGTTCACATAACCAATTTACGTGGTTTTAAGTGATTTTACGGAGAAGCACGTGTGAGATGCTTCTCTCCATAAGTGATCCTAACCCTCCCAAAATCTTTATTATAATCTTCTTATATAACCGACACAAAGTTATCAGATCAAACAGAAAAATTAATAGCTGGGGACTTGGTGCATATGGGAGTTAGATTCATTCATCCCCACTTGTATTGCATTCAATTTTGAAGGACCAAGGAAAAGGCCCCAAAAACACCAGCAAATTACAAAGATGGTGACACCAGAACTACCCTATAATGCAGACAGAGCCCATCCACCTAAAATGGGGCCTTGTTACACCTCTCATGATTGGTTTTTTTTTAAAATAGCTCGAGATATTATGCTGTACAGAATTTTCTTGATGGGATAATTCAACTGTGGTTGTCATTTGTGTGTTGAAAGATCAAATTATACTTTCTAAAATTCTAAGTGCTTGTGGATGTGACAGAAATGGGCAGCTTCCTCTTCATCTTGACCGTTGGAAAGTGAACAATTTCATCCTTCTCAGCTACCCATCTGCAATGGGGAACCACAACAATACATAAGCTATATTGCTAGGTCAATTATTGAAGTACTCATTGGACAAACATAAGCTAGTGGAAAGCAGCAATTGGGTCTGATTCAAAATTGCCTTTTTCAATCAGGAACATTTTTAATATCCCATTGGAATACTGATGTGATTACGGGAAGATTAATACCTGTAATTAGTGACAAGATGATGAAGGAAGATTGATAATTCAAGCCTAGAGAGTTCCAAACCAGGGCACAGCCTCTGTCCTCCACCAAATGGAGTGAAACTAGAAGTGTAGTTTACAGCAGCTTCTAACTTCTGCAGTCAAAGAAAATTTATATGAACAATACACTTACAAATTAACATAAATTAAAGCAAAAAGAAAAGAAGAAGAAGAAAGTTTACCTCCCATCTCCATGGATCAAACTGATATGGATTTTCATAGTTCTCTTCATCCATGTGAACAGAAGTTAAAGATGCCAAGACACACCATCCTTGTGGTATCAAATACCCTGCAAAACCAACATAAATTCCTCAAATTGTACGTGTTCTTGTTAATTGTTTTTTTGTTTTTTTTAAAATAAAAAAAGACAGATACCTTTGATTTCAACATCTTTAAGAGCTTTTCTCCAAATAGCATTGATAATATTTGCCATTCTAAGAGTCTCACTTATCACCTTCAAAAAAAAAAAAAAAAAAAAAAAAAAAAAAAGGAGAAAGAGAGAGACACTTACTTATATAAAATATAAAAAAAAAGAAGAAAGAATGTGATATGATACTGTAAATAGTGGCACAATTTATATTCTGTTTCAAACATATGGGACTCACATTTTGAGTAAATGGCAAGGACAGGTAATCAGTCCATGCATAATTTTCAGAGGAACCAACCTTCTGCCTCTTCAATTCCATGTTCTCATCCTGCATTTACATGTGATATATAAATAATAACAAAAAGCATTTAAACAGACAGAGACACAGCCACAGAGAGAGAGAGAGAGAGAGGCAGTGCTTTTCACTTTAAAATCGAAACCAAGAATTTAAGAACAGCATGTTCGTCTGTTTCCTTTCACAAAAATGATCATCCCTTCTTTACTTACACATATATGGAAACCTACTTTTGTAGAAATACAGCAATGCTTCTAAAAATAAAAACACAGCAGCTCTGCATTTTTGCAGCTCTGAGTTTTCACTTTTCACCCACACTCTCAGCATTTCTTAAAGTCGGAAAGAAACAAAAGGTTTCATATACAATTTATCAGTATTTTGAGCTTCATTCTACGACTGTACAAGACCGAACAGTTATTTTTCTGCTTACTCATTCTTCAATCATTGTATTAGTACATAGTAATAAGGTCTTTTGTGTTTGCAAATTTTCACATTGCACTTTACCATTATATTGTCCTTATTAGGCTCCATTGCACATATAAATCATACGAGGAGAGCTAGTGTAGACTTTATAGTGAGATCTACACGACGATTAACAGTTATTCACATGCGCATGAATACTTTTAGTAAAACTCATTCGTGAATGATTGTCCGTTGTTGATTAGCGCATAGTAAATAGGATGACTGGACGCACGTTGCCCAGTGGTCACAAGTCGGCACCAAGGAAAAGTTGTTAATAGTGGGTCCACACCTAACAGCCGTTCAATCTAAATCTAACGGCTGCAAAATGTCCATATACAATTCACAGCAAAGTGGGCCCCTGGACCGCCCCACAGTCTCTCTCTCCCCGTCCATGTCTCACTCGTGCGTGCATTAATTCAAGTGTCTAATGAGGTGAAAAGGACTTCTAAAAACAAGTCAAACACTTCAGAGATAAAGCCAGTGGGCCCACAGACTCAGTACCAAAACAGATCCTGACCGTTGGATTAAGGGGCAAAATTGAAAAAAAAAAAGGCAAGCGTCCATATTATTATGATGTGATATACGTACGTACCCTTAGTTTGTCTAGCGCCACAGGGCTGTCACTGAGGAACTTGACGGCTAGGGTCATGGCCACGGGCACAGTCTCCTCTCCTGGGATCATCATCTCTATGATATTCCCCGTGATGAAATCCAACGGCAGGCGTTGCGTCTCGTTGCTTTGGTCACCGCCATCACGTAACAGCACATCCATTGCGTCATTGACTGGACTTGTTTCTTGGATGCTATTATTTTCCATGGCCTCTTTCTTCTGCTCCACTATTTTTCCCACCATCTTCAACAATCGCTCCCTAGCCTGCAACATCCACACAAGCAATATTAGCACTAATAATTTAAAACAAGAAGAAAAAACCCTAATTAGGGCTCACATGAAGACATGTACACTTTTTTTTTTTACCTTGAGAGATTTGTAGAGTCTAGTACCAGGTAGCTTGATTGGTATGCAAATTAAACCTTTGATGAATTCTTCAAATTCTCTCTTGAGAAAGTTCAAATCTTCACCAGGACCGACGCTCATTAATACTTTAACTAGAATTTCAAATGTTATCTGAAATACGAGTAACGTTCTCTTGTCATATATTTAATATGTTAAGTTATCACAATAATGAATTTAAATGACGCGTTGAAACTTGTGGTTGGCATAGAGATGTAGGGACCTTTTGGGTTTCATCTTGAACGTAAATGGGAGATTGCATGTGTCTCCAACGAGCCAAGTTGAGCTTCATAGAGTTTTCAATGTCTCTAGTGATTCGATCTTTGAACTGTGGTGATTTGAGAAAGCCACCGATGAGCCCATGCACTCTCTTATGAACGCTTCCATTTATTTGCAGAATCGAAAATTTCCCCAGCAGTTCTTTGACGGATTTTGGATAAGCAGGGATGAAGGTATTTCCATGGTTTTTTAACACCACCTTGTTCACTTCAGCATCGGTGGACACTATGATTGGAGTTCCCAATATGTTCGTCTTGAACACCTTTCCATACCTGTAGAGAGAGAGAGAGAGAGAGAGAGAGAGAGAGTGTGTGTTATTTACGCGTTTAATTGAACTTTGCTACTTTTTCATTGATGATGGGAGGATATTTTGTTGGGAGGCTGAAATCTATGGAGAATGGGATGTGTTGTTGTTAATTAATTATAGCACAGCCTGCAGAAGAAAGAAGCAATAAAGGGGTGTGAAGTCTAAGGCCTAGTTTTTTCTAGCCTAGTAGCTAGTTAGTATAGAGCAGGCTTTTTCTTCCTTTCTTTACTTCTTGGGGTTGTTCCTTTTTCACTCTTGCTTTCTTTTTTGTGCTATTGTCACCATCTGTCATTGAATGAACAAATTCCATTCTTTTATATACATGTTGGTAACCCTCTTGTTGCCCTGCCTGCCCCAATAATTTATTTCTTCTTCTTCTTCTTCTATAAAAATAAAAAATAAAAAATCGGTGGTAGGCAAATGTCTATCTCAAAATGAATTCATGTCTCGTTATTAGTTTAGATACAAACAATAATCTAAAATACTTTAAATTAATATAATTTATACAAGGAGAGTGACAACTATGGCTTAACCTAGGAGCATCCTGACTAATTGGTATAATCCAAGTATTGCACATCGGTTCAAAAACATTATCCTTTTCTTTGTTGCTCATCTCTTTTCAGGTACATGTTAGATGATTCCCATTAAAAGCTACCTTTACCAACTCGAATCTCTTTTCGATCAAACCCTTTAAGTTTGAGCCAAACAAGAAAAAGAAAAAAAGGAAAGCAAATATATGAAGAGTTACAGAATCAATCAAACCTGGTTGAATATGTTTGGAAGTCAAGTCACGCAAATCTTTTACAAAATTGAAAAGCACATCATCAAAAGCAGGCGTACGTTTTTCAAGTCCATGGAAGTATGCAGGGCAAATGAAAGATACTTATATTCATAGATGTATAATTCTACTGCTACTTGCTATTCCATCTCTATCATTGACAACATAAGCAGGGAAAGAACATGTATCTGTTGTTGACGATATGGTTTGAGAAGCAAGATGCTCGTTTTGATTAAAATATTTCTACACTTTATATTGTATAACATTAAGACCATAATTCCATGATTAGGATAATAACGATGGAGAAATTAAATTAGAAATATATATCTTTTGGGAAAAAAAAAAGGTTGCAAATTAATCTGATGGCAAGTGTGAGAGAAAGAGCAGAGAAGAGAGAGCTTACAGAGATCTGCGTTTTTCCATGAAGCTGACAGGTCGAGAGGTGTAGCCGCAAGCAATGAAGTCAAGGGTTTCTCCTATCAAAGGCCAACCTAACTTCCCTTTAGGGACTTTAGCACCCTTATGATTTTGGCTTTTGTTCTTCTTCTTCATCTCCTTAGAAACCCAACACAACGATCCTACAAAAATTCCCACCAAAATCCAACATCCCACAATCCATTCCATCACCCTTTTGTTTCTCTTTTGAACTCCTTGTAATGCTTATATGTAACCCTAGTTGTAGAAACTAGGTAGAAATTAAATACTACTGCAGAACTTTTGAGCAACCCAAGTGGTGGTGATCATGAGCTTCTCACTCCATGCAGCTAGCTCCTCTATATACTGTAGATAGTCTCCTAGTAGTTGAGAGAGAGAGAGAGAGAGAGAGAGATTGACAAGTCAATGGAGAAACTTGTTGTTTGGTCTTTGTGGGGTGAATTGAATGAGAGGGCTTGAGTGAGAGATTCGGAAGATCTAAAGGGTTTCAACAATCATTAAATGAGGTGGTCAAATGTCTTCGGTTTTTTTTTCTTTGTTTCCATAAACAAAAAAGTATAGACAATGTAACCAACGTAATTCACATGTGTTTTAAAATCAGATCCAATTAAAGCTTATCTTTCCCAATTAATTTAGGATTTTTTTAATATACGGAATTAATTTACGATATTCATAGATGGAAAAACTTCGGGGAATTTTGCCATGTTTGTCTAATAATATGGGCGCTTTGGCTGCAGATAGAAAAACTTCAGGGATGTGACACAAGAAAGAAAAAGGGGAAAAAAAAACAAAGATGGGGGTGATCTTTTAGCATTAATTGTAAAGGCATATATAAACTTCATATGAGATTTCATGGGCTAGCAAAACTTATGATCTCTGTATCGCTTTTTATTTCCTTTATTAAATTTAGTATAGGTAAAAGATTACCATTTGTAAGACCAAGAAACCTTAGTAGGAGACTTAATAGTCACACTTACTACAAACGGTTCAATTCTCATAGTTTTCCCTTATATAAGAGGAGAGATTTCTCACACACACTATGAAAGTGTCATGGGAGTTCGAACCTGACACCATTGATCTGTAAGTCAAGACAAGACCCTGTTGACATAATTTTATTTTTTTAAAAAAGATAATGAAATCTTAATATAAAGAATCAAATGGTGGAGTGACAACATAACATCAAAATAGCTAGTGCACCTTTTAACTAACGTTATAAAATTTTCTTCATAAAAAGTATATCTTCACTTACATTATTTTATGCATAAGTCCATAATGTTCACTAAGTGTGTAACCTAAAGTAGGAGTATAATACTCCAAATCATGTACTGATGATTATTTATTAGTGCAAAGACATGCTTCTCGGATATTAGCTTATGAACTCGAATCTTAGCCCCATACGCGAGATTTATTAGTCCAAAGTACCTTATCGCAAGTATATATTCAAGTTTTGGAATCATGTGGAATTTAATACCTAATTGATAGAGAATTTATAAATGAAACTTTGGATTCTTAAAATTTCAATCTAAAATCTCACTACCTTTTAAATATAAGATTTCTAATAATAAGTGCTACTAAACGAACCTTAAAATTAATTGAGTACACCATAATACCAAACTATATTATATATATATATATTATGTTATTAAAAATTAGTTTTCCTTTTATGCAAAACTCAAATACAAAAACCTTTACCCTATAAATAATAAATAAAACAAATTGAAAAGCTTAAACCCTAAAATAAAACTACTGGAACAAATAATAAGGAAATAAAAGTAAAATAAATTAAGAGTAAGAATGCAAGCTCGGTATGGTGAAGCACGTCAAAGACGATATTCTAAAGCCTTTGTATGTATTCTCCATATGTGCAGGTACTAATGATATACAAGACTCCAAAATATGACCTCAAATACACAAATTCAAGGTCCGTTATGAGCACGTTCGCAGTTGAATATATGATGTATGACGAAATATGGGTTAATTATGGTGTGAAAAATTAATTAAAATAAAGTGGCTCAAAGTTGGAAGGAAATCGTGTAAGGAGGAAAATTCCAATTAAATGTCAATTATGGCGCTAAGAAAAGAAGGAAGGCGTATGGTTGGGATTTTCTAATTGATTGAGGAAGTTTGAAGCAATTATGATTATGTCAAGATTTGTATTTAATTTAATGTTTTATTTTATATTTTGAAGAATAAGTTATCCATTAGGATATTATTTTCCTAATATGATTTTTATTATTTTCTTGTTAGCTAAGTTTACGAATATTCTAGAACCTAAGGTTTCCTACGATTTTAGGGTTTCTTTGTTTTCTATTTAAGCAAACTCATGGCGTTGTATTTGTAAATTTATTCATCTTATTTTCAATAAATATATTTGAGGTTTACTTAATTTCTCTGGTGGATTCCAGTTTGTGGGTGGATTCCAACATTGTTACTTGTAGGATTATCGTTCGATCTCCTTATCCCTTATATCTTGCTGCGTCAATATATGTCTCCAAGTCATAGAACCGTTGCCCTAAAAAACAAAGAAAGTAGAAGAGATGTAGAGAGAATTAGTTGTGTGTCAAATGTGAAGGAGTTAGATAAAAAAAATTAATTCATTAAAAAATAAACTGAAAATAAAATGTTATAATCCCACGGTAAATAAAACAAAACAACCAAAAGAATTAAAATAAAATTTAAAATTCAAAACTGTAAACTTTGAAAAGCGTTTAAATACCAACATATTTTAGATGCATCCTAGTCCTTCAACCTCTTATTATGTGTTTTTTCCGTCCTACTTTGTAATTAAACATGTGGTGTGGATTACTTGTATGAAACTTGTAAGTAATTAAGAATATTTACCTATTCGTCTTATATTTTATATTTAATTTTTCCAACCTTCAATATCACTTATATTAAAATATATATATATATATATGTGGATTACTATCTAATAAATTGTCGGAGAGAAAAAAAAGAAAGAAAAAGAAATGAGAAAGAGAGAAAAAGAAGAAAAAAGAAGGACAAGAGTGGTGAGTGAGTGGTGACAGGGGTCTAGTCGATTATCTATCTCTTCCTCAGTAACAATAACAATGGTACTACTACTACTAGTAGTGGTGGTTCATACCTCACGCGCCATATCTCCCCATGAAGGGTCAAATTCCAAGTTCCAACCAAAGGAAAGAGAAAAACCCATTGGGACAGATTTCTGTACCTTCTCCTTTCCTTTTACCACCTAAATGAATGTGAAATTGTCAACCTTATGTTTTGACTCACTGTGTATGCCCCAACAATGATTTTAAACAACGGAGAAAAGGTGATTGTGAGCTGTTGATGTAAGCAGAATCAATAATATATTAATTGGTTGCAGTTTGTGTGAGTATATGAGCTACTAACAATAACGCTGCTTAGTTGCAATGAGGAGTAACAAGTGGTTGGGTTGCTTGTTGATTGTGAATTGTGAAAGGGGTGTGTGCGCGGAGAGAGTGGGGGTAGTGCACTCTGAAGGGTCAGTGCTGCTCATTGATCAGTTTTTATTCGCTGCTTGGATAATCATGACAGTTCAATGTCACCCATTAGACATATTGATCAACATCAACATTCTATCACTGGACTGGAGGAATTCATTGATGGAGACCCTTTGCATTATTTCTGACTGGTTTCATAATTGTCATCCCTGTTGGCTACTTCGGGTCAAAAGTACCATCAAATTTTGGGATGTTGGAATTGGTAGAGATATTTAAGGTAATACTTTCAACTGTTTCTTTAGGGCAGAATGGTTGATGAAGAAAGGAGAAAATTTGACAGCAAATAGCATGAAATCTTCATTTCATTGGGGTAATCTGATATTGAAGTATTTTCAACTGGATAATCCATCATTATGCAAACAATTTACACCGCAAACAACATGGATCATTCTGGTCAATTCGAGTTGCATTTAAACAAAATTCATGTCTCAATGGAATAAACTTTGAAGAGGTATAATCTGCAGAATTCACATTTATCAAACCAATGGAAGCCTACTCAGGAGATAAAAGGCAAGTAGGGTGGAAAGGCGAAAAATCTCATATATCAAATTACATAGGTTTTCATCAGATCTTTATCACAACTCGTTAATATCAAAGGCAAAAACGTTGCACTAGCACCCTAACCTTTTTGAAGGTTGAAGCTGTTACTTGTCAGTGAGAATGTCAAAGCTATACACTACCAGAGTCCCCAAAAAACCAAATGTCATGGGCAAGGAAGACCAAATGCATAATTTGAACCGATCGTTGTTTTACCAGCATCCATAAATTCCCAACCTTCAAGCAAGAAGCTGCTCCAAGCATCCACCTTTGACAAAACATGAATGAAGTAATTCTGTAACGATAAATTACATAAAGAAGTAAAACTACTGCAACATTCATGAGCAGCTCAACTAGTGTGCATATTCATGAACAGCTTTGTTCAACTTCTACTTCCACAGGCAACAGCTTCTTCCTCCACATTGTCGTAAAACAAGGTCAATTTACTTATTGCAACAGCCTCTCCAAATAGGGATGCTCTTGTAGATTTCAAAATACGCACTTCAACATAATCACCAACTATGGGATTCCTTTCCTCATTTGAATCAGCATCTCGATGTGGTAACAGCACGTTAGCGAACGAAACTCTATGGCCTCTATCACTCTTGCCAATGAGTTCTGTATCCGGAGCTCTCTTATTGGGTCCTTCTACTAAGATGAGTTGGGTAGTTCCCACCTGTGAGTCATAACACTGACCTGTGCTCTCACGGAAAGCCTCGATAAGTTCGGTCAGCCTGCTCTGCTTCACTTTCTCTGGAACATCATCCACATAGTTTCTATGTGCATGAGTTTTCTCCCTCATGCTATATGCAAACATGTAAGCCATATCATAACCAACAGCCTTTACAAGGCTCAGTGTGTCTGCATGTTCCTCCTCTGTCTCCCCACAAAACCCTGTAATTAGAAACAAACATGTTAGAAGGGAAAAACACTTCATATGCTGAAATAAAAAAGAAAATATTGTAGGTTACAGGTGGAAAATTGATAAGAAAGAACATTTCAACCGATCAGTTCAGATTTATAAAATCCAGACCAAACACTGAAAATAGATAATAAAATCAGGACATCATAAAAAAGTGAGAAAGAAAGAAACCAGATATCGCAAGTAAAAGCCTCTTTCCAATATGATTTGATCACTACTACAGTACCTTGTAAAAGATTTGCAGTGGGCACCAAAAAACATACATATAGAAATGCTTAAGCACAACTTTTTAAGAACTCAGTTAGATTCATAGTAGACATAGAAAAGTACAAGCTGGAATTTTCTTCTCACCCAAAGTTGATAGCAAGTTTTGTAAGCAAGATTAACAAAATTGAATAGAACTCTGAAAAGACCTCTTACCGCATATGAAATCACTGCTGATGCCCACATCTGGAATAATTCTCCGAATCTTTTGCACAAGATCTAAGTATGCCTCACGGCTATAGCCCCGACGCATTCTTTCTAGCACTGTGCTACTTCCAGTTTGAGCAGGCAAATGGATAGATTTGCAAACATTGGGTCTGTCTCTCATTATATACAGTAGCTCATCAGGGAAATCTTTCGGGTGCGGGGATGTGTATCTAAATCTCATCTCTGGAAATTCTGTGGAAAGTCGATCCAAGAGATCAGCAAAACGAGAACCTACTTTTTTCACCTTGCACATGCTGGAAAAGCCTTCACTATATCTCCAATTGGTTCCTGTTTCAACTTCCTTTTCATACTCAGAGGCATCATTATAGCTGTTTACATTCTGGCCTAGCAGTGTTACCTCCTTCACACCTTCTTCCCAAAGCTCTGCCACCTCCCTCACAATTGATTCCACAGGACGTGAGCGCTCTCTGCCTCTTGTGAAAGGAACAATGCAAAATGAGCACATATTGTTGCAACCCCTCATAACAGAAACAAAAGCACTAATTGAATTTTTAGCAATTCGGACCGGACTAATATCAGCGTAAGTCTCTTCCAGTGAAAGAAGAGTATTGATTCCTTTCTGCCCATAGTCCACATCTTCTAATAATCTTGGCAAGTCTCTGTACGCATCAGGCCCACAAACCACATCAACCATTTTGTCTGCATCTAGTATCTTGTCCTTTAACCTCTCGGCCATACATCCCAAAACTACAACTTTTGGAGGGCGTTTGGACTGCGACCTCCCTATTTTAACATTGCTCTTCCAGTGCCTTTTGAGAAACCAAAAGTAATTAAGCCGCTGCCACACCTTCTGTTCGGCATTGTCCCTAATAGCACAAGTGTTAATGAAAATAACCTCTGCATTCTCAGGAACATCAACAACTTCACTATACCCAGCATTCTTCATAATAGACAGAACGATCTCCATATCATTAATATTCATTTGACACCCATAAGTCTCATGATAGATACGTCCCATTGGAGGAACTTCTGAAACTTCCGCAGCTGTTACATTCCTAGACATAAAAAAGGAAAAAAGAAAGGAAAGAAATATTTGAAGTATGAGATACAGATCATAAATATGGAAATCGGATGTAAGAACATTCAAACTTTTTAATATTTGTTGGGTTGTCTTTGTATATCCATCTATGGTCTCTGAACTATCAGAATACAATAGGACATTTAATTTCCAAATTTCTCCTACAATGGCAGAACATCACAGTAATATTTTAGATCATACGCACTAGCATTTCTTATGTCAAAATTTCAACTTAACGAGCATCTCCTATAACTCCACCGTCAGCTAATTTTGAGTGCTTAAAGAATTGTTTTGTGCAGTATTTGTAAAACACAGTTCCCATGAGCTATATAAAATCATGTCTTTATAAGCAAAATCCGCAAATGCCAAATGATAAGCCACAAAGACTATTGCTTTAAGACTTTCTAAGACAACCCAATCCCAATAACTGCACAAAGCCCTGAAACATTAACCAATCCATTGAAATTTCAAAATGAATGTGAACTCACTGGGGCTGGGCTTCAGAAGCGGTGAGAGCAGCCTGAGCGACGAAGCAGCGGAGGCTTGGGCTCTCAGACTGGTTCGGGAGAGAAGAAAGGTTAGGGTTAGACTGAGAGAAGCTTCTGGAGAAATTGGGACCAAGACTCCTCCTTTGCGGTCGAGGCGTCAGCTGGTGGTGGTGGTAGCTACGGAAGCTGGACTTTTCTGGTCTCCAATTGAGAAACCTGACAGTGAAGCAGCATGGTCTCTGGAGCTTCAGGCGCAGAGCACAGTGAGGCTGGTTCAGGATTGAGGAGAGGGACGAGAGCGACGACGCCATTGGTGAGAAACTGCTCGTGCTTCGCAGCCTTCTGCGTCAGAGAAAGTTGGATAGGGATTACAGTTTACGAAATTACGACAGAAGAGAAAGAAACCCGGTAATATTACGAAAACCGACATGTCGTTTATTTCAGTTGGGCCCGGCCTAATCAGACCTCTCAGTTGCGTATAAATATGGAAGACCAAATTCACTTTCATTTAAGGGAGCTGAAACTGAAACTGAAACTACAAAAATGGAGAGGTTGAGATTGAGAGCTACTGGTCGTTTCTTCAGATACTGTTCTAACAGATCACTCTTTGATCCCCGATTGAACACTAATTCTGAGAATTCAATCCACAACTCTACTTCAGGTATTTTACAATAGAAAAGAAACACTCTTTTTCAATCTCCAATTTGAGTACCTTTCTATCAAATGCTATTTTCACTCTCTATTATAGTTTGAAAGGAAGAGCTGGGTTTGATGAAATATGAGGAATATGATCGTTTGGAATTTGATAAATGTTTCGTTTGGTTGCTCAGAAAACAGAAATGGTCTTGAAGAAAATGAAAAAATATGACTTTTTGTTTATTGGGTTATTATTGGAGCTAAATGCTGCTGGTGTTTAATTTGTTAAACTATAGACGTGTGGATTACTTTCTTGTAAAATTAATAAGGAATTTTCATCCGAAATAGGTTATGCGCATGGCTTTGGCAAGAATTGTAGAGATTTTCATTTCTTTAGTGATAATCACAAGTGGAATGTTCAGACATGTTTTGGCTTCTTAAGATATCAAGGAGAGACTTTCCGAGATTCTACGGAAAAGGGTCTTCTTGAAAAAACAAGGAGATTTCAGTACCGAGGTTTTGGTTCTTTGGCGGCAAAAGTTCAGAGGAATCCTTCTTTTTCAACATTAAATTCTGATGATATCAGCTATTTTAAGGAAATATTAGGGGAGAAGGGTGTAATTGAGGATGAAGACTGGCTGGCGACTGCAAACACAGACTGGATGCACAAATACAAAGGCTCAAGTAAGCTTCTGCTGCAACCTCGGTCCACTGAGGAGGTTGACTTTTTCTCTTCCAGGAGTCTTATTATTACCATACAAGTTTCCAGGATTCCTATAGCTCACTCTTAAAAGCCTGAATTTTCATGTGTGTATGTCTCAATTGCTTTTGATAGATGTATTACAAATTAAGGACTTCTATGTATTTATTTCTTCCTTGCAGGTCTCACAGATTCTTAAATATTGTAATTCCAGATGCTTGGCTGTTGTTCCTCAAGGTGGGAATACTGGTCTTGTGGGCGGAAGTGTTCCAGTTTTTGATGAAGTAATGTGGTTTGTTCTGCTTCTTTAATGGATGAGAGTGGTTATTTATCGGTGGCATTTTCTAGCATCTACCTAAGTTTGAAAAATGAGAGCTTTATTGTCTTATTGTTGTGACATAATATATTATATACTATGTATAGGCTGTGTAGTTTTGTTAAAGATCTATCATACTTCTGATATTTTCACCTGAGTAGCCTTCTGTATTTGCAGGTGATTGTCAATATGAGTTTGATGAATAACATAATATCTTTTGACAAGGTAGACATTCAGTGCTAAGTATTTAGTCTGGTGCTCCAACAATTCTTGAAGTCAATTTTTCAAATGGTTGCAACAGTAAAACTGCATGCTTATGAAGAGATTCCCTGATCCCTACTTTCAGGTGAGTGGTATTCTGGTATGCGAGGGAGGATGCATTTTGGAAAACCTGATTGCTTTCTTGGACAACCAAGGGTAATTTCTGTAAACTATCACTTTCTTTGCTAACAGGACCTGCAATGACAGGATCAAATGCCATAAAACAGGGCTACAACTTAATTTATTAGTTGCATGATCTCCTCATGATTTGCCCACCGCTCTTGTCCTTATTAGTAATTATATGTTTCTTTTGTAGTTTCTTATCTCTGGTTGTGCAGTTGAATTATAATCCAATTTTGGCATATGTACTACTTTAAACTGTTAGATTGTCGCACATTTCTCCCCTTTTTGAATTACGCCCCATGGAAATCTAGATATTCATGTTCTTGTCATATTTAAGCGCCTTATGCTTCCATTCAGATTTATTATGCCACTGGACTTAGGTGCAAAAGGAAGCTGTCAGATTGGTGGAAACGTTTCGACCAATGCAGGTGGTTTGCGCCTTGTCCGCTATGGATCACTTCATGGAAACGTACTTGGTGAGGAATTCACATAACTTTGATGTTTGACAGTCATCTGCTTCAAACCTCATTGGTTATCTTAGTTTAAATTGCATATGACTTTACACCAATAATTATGGACTTCTGCCAAAACAAATAATTTTTTGATTTCTGAAGTATTTAAGAGCTGGTAGAAACTTGATATTTTGCAAATGGCATGGTTCTTAGAGAATCTCTTGTTAATAGTTGTTCTGCACTGAAGTATATTATATTTTACCGTATCTCACAGGTCTAGAAGTTGTTTTGGCTGATGGTAATGTTATTGACATGCTTGGGACTTTACGCAAAGATAATACTGGGTATGACCTAAAGCATTTGTTCATAGGTATGTACTGAACACTTCAATTGTTTTTTATTTCTGTGTAGAAGACTAGGATTTTTTAGTGAGGATGTGATCGTATAATTTTTGTTTATCACTAATGTAGGCAGTGAAGGATCTTTGGGAATTGTAACCAAGGTTTCCATACTTACCCCTCCAAAGTTATTTTCAGTAAATGTAGCTTTCCTTGCATGCAGCGATTACTTTAGCTGCCAGGTATGATAGTTTCTTTGACAGGAAATTGTTGCGCTTCTTCATAAGTTCTGCTAAATTAAGCCCAGTAGAATGCAGATATTGATATCCAGTTGTTATTATTATTTTACAAGTTCATCACTTTTTTAGCTCATTTCTCCTGCTTAAAAAAGTGGTTCCTCACCTTTATAATGTTTATCAGAAACTTCTAATGGAAGCAAAGAGGAAACTTGGGGAAATTCTATCTGCCTTTGAATTTTTGGATAGCAAGTCATTGGATTTGGTGAGCTTTCTGCCACATATTGGATATTTTCATTATTGGTGCATATCAAGCTTTCAGTTTTCATAGTTTTTCTTTGTTTTTGCTTTTTTTGAATTTTGAGGAACTCAGTGTGTGCTCAACATCTGTAGTTACAACAAACTATATCACCGTCTCTGTTTCGACTTCAATGCAAGTATGGCAACTATTATTTACTGCATAGCACTAGTAGAAGTGAAGTGGATGCATAGCACATTGCCTAAAATAGCCTTGCTGCTTTATCACTGTTTCATTTTGAAGCCTACTCATTGTATTTTACATAGCAGGTTCTAAATCACTTAGATGGTGTTCGGAACCCATTACCTCCCACAATGCACAAATTTTATATTTTGATTGAGACAACAGGCAGTGATGAAACTTACGACAGGTAACCTCTTTTCCACTTGTAATTATTCATCTGCTTGAATGAGAGTGCTTTAACCCTAGCTTAATTAATTTTCTTTAGCATTGAGGTCCAGTTCCTCATTGGCTCCTCTTGGTGGTCCTGTGGTCCTGCAAAAATATTTCCATTTTTATTTTTACTTTTAAACACCTTATTTTGAAACAAGTTAGGGTTTAAAGAAAACTGACACATAACTGGAAATAGAATCTCTATTGTTATTCAGTATCTTTGCTTTGTAGTTAACAATTATTGGCATGCTCATAATCATAAAAATCACGAGTTATTTGGATACAGACAGAAGCTTGAGGGCTTCCTGCTTCATGCAATGGAAGCTGGTTTGATTTCTGACGGAGCTCTAGCACAAGACATAAACCAAGCATCATCATTCTGGCGTATACGCGAGGTACTCTTTTTTCTTTTTCCTTTTCCTCTTCAATCCAAGCCTTGTCCTTGGTTTTTAATTCTCATATTCATGATTATTCAATGTGGTGCTTTGAATTCATGAATCAGGAAGCGAAACTAATCTTCATTAAAGAAAACCACTTTTTTTTGTCTTCTGGACCTGTATTTTACTTGCTTTGGTCTCAATTATCAGTGTTGATCGATATACGATAAAAAAATTCACTTTTTTCTCTCATCTCATGATTACTTTTTCTTCATGTTTCTATGCATTCTTATTCTTACTATTCAACCATTTTTACTTTTTCTGTCTGAGAAATTGGTGGCAGGCAGGAAATGTAGCCGCAGGATTGTTATTCCTATCTATCATTTTCTTGTCATTAATAACCATTTAGTAAGAGTAGCAACAATTTCAGCCGTCAGGTCATTAAGATTTTCAATGATCATTATCCCCTTTTTGATATACATGAAGAAGCAAATATTTACGTCTTTTCGTAAGCATCCTATCCTTCAGTCGGTTGTATATTTATGGTGGCAGGGAATACCAGAAGCATTGATGAAAGCAGGAGCTGTTTATAAATACGATTTATCATTACCTGTTGAAAAGATGTATGATCTTGTTGAGGAAATGAGAACTAGACTCAGTGAGTAAATGCTTCTTACTGCTTACAATAATTGAAATATTCTTTAGCTTCTTGCTGCAGTGGCCATACCTATCCACTTTAGGGGTTGAGTGGGTTTGGGTGTGGACATACACCTGCAGGTAGTCCCTTGAAAGAGTGGTGCTGTTTCAATGGTGCCCTTGTCAAGTATGACACAAGTTTAGGGATTTTTATTTAGTTTTATTATTATTCTTTTGTGCAATGTGATCCTGCGACATCTATATTTATTTGGATTCTGGAAGATAATTTTTTTAATAGTAATTTTGAATATACACTTTTTGTTTTGTTTAAATCTTTAGGTGATTCAGCTAATGTAGTTGGATATGGCCATCTTGGAGATGGTAATTTGCATCTTAATATTTCAACTGCACAGTATGATGATGGGGTAATTTCCTTGTACCTTAATTATAGAGCTATTCGTACATTTTCTTTGGTGCAGTTTAATTAATATCTTCAGTGTATCTGTAGATTTTGACACAAATCGAACCCTTTGTCTATGAGTGGACATCTAAGCATCGTGGGAGCATTAGTGCAGAGCACGGCCTTGGACTGATGAAAGCTAATGAGATTTTCTACAGCAAGCCAACTGCTACTGTGAGTGTTATGTGAATATGAGATGGAGAGTGACCTGCTTGGTGTTCTCTTCTCTCTACTTCCCCCTTGAGACTCTGCAGTTTCTTTATATAAAATGTCTAAACACAGAATCTGCTTGGACAGGTGAGCCTGATGGCTTCCATCAAGAAAATGCTGGACCCCAAAGGGATACTCAACCCATATAAAGTTCTTCCTCACTCTCTTAGTTCTTAGCCCTGAAGTAAGGTTTGTGAATATTCTTTCCTTCCATTCTTGATTTTACCATGACTGTTTCCTAGAGAGTGATCTCGCATTTGTTTGTGAGATTGAGATGTGTAGAGCAAAATGCCCACTGACCGACGCCAGCCAAAATGTGGAATTGGGAGCTGACAAATAATCATGGGAAACATTTTCTTGAACACTGGTTTTGATGTTCTATAAGAATCTCATGTAAATAAAAGTGTGAAAATGCTATATTTCGCAGAGTTTATAAATAGTCACTCTTTAATCTTCACGGTCGAGGTTTTATCGGAAGGTTACAACTTGCAACTTCACAGCTTGCTCAAGTCGACGTCAACCCAATGTCACAGTTTTCAGCCCCGGGGTTCAAAATCCGGCCAAAGAGGTCGGAAAATGTCCGGCTTGCAGTTTGGGATTAAATAATGGATTGGCCACGATTTGTTCTATTCCATGAGATAGAGTGCATGCACTTCAACATTGACGCTTTGACATAACATCTTTTGGCGTTTGAGTTAAGGCATTGGCCTTGTTGCTACTTTCCATTTCCTTCTGGAAACCGACGGGATTTTGGCAAAATAAAGTTGACCATTACATCACATTGACCTTTGAATTATCCAATCTACTAATATCATCACTAATAAATTGGAATGTCTATTTTTTTATTTTGCCATCAAATTGGAATGTCTATTTGCATCTAGTTCTTTATTCGCCACATTATTTTTTAATTTTAATTTTAATTTTTACTTTAAAATTAATTTTAAAAAATAAAATTAAGGTCCATGGTATACACCACGATTTGATTCTCACTCGTAAAAAGATTACTTGTAATGCATTTTAAGAAAAGAATCTCTTGCCTTCCCAAGCATATAATGAAACCAAACATTGGAAGATTGCGCATGAAAGACTTTGCAATGGACAAATTGTCCTGCAACATTTCCATTAATCAAGGCTGGAATATGCTAATCCTAATGGGCCTCAACCAGATACAAACTTTATATTGATAACTTAGAGGTAAAGTCAACTGGAGGCAATGACATAGCCCACCTAAGAAAATGGACACAAATTAAAAAATATGAGTCATTATTTGGTTTTCTTCTTTACTTTTTACTTTTTACTGCTTAGTGTGGACATTGAAACACTGCTTTTGAGTTTGACTTAGCCTTTACTCCAGTCACCGACCACGTAGACTTGATTATGTAACAATAGTTTTAAGTATCAAAGGTGAAAGAGGTATCAAGTTCGAATCACTCATTCTTTCTCCGGCAAAAAAATAAGAGAAAACAATAGTGTAAGAATCAAATTCTTGAACAAAAGTCACTTACTAATTATTTAACTTATCCACCTGCTTGTGGAAGTGCTTGTTTCAAAGGAATATTTGGCAAATTGGCACAATGTGGATATACATGAAGTTGGGTGGAAAGTGGAACCGTACTTCAAATATACTGAGAGAATCACTAACTGCCTTTCGGCTTTCACTTTGTGGAGCTCAACTCACAAACTATAACTATAGGCTGTGCGCCTAAGAAGTGTCTCTGTTTTTTTTTCTTCTTTCCTTTCAAAGCAAAATGCCCATTTGAAGTGGCCAATGCATATGCTGAAAATATGAAAGATAATTGCCCATTGGTCCAACCAAGAGAATCAATTCAAGTAGTGACAATAGGATCCAATTCCCCAAATCTAATCAACAATGGAACAATCTACAAGTGAACAATTTTAAATCATAAAATAAAAAAGTGAATTCATCAAGATTTGCAGTTTAAAAAAATGTGAGTTAGACCAGTTAATTATAATATGAGGTTCGAATTCTCTATTTCTCTAAATTAGAGTAGTTATCTCTTGTATTAGAAAAAATGTTTGCATGCAATATGAACTCCTATTAATATTTTTTTTTTGGATTTTCATTGAACAATATAAAACAGAATAAATATTTAATTGGTTAGTGTCCAAACACTTGAGGGAAAAGTCCTACAACTCCCAATGAAAAACACTAAAATAAAAAACAAAAGAGAGAGACGACGTGATTGGTAGGTAAAAGGAGGCTACGACGTCGTTTAGCGAGGGCGCATAAAGTAACCTTGTCACCGTGGAGAGCCACCTTGGCAGAGCAGAGATAACAATAAGAAAAAAAAGAAAATATAAGTAAACAAAATCGGATATGGTGGGGAACACAGACGAGTTGTGAAACCGTGGCCGCCCGGTCCCTCTTTGTCCCTTTCGTCTCTCGTCAACACCACCACCATCACATTCTACTCTCTCTCTCTCTCTCTCTCTCTCTCTCTCTCTCTCTCGGCCATTTTCTAGAGAAAAAGCATGACCAGCTCCTCCGCCTCCGGTCGCAAGGTTTGCCCTAATTTCACGCGCTGCACAATCTCAAAAGCGCTTTCTTGTGCAATTTCTGTTTTTTATTTATTTAAATTTTTGATTGGGTTTCTTTGTTTTTTATTTTGATTTTGGGTTTCGTGTTTGTTTTTTTAATTTTCAGACTTTGAGTAAGATTGCTTGCAATCGGCTCCAGAAGGAGCTCCTGGAGTGGCAGGTCAATCCCCCGGCAGGTTTCAAACACAAAGTCACCGATAATCTCCAAAGGTCTTCTCTTTTTTTACTTTCTGTTTGTTTGCCCAGAAAGAAAATTTAACGGAATTAGAGGAGGACAAGAATTTGTAACTTATGCGTCTCACACTTATTGCCGTTTTCGCTTTTCTGTTTAAATTTATCTTCTTTTTTTCCCCCTTAACAGTTTTGTTTGGCGAATGAACTCTTTGGGGGTTTATGATGTCCACTTTTTCTCTTCAATGTTTATGCTTTTCTGCTTCAATTACTTTAATTCAATTCATTATTGTGTTGTGGGATTTGTGATGCAAAGGTGGGTGATTGAAGTCAATGGAGCCCCTGGAACTCTCTATTCTAATGAGACCTATCAGCTTCAGGTCGATTTTCCTGAGCATTACCCAATGGAAGCCCCACAGGTTCGTCCAAATCCATCAGTTTGTGTGATATGCATTTCCTTGAACATATATCTACAAATCATTTTATGTTGGGTAGATTTTGATTTCCATAAAACTAGTGATTTAACCTGTTTTGGTCTGAATCCTTGTGGTGGGATGAACAGGTTATATTTATCCCTCCAGCTCCACTGCATCCTCATATTTATAGCAACGGTCATATCTGTTTAGGTAATTTATGGGTTCCAGTTAATCTTTTGATGTCATAAGTTACTGATCTTTGCTCTGTTTTGTGATAACTGATATTGTACATAGTTAAATCATCGATCCTTTTTCTTCTCAGGTACGAGGATTATTTCTTTCTTTCTTTTTCTTGATTTGGTATTCATCATTTGTTAAAAGTGACAGTCTTGTCCTCATAATGGACTTGAATCATCCTTTGTTGCTTTTTTATTTTACACATAAGTTTATTATCATCACTTGAAAAATTTGTAGTCAGTGTTTCATTTCAACCTCAGTTTCTTATCAAAACATTTCTTGCTGAAAATATTTAGTTAGCTGAAACAAATTTTTTGTGAGATAATAATACAACTTTACTCCTTTATTGGCTGTTGTGAAAGCCTTGTGAGGACACTATTGCAAAGTGGGGAAGGAAGAAGCGCGGGGGAAGGGAGGCGTATTTGGTTGTGAAATTGTTTTCGTGACTTATATTTCATAGTAAAGCTAGCCTTGGAAATCCTGTTGAATAGTGATTTTTGCTGTAGGTTTGGTTGGTCACTGACAGCCTGGATATGTTTAGTCTGTTAGTTCAGATTAATTTTTATGTAATGGAAATTTTAATCATACAGAAATTAAAGATGGTATAATATCACAGCAGCTTTAAGTTGTCATTTTTCATTGCTGACTTCGTGGTGTATCAAACATTCTTTATCTCCCAGGAAACTTGATCCATTATGAATCCAATGAGTTAGAGTTAAAGTTGCATTATATTTAAAAGAATATGATTTTTTTAGTTTTACCCTCGCTGCCTCACCTGATGTGCTCTATTGTTGATATGGAATTTTGTAGATATTTTGTATGATTCATGGTCACCAGCCATGACTGTTAGTTCCATCTGTATTAGCATTCTCTCCATGCTATCAAGCTCCACCATGAAGGTTTGTGTTCCCTTTTTTCTGCAGCTTGGTGTTTTCAAATCTTTTAACTAGTCTTTCCCCCCTCTCCATTAACATACAGAAAAAAACTAGGAAGTATATCATGTCCAGTCATAATTTTGACACTGATTGCATGAGGGTATGCTTTCAATTTATTCTGCTAAAATACCAATCATTATTTTGTAAACACATTGGGCATGCCTCCTTAAGGCATTTGCAATTAAATGGTATACTAGATTGAAATATGTAGGGGATATGTATCTAAAGCACTTTGCCCATGCCTGCAGCAACGTCCTGAAGATAATGACCGATATGTAAAGAATTGTAGAAATGGCAGATCTCCCAAGGAGACGAGATGGTGGTTTCATGATGATAAAGTGTAATTACCGGTGCACCGTCTTCTGTCATTAGTTCAAGCAATTAGAGTAGTTGGCTTTTCTGTTCAAAGGATGACGAAGACAAAAGAAAAGGCATTATAAGAAACTGGGGTTTGTCCCAATTGCTCAATAACTCTTTATAGATTGACAATGCCCGGTACTTGTAAAGCAAAGGGAACAATTTGTGTTTCTACTGATTTGTAAGGAACAAACTAAGGGCAGAGGAAGTTGGTATGCTCATAATTTAAGTACCTTTCTTCTTCCTGTGCTTTCTAGAGGTAAACACCCGCCTCCCTTCAGAGAAGTAAGTGTTGGCATGCATGTTTTCTTGATTGTTATACCATGCTACTACTGTCATGTCGAGTGTCAACTTCAATTTTTTATTATTTATTTTATGTTTTCATTTGTTTGTGCAATTTGCTTAGAGTGTGCCTCTGGAGAGTAGCTCATACATAGCCAATCCCGCTCACCTAAGAACATATGGTTAATAATCTTAACCCTCACTGATGCTCCTCTTTTTACTCAAACAAACCCTTTTAATTTGCAAAAATAAAAATAAAAATACAAAGAATTTCAACGCTTGTCTTCCTTCCTCCCCAGTAATCTTCTCCTCATCCTCTTCTCTCTCGCTCTTTTTCACAGATGATATAATATATAACAGTTGGGATGATAATGTCTTCTGCTTTGGCTTTTGACTACAAAGCCTGTCTGGATTCAAAAAAATATCAACGGAGACAATCTAACCAACCTTTCAAAGGCAACTTCTTCTTGTGTCTATTTTTTAACTCGATTTCAAATTTTTTCTTTGAATTTTTTATTGTAGAAAATTGGTAATTACTCTTCAGAAAACAATTTGGATGTTCTTTCTTTGATTGTGTAGCTTTCTAATGCAAATAATTTGGATGCATACGGGCTGTTCCCCCTTAGTATATAAGAATCTGGAATTAAATTCGAGATGAATGATTTCACCATATTGGTTAGGAACCACGGCTGTCTGAACCTTTTGGAAGCAAAACTCAAAGAAGATGGGTTCAGTCGAAATCAACTTGCATTTTTTTTTTTTGCAAATTAAAAGGGTTTGTTTGTGTAAAAAGAAGAGCATGAGTAAGGGTTAAGATTATTAACCATATGTGCCGTTAGATTAATATAAGAGTTTTTATTAAAGACGATTTCATTTTCAGGTCCTTAGGTGAGCAGGACGGCATATATAGGAAGGGGTTATCATCTATACACCTCTTCATTTGGAGAGTAGCTCAGATCAATAGTTTTTCCCATTTTGATAGATTTTTATTTATTTAATTTTTAGATTTATATTTTGTGTAATCGCTTAGAATTGATAATGAAATATGAAATAGACTTCATTTCTGTTTGCTTGGTGAAAGATTTTAGGCAAGATATATTGCACAAGATTATATAAAATTGGGAAAATTAATCCAATTTGATGTTAAAATTCTTCCCTGAATCATAAATCTTATATGTCATAAGTACTATTATGACAGTAATCACTACAATAAACTAAAGCAAAAGAGGGGTTCCTTATGTTATTTGGAATTGCTAATGTGTGATGGAGATATTGAAGGTGTGTTGCCTGTTGATCCTCTCGTTTTTGTTAACATAATTTGAATTGGGGAAGGATATGATAGTGAAACTAAATATGTTTGAACGAATAAATCTTTAATTTCCTCAAATACCTTATTTTAAAGCTTGGTTTGCACGGCAGCACCACACAAAAACTTTCTAATAAGCATGTAATAAGTTTGCTGTGCATGGCAGGATGACACAATTCTTGTTCTTGTACATTTATGGTCTGCCATCACAATAGTAACAGTATACACTTACAACATGAAATTCATGCTAAAAGAAATGAAATTTGTGACCCTAACAAATTAGTTGGTTTTCACAGAACCAGCATAAAAATTTCATGCGTGGTTCTCTGCTGCACGAGCTCACGAGCCTTTCCAACAGAGCAGGCTAGCCTCTCTTCTGAGTAGAAGCCGCTAACGCGCGTGCAAGAAACTTTTTCTATCACACATGCCCATCTCATTTTTTTCATTGTAAATATTGATCAAGGCTTTATTATTATTATTATTATTATTTATATATATTTATCAGGCATGTATCGAAATAGATATTTTTCGAAAAATTACACAAACTCTTAAGATATAACGCAGTTAACTGCTAAGAGAGAGAGAGAGTATGGAAGAAAAAAAAGAACTACTAATATACACAATTATTACCCCACGAGGTATAATTTTATGAATATACATTTTCTTCTCGTTTCAATAATTTACCATCTTTAATTGAAAATTGAAAATAAAAAACTATAAACGTAAATGTTACTACTCAATGAAGGCTTGGAACGACTCAAATTATGAGCCTTCCTATGAATCTAAATCACATATGTATGTGTGGTATTTTAAAAAAGAAGAAGAAAGTTTTAAGTCTTGAAAAAAAATAAGAAAGTTTTAACTAACCAAAATAAAAAGCAATATGCAATAAGAAAAACAGGAAACAAAATCGTTTAATTATTTGGTTCTTTCCCGATTTCTTCCTAACTTGGAGAGAACGAAACGATTTAGGGGTTTCCTTGGCGAGCAAGGATAACTGACTCAAGAATTGCATATATATAGAGGGCCAAACCTTCTTCTCCATTGTGCTGATCATAGCAACCATCAGAAACCCTTAGTCTCTCTCTCTCTCTCTGTGATCAATCAGAAACCCAAGAAACACTCTGTTCTAACTTCTAATCATGGCCAAGTTCGCCAACTCTTTCGACCTGCTGGGCGAGACCGAAGACATCGATGTCAAGGAACTCATCAGCGCGGTTGATGAGAGGGCCGAGTTTTTGGAGGTGAAGAAAAAGGCGATAGAGTCGGCGAAGAAGAAGGCGATGGAGGAGGAGAAGAGGAAGAAGGAGGCGATAGAGGCGGCAGAGAAGAAGAAGAAGGAGGCGATAGAGGCAGCGGAGAAGAGGAAGAAGGAGGCGAAGAAGAGGAAGGAGGAGGAGAAGAAGGAGCGGCTGAGTCTGAGTATTCAAAAACATTTATTCCTCGGAGGACAAAAGAATAATAATGGGTTTTACAGAAGAGGCCAGAACAACCAAAGGGATTTCAATTCCCAGAATTTTCGTGCTGCGCCGAAATCTGCTGATGATACTAGATCTGTCTCCAGTGCTGCTAGTATTGTGTTCTCAGAGATATCTTTTGGGAGCTTTTGCAAAGAGGATTTTGAAGAGTTGATGAAGAAGAAGAAGGAGACTGAAGTTGTGGAGAAGAAACAGGAAGAACAGGGTGGTGAGGAACAGGGGATCAAAACCCAACTACTGAGTAATGGGGTCAATGGAAGCAGCAGCAAGAGTTCTTCTGATGGAAAGAAAAAGTCAAATATCAATGGAAGTCTGAGGAGAAAACTGAAGAAGAAGAGGAACGAGGAGAAAAGCCACAGCGAAAATGCAGTAGCTGCTGGTGATACTGCTGGTGCTGATGTGACTGCTCCTGTTCAGAACAAGCTTACTATTTCATACACTTTGAAAGAATATGAGAAGATGAATACGAAGAAGAGTGAGAATCAAGAAACCGCTGTCGAACAGCCCCCTCAGCCTGCACAACGGCATCCCGAGCAGCCTCAAGACCACCATCCTGCACAATGGCAGACCAAGCAGTCTGCACAACAGAAGGCCAAGCAGTCCGCACAACGGCAAACCAAGCAGCCTCAATACCGCCATCCACCACAGCCTGCACAACAGCAACCCCAGCAGCCTCAATACAGCCATCCTGCACAATGGCAGACCAAGCAGTCTGCACAACGGCAGACCAAGCAGCCTCAATACCGCCATCCACAGCAGCCCAAGCAGCCCGCACAACAGCAGCCCAAGCAACCCGCACAACAGCAGCCCAAGCAGCCCGTACAACAGCAGCCCAAGCAGCCCGCACAACAGCAGCCCAATCAGCCCGTACAACAGCAGCCTAAGCAGCCCGCACAACAGCAGCCCAATCAGCCCGCACAACAGCAGCCCAACCAGCCTGCACAAGAGCAGCCACAGCAGCCTGCACAAGAGCAGCTTAATAGCAGGAATGACGGCTCCTGGAATCCAGTGAAGGATCGTAGACGGCGGCGAGATTGGGGGAACTATAACTCTGATGGTAGGTTTGAAGGAAGTTGTTCGCGACAGGCCAGGGTTGCGAATAAGGAATTTTTGATAAATCCTGCTGAATTTCCAACCCTGAGCAGTAAATAATTGTATTTGTTTGGAGATAGATTTTGAACTTTTCCTAGTTGAGTTACTCTACAAGTAGCCATTGAGGCACTTTTTTGGATGGTGATGAAAACTGTTTTCACTTTAATAAAAAGTTTTTACAGTATTGCTTTATTAATTTCCTTGGTGTTCAATGTGTTTAATTCCGTAGCCCAAAAAATAAAAAAAATAAAAAAATCTAGAAATCAAAGCAAAATAATGACATGAAGTATTGGCTCTCCGGTTATTGACACAGCTATTCGATATTCGCAAGTTAGGCTCTTTCTTAAATATTACTGAGACTATTTCCTTAACAAGATTAAGGAACGCCATTTCTTGTTGCTGCAGCCTGATAGAGAAGACGAACTTGTGATGGTACGATGCAAGGCAATTAGCCGGATGTTCATTTTGAGTTGAATCTTAGCTGAATTTCCAACCCTGTAACAATTTGATTATTTAGAAGAAATAGGTTTTGCTCTCATGTGCTAGACTAACTCATAAAAGTTCCACCTAGGGGAAAAATGCAGAGATACATAAAGCAAAGAGAAATTATTGTGCGGTATTGAAAAATGGGCACGTAAGTGGTTTAAAATGTTCATTCTCCCTTTCAAATTAGCACCGCTATAACTGTAGTCTTAGTCTTCAACTTTTTGTAAAACATGATACTTCACTCAATATTACTCCTCATTTTCAACCTATCCATCATTTACAACATCTGTATATTTCTAGTGGTAACTGACATTATCACTTTTTTTTGGTCCAGCTGACATTATCACTTTGTTCTTCAGACTTGTGGTGCTTCTAGAACATTATAGAGATTGCTCCTCAAAATGGGCTGAGCTGCGCTGTTTATCTTGGGCTTGGTTAAGTATTGATGGGCTGGGTTGATATTTTAAGAGATAAAATATAAAATAATTGTTGACTAAAGTTTTTGAGTGATATACAAAGCAACATTGATCCAGAGTCTAATACGATGTTTATCATCTTTGACTATTATTGCCCTCAAATCCACCAACTACCCCATCCTTTTAATTCAACGTTCATTAATTAAATTATATACAAAGCACCTTGATCATCACTGCCGGCCTTTGAACATACCTCTCTCTCTCTCTCTCTCTGAGACTTGGGGACTTGTACAGAGATCATGGATTACATGATCGAAGTAAATCACCAGAGGATCAAAACCAATGGAATTTGGCTGCATGTAGCAGAAAAAGGAACAGGTCCTCTTGTTCTCTTGCTTCATGGCTTCCCAGAACTCTGGTATGCTTGGCGCCACCAGATCAACCACTTGGCCGAGAATGGCTACCATGTGGTGGCGCCTGACTTGAGAGGCTATGGTGACTCTGATTCTCCTCTCAACCCCAACTCCTACACCATTTTCCACATAGTTGGAGACCTCGTCGGCTTACTTGACCATTTTGGTCAACAGAAAGTGAGAAGCTTTTGTCCAACCCCAATTAAACAAAAAGTTTATAGAACTGTTCTGTTTATGAATTTTTATGAACATGTTCATGTCATGATTTATGTTTCAGTGAGGTGTTTAAGGATTCTTTGACATTCTTATATGTTTTGTGGTTTGAGAAGGCATATGTTGTGGGGCATGATTGGGGAGCGGTTGCTGGGTGGCATTTGAGCTTGTTTAGGCCTGACAGAGTGATAGGGCTGGTAAATCTATCTGTTCCATACTTTCCAAGATCTCCAACAACTAAAACTACAGAAGCAATCAGAGAATTGTATGGAGATGGAACTCATGTCATTCAATTCCAGGTACCTCCTTAAATTCTCTCCACAATTCCTGTATGCATATGTATACGTGTATGTGTGTATCACTTTTAGTTATGGTTTCTTGGCTGAGAAGGAACCAGGAAGAGCAGAGAGAGCGTTTGCAAGGTATGACTACACGACGGTGATGAAGAAGTTCTTGCTGATAACCGATAACATGATAGCTCCTCCGGACATGGAGTTTATTGATTTCCTGGACACAAAATCAGCATTGCCAGCATGGCTAACTGAAGAGGATATCCGGGTCTTCGCTGAAAAATTTGAGGAATCTGGATTCACTGGTCCTTTTAACTACTATCGTGCAATGGACTTGTAAGTGTGTAGAAAATTTACTTGGTTCTTTCTTTCTGGAAAGATGCTCTTTCCAAGCTAGGCCTTAGGTACAACCATCATATGCAAAGATACTTATTCTGTTCCAGTTCTAATATACTTAATTAATCACAAGCTTTTATTCTGTTAACATATAAGATAAGGATAATAACCCCATTTCACTTTGATAACACATGAAATTGAATCCCAAGTCTCTTCCCTGCCTTCGGCCAGAATAAAATACAAGGTAAAGGAAAGAAAAGCCTTCTATTAAGGAAAATGCAGCCAGCTCACCCGTGCAGGCTTTAGCCAATACAACAGACCAACTCACCCATGTTGGTCTGCAGTACCTTTTGGTCCTTTTGTTTTGTTGACTGATACGAGTGATTGTGATAAACAGGAGTTGGGAGCTTCTTGCACCCTGGCAAGGATCGAAAATTACGGTACCTGTGAAGTTCATGATTGGTGACAAAGATTTCAGCTTTAAGTCAGATGGAAGTGAATATGTGCTAGGTGATGATTTCAGGAGTCTTGTCCCCAACCTTGAAGTGGTTGTTATAGGCGGCCACCATTTCATAGAGCAAGAGAACCCTCAAGAAGTCTCCAGCCAAATACTTTCCTTCCTGCGTGAACATCCTGTAGATCAATGAAATTGTTTAGTGTGCTTCTGAATAAATCCCAAATGGTTTGTGGGGTACATTGAACCAATATGGGGTTCAATTAGAACCATCCTTTTCTTTGTTCTGTATCAGGGTTGGATGATTTTCTGTGCTTTGGGTTTGTTCTTTCTTCTTCTTAAGGCATTTAGAAATTCTGTTTATAACCTAATGTGATAGCCTCTTTGATATGGGGAATTACACTTGGCATGCCAAATTAACTACCACCTGGATTTGTAAAATAAGTTTTGGAAAATTTTAAATTTATCAGTGACATGAACATAACCAAAGATTTTGTTAATTGTAAGTCGGCTGCATTCAAACTTGTTGATTTGGGAAAGGGTATAGGCCTTGTTCCGTAACGAAAGCCAAAAACTTCGTAGATTGGGACAAAGCAAATAGTTCATATTTCTTGGCTGCAGTTCAATACAACCAAATCCTTCTGTTAATTTGTACTTAAAATACTAAAAACTTTTGAAAGAGAATTCTACACCTACACAATTTTGTTTTTACAATTAGTTTACTCTATGACCAAACGCCGATGTCGCATTTCCATGATATGACACGATGGGTTGCAATAATAACATACAAAACCATATATAAGCAGGCAGCCATATACTATAACAGTTTTATACACCAAAAAAGAAGAAGAAAATAAAAATAATGGTAGATGGTAGTTTCCAGGAAAATGATCAAGAGGAGACTGTCAAGCACTGATATTTAGTTTCCTGTGGAACCAAGGGAATTGTCAACAAGTACATGAAAACTAAGAAGTTGAGAAGACCAATAAAAGTTAATTGAGACCATCCAGCAAATAAGAACAGCAATCAGGTCAAGAAAATTGTACCTTTCTGCACCATGACTAGCTTTGGAGCATTTGATACGTTACTCTCACCTTTGGTCTGCTTCAAAGTTCTCATCTTTGACTGTTTGAAATTCAGAGAGTCGCCAAATCATTTTCCACATATTAATTACACATATATAATTGAGCTATAAAAAGCCAGTCCATTCACACCATTAAGCACACCAGTTGGTTTTATTTTTATTTTATTTTCTGAGATTTGAAGAGAAGAGAACATGAATGAGGTGACTCACCAAAGGATCAAGACAAATGGGATATGGATGCACATAGCAGAGCAAGGGACAGGCCCTCTTGTGCTTCTCCTCCATGGCTTCCCCGAAATATGGTATTCGTGGCGCCACCAGATTGGTTACTTGGCTAAGCATGGGTACCATGTTGTTGCTCCTGATATGAGAGGCTATGGTGACACTGACTCTCCTCTGTGTCCTACCTCCTACTCTATTCAACACCTTGTTGGAGACCTTATTGGCATTCTTGATCATTTTGGTGAACAAAAGGTTTTTTTCTCTTTCTTTCCCGTTTTCTTCTTCTGTGTTTTATTTTATAGTGACTGTTTTGATTGTTTGTCTCTCTTATTTGAAAGGCATTTGTAGTGGGTCATGACTTCGGAGCCGTTGCAGCTTGGCATCTGAGCCTGTTCAGGCCTGACAGAGTCAAGGCCCTGATTGCACTATCTGCTCCATACTTTGAAAGATCTTCAAGCACCAGGGATTCTGAATCTGTGAGGCGAATTTTCAGTGACGGGTGTTACGTTTATCAGTTTCAGGTTCTTTTTTAGTCAAGACATGAATATGTTCTTCAAGTTAGCAATTGTGTTATGTGTTTGTGTAATTGTATTTGCAATTTGTGTATGGTGGTAGGAACCAGGAAGAGCAGAAAAGTCGTTTGCAAGATATGATTATTTGACAGTGATGAAGAAATTCTTGCTGTACAACAAGACAGATTATTTGGTATCTCCTCCTGGAATGGAGATCATTGATTATTTGGAGACACCAGCTGTGTTGCCACCATGGATTTCTGAGGAGGACCTCCAAGTCTATGCTGAAAAGTTTGAAGAATCTGGCTTCACTGGTGCCCTCAATTATTTCCGTACAATTGAGCTGTAAGTATTGAGTCTGTAGACACACCAACTAACAACCCAAAATTTTTAACCAAAAAACAAAAACAACCCAAAATTCCCCCAATTTTATTTGGATTTTGGCCATTAAAAATGTAGAAATAGGATCATATCATATCGTATCAGCTTTAACAAATTGAAGAATTTATAGTTTACCTGCACAAATTTTTCTACGCGGTTTGGTTTGGTGGCGGGGTGGGTTGTTAGCTAGCTTAATTAATAAGTCAACTGCGAAGAATATTCAAATGGCTTTTGAATTTTAAGAAAATCCCAATTTGATTTGTCTTGCTTTCAGGAGCTTTATTGATGTAAGTTGGCTAATCTTTTACATCTGTTAATTTTGAAAATGGGAAACAGGTACTGGGAGCTCATGGGACCATGGCAAGGATCAAAGATAAGTGTTCCAGCAAAGTTGATTGTAGGTGACAAAGACATTGGCTTTGAAATTCTGGGCACAAGGGAATATGTGAAAGGAAGTGTTCTCAAGAGTCTTGTGCCAGACCTGGAAGTCGTGATTTTAGATGGCCACCATTTTATCCAGCAAGAGAAGGCTCAAGAAGTCTCAGACGAAATTCTTTCCTTCCTGCGCAAATTTTCGACATAATAGGACTTTCCTCCACTTTGAATGAGTTTTGTATTTCCTCTTTTTCACAACTTAAATGCTTTGTTGAATATAGCTTTCAACACATTTTATTACCACATTTCCAACCTCAAATAATGTCGTTGTTGTAGCTAGAACGAGTGCTCAAAATTGAGGATCAAAAGGAGACCTTACTCATTCGTTCTAGCAAATTTTAGAAATTTCAGTACATTTTCGTATACAATAAATGTTATTGAAGCAGCAGGAACATTTTTCAGAAGATTTGGGGTGATTCCCTTGTAGAAACCTCTAACGCCCTCAAACCTACAGCCCCAACAAAGAAGGAAAGGTTAGCATCCTAAGACAAGAAAGAAAAAGAAAAATCGAAGGGGATATATATCATGGAAGGAAAGGCCATCTAGCTACCTGCTCTCTTGTAACATTCATTACCAATCGAATCAGATAGAGATTTGCATAAAGAAATTATTTCCAGATATTTGCATCATATTAAAGCTAAATTTTGTACTTACCGTACAGTTTCCCTTATCACATGCCAGCTATCCATATATCTTGGAATTCCTTCACTGCTAGGTCGTTGCTGACAAAATGAGAAAAATCTCATTAATAAGGAATACGAGCAAAATCCATAAAACATGTAGAATCTCAAAAGTTATGTTGAAGGGTTTTAGTAATAAAAGCTCGGACTGTTTCAGACTGGGGAAACTTCTATATATTGAGACCATATATAGAGAAAACATAATGGATATACCTGCAATCGAGATCGCATCACCTGAAAAAAGAAAAGAGAGAAAAAAGTCATCACAACCAAATAAGTAATAATCTACAAATGAAATGAACATCAAGAAGAATTTTACATCAATGCCAAAAATATATATTTATGCATGCCTGGAATGGATATGATAGAAGAATGGCAGCAACTTTAGATGATGCCCCCAAAGCTGCATAGTCAACTGAATTCTGTGCAAAAAACAATAGACAATAAGACCTCGTAACCAGGCTGGTTAATTTGCCTAATGAGCTCAATCCAAGACCTGATTTGCACACCCTTAAACTTGAACAGATGGAACCAAAGAGCAACAAACGTAGATTACCATACAACAAAAGATGATCTACATTATAGTAGCTGTGTAAACACCTAGACTTCTCCCAGATGCATCTTCATGAATTTGATATCCTCCCACAAGTAAATTCAATATAGCAAAGGTTCCATATTCTTCAGGTAAAATAAAGTGGACAAAAAAACTAAACGACGGTTCCCCCATGAAAGTAAGTGTAGAAGAAAAGAAATTAAAATGACAGTGAATTGATAAGATTGATTCCCATTAGTAAAATATATAGTATACGTGCTTCTATAATAATCCTACACCTCACCACTAGGTAGAGTTAACATGCTGTGTTATTAACCCCATATATGTAGTAGATGATCAGGCACAAGGAATGTATGTGTGTTTCCTCAATCATGAACAAAAAACAGGCATAGTGAGCAGAAGAGACGTAGTATAATCTGATTCATGTTATTGCCAAACATCTACAAGCCCATACGTACATATACAAAAATTTGTACACCAATTACCAAATCACATTTCCGCACCAACCAGGGATTCTTCATTTGGTGCAGTAAATACTAGACAATTGACTAGAGAATAAATTTACCAACTACCAAAAGGGACCTCTGTATTGAACTATATGTGAAATGGGAATGTAGATTAAGAATTCCAGAACAAGAAGATCTATGGATTAAAATAGGTCCATTACTACAGAACATTAACTGCATGAACAGAGAATTACCAACACTGAATCAGCACTTCCAGAATGCCTTCTGCTTTTTTTAGACTTGAAGTCAACAACTACTTTACGGAGTTCTTCATATGCTGTGAATTGAATAGCACCATGAGATACCTGCTGAAACAACACGAAGATCTGTAAGCTGCAAAGTTGTGAAGCATGAAAGACTAACAGATTTTTGGCATGAGTGATGCATGTGTATAATATAATGCACTTATAATCTTCAAATGCAATTAAGTGTAGAAGTACACAATAATCTCCAGAAGCATTTCCATCTCGCCACTCAGCAGTGTATATCATCAGATATGTAGGACACCCCACCTTATTTTCCCACTACAAATTTTTCGCAATTTTCTTCAGTTTCCTTTTACATGGATTAACTCTAAGTGTCCAAAATCTTTGAATAACATCACAAATCATGACCATGGTATTCTTTTAGTGATGGTTAGAAGCTGTACACAGAGGCTCTTAAGTGTCCATGGGAAGAAAACACAGTAAACCCCAAATCCTCTGTACAACTCTTAAAAATGATTAAGGAAAACCAAATATTTTTGTTGTTAGTTGTAGATAAAGTGATATACCCATATTGATTGTTTCATATGATTAAGAGAGAGAGAGAGAGAGAGAGAGTCATTATTTTCTAATCTTTAAATATTATACTGTACATCTGTGCGAGAAAACAAAGACAGACTACCATAGAAAAAGCTCTAGACAACAACATACCAGAAAAAGACTGGGAAGAAGACCTTTATAAAGCGCAGCCCACCCTTCCTCTCTCACTATAGTTCTTAAGGCATCTGAAAAATGATTAAAAAGAAAAAGAAAAAGAAAAAACAAGTTATGAACATAAGGACATAGAAGAAAAATTCTCTGAAATAGACATGTCAAAGGTGATTGAGCAAATGCATTTAAGTGATAGCTTTTGCAAACTCCCTGGAACCAGGAAGTTTTCTAGTTTGGTATTTGTAATGGTGGTGAAGTTTGGGGTTGACTGAACACGTATGCTTGATATCTTTATTGGCTTTTGATAAAAATATATAATTAAAGCAAAGCAAACTTCATGACAATTATAATCCTGTCCTATCTTCTATGAACTACTTGATAACCAAGCAAACCAATCTTATAACAGAGTCAAATTCTAGAAGTCTACATCATGGATAGTTTATTATCTTCAGCACAAACTAAATAAATACACAAATAAGTAATATTTAGCATGAAAAAAACTAATTGCAGGCATCACTATCAAGTTAAAGTAAGATATGGAGCAGACCATAAAACCCAGAATATGGTTGAGTTTGATGAAGAGGAGTCTGAAGCTGCAATCTTGTTTTTACAAGCCAAATAGGATTTGTGCACAAAGAAACCTGACAAAATCACAAGGTTGCTATCATCTATAGGTAACCATGTGCTAAAATCCTGCCTACCTTCTAAAAATATTAGAAGGGAACAGAAAATGGAGTTATATTCCTCTAAACACTTGCCAAATGACAAAAATGACCACCTTCAGAACAATGTACTTATAGCACCAAATTCAGGAAGGTGCTAACCTTCAACTGGGAGTCTGGTATATTCAAGGATTCTTTTAACTAACCAGATATTTTTGTTAAAAGTTTCAACAAGTGTCTTGATTTCAAAGTACAAAAAATTGGAAACCTAAGGATGCAGAGTGCGGGAATCATGTCTGTGCCATATGCAAATAAAACCGACCACCAGGATCAGATAACGGTTTCAGAAGAAAAAAAAATTCGATTAATGTATTTTCAATCAACGTTTGCAGAATACTCACCAAAGCTCCAGCTTCTGCTGCAGAAGCGAGATGAAGACCAGGGCTCAGCTGCTCATCCCTATTTTTAGAATACCTTTGTTTCGCTCTTCCATAGCTACATAATACAGAGATTTTGTTTAATTCGTAACATCTTTCAGCAAACAAGACCGAAAAAACAAAAAACACAAAAATCCAAATGAAAAAAACCCAATTACAACTGCATTGCGAAGATAGAATCCATTGGTATGCGTGGCAGGAACATTCATCAAGTAAAAAAATTCAATTTACACTGGAGCTGAAGGCATATATTCTAAAAGCCCATACATTGTTACTTACAAGAAGAAATATAAGCCCCATGAAACAGTGGAACCAAGAACAGCAGGAGAAAAGCCTGCATAGAGTCCTCCCAAGCCCTGCAAGACAAACCAATGTGAACCAAATCATCATCAACAACAAAAACCCTAAGGTGGGTTTTGACAATGTGAACCGAGGATATATGCATATACCTCCAATCGAGCAATGGTGAAAATGGCGTGAGCCGTGTTCTTGTAAGTTGGAAGATTGGAGACTCGACCATCGTGGACTTGAAATCTCGTACGGACAACGTCTAGAGGATGCATCGCCGCGACAGTGGCGAAGCCGGCGACGGCGCCGGCGGTGGCAGTTTCCCACTGCCACTGCGACGCCGACGACATTTGAATTTCACGGCAGATTCAAAAGCTTGATGCTACCGACTACAGCGGCAGCCGGCAGGTCTTAAACCACCACAGTTGCCTTGTGCTCTGCAGCTTGGGTTCTGAAAGCAACAGGCTTTTCTCTGCAATCGCTTACCGGTACAAGACCTGGCGGTTTCGATTTGAAATCCTAAAACGACGGCGTTATATAATGAACGACTACTGAGTAACGAGGTGGGCTTTGCCTCTGAGTCTTGTCTTGAGTGCTGTCAGATGCGAAAGACGGCGTCGTTTCAAGTGGAAGGTTGGATACGGTGTCGTTTGGGAAGTGTTTTGACTCGGTGATTACTGTACTGTTTTTATTTATTTATTTATTATTTAATTTTTGTGATAAAAGGTTGTTAATGCATGTTAGTTGGTTATAACAGATTTTAGTCTAGACACTAAGTAATGAGGGTTCCAATTCCATTGCCAAAGCTAAATGAAATTGGGTTCCATTTTTCCGGAAGGATATATGATATATCTATAAAACCCAAGTGGAGAAATAGAAAGCACCTCCCATTTCCCTTTTTCTTCAACAAAATCTCCCAAGACTTTCTCTTGTGAGAAAGATTGAGAAACAAGAAACCATAAAAATGGCTTCGAGAAACAGCACCAGGCCAGGCATTGCTAATGATCATGATGATGAAGACATGGCTAAAGCTCTTGCTTACATAGAGCACATGCTTTTGGATTACCATGATGAGTTGGAAGAAGATGGGCATGCAGAAGAAAATGAGCAACTAGCATTGAAAATCCAAGAATTTGAAGCATTCTTACTAGGCACAGAAGCCATTGCTGCAACACAAGAAGAACAAGAACAACCACAACCAGAACAAGGTTCCTTCTTCTATGGAAACTATGCTGTCCCGCTAGTCCCGAGCCTTCAAGAACCTGCTGCCCTGCATGCCCAAGAAGCCATTGCAGCACAACAAGGCATGCCTATACTACTACAGGAACCAGGACTAGGTTGGTTCTGTGGAAACTATGTGCCTCCTCATCACTTCATTCCATTTCAAGAACCTTGTTCTCCACATGTCTTGCAAGCCCAATAAGCCATTGCACTAGGTTCCTACTACGGAATTCCCAACTTTGTCCCTCATCATCATCTCCCACCATTCCCAAGCTTCCAACCCTCAATTCAATTTCAAGAACCTGCAGCCTCACATGCCCTGCAAGCCCAAGAAGCCATTGCTGCAGCACAAGGCATGCCTCAACTACCACAACAACTAGAACTAGGATCTTTCCACCGAATTGGAACCTATGTGCCTCGTGATTTCCCAGAAATCCCGAGTCTCCAACGCTTAATTCAATTTCAAGAACAACCAGAACTAGAACTGGGTTCATTTGATGGAACTGGCAACTATGTCCCTCCTGCTCTCCCACCAGTCCCAAGCCTCCGAAACTTGATTCAAATATGCAGCAAGCCTTTTCATAAGTTCTTGTCAAACTATGATGTGACAACACAAGCATTAAAGCTGATGAAATGTGACGTAGAAAGGCCCGTCTGGCCATTGTTGAATGGCGATGAAGATCTTATACAAGGCATCTGGCTCAAAATGTATGACATTGCTGGTAATGAGTACAGTGTGCAGTTCAAGACCGCAGGAGTTCAAAAAATTCATATGCTTACTGGTCCAGATTGGCAATATTTTGTTCGACGTCATCGCCTGGTACGGTACAAAGATGTTACCCTGTGGGCGTTCAGGAATGCCCAAACTGGAAAGCTATGTTTTGTGATCACTTTGGGAAGGCTGCCCTTATTTTAAAACTCAGACATTGTTCAAGACCAAGACGGAGTTGAGATATGGACTGCAGCATGAAAAGGTCAACAAAGTCAATGACATTTCTCTAAGTTGGATCAAGTTGTGATTTGAGGTGTATTGTATATGCATATGGATCAAGTTCAAGATGTAAAAATGTTCCTGGCAGTTGGTATTCCTTTGGTTGGGAATGGATATGATAGAAGAGTAGCTACTTGATCTCTTATAACGTTCATTACCAATCAAATCAGATTTTAGATGATGCCCCCAAAGCTGCAGAGTCAACTGAATTCTGTGCCAAAAGAAATAGACCATGAGACCTCGTAATCAGACTGGTTAATTTGCCTAATGAGTCTCAATCCAAGGTCTGATTAGCAGACTCTTAAACTTGAACAGATGTAACCAAAAAGCAACGAGACGTAAATTACCATTCAAGTTTCAACAAATGATGATCTACACTACAGTAGCTGTGAAAACACTTAAAGACTTCTCACAGATGAATATCTCCATGAATTTAATATGCTCAAGTAAGTAAATTTAATAAAGCAAGAATTTCAAATTCTCCAGGTGATGACATAAAGTGGACAAAGAAACTAAACGAAAATTCCCCCGTGAAAACAAGTGTCGAAGACATGAAATAAAAACGTAGTGAATAGTGAATTAACAAGATAGCTTCCCATTTCTGAAATATGCTAGTATATACACTGCTTCAATAATCCTACATCACGCTACATGAAATTGGGTTCCAATTGCATTGCCAAAGCTAAATGAAATTGGGTTCAATTTTTCTGGAAAGATATCTATATAACCCAGGTGGAGAAACAGAAAGCACTTCCCGTTTCACATTTCCCATTTCCCATTTCTTCAAAAAAAATCTCCCAAGAAGACTTCCTCTTGTGAGAAAGCTCATGAAACAAGAAACCATAAAAGTGGCTTCAGGAAACAGCTCCAGGCCAGGCATGGCTAATGATCATGATGATGAACACATGGCTAAAGCGCTTTCTTACATAGAGCACGTGCTTTTGGATTCTGATGATGAGTTGGAAGAAGATGGGCATGCAGAAGAAAATGAGCAACTAGCATTGAAAATCCAAGAATTTGAAGCATTCTTACTAGGCACAGAAGCCATTGCTGCAACACAAGAAGAACAAGAACAACCACAACCAGAACAAGGTTCCTTCTTCTATGGAAACTATGCTGTCCCGCTAGTCCCGAGCCTTCAAGAACCTGCTGCCCTGCATGCCCAAGAAGCCATTGCAGCACAACAAGGCATGCCTATACTACTACAGGAACCAGGACTAGGTTGGTTCTGTGGAAACTATGTGCCTCCTCATCACTTCATTCCATTTCAAGAACCTTGTTCTCCACATGTCCTGCAAGCCCAAGAAGCCATTGCGCTATGTTCATACTACGGAATTCACAACTGTGTCCCTCATCGTCATCTCCTACCATTCCCAAGCTTCCAACCCTCAATTCAATTTCAAGAACCTGCAGCCTCATATGCCCTGCAAGCCCAAGAAGCCATTTCTGCAGCACAAGGCACGCCTCAACTACCACAACAACTAGAACTAGAATCTTTCCATGGAATTGGAACCTATGTGCCTCGTGATTTCCCACCAATCCCGAGCCTCCAACTCTCAATTCAATTTCAAGAACATGCAGCTCCACGAGCCCAACAATCCCAACAAGCCATTGCAACACAAGAACAGCCAGAACTAGAATTAGGTTCATGCCATGGATTTTGCAAGTATGTCCTAAAGTTTAAAGATGTTGTTACCCTGTGGGCGTTCGGGAATGCCTAAACTGAAAAGCCTTGTTTTGTGATCACTTCAAGAAGGTTGCCAGATTGCAGACATTGTTCAAGAACAGGACAAAGTTGAGCTCACTGCAGCATGAAAAGGTATACAAAGTCGATGGCATTTCTCTAGGTTGGATCAGGTTATAATTTGCGGTGTAGACATGGATCAAGGTGAAGTTGTAAAAATGTTCTTGGCAGTTGGAATATCTTTGGTTTGGAGAAACATGCAAAGTACATATCATAAACTTCAACTCTGTGAACCTATTATCAAAATGCTAGGTCTACAACTGTTGGTTTGTAAAAGTAATGAAGTAACTGAAAGGATTGATTGTTTAAAAAAAAAAATTGAAACAAAGCTTCCGCAAATACATTATTCTAACTCGAAGAAAGATAAGCAAAGCAGTTCTACTAAAGATTGCTTTGCATCATGAAGATCTCCAGTAGTCTTCTATGAGACTATGTCAATTGCACATCCGGTGTGATGAACCACTAATTTGCTACTCTACATTTTTTAACAATTTGCCACCTGAACATTGAACTTCTACATCCTTCTCTCCCCCTGGAAAGTCACCAAAAAATATAAACCATCAGATATTCAAGTTGCATAACTGCATTGAACAAGAAAGAAAATGTGGTAACGGTGCAATGCTATCGAGTGCTATCAAAGGTGATTGCCAGAAAACATTGACAATGATGAGGCTACTTAGGTGATACTCAAGTTTAACCGCAAAACTGATGCATATACAACCGCGCACACATTTATGTGTGCTGCAGCCAGACAATCAATATCATTCTACACTAAAATAGAAATATTGCATATTTCTGCCCATTAGTCATTTAATAGGCCACTGCCAATGATGTACCTCACAAACCACCAACTCATATTAGTTTGCAAGTTAAAACACAGATTTTCTTTCTGATTCTTCCCTGACATCCTCCAAGTCATCCCCAACAATGTCATGCTATAAAGCCCCAAATAGTGCCTAGATTAGCAGCTCCGAACACAGGACATGACTCTAAACTCATAGTGCCTATATAGGAGCTCGGAAGTTTCAGTGACCTTTACACATGAGTAACAAAATGCCTAAGACTAGCTCGGAGTTTTCATTAATGTGCTTTGTGCCCCATTCCCAACATCTTTGTTAATCATATTGACCAAAACAGGGATTTCTAAACCAGATTACTAGAAAACTTTCTGAGTTAACAAACCCCAAAAAACAATGAGAGGTAGCTCCTGTTGCCAACCTCATTCACTAAACTACACACACTACAACCCACACCACACAATCAAATTCAAATTCACAAAACGTATAAGCAAAAAATTTCCCAAATTACCTCACTCCATAGAAACTTTGGCACCAACTTCCTTCATCTTCGCGACAATCGAATCTGCCTCCTCCTTTGTAACCCCCTTCTTCAACAGCGTAGGCGCCTTCTCCACCAAGTCCTTGGCCTCCTTCAGCCCCAAACTCGTAAACGTCCTCACCTCCTTAATCACTTTGATCTTTGCTGCAGCATCAAAAGAATCGAGCTTTACATCAAAAGCCGTCTTCTCCACCTTCTCCTCGCCTTTAGCCGCCGCCGGACCACCTTTGCCGGCGCCTTTCAAGCCGCCAAATCCCATCCCCGGCATCATCATCGCCATCACCGGCATCTCCTTTATGCCCAATTTCTCCCTCAGAACCTCCGTGAGGTCCGAGACTTCGAGCAAAGTCAGGCCCGATATCTCATCCGCGATTGCCGATACCGTCTCGGACGGAGGTGGCCGTTGCTCCGGTGCAGCGGTGGTGTAATTGCACACGAAATGAGAACTAATCTGGGGCTTTGATTGGAGAGAGGATAGAGGAGGGCTTTGGGGGTTTAGGGTTTTGTGAATACGAGAAAAATGTGGGGAAATGAACCGTAAATATCTCATTTTTCTGGGGTTGGGGGTGTGATTTCAGGCAATTGGGGAAGTTATCTGAGCATTGTGGTCCTGATTAGGTTAGCATAAGCTTGTTGCTTTCATGGCTTCTGAAGCTTAGAAGAGAGTGACTGGTATGGCGCGAGTGTGATTGACCGCTTGCAGGCATAAACTCTATACGGGGACGAAGGCTTAAGTTGCCCTCCACCAAGGTCTGTAAACTTCAGACAAAAATTGATGATGGGCCCAAATCCATTTATTGGGCCTTGAACAGTGCTTGGCCCAAAGGTTTTTGGGAAATTCTATTTACAATACACCCAACAAGTTAATCAGAACACCCAGACCTAATTTTTAAGATTATAGCATGTTCACATATTAGATTACATGGTTATTAAGAAAATTTGGAAAATTAAACTTTTTAGTGGCACAGTAAAGATTTTTTTAGTTTCTTTCTCTATTTATTTAAAGATTTAGAGATATAATCACTTGAGGTTTTGCTCGATCTTTGTCGAAAACCCTCGAACCATACTCGAACTCCTTTGCACAACGTGTCATACGCACTTATTGGTTTTTCTACCATGCATTATTGGAGCAAATTAAGTCATTTTTGTCTTATGGCCTGTATTCATTAGAGAAGATTACTTTATGTTCAAAGAAAGCAACACCTTGCTATTATTACTCCTACCCTATAGTTGCCTTAAAAGAAGCAGCACAAACGACACTTCACATAGCTAAGTAATGTTTTAACGTTACCACCAATAATGGAGCATCTTAAGGGTGAAGGGAAACTTGTTGACAAGGATCTGTCTTTAGAAAAATCACTACGATTGTCTTCCGGTCATGCTTCCGAGAACTTCACTTTTTCTCCATTATTATTTTAATTCTTTGGATGGGAACGTGAAATTTTTTTATGATTATAGGATCACTGATGGAATGTTGATGATAGATAAAACCTTGAAAGTTTGTCCAATGAACGCCTTGAGGAATCTGTGCAAAAAGCAACTCTTCTTCTCTCCTATCTTTTGACAGACTGCATTATCATTATCAAGGGTAGGCCTCATGTCTCTCAATTCTTAGTACCAACTCCAAAGCCTCATTAGGTACAATAAAATGACGTACGTAGAAAGATGATACGAGACGTACGATAGAGGAGCAGTTTGTCATGCCTAATAAGTTCAGAAACGGTAAAATTTAACTTTTGTATGTTTGGGCTCGGAGCTCTAATTTGAGTCTATAATTCATTGTTGTTTTGAAAAAAATATTAAGATGAGTCAAAATAACGTGACAATTTGACATATTCTTTGGAGATTCTCTTAGTAATTCTGAGGTTTGAGATAATACTAAAAGCAACTTCAGCTTTGTGAATAGCAAGCTTTGTGGTTTCTCTCACTATTGCATTGCGTTACAAAAAATAAATAATAAACGAAGGTGTAGATTGTTGATGTTAACTAAAATCGAAGCTTTTAAAGATTATTGAAGATGAAAAATAGTACAAGTTCCATGAAAACACAAGAAGCACTAATTTTGCATCACTGGATGTCTACAATATAATAGCCACATAAAGCTTTACAATCAGAATTTATTTTGGGAAAGAGAGAAAAAAAAATAACTTGGAAAAGCAGAAAAAGACACACTACATATGAACTTTTAGTGGCCCTGAAATCATGCAGTCCGATTGATTGAGTTGATCTTCCTGCATCTCTTTCTGATCTCTCCCCTTGATCCTGTAAGTGGGGAAATATTTCCCATCTTAACCATGGACTTGGCAAACTGCTCAAAGAAAAGCTCAGTGTTCTCAGCATACTGTTGAACCAATTGCTTTGTCACTTGACTCTTTGTGATAAGAATTTCATCTGAGTTCAGGAGGCCCTTGGAAGCCAACAAGTTCTTGAAGTAGCTGTTGTCAAACTTTGTTGGGCTGACAAAGTCCAAGAAAAACAGGGTTTGGTCTCCACCAGATCTTGGGCACCTGGTTCTCAACTGTGCAGCATATGACTGGTCAAGGGTGAAGTCAGCTAAGCCATTGCCTGACTGGTTGTAAAGCCTCTGCCTGAATGAGGTGCATCTAGCATTTCCAATGGTGTGGCTTCCTGCATATCAATGGAAATAAAAAAAACTGATTGAGAAACACAAAGCTCAGGGCATGTTAGCTTTTTTGGTAATTTTTATTTTTAGTAAATAATGAAGAACTATGTTGTGTTTTTTTGGCAATGTTACCAGATAGTGCAACAAGATCAACAATGTTGAGCTTTTGCCTCTTGAACTTGGTGAGAATTGTTTGGAAGGTGTTGTTTGGAGCAGGGATGTTGTTGTTGGAGCCACTTAAACTTGCTCCTTTTGAATCTCTTCTGCCTAGTGGAACTTCCCAGTTTGGCCCCCCAGACTGCAATATGCAGCAACAATTTGTAGTCAGCATATGTGAATTTAGGCTTGGATTCTTACACCATGCAACTTACAAAGCTAAAAATGTAACACTTACTAGCACAGTGGAGTCTCTAGCAGCAAGAGCCAAAATGTCAGCACAGGACACAGTGTTGGGGCACTCTTTCTCTAATGTAGACTTGATTTCATCGATTACTTCGAACCCTCGAGCTGAATTCTGGTTCGGGACAGACCTCTTCTCGGTGATTATGTTCTTGCTGCTGTCCAACAGAATTGATGCATCACAACCCTGCAACATTCAAAATTAGCAACATGATTTTAAGTACCTCAGTCATAAGATGTTAACATAACTTCTTTTTTTATTTATCAAATGAGATGCATTAGAATGATTTGATACAATATTTAACTAGAAGCAAATCGGCTGATTTTTGTAATCGGATACCTGTACAAAGCAGTCATGGAAATGCACCCTAAGCAAAGAGGCAGCCATGCGAGCTTCTCTTGCAACAGCCTTGGCAACAACAGACTTTACAATCTCTGTTGCTCTAGGGCAAGAGTGGTCATAAAACTGTGGGTAGAGATACCCACCAAGAGTTTTATCACAGAAACAAAGTGGGACAAATGCAAGAAGAGAAAGAGCTAGAAGGAAGCTCAAAGTCTGAGCCATAATGTTTTTTTTTGTGGGTACTCTTAGTTCAAGTCTAGTAAGACCCCTAGAGAAGAAGAGGACTTGAAATTGTCAAATGAAAATAAAGCTCTACCCAAGACTTGCTTTGATGAATGTTGGGATGGCTTAGGGAGTATTTATAGAGGAGACTGTACACAACTTTGAAGAATGAGGTACAGAGAAGCTGGAGTTGGTAACTAACTATCGGTAGCTACATCAATAGACAGGATCAGAAGAGAGGGTTGGAGTTGGTACAAAGCTTTCATGCTTTGGGGTCACTAATCATCATGTTAATACAAGGTCTAAGCTCAATCAGCTGATTATAGAAGAACAAACCTTTTTGGCTTATAATCCAAGCATCCTTGACATAGAAAAAATATCAGTACAGTGGGCCTTTAGATAATCAGTTAAGCACTTTACATTAATTGATTACAACAATATCCCACCTTCATTTAGATCCTGGTCTCAGAAAATTCCAATTAGAATAACATGTTAGCAAGCATTTGGAAGGTCCATTAATGTAATTTTCCATGTATTGAAGATTAATAAGAAGATTTGAACTTTGGCTGGAGTTCTACATCAGGGTTCTTCTAACACTCTTTTCTCAAGTTAAAATTAGCTCAAGTGGTTAAGAACATTTACCACTGCACATGCAATTCCAGGTTCGATTCTCCCCTCTCCTAATATCGCTTGTATAAATAAAAATAATTATAAAAAAAAACCTTGTGTAACTTGCAAAATGAACTCCAAATTTTGTCGGGTAATTCTTGTAAAATATGTTAAGCAAACATTTCACCATCCCATGTGTTATTGGATTACAGCATTGCAATTGACTACTGATTCCATATGGGACAAAAGCAGGTCAACATTTTGTTAATTGTTTTGTGATGACAATAAAGAGAGAGTAGGAGCAGACTCAACTACTATGTTTGACAGAGTATATAGTTACCCAAACTAAACTAGATGACTCAGAGCTTCTGATATTGTCAATGTCCGTAAAGGTATCTTAGAGCAAGCCACAAAATTAGGGTTGAACCCTTCGTAATTGGGCACTTTTTCCCCTTTCCCCTAAACGTTCACATTGAATTTTAATGGCCTTCTAGATGTTCATTGTATGGATTTTAATGATGCAAGCTCATGCGCCCCCCACTTATCAACAACTGAGAGTTGTCCACTTGGATAGGCGACTGCCCTTCAACATTTCTTTACACCTAATATTCATCCCCTGTCTTCTTTCTTGTTCTTTTTCTTTCCCCTACTATCCATGAATTGACATTTATTCCTTTATTTTGTAGCTTTTTGACTTCAGGATCTACAATATTAGTAAATAAATTGTCGTTGTGTGTTAAACGCGTGCGGAGGCATATAGAAAAGTTAAATTATAATCGAGTATGATAACGGGAATATTAGGTTAATCTGGACGATCCAAATATGACAAAAGATATTATTATAGGCGGGGTTGGAGAACAACTCCTTTAAGGATCTGATTCCTCATTTGTAAATTTGCAAGTGACATCTTACAGGCCTCAAAGAAATGAGCATATGCCATCATAGCTCGCATATCGCTAGCAACTTTGCTAATGGCTTTCCAAGTCGCAGATGACAAATTAATGAGCAAGAGATCTATATTGATTTCAGTTGATAACTTGAGATTACAACATCCAAAATTACATGCTATGAAATTTGGTCTCGTCAAAAGACAAACAGGTTGTATAACTTCAAAACCCTCACATTTCATGTACTAATACAAGTTAGCCGTGGCTCACCGGTTCGTAACGTTCAAATTGCACCGTATTTTCTTTCGTTTGGCCTTGATGTTCCTTGACTAGAAGCAGAAGAGCGTTCCCAAGAGGCTTCACTGGCAAAAGTAGTATTAAGGTCTTCTTGTCGGGTGTAGCTGTGCCCTCCGTCACTCACCTATTTTTGTACCCCCCACATTCAACACCATTAGAAAGTCTACAGAGGACGTGGCAAATAGTATTCCTATTTGCTTCATAACTCAGTTCCCTTGCTTTGCAAGGTTTCTTTTCAATTTAAAACTGAAGCATCTTGCAGGGTTTTTTTGTCCCAAAGAATTTGAGCCTCATGGAAAATGGGCCAAAGGAATACAAGGAATATTTGTGTTAGTGATGTATACTTACAGTTTCTAAACAAGCGGATAGAATTGTCATTCCCGGCAATGCATCAATCCCACGCTGCATGTGATAAAATAGAAATATATAATTGAGGACATACAAATTGAGACCATGATGAAAAGCTGCAAATTCGGAAACCATCCAAGACTTTGAAGCCATAGAAAAGGGCCTACCTTCCTTTCAACTTGAGTCTTGTAAATAAATCCTCCACAGCAAAACAGGGCCGATGAGACAGCGAATCTGATCCAAGACAGTTCATTGAAAAATCAAACTTCAGATAAAATGCATAATACATAATTCCTACAATTTATCAATACTATAATTTTCAGTAGGAACTGCCTTACATGCAGGATAACACCCCAAATATAGCCCATCCTCGTGCACTGTCTCCATTTTGGTTCTGCCTGTTTTCTGCAAAATTGAACGAACCAAGCTCTTTCAGTTGATATTATTTCAAACTATTAGTGTTTTCAATTCCAACAAATTTACCCCTTGTCTCCACTTTCCCTTATTGGCCATTTAACTTGAATGTAATAATTTCTGAGAGTGACGACATTATTGAGGGACTCATTCCTAATTGGTAGACAGTGAACACAGTCCAATCATGTTTCACCAGCAAGTTATAGTGCAAGAAGGATAGCTTTAACATGAAGTACTACATTGCATCTTCAGAACTTGTTCTATTAAGATTGGTTATGTCTCTCCATAATTTGAAACAGGGATTTTCAAAAGAGTAAGGATTTAGAGGGAAGGCAGTAGTTATCAGTGACGGCAGTATGAGCCTACCACACAGTTTGGCAAGAAAAAACTGGATGGGCTCGTAACCCTCTACTGGGATAGTGATATTAACTTCATATGGAGTATCACGAGCCTTTTCACCTGAAAATTACAAAAAGAAACTAAGAAGACTTTATTGTAATGGATATCAAAGCCCACTGCAGCAAAGGATACCCTTACATCTCCAATCAACATTTAACATTGTGGGTGACAAAGTTGTAGGAGGGCTCCCAGTTGCTCCCGACCCTGATACCTTAACCTCCAGACCATTTTCTGGCAAGACCTGCAAATATTTTATTAAACAAAGGATACATACTTGGACCAACTTATTCAATGATAAATGGTTTCCCATGCATCAAAGTATAAGGAATTCAAGTACCTTAATAATAGGTCTTCGCACCAAAGTGGAAAGGGAAGCAATTGCAGTCATATAAAACGTTACATGTGTCTGCTCAGTCCCAAAGCTGCAAAATGCAAACTTTATTTAGATTGATGGATACTACATTTTCTTTTTTGGGTTAGGGGAAAGGGATGTTAAATGAAGCAAAACAACTCATAATAATTCCTATACCTAAACTCATGGTGAGACTTTTCATAGCCCAATTGAGTCATGCCATCATAAACCTGCAAGTTCAGAAAATAATTTACTTTTGCCTGGGAAAATTAATATACATCAGGGAGAATAAAACAATACTTACAAGTTCCCATGACCGTGGATGGAAACCTACAGTGAAGCCCTTAAATACTCGTGGACCTGGTTTCTCGCATGGAATAGCTAGTTCGAGAAAAACTCTGAAACATTTAGGAATTGCAACAGAATCAGGGAAACATGAGTGTCTCATAATAAATGAAGGCTCCTATATTGAAACATTTCTGTTATCCCAACACCAGCATGCAATGATTGACTCAATTAACAAAGATTTAACACCACATTTCATTATAATGCAACATAAAGTGGAAATCAAGGTACTATTCAAAAGACCTGCAACTCGACTCATAATTGACATTGCAGATGCATCCAAGTCCACCTGAAAACAAACAATAGTAAGAATCAGTCTTAGATTACTGAAAATGACAGAGTCAGAGGCAGTACAATATTAATGGTAGAGATGTAACTTGAGGAGAAAAAAAATTGTAAGTAGTTTTTGATTGAAAACAGGATGAAGCAATGAGACCTTCTATCAGTGTTTTAATTAGGTATGAAATATCAGAGTTACTTGTAGTTTCCTCTTTCCGCTTTCTCTCTTCCTCTCCCTCTCTAGTGCTCTATCTTTCTTGATGAAACAGTTCGCAAAAATTCTCCTAGTGACCTAGTCATATCTTAAATCATATTCCTGAAACTCATCGCCTTCTCCCTATCCACCTAAACTTATTATTCTCACAACCTTACTAACAAGTGGCCCCTTTAATCGCAACGGTTCCAATTTGTTAATGGTCTCCATAGAATTTTCTTATATTATCTGCTGTCCATTCAACCAAAGACAGAGTTCAAAAGGGGGCATATCAATTCCTAGTATAAATGGTGACTGCACATATAACTTAGAAGTGAAAGGTACACAAACCTGTGCATTGGCCATTTAAACAACTTCCACATATGATGTTTACCTGAATTTAAAGAAGATAAAAAAAAGAATTATGAGAGAAGTGGAATGACAGTGATTGCCAAATATTTAAAATATATATATGAAAACTTCCAGGAGAAAGAAATAAGGGTGCTAGAGGGTGGAAGTTTTCCAGCATAAAACAACCTGAGCTGTTCGTCCCAATTTATCATAACTGTGCTCACAATTCGCCAGGTCGCCATTATAAAACCCCTATATACATTCAGAAATAGAGATAAATATGACAACTGCATTTTCCTATTACATGAAAGAAACCAAACTGTAGTATCATTTTCAACCCCAAAAAAAAAGGAAGCTCACTTGAACAAAGTCAACGTGTCCTGAACCAGAAACAAAGTAGTTGAACTTATCAAATCGACCAAAATCTACATATCCCTGCATGAAAATGAGCAAATTCAAACAAAAACACCTAATCGAACACAAACTGAAATTTACTCATATGTTATTAATGTGGCAACTTAACAGCCAATGCAGCAACAAAGCTAATAGAATAAGCATATACAGGAGCTTTACATGAAATACTACTGAATGGCTTATATACATACGAACTTTCCAATACAGGCTCATTAAATTAATGAACATAAAAATCAAAAATTGAAAAATAAAAATAAAAGCAAATGGTAAAGTACTTGAGATCATGGTGATATTGACTACCGTTTGTGATCTAGTCTCCACATCTTTGCAAAATCGAAGCACCAAGTCGGAGTCCTGTATCATCCCAAACAAACTTATGAGTAAGCGATACCTCAGGAATCTGAGTATGAACTGAGCTAATTATGAAATTTTACAGAAATATTAAAATTCATAACATATGTGCACCATAATTTCAATTATCACCGTAACAGAATTGAAATTGAAATTACCTTCCCGTCGTACTCAAACGGATGTCCAATCCAGCTACTCTGGTTAACAGCTTAAGAGAGAACAAATTTCACACAAAATAAAACCCAAACTTGAAGGCAGTAGCATTTAGCTTTGTTATTATTATTGTGAAATAATACTAATTAACAAGCCACAGTAATTGTTTGCGTAAGGATACAAAATCGACGACGCGGCTAGAGTTATCGAAAGCGTAGCAATTGGATCTCGGCGCCACGAGTGAGGCTGCTTGAAGCGCCTGTGATACAAGAACTGAAACAAATATATATATATTCATAATTGAAACCTTTGTTTATTCATAAATGACGATATGGAAAGGCTGCTGTTGATTATCGAAACTATGAAGGAATAGGAACGAACCTGTAAGTAGTGCAAACAAAATGCGATGTGAAGAAGAAGAATGAAAGTGGAAACGGCGTCGTAGGCTCCGCATTGCTTGGCATGTACTGTCTGTTAGTCTACCGGCGCCTAGTGAAGAAGAAAGAAGGCCACTCTCGTCCACTGTTGGGTCGCGACCGCCGTGAGATTCTGGGTCTTTTGTCCCGCGAGACAATTTTCATATAATAAATAATGGGCCCCATTATTTATATTGATTTTTTTTTTGGTTGTAAATACCACGAGATGTCCCCCGCCCTAATGGTGGGAGTAATCTCCGCTCGAGGTTCGGTTTGTCCCTGGCCACAAAATGTTTTAAACAGATTTCGAACCTCTGTTATTGTGGTTTTGATTTAATTTATGTCCCGAATATAAATTATAAAATTAACATTAATTTAATGTGATTACGATGATATTTACGTATTTTGGGGACATAAGTCAAAATTAAAAAATGGACCAAGAAAACATGATTGATAATCAACAAATAATTTAATTTAATACGCGAGATGTGGTAGCCTAAGCTAGGAAATTAAATAATAAGTATATGAACCAATTCCTTATTCAAATTCTGTTGTATGCAAATAGGAAATGGATTATGCTTGTACATATCCAATCCGTCAATAAAATGAGGGTCGGTTTGAGTGTGCTTGAAGTTTGTCGTATGAGATTAAAACAATCATATAGTTGTTAAACCCTCTCGTTATAAAGATACAAAATTGCACTTGGATAAGTTCATGACGACTTTTTAAAAAGAAAAAGAGTTTGTTTGCAAAAGTAAAAGAAGAAAAGAGAAAGGGAAATTTGACGACAGCAAACAAGTGTTTAAAAATGGGAAGAAAAGGGGAAAAGGAAAGAGAAAACCAAAAAGAAAAAGATTTTCCAAAATGGCATTTGCATTATTCCTAATTCCTAAACAAAAAAGCAAAAGAAGAAATATTTAAAAATTAAAAACCAAAAACCGAAAAAAGCAAAAAGTATTGGTAATGCCAAAAAGGAGCCAAAGACAGAGAAGAAAGCAACTCTCTCTCCTCCAACTTGAGCTCCGTGCTCCGTTTCACTGAACAACACAAATAGCAGAGCAACGAGCTTCAGAATCTGCCATTAATATCACCAACATTTGAAGCTTTCAACGCCAAAGCCAGCCATACAGCTGCCTTCGAAATCGAAAAGCCTTTTCATTTATTATTTACAAGTGTCTTCAATCACAGAAAGCCAAATGTACCAAACCCACCGGTCGCAGTCAAAAGTCCAAACCCTAGAATTATGCCGCTGAGACTCGCAGTAACGGACCTCGCCGACTCTCCCAACCCTAGAGATGGCCAAGCACTCCGTCGGGTGGGTCGCGTCGCAGAAGCGCTGGCTCTTGGCCTTTCTCGTCATGCTCTCCGTCTCCACCTTGATCGCCTTCTTCATCAGAGCCGCCTTCGATTCCTGCGACCGTCGCATGGATGTCGTCGACAAGAGGGTTCCTTTGGGCTCGCCCATTGGGACCAGTCCTAGCCCCCTCAGCTTCATGAAGTCCAAGCTCGTGCTGTTAGTCTCGCACGAGCTCTCTCTTTCTGGTGCTGTCTCTGTCTCCATTATTTTATTGCTAATTTGATGAATTTAATGCATTGTTGATGTTTCATTGTGCTTCAAGTTATTGATTGCAATTTCAGCTATTAGTGGTGTGATTAGTTATGTTAAGCTTTTGATGACTTAGATTATACGTACACAGAAAGTTAGCTACTTAAGATGGCAAAGACACTCATATGTAATAAATTTTTGAGCTACTGGGTTTCCAAATATGGGATGGATTTTTAAAACGCATTCAACAATAAGTTCTTGTGCCTTCTCACCAGTCACCCTTAGCTTTGGCTTTTTAATCTGGTATTTATGGAGATGAAGGATGTGAAAGCTAGTTTGTTCCCTATTGTGCTAATGCTTTCTTTTTTCTTTTTTTCTAATCTCGTTGAGTTTAATTTGTCTGTGAAAAACTAGGGAAACGTGGGTTGGTGCATTTGCATGTCCTTCCATTTTGTTTGAGTTTAACCGATGATTTCATTAGGGAATTATGTGATGTCAATATTATGGAATGTAATACCTTATTTTCTCTGGTATTGTTGGTTCTTATAAAAGGGCATCCATGTTGTGCTATTTGTACATTCATTTGTAACTTATGTAAATTAACTTAATAGGCCGGGGCGTATAATTATTGGTCCATTTCTGTGTTGTTCAGAGGCCAATAGGCCCAAAAATAAGTTATGTACTGATGTCTGCTCTAGGTGAGAACCAAAAAAAAAATTTAAAAATTTCTGGAATTTCTCAGCAATGTGTAACTGCTCGACATGAAATTTCTCAGCAATATCTAACTGCTCGACATGAAATTTCTGTCGTCTTTCGAATATTTGCCTATTTATCGGGATACACGTGTTTTTGTGTCTTCAACACTAACTTACTGCATTTAATGTCATATCATGTAAATGAGGAATATTTCCATACATTTTGTAGTACACAGACCAACATTCAGTAGTGTTCATATTGGATGAATATTCTGACAGGCGTCAACAGACCAACATTCAGTAATGTGCATATGTTCCTTCTGTTATATTTACTTATATTCGTTGGCATACTGAAATAACATGGAATCGTATGTACATTGGTTTTTTCTAGGCTAGCATAACTCATGAAAGCTTATCGCCTTCCTTAACCAAATATTTGGCTGAAGATGTATTTTATCCAATCAATTTATGCTCTTTATTTCTCTCTATTTTGGATCATATTTTCCTAAATCCCTTTCTCCTAATTATTTTTTTCTTTTTTTAAATGATAAGAGCTGCATTGTTTTTCTTTTCATTTTAAATTTTTCTTTACATATATCTTACAAACTCTACTGATGGTATGACATATTGAACATTCTTCCAGGTGGACCTTTGTTGTTGATGGAGCTAGCATTTTTATTAAGAGGTGTTGGCACTGAAGTTTGTTGGGTTACAACCATGAAACCGTCAGATGCAGATGTAGTGATATACAGTTTGGAACATAAGATGTTGGACCGAGGGGTGCAGGTACAAAATCTTAATTTATTTTCAAAAGTTATTGTGAATGTCTTCTTTTGCAGTCTAGTTGTCTATGCATTACATAGTTATCTTTATCATCTCAATATTTCATGATCTCGGAAGCATTGTTTTGTTCACACCGCTGGCCACTTGTTAAGGAAACTAGCGAAGTAAACCAATCTTCCAATTTGATTTTATCTAAATTATGGCCTTGTCTGGCTTTGGTCTTCTACGTGATATTTCCTGTTTCTGATAGGTTTGATTTCTCCGTAACTTCTCAGCACATTTCTAATAATGCTTTTATACATCTGCAGGTCCTCTCTGAAAATGGCCAAGAAGCTGTAAATACAGCTCTCAAAGCTGATTTGGTTGTATTGAACACCGCAGTTTCTGGGAAATGGTTGGATGTTGTTCTTAAGGAAAATGTTCCCCGTGTTCTCCCGAAAGTGTTGTGGTGGATCCATGAAATGCGTGGCCATTACTTCAAATTGGATTATGTCAAGCACCTCCCGCTTGTTGCAGGTTCTATGATAGATTCACATGTAACAGCAGAATATTGGGAGAATAGGACTCGAGAACGTTTGGGGTAGGCTTCAAATATTGACTCTTTTTCTTTTTTATATCAAATTTTGGTTCACTATTTCCACTCATTTGCTCTCTGCAGTATCAAAATGCCAGAGACCTTTGTTGTTCACCTTGGAAACAGCAAGGAACTAATGGAAGTTGCTGAAGATAGTGTAGCAAAAAGGGTTTTGCGTGAGCATGTCCGAGAGTCTCTTGGAGTGCGAAGAGAAGATCTACTATTTGCCATCATAAACAGTATGTATTTCAAGCTATTTGATGGAAGTCTACTAATTTCCATTTAAATTGCCGTTAGGAAATGAAAAATAAAAAATAGTCTTATGGTTAGTTTGTGCATACCTTGTGAACACTGAAGTACACCTCATGACTACAGGTGTTTCACGTGGAAAAGGCCAAGATCTGTTTTTGCGTTCCTTCTATGAAAGCTTGCGATTGATCCAAGAGAAGAAGCTGCAACTGCCAAGAATGCATGCAGTAATTGTAGGGAGTGACATGACTGCTCACACCAAGTTTGAGCATGAACTACGTAACTTTGTATTGATGAAGAAAATTCAAGATCGTGTTCATTTTGTAGACAAAACTCTGACTGTAGCTCCATATCTGGCTGCAATTGATGTCCTTGTTCAAAATTCCCAGGTATATGGAAGATTTTTCTCTTATTAAATATATATTTTTAATTATTTCTTATTTATAGAAAAAGTTGCAGATAGAAGAACATATGATACATAGAGGATGCAAAACCATTGTTTTCAATGTGAATAAATTTCCAGTTAGCGTAACAGTAATCATACTTAGGCATTGATATTAATGTCTTTCCCAGCAAGTCTGACCCTAATGTGGTTGAAACTACATAAATCTAATTAATATATTCCTTTTTCATCTTCTAATTTTTTTTAAACCCTTCCATAGGCACGGGGAGAATGCTTTGGTAGGATAACTATTGAAGCCATGGCATTTCAGCTGCCTGTATTGGTAAAGAACATTCCTCTTGTTATTTTGCGTAATATCTTGTAACTCATGCTGCGACTGCTAATCCTATTGACCCGTTCCCATTGCCATTTTTCTAATTTCCAAATCAAATATTTATTTCAGGGAACAGCAGCAGGTGGCACCACAGAGATTGTAGTGAATGGAACAACAGGTTTGTTGCATCCTGTTGGGAAGGAAGGGATCACTCCTCTTGCGAAAAATATTGTAAAACTTGCCACTCATGTTGAGAGGAGGCTTACAATGGGGAAGAGAGGCTACGAAAGGGTCAAAGAAAGGTTTCTAGAACACCATATGGCAAATAGAATTGCTGCCGTTCTCAAGGAAGTGTTGCACAAGTCAAAGAGCCACTCAGATTCCTAACACTTTGAGGCCTTTAACTGTCAAGTAGAATGCTAGACATGCTCTCTTCTCCTGTTTTAGAGATTTCGTTGCTTAGCAAAAGAAGATGAACTACACTTAGATTAGTGGGTCGATTTTTCTTTTATGGTGACATAATCGCCCCTCAGGTTTCGCTTTCTTATGTACATTGTGTACATATTAAGACATCTAGCTAGTAGCTTGTTCAAAAGGTTGACAATGACATGATCGATTTTGCTAGAGCATGGATTTGAAAAATTGGCATTTCAGAATGCTTGGTGGATAAGGTAAAAACACAGCATCATTCGTAATCTTATAAGGAGATGTGTGCTGTAAGCTTGTAACTTACTGAATACGCGCAAACTCTCTTGTTATGGATTTCCTTGATGCATTATGGCATTTATACCATTAGCATATTTTTACGGTCGGGGATGGTGATTTGCAAGTTAGTTGTGAGTGGACGACTTCCAGTCGTTGATGCATGAGTCCCAGATTGCATCAACAGCTGGAGGGGAGGCGATTGCCCACTCGTGCATGCGTGACTGCCCTTTCAGGTCTTTGCCCGTTTTATTTGGTAAAATTTTTAAAAAAGAACATCCTGAACAAAAGTTGGTTTTTATTTGTTGTAATTCGGCATCCCTTCACCTTGAACTATGAAAATGGGGGACTTATCGAGCTTGAGCAGTCTCAGCAGTCTCAGCAGTCTCCAAACCATTAACTAAATATGAATCACTGACAAGTTGGAAAGAGAGAGACCCATTACAACTTAGCCCTTTAGTTTCTAGTTTTACATTGATGGATGTAGCAAAACAACTCAAAGTTTGATAACGGTAGAGCAATATTCTTAGCTAATAATCCACAGACTTCAAGGAGACTTGGGTTGTGGAGAATCATTTACTGGTTTTCCCTGCTGCTTGAGGTTGGGCTTTGTAAACCAAGTCGTATACAGAAACTGCTTCTGAGGCCCTACATGGTTGCAAATTAGTCTAAGCTTCTGCCTCTCCCTCATCCACCTCAGCACTATCTTCATGTGCCTCTTGCTCGTCAATCCTCTCAACCCAACTTCCTGAAAACGACTCAGACATGTAATCAAACACTTGGTACGCAACAACTAACTACACCGAAAATGAAGTACACAATTACAATAGCAGCAGTCAAATCACCTTAACGTGATCCCAGGTTTCAGCAATGGTGAGAGGACCATGCTCCTTGACGATATCGAAGATGGCCCTAGTGATGGTCTGCGTCTGCTCAGGTGGGGTTTTGAGCTCTATGGGTTTCATCTGCGGTTTTGGTTTCCTCGCAATACACCTTATCGCTGTCCCAAACATGTTGCCACTTTCTGTTTTCCAAAACCCAAATCTCAGTTTGCTATAAAGATACACCCCTACCACCTAACAAAGCAAAATGTTTATCAAGAGCGCTAACATTTGGGTGGGTTTAAAAAGCCTTAAACTCATTTAGTTCTTTTTAATAACCAAAAATCATTTTGTCGAGCTCATAGTTTATTTTTCGGGTTAGAACGGAAGAATCCAACCTTGACCTTGTCTAACCCTAACCCATTTCCGCATCGATCTTCACCACTTGAGCTAACACCAAGGGCTTGATTAGCAATTCAATGGATTTGAGTTGTCTAGGTTGTTGAGATTAGCAATTCATCTAATTAGGATTTGAACCATTTCTTTGGTCATGGACAACTAATCTCCTCCGTAAATCATTATTTAAATGTTTCATTAAATAGTATAGCCGACCGGCTATACTACTTAAATAAATTATATTTAAACGGTATAGCCGTTCGGCTCTACTAAAAAAAGGGTCTCACTGCTCGGCTATTTTTTTTGACACGTGGCGACTAAAGGCTAGGGAGTCCTTTTTTTTAAATATTACAGCCGCGCGGGTATACTTGGTGTTTTTAATTTTTTTAACAATCGTATCGCCGCACGGCTATACTTGTTTTGACACGTGGCGCCTAATCGCTGGGGTCTTTTATTTTTAAAAATAGTACCGCCGCCCGGCTATACCCGGTTTTTATTTTTTTTTACACCTGGGCGCCTGGGCTCTATGCAGCTGTACGTATTTTTACACGTGCCACCTAATCGCTACTGGGTCCCTTTTTTAAAAAAAAAAATAGTACAGCCGGCCGGCTATACGTGGTGTTTTAAAAAAAAATAGTAGAGCCGCTCGGCCAGACCTGTTTTGACACGTGGCGCCTAATCGCTTTAAAATAGTATAGCCGCGTGGCGATACCCGGTATTTTTAAATTTTGTTTAATTTTGTTTAATTTCTTTGGTCATGGAGAACTAATCTCCTCCATAAATCATTATTCAAAAGTTTATTACGATTATATAGAGACAATGCACCTGTTTTGTATTGTCCCAAGCATCTTCAGCACCCAGATGACAAAATGAATACAGAACTCATCTTTCCTCTTTATAATGGAGTTGCACAAAGTATGCCAAGAAAGCAACTCTTTTCCCAAAAAAAAACAAGATCACAAGATGCACATGAACTAAACTATAAGAAGAACGAACCACAAAATATCATAGACCAAAAGGATATGGTACTTAAATTCATCCCAAACTGACCAAAGTTAATAAACTCGAATACAAAGCACATACATATAAGGAGCACAATAACAGAATCTTTCTAACATATGGGAGCTGTCACCTGAAACGAAAATATGTACAATGACAGCTTCAACCTAAAGAGACCCAAAAAAGAAAAAAGGAAGAAACAAAACCATGTTACGAAACCTTACACAACAAAGTACAATTTTACATTCTCCTGTTTTTTCATTGCTTTTCAATCTAGCATTCGATTTGTTTGGCCCTCGCAAGTAGGAGATTCAATACCTTCAGTTATCAAGAAGCACATCACGAACAAATTGATCATCTACTTTGTTCAAATTTCCCTGCATAGATGTAGTTTCCTCATCACTTTCAAGCAACTTCATGGCCTCCACCAACTTCTGTTTAACAATTCTCGTTCCTGAATCACACAATGAGCCTATACTGAAAACATTATTTCCTTCATGCATCAACTCACTTAGGCGCAATGATTGGGCAGACTTCCCCATTTTATATGACGACTCATATAAATCACTACTCTCCACAATCCTTTTCTTTGCCCCTTTAGTCCATCTCTTCACTATGTACCGGGTCGGAATGCTTGTGAAGTTTTTTAAATCCAATACTTTTAGGGCATGACGGCACAACAATCCTATGGATTCAAATAACTTACAAGAACAAGAAACCATGGAAGTAGCGGAGTTATATTCAATAATGTAGACTCTTGGATGACCTTCTTCAATTGCTTCATAAATATATTGGTTGCCATCATTACCAACTTCTATCATCCTCACCCCAAAGATACTCATAAGCTCATTTTCAAAGAATGAATACATTTTAATTGTGTATTCAGAAGCTGCATGCTTAAAGATACCACTATTTGCTCTAAGATGAGGCATACCATTTTTACAACGAAAGTCCTCTTCCAACTCTGCTGACCGCACCACTTTTGTTTTTTTCTCGTAATGCTGTACAAGACCAATGAGATCCATTGTTTTCGTAGAAATTTGATGGAATGTACTGGTTATGCTCTCACCTCTATTGGAGGATCTAAAATTGGCTGTAAAAGTGTCTAAGCTAAAAGCAGGACACCATTTTTCTCTAAGTGAATTTAACTCTTGCAGCCACGAATTGTTCTCAAGGTTGAACTTTCTAATCAAGTCATTCCACGTAGCTTCAAATTCTGCTTCAGTGAGACAATCGTGAAAGCATTTGTTAAAGTGCTCCTTGAACTCATGATTAGAATAATGAGATCCAATATATTGTGTAGCATTCTTAGATATGTGCCATATGCATAGGCGATGGCGTGTCTCTCGAAGCACAACCGCAATTGCATTTGCCATTGCATCACCCACATCTGTGAAAATGGTTTTCGGTTGCTTATATCCCATGGACTCCAAAAATGTTTCAAACAACCAAACAAATGAGTCAGTGCTCTCATCCGATACAAAAGCACAACCAAATAAGACATTCTTGCAGTGATGATTAACACCCACAAATGGAGCACAAATTAGATTGTATTTCTTGGTCCGAAATGTGGTGTCAAAGCATACAACATCTCCAAAGCAATCATAATCTAACCTTGATCTACCGTCTCTCCAAAAATAATTTGTGATCCGATTAAATTGATCCACTTGAACACTGTAGAAAAAACTTGGATCCTCCATTTGTTTATGCTTAAAATAATTTATCAAACTTTGCCCATCCCCTCCTTCTAGCATTTCTTCCTTATTCCTTTGCAAATAATTATGACAATCTTTATTAGTGGACCCAACATTCTCAGGATTGCCAAATTTTTTTCCCAAGTAAGGGTATGATTTTGTTGGTCTTGTACTCTCATCAACCTTAGGGCCAAGGATACCTGCACGGACACATGGTATATGTCGACCTGATCGTAGAAATTGTCTTTCTTCAGGCTTAGCAAACTCATGATTATGATCTAGATTGATGTGACTGATCTTCCATATACCATTATCCACTGTGAATCGAATTAGAGCCTTACAACCTGTTCTTGTGTCTAATCTTCTCACCTTTTTCACTTCACACAAATCTTCATCCGATTGAAACCCTTCTTTTGAACAAAAATAGTCCCTTTGCCTGACTTTATTTTGAGCATCTCTTCGAATATTCCCTTTACGGATACTAAAACCTTTCCTAAAGGCATAGGTGTTGCATAGATTGTAAGCTTCAGCTTCATTAGACACCTCCATTCCCACTTTTAGTTCATCAATTGCGTCAAATATTTCTTCCTTGTCACTTCTCTCTAATATTTTCCCTTGACAAGTGTAATCCATTATCTAAACCAACTGCCTAATCATAAACAACACATTTTTCAGTACTTGTATTGACAGATAGTAAAATCCAAAATGTAACAGATACGTTGCAAGTAAAAGTTTGTCTATCTATTTGCAAACAAAAAATTTACGTGACAGCATATTAGGCTCAACCTATCAATTATCTAAACCAAAAACCCTAATTTATACGCCCCATTTTGAATCCACAAATCCAAATACAACCCGGGTGATTTTATTCCGTCCATATTGTTTTTTAACCAAATAGAGCGAGCAAAGTTCACAACTTCAACAAAAAAAAATCTATTCTAAAAAAAAAAAAAAAAAAAAAAAAAAAAAAAAAAAAATTGAAAAAACAAGAACCAAGATCACTAGGGCAATGTAAGTTACCCCAAATTTTCTAAGCTATTAGAAGTCTCTTTCTACGAATTTATCATCCTATATCCATAAAAATAAAAAATAAAGCATCGAGCTTCATAAACGAAATACCATAAATTCGCACATCTCATTCCACCAGAACTCCAATTCCCACAATTTTGAAAAATAAAAAGGAAACAGGAATGCATCAATGATCATATGAGCCAGGACCAAGAGAGGACAGAGGAGATACCTGGTTCGCCGAGAAACAAGAGAAGAGAAAGAGACTTGATACGTCGCCGTTCGAAGGAGGCCTGCGAGCTGCAACGGGGGGAATTTGGGTTATCGGTGAAGAAGAGAATAGAGAAGAGGACTTTGGAGTTTGGACTGACTGAGGACTGAGAGAGAGCTGAGGTGCTGTGATGCTGTCTCTGGCTCGCTGTTCGAAGACAATAGAGTCCATAGAAAGAGATTAGAGACGAACGAAACGCTGCGTTTCGGCTTATGTTTTAGTTGTTCGTTCTCTTTTATGGCGGGTTCCCACAAACTCATGAGTAATTTTTACTAATAATTTTACGGCCCCAATTGGTTAAGGACCCAAGTGATTAAAAGGATTTACCGCTGCACTCAATTCGATGTCCTTAGTTTGATTTCCCTCTCTCCCATTATCACTATCGATTGTAGTAAAAAAAAATAAAAAAATTAGCAGTTTTTACTGGTGGAGGGGTTTTGGTGAATTTATTTTGCTATACTTTTGTAGGATAATACTATATAACTTCAACATTGCCTTTACAATTTATATGGCATGCTCACATTGAATTTTGCACATTATTCTTCTTATAATTATGTGGTGTTTTTTATAATTTGCAATGTAACTTGGAAAAGTTAAAATCAGTAAGTAGCATTTTACTTTTTGGTCCAGGTGTGGTTTTCTTTTTAGCAGTCTGTATAGCACTAGCTAGATGAGAATCATTGACAAACTGGAGAGAATTAGAACTGATCACTTAAGCCCTGGTTTTTTACATTATAGGGGTTGCAGCAAAACAATTCAAAGTTTGATAATGCAGAGCAAAGCTTCTTAGCTAGTAATTCAGACTTCAAGGGGACTTGTGTTGTGGATAATCATTTACTGGTTTAGCCTGCTGCTTGAAGTTGGGCTCTGTAAACCAAGTCATACCCAGAACCAGAAACTGCTTCTGAGACCCTACATGGTTGAATATTAGTCTAAGCTTCTGCCTCCTCATCCACCTCCACACTATCTTCACGTGACTTCTGCTTCTTAATCCTCTCAAACCAACTTCATGAAAATGACCTAGACATTTATTCAGCCAATCCATACACGGTAATTACATCAGACATGTACAAAGTTACGGATCAAAAAATGAATTCAGTTTGAAATAGTAAATGAGCACTTTTAAATGGGAATCCAATTACCTAATGCGACCCCAGGTTTCAGCAATACTGAGAGGAGGATCATGCTCGTTGATGATATCGAAGTCGACCCCAGAGAAGATACTGAGACAGTTCACCTGTTTTGTATAGTCTATTGTCTAGTGAATATTCAAGAGATGAAATTACGAAAAATATACTTACATCAATATCAATACAGAACTCCATATACTTTATCAACTATCCTCCACTTCTGATTTACTTGAAAAAGAAAAGGATGTACAATGCTGGCTTCTGCCAAAGAAGAAAAAGATACTCTAACCTTTCATTTCTGAACATCTTACGCAATGAAGTGCAATTTTCAGAACAAAAGTAAGCAATACCCTGAACATATACTTTTCAATATAGCATTTGTCCTTTAGCCATCACAACTGGGGGATTCCACACTTCCATTATCAAGAAGCACATCACAAACAGATTGGTCGTCTACTTTGCTCAAACTTCCCAGCATGTTGGTAGTTTCCTCGTCACTTTCCAGTAACTTTATGGTCTCCGCTAACTTTTGTCTGACAATCCTCGTTCCTGAATCACACAATGAGCCTATACTGAAAACATTATTTCCTTCATGCATCAACTCACTTAGGCGCAGCGATTGGGCAGACTTGGCCTTTCTATATGATGACTTACAGAACTCATTACTCACCACAATCCCTTTCTTTGCCCCTTTAGTCCATCTCTTCACTATGTATTGTGTCGGTATGCTTGTATAGTTTTTAAAATCCAGTACTTTTAGGGCATGACGGCACAACAACCCCATGGATTCAAATAACTTACATGAACAAGAAATCATGGACGTAGTAGAGTTGTATTGAATCATGTAGACTCTTTGAAGACCTTCTTCAATTGCTTCATAAATATATTGATTGCCATCGTTACCAACTTCTACCATCCTCACCCCAAAAATACTCATAAGCTCATTTTCAAAGAATGAATACATTTTGACAGTGTACTCAGTAGCTGCATGCTTAAAGATACCACTATTTACTCTAAGATGAGGCATAGCATTTTTACAACGAAAATCCTCTTCCAACTCTGTGAATCGCATCTTTTTTGTTTTTTGCTCATAATGCTGTACAAAACAAACGAGATCCACTGTTTTTCTAGAAACTTGATGGAAAATAGTGTTTGTGTTCTCACCCCTCTGGCTTGATCCAATATTTGCTGAGAAAGTATCTAGGCTAAATGCAGGACACCATTTCTCTCGAAATGAATACAACATCTTCAGCCACGAATTGCTTTCAAGGTTGAACATTTTAATCATGTCATCCCAGGAATTTTGAAATTCTACTTCAGTAAAACAATCAAGAACGCATTTGTTGAAGTGCTTCTTGAATTCAGGATCAGCACAATGACTAGCCAGATGTTGTGTAGCATTCTTGGAGATCTGCCAATTGCATAACCGATGCCGTGTCTCTGGGAACACAGTCTCAATTGCCTTTGCCTTTTCCATTGCTTTATCCTCATCCGTGAAAATGGTTTTTGGCTGTTTATTTCCCATCGACTCCAAAATGTTTCAAACAACCAAATAAATGAACCAGCACTCTCGTCCAATAAAAAAGCACAACCAAATGAGATATTCTTCCAATGGTGATTGACTCCCAAAAATGGACCACAAACTAGATTGCTGTTGGTTCGAAACGTAGTTTCAAAACATACAATGTCTCCAAAGCAATCATAATCCAACTTTGATCTACCATCTCTCCAGAAATAATTTGTGATTCGACTAAATTGATCCACTTGAACACTGTAGAAAAAATTTGGATCCTCCATCTGTTTATGCTTAAAATAATTTATCAAGCTTTGTCCATTCTGTTCTATCATTTCATCCTTACTCCTTTGCAAACAATTAGGTAAATCTTTATTAGTAGATCCATCATTCTCATCACTGCCAAACTCTTTTCCCAAGTATGAATGTGATTTTGCTGGTCTTATACTCCCATCACTCTTAGAGCCAAGGATATTTGCACGAACACTTGGTATATTTCGACCTGATCTTAGAAATTGTCGCTCTTCAGGCTTAGCAAACTCGTGATTATGAACTGGATTGATGTAGGAGAGCTTCCACATACCATTTTCCACGGTGAATCGAATTACAGCCTTGCAACCTGTTCTTGTATCTAGCCTTCTCACTTTCTTCGCTTCACATAAGTCTTCATCTACTTGAAATCCTTCCTTTGAGCACAAAAATTCTCGTTGCCGGACTTTATTTTGCGAATCTCTTCGAAGATGCCCCTTGCGAATACTAAAACCTTTGTTAAAGGCATAGGTGTTGCAGAGCTGGTAAGCTTCAGATTCATCACTAACCTCCATCCCTACTCTTAGATCATCACTTTCTCCAAATAATGCTTCCTTGTCACTTTTTTCTAATGATTTGCTTTGAAAATCACTATCCATTTGCTAAATCAACCAGCCTAATCATACAGAGCAAAATATTTAGTGCTTGTCCATAACAGAAGAGCGAAATGTAAAATGTAAGCCATATGTTTGGTAGGGATTACAAGTAAAAATATTAAAACCAGAAGGTCGACAATGATCCTGGATATCAGTTTTCAATCAAATCAAAATAGTAAGTCTCCTTAAAACAGCTTTTAAATTAAAATTTTGAAATCACAAACGCAATGTAAGATAACTAAATCATAAATATTGTCTTCAAGAACAATCATTTAATCAGATTCTGCCCCAAACTTTTCTAAACCGTTAGGAAGCAATCATGCAACATCCATAAGAAACTAGCATCAAATTTCATAAACAAGAGAAACCCAAAAATTTAATATTAGCCTCCTGCCTCCAATACTTTACCTCCAAAATTTCCAAAACGAAAGGAAAAAAATACAGCAAAACAGCAATAATCATATTGGAAAAGACCCAGAGAGGACAGAGAAGCTACCTAGTTCTCCAAGAAAAGAAAGGAGGATACTTGATGCGACGTCGTCTAGAGGAGGGCAGAGGAATTTGGAGTTTGGGCTCAGGAGTTCTGTTATGCTGTCACTGTGCGACGAAGAGGACAGAGTGTAGAGATTGGAGAGGAACAAAACGCACCGTTTTGCTTTTCCCTCTAGTTATTCCGATACGCACCGTTTAATTTGTATAGCGGGAGTTTCTCCTTCTCTTTTATCAAATGCATTCTCAGAGCCGCGCGTAGCAAGAGGGACTTGGATTGTCCAATGCAAAATCTCTCTCGCCGATTCTCCACAGTCCCAATTCACAAGCTTTTACCTCAGCAGCTTCACCAGCACCAGCCACAGCCAACCAGATTCTTCATCCCCTTCTCCGAGTATCAGCAGAAGCGGAAGCTCTTGGAGCACAAACTCATCTCTGATCTAGATGTCTGCGCCAATCTCAGCCAAGTCAAGGAGGTTCATGCTCACCTCCTCCGCCATGGCCTCAGCCAGTGCTGCTACGTCCTCACCAAGCTCGTCCGCACGCTCACGAAGCTCGGCGTCCCAGTGGACGCGTATCCGCGCCTCGTCTTCCTACAGGTCAAGTACCCGAACCCATTTCTCTGGACGGCTATGATTCGCGGGTACACAGTTCAGGGACCCATTTCGGAGGCGCTGAATTTTTATACTTGTATGCGAAGCGCAGGGACTGGGCCTGTGTCGTTTACGTTCTCGGCGCTCTTTAAGGCTTGTGGGGATGTGCTTGACGTGAACTTGGGTAGGCAGATACATGCCCAGACGATTTTGGTTGGCGGGTTTGCGGCGGATTTGTATGTGGGCAACACCATGATTGATATGTATGTAAAGTGTGGTTTTTTAGATTGTGGGCGCAAGGTGTTTGATGAAATGCCTGATAGGGATGTGGTTTCTTGGACCGAGTTAATTGTTGCTTATACTAAGATTGGGGATATGGGATCAGCAAGGGAATTGTTTGAGGGTTTGCCTGTGAAAGATATGGTGGCGTGGACGGCAATGGTTACTGGTTATGCCCAGAATGCCCGGCCAAGAGATGCGTTGGATTGCTTTGAGAGAATGCAAGGTGCTGGTGTGGGCACCGATGAGATTACGTTGGTTGGTCTCATTTCAGCTTGTGCACAATTGGGTGCATCTAAGTATGCTAATTGGGTTCGAGACATTGCCGAGAAATCTGGTTTTGGGCCTACTGAAAATGTTCTTGTGGGATCTGCATTGATAGATATGTACTCAAAATGTGGGAGCTTGGATGAAGCCTACAAGGTTTTTCAAGGAATGAAGGAAAGAAACGTATTTTCTTACAGCTCAATGATTTTGGGGTTTGCAATGCACGGCCGTGCCAATGCAGCGATAGAATTGTTTCATGAGATGTTGACAACAGAGATAAGACCTAACCGGGTTACTTTTATAGGGGTGCTAACGGCGTGCAGCCATGCAGGCATGGTTGATCAAGGTCGGCAGTTATTTGCAACCATGGAGAAGTACTATAATGTTGTTCCATCAGCTGATCATTATACTTGCATGGTAGACCTTCTTGGTCGAGCTGGGCGCTTGGAAGAAGCTCTTGAGCTTGTCGAAACAATGCCGATAGCGGCCCACGGAGGTGTGTGGGGAGCACTACTCGGAGCATGTCGTATTCATGGGAATCCTGACATAGCTCAGATTGCTGCAAACCATCTTTTTGAGCTTGAACCCGATAGTATCGGAAACTATGTAATGCTCTCTAACATATATGCATCAGCAGGAAGGTGGGCTGATGTTTCAAGAGTGAGGAAGATGATGAAGGAAAAGGGTCTGAAAAAGAATCCTGCGTATAGCTGGGTCGAAACGAAGAAAGGGGTAATTCATGAATTCTGTGCAGGTGAAACGAACCATCCAGAGTACGCCGAGATTAAGAAGGCATTGGATGATCTTCTGAACAGATTACAGGCTCATGGGTACCAGCCAAACCTGAATTCTGCGGCTTACGATTTGGGGATTGAAGAGAGGAAGCGCATATTAATGTCGCATAGTGAAAAGCTAGCTCTGGCATATGCATTGCTCAGTACAGATTCTGGAAGCACCATAAAGATTATGAAGAACATTAGGATCTGTGAAGATTGTCATGTGTTCATGTGTGGTGCATCGCAGGTCGCCGGGAGGGAGATTGTTGTGAGAGATAACATGAGATTCCATCACTTCAGTAATGGGAAATGCTCTTGCGGTAACTTTTGGTGATTGAACCTGCAGGAGGATGAAGGTTGTTGTAGAAGGCTGGCTCTGAAGTTGTAGCTTTTGGTAATGTTGCTCAAAAACACAAATCTATCTAATTGCCTTGGGTTTCATTATGCAGTCTTTCTAGAGCCTATGATATCATTTACGGAACGCAGTTGACAAATTGTATGTAACGGCTACCATAAGTTTTGAGAGATGTAGAAGTAGAATTGAGTTTCATTTTGCTTGATTGATTATTTTATTTATTTTTGTGCTAATGAAACTAGATTTTATTTATTTTTGTGCTAATGAAACTAGATTTTATTTGTTAACTTTTTACCTTAATTTTCCTGGTTGCTAACAAGTCTATTTGTTTTTTTTTATTTTTTTTTGGGTTTTTTGTTCAAGTGGGGTGTAATGCTCAACAGAACAAGCAAATCTATTTATTGAAACAAACGACATACAAAGTACATTACGAAACACAAACGACATTGCGTATTGAGCATAAAAGAACTGAGCTCACCGCCAGCTTATTATACAGGGCATAATATTACTAATTATACGTATTTATATGAGCACTTATAAATGATATCTAGTGTTGTCCGGGAAGTTTCTCCTTGATTTTGTCCATGATCCCCTTCTTCTCTTGGTGCTCTTCGGTGTAGGCGGTTCCACCATAAGGTGTGGTGGTGGCAGTTGTATGAGTCTGGGATGGGTAGGGGTCATCTGCCCTATGCCCCCCAGTCCCAGGCAGCTTCTCCTTGATCTTGTCCATCGTCCCCTTCTCCTGGTAGTGCTGCCCGGTGGTCCCAGTTCCACCATATGTTGTATCGGTTTTGGTTCCACCCGGCAGCTTCTCCTTTATCTTCTCCTTCAACCCCTTCTTCTTCCTCCTCCCCCCTAGCCCATCATCCTCAGACTACAAATCACAATCAATTATCAACTTTATCATATCATATAATAAAATCACCATAAAATTATTTTTGTGCACGCATCTCTATCTCTAACAAATGTGACACAAGACGAGTCTCACTTCTGTTCAAGATGGATGTGATACAAAATAGTGTGATCCGTGAGACTTGACACAAACTGTTAAATATTGACGTGACACAAAAGTTGTGACCACATCTATAACAACCGTTAGAGATGTAGCACAAAATATATTGCGCAATCGAGCACATTATTCAGGAAATTAAATTCCCATAATTTGATATATTAGAGGAAAATAAAAAAAGAGGACTTACAGAGCTAGAGCTCGAGCTACCAGAGCGGTGGAGCACGGCGCCAGTGACGCCGTGATGTTTTTTCCTGTCATAGTCGTGACCATGCACTCCTGGGCCCTGGCCAGCTGCCGTGGTGGCGGCGAAGTCATGAGGGTTGTACCCTCCTGCGCCAGTGGTGGCCGCGGTGGTTCCAGTCGTAGTAGTGTGATGACCAAGTGGGTTCCCGTACTCGTCCACTCGGGGCCCCACCGGGTTCCCGTACTCGTCGGTCCGGCGGATCGGGTTCCCGTACTCGTCGGTCGGTGTTGCCCCGTACTGCTTCTCATAGCTCGCCATTTTCAAACTGCAAACACAAACAGCTTCTGAACTTCTGCGTAATTTTAAATTAAGATTTGTTTGGGATGTGATGTATTTGAAATGAGAAATGGGGTTTGGGGGTTATATATAGGCAATTGGATTGCCCAGGCATGCATATTCTAACACGTACGCGAATAGTGACTCCATGCACTGCAGCCACGTTAGCCCCTGGGACACCTGCCGGCGCTGTGAGAGGACAATTGGACCTTGTTTCTGCATCATAGATAAGATAAGATGTGTATATCATGTCATGTGTTAATAATATTCTTTGTCTCGGTGTTAAAAGCTCGTGACACTTGACCGCGTATGCACATGAACCTGTTTGACGATAGCTACCTCTCTGTTGAAAATTATTGGAACTTGTTGCATTGTCATTTGACAAGTGGCGCTGTAAAGGTCGTTCGATTAGTCTTCAATTTATCCCAACATTGGTTGAATTGAATTACTTTTTTTTATTTTGGGGGGCAAAGTTGTACTTTCATAAACAAATACCAAAGAGTCAAGAGAACAAACAAACCGAGACTAGCGACCAGTCAACGGCAACCAAACAAACAGCAAGAAAAAACAAAACTCTGAAAAAGCGGGAACAAGAAGATAAGGCCAAAAAAGCCAACTTCTTCACTCAGAAGATAGCGGAGGGCAAGGCAGTCCATCAAACGTTAAAGGATAGCTATGAAGTTGTAGCTTGTGATATTGCTGCACAACAGCTTAAAGCAAGGTTTTGACGGGCCACCACCAGAGTCACAAGATCTCTTGACATTTCGAACACTTGACTTTTTCAAGGTGCAGGGGCAGAAAGTAGAGCCTTTGGGTTCCTTTTTACCAGAAAATTTGATTTTCAACCCTTGGATAAGATTTCATTTAAACTAAACCTATTTGATCAATAATAATAATAATATATGTGCATTGAGATTTATACTTGAAAGCAGCAGAGAATCAATAGTTACAGAAGCAAAACACTGTACTCAGAAGAGCACATTTATATTAACACAAACGACATCCAAATATTACAAAATACGACATTATACAATGCTCGGCGGTCACAGACCAACAACAAGCACTGATTTATTATACACAGCAGCACAGCAGATAATTATCTGATAGGAAATTCAAATAATGATTCATTCCATCTAGTTGTTGTGACCAGGAAGCTTGTCTTTGATTTTCTCAATCAAGCCCTTCTTCTCATGGAGCTGGGGCTCTCCGACCCCACCGTGAGCTGCACTGGTTGGCTTGGTTGGGTGGGTGTCATGAGAGTACTGGTCATCCTTATGTCCACCTGGCAGCTTCTCCTTCACTTTCTCCGCTACACCCTTCTTCTCCCGGGTCTCTACTGTGCCCGCGGCCCCACCCCCACCGTAAGGTCCAGTGGTTGGGTGCACATTTTGCCCACCTGGCAGCTTCTCCTTAACTTGGCCTATTACACCCTTCTTCTCCCGGGTATCATCTCCTGTGTGCCCAGCCCCACCGTAAGCTCCAGTGGTTGGGTGGGTGTCATGAGAGTAATGGTCATCCCTTTGCCCACCTGGCAGCTTGTCCTTAACTTGACCTATTACACCCTTCTTCTCCCGGGTATCATCTCCTGTGTACCCGGCCCCACCGTAAGCTCCAGTAGTTTTGTGGGTGTCATGAGAGTACTGATCATCCCTTTGCCCACCTGGCAGCTTGTCCTTCACTTGGCCTATTATACCCTTCTTCTCCTGGTGCTCACCTCCTGTGTAGCCAGCCCCACCGTAAGCTCCAGTGGTTGGGTGGGTGTCATGAGAGTAATGGTCATCCTTCTGCCCACCTGGCAGCTTGTCCTTCGCTTGGCCTATTATACCCTTCTTCTCCTGGTGCTCTCCTCCTGTGTAGCCGGTCCCACCGTAAGCTCCAGTGGTTGGGTGGGTGTCACGACAGTACTGGTCATCCTTTTGCCCACCTGGCAGCTTGTCCTTAACTTGGCCTATTACACCCTTCTTCTCCTGGTGCTCTCCTCCTGTGTAGCCGGCCCCACCGTAAGCTCCAGTGGTTGGGTGGGTGTCACGACAATACTGGTCATCCTTTTGCCCACCTGGCAGCTTGTCCTTGACTTGGCCTATTATACCCTTCTTCTCCTGGTGCTCTCCTCCTGTGTAGCCGGCCCCACCGTAAGCTCCAGTGGTTGTCTGGGTGTCATGAGGGTACTGGCCATCCTTGTTCCCACCTGGCAGCTTGTCCTGGAGTTGGCCTAGTAAACCCTTCTTCTCCTGGTGCTCTCCTCCTGTGCACCCGTCCCCACCGTAACCTCCAGTGGTTGTCTGGGTGTCACGAGAGTACTGGTCATCCTTGGAATGAAGCACAGCAGGGACGCCGTGATGCTCAACAACACCAGGTTTTGTATGAGTGCCGTACCCTGCACCAGTTCCGTACCCGGTATCCGCCACACCGTGCTGAACTGGGTTCCCGAACTCGTCTTTCCGACCGGTTCCGGTGGTGGTGTGATGAACCGGGTTCCCATACTCATCAGTCTTCGTAGGCTCGGGTGTTGAACCAAAATGCGCCATTTTTCAAAGTACGAACAAAAAACAAACACAAGAAAAAACTACTTCTGATTAAAACCAAATGAACGAAACTGGCTTTGTTTGGGATGAAGTGATGTACTTAAAATTAGAACTGAGGTTGGTTTATATAGGCAACGAATCTACACCCAAAGGCTATGCATGCATTATGCATAACGCGCATGCCATGCCACGAATAAAAAATTTCATTAATCTTTACACGTACCCACGTACATAATTAGCAAAGTAAATTTCACACCTGCCTGATATTCACATATGAGACACGTGGCGCTGTTGAGACAGGACACGTGTGTCGGTGTCGGCACATAGGAAGATATTTTGTTTTTGTTTTGTTTTCTTTTCTTTTTACGTCGGGCATAAGATTAAAAGATTACGATTAAGATAAGATAAAATAAGTGGTTCTCGTTGTCTTGATCTTGAAGCTGGTGTCATTTCACCGCGTCTGTATGGAATTGATGACGACAGGAGGAACAACTACCTCTGTACCCGTTCCACTCCACCAGCTTTTGACCCTTGTAAAAGTTGTTCATCATCTTGATTTTTGTCACACAGACCGACTCATTGGATGGCTAAGATTCATAAGAGGGATTTCATCGTTCCGTGTATGAGGTTCCACGTGGATGTTATCCATTGGTTCTAGCTCTACAGGGTTATTGAATTGAACCGGCCCAATTTCGGCAGTTTGGTCTACAAACGGCCGACATGAAACGGACCAATCTGTTGAGCAGCGAAATTCTATAGTGTGGGCCTCATCTAGATGATGTTTTATCTCTTAACCGTTAGATCAAATTAGTTAACCGTTAGATCAAAATAATTAGTTTAATTTAACAATTAAAAGATAATATCTCATCTAACAGCCGCCTTCATTATAGAATGACTCCAAATTTAAATGCTTTTATTGAAAAGAATTTGAGTTTCAAAGTATATGTTGGCTAAGTCAATGATCGTGACATGAACCAACTTTTTTTTCTGTGGAAATGATACTTCATTGTTGAAGTGCCATAAGATACCACAACGTATAGCCATAAAATTTTTTATCTACAACCCAATCGTGATTACCATGAATAATAGCAGAGGTGAGCCTTACTTTTTGCCCTCAAGTTTGAATTCCTTGTAGATTAGAATAATTTAAAATAATTAGACTATTGCTGGTTTTAATAAATCCATCTCCAAACAGTAAAAACTTGCTTGCACACGAACTATTGTTAAGAAGAGCAAATATATTAGATATAAAGGACATACAAAGTATGCATCACAAATTACAAAGGACATGGCGCAGAGCTCGGTGTTCACAAACATAAGAACTACACCAAGCACCGCTTATTATACACATCATACTAAAACATTGAACACAAAGCGACACCTAGCGTATCTATCTCTTACATAACCCTATTTAGTATTATATATGAAGTGATTTAATAATGTCGTCCATCAAGTTTGTCTATGATCTTGTCCATCATGCCCTTCTTTTCACGGGGGTAGGTGGTGGTGGCGGTGCCACCGTAAGATGAAGGTGTGGTGGTGGTGCCACCGTAAGGTATGGTGGTGGTGTCACCGTAAGGTGAAGATGTGGTGGTGGTGCCACCGTAAGGTGTGGTGGTGGCGGTTGTATGAGTATGAGAATGAGATGAGTAGGGATCATCCGCCCTATGTCCCCCAGTCCCAGTCAGCTTATCCTTGATCTTGTCCATCGTGCCCTTCCGCTGGCGGTACTCTGTTCCGGTGTAGCCGGTTTCACCGTAACGTGCAGTGGTGCCGGTTGTATGAGAATGAGATGAGTAGGGGTCAGTAATCTTGTCCATCCTCCCATGGTGCTGCTCCGATTCAGTGTAGCCGGTTTCACCGTAACGTGCAGTGGGGTAGGTTGTCTGAGAATGAGGTGAGTAGGGGTCAGTAATCTTCTCCATCCTCCCATGGTGCTGCTCCGATCCAGTGTAGCCGGTTTCACCGTAACGTGCAGTGGGGTAGGTTTTCTGAGAATGAGATGAGTAGGGGTCATGAGTACCTGGGAGCTTCTCCTTGATCCTGTCCATCATCCCCTTTTCGCGGACTGGGTTCCCATACTCATCTGTATAGTGGGGCTCTGATCTGGTGTAGGTGGTGAGTGGGTTCCCATACTCATCTGTAGATTGGGGCTCTGATCCGGTGTAGGTGGTAAGCGGGTTCCCATACTCATTTGTAGATTGGGGCTCTGATCTGGTGTAGGTGGTGAGTGGGTTCCCATACTCATTTGTAGATTGGGGCGTTGCACCATATTGGTTCTGGTAATTCGCCATTTTCAAAGATCACACAATAACACAAAGAAACAAATAGAGATTGTAGATTGATTTTTTGAGTAGAAAGAAAGTTGTCCTGGATTGGATGGATTTGAAATTGAAAGTGAGAATAGGGGTTGGTTTATATAGGCAATTACGTAAAGGCATGCATGATGTGCATGTAGGTTAAATTCTTACACATAGCTGGATACTGATTTCATAAGCTAGTGCCACGTTAGCTACTGGAACACGTGGCAATGTTATAACGCGACAAGTGTATGTTGGTGCATGGTGCATGGTGCATGGTCCATGGATAAGATAAGATTTAAAGTAAGTCAAGGCTCGTGACCCTTACCCACCTCCGTGCAGTTGGAGGAGACCTTTGTGTAAGAGATATTTATAACTCCTCCTCCTTGAGATTGAGAATTCAAAGTTTTTGTAAGTGAAGAAATTATGAGGGAGAATGTTGTGGGACAGTGATTAAGTGATCAATTTTCTTATAAATGCTTGCTTAATCGTAATGGCTAATCTCCCACCTGATGCTCCTTCATCATCTCATCATTGAAAACTTTGGCTTTGAAACCGTCTGCCGACATGGGACTATACTATTCATGCAGGCTAAGTTATGGTTTCAATGATAATTGGCTTTTGATCATAAGTTTGTTCTCCACGTACTCAGAAGTTTCGGCTTTTTTGCTTTGTTTTTTCTTTTTTTTCTTTAAATAAATATAAATGAAAAAAAAGAAGAAAATTAAAGCTTAACCCCTTCAAAGTCATTTTTCCTCAACTACAACCCTTCTCTTTATTTTTGTTTGAATGAAATCCTACTTTTTATAAATAAAACCCGACGATTAGGACCCAACTCGAAAAGTCACCTAATCAAGTGCAAAATCGAAATTATTGTACTTTTTCGATTCCTAAAATACCCCTAACTAAGTCATTATTGTAATTTTTTATATAGAAATTTAGTTATATACCCAATCTTAGACATAGTCTTATAAAGAAACCCTATACTATTTAAAAACTATAAACACACCAAAAAAAAAACCCAACAATTGACAGTTGTCAAATTTTTTAATTTAATAGATGTTTTTTAGTTTATTTGTGTGTTAAATATCTATATTGCCCTTGTATTATGGATTTGAGAGAGAAAAATCATATCTGCCCAGATTTGCCAAAAAACCAAATCAGATTTATTTTCTCCTTTCTTGATGGTGCTTTCTCTGGTGTTTGAGCAAGAGGTGCTTCCATTGAAGCTCAGTCTCAGGTCCAACTACATTCTTCATCTTTAATCTACAATTTTCAATATTTCACCTTCGATTTCTTGTTCTAAAATCGTGCTTCTATTGATTTTTTTTTCTTCAGATTGTTCAAGACCTCGAACGAACCTTGATCAAATGCTCTTAGCTCTACTCCTCATCTTCGAGCTATACTCCTCTTCGCCACGTCGTCGTCGTCGTCGTTGTTTGGTTTGGACTTGAGATTTTTGATCTTTTACTTCAATTTTGTGTTTCTCTTCCGATTTTAGTTGATTTTCGAAATGTATTTTAAGATTTGATGATCGATTTATCTTTTATTACTATTTCAATTATGGATCTTTTTTTTGTTTAATAATGTACTTCTATGGCAAAGTATTAACAATGTACTTATATTACAGAGTATTAACAACGTACATCTATCACATAATAGTATTAACAATTTGGGCTCAACTTGTTTTGAGTTGGTCTGGTTTGTTTTTTCTTCATCTTTTCTTTGTTGGACATGTATTAGAAATAGCAACATGACAAGCATTAATCAACATTAGTGAACTAGCAGTGTTATTACCAAAGACTAGAACATTACATACATTGGCTGATCCACAGAGGCGCAAAGAAGTGCAGCTGCACCTCCCCTCGCCGCATGGCTATACTCTTTAAATACTCAGACCTGACTGTGGCATTGAGATGGCAAATCTGATATTATTAATGGATCTGTAAAGTGCAATTCCTTTCCAATTAATCATCAATGCTTACATGGATAAACGCAGTAGATACAAACATTAATATTGGCTTGTTAATTTACTCATGCGTTTGCTAAAAAGCACTTGTGTTTCGTATGACATCGTATATGAAAGACTGACTGGCAAGCTGCCCTTGCTGTAATGTCTAACAAAAGAGCTAACACAACTTCTTTTAATGGTACTTGTTCAAAAGCTCATGAATGATTCATCTTTACAGTATATAAACAGCTAAACATGTGATGCTCTCCCATAAAGGCACAGGCCGTAAAGAGACACAATTGATGCTCTCCCATTAACAGTACTAGTAGTGCTGAAAGCTAGCTTGTACATTTCTGCTGCTGAAGCATAGGGTCTTTGAACAAATACATCAATGCAAACCTGCAGTATCATGTAATTAGTGAAACAGCGTTTCAAATAGTTTGGTGATCCGCTTAAAGTTGAACATGACACAATTAATGCAATATAAGACGCCAATGCATTATGCATGCACCAAAGTTATTAAAGCACTTTCTCATATAGAGGAAACTAAGACACCAACAGCAGCAAGCACCAAGTGACATAGTTTCGTAGATGAACTTATTTTATAAAAAAACCAAATGCATTTGATTTTCTATGTAAAAAAGAATTTAGAAGCTTGTGACTTGGCTTTGTATTTTTCGTCCTGCGAGACAACAGTAAATAGGAGTTCTCTGCCAAGCCTGGTCACAAGATTCACCCATGCATATTACATACAATTATCATGTTTCTAGCATGCAGACATCTTTGATTAAATTGAGTTATAAGATAAACTGTGAAAAGGTAAAAACGGAACCCAAAAGTTAGAAAATACGAACTGGAACCTAGAAGTTAGAGAATACAAACTTTCCGGAGGGTCTCAGAAACTGTAACAGCCGCCCAAGTGATTATAGATAAATGCCCATGACAGCACTTTCAGAGCAACATTCATTCTAAAAACAATAGCAAAATCCAACAAGTCAGCATTCTAAAAATACTCCCTGATTTGCTTCAAATATATTTAATATTTCTTAGGATGTCTAGAAATAGAAACATATCCCTGGCATGAGACTAGCTTTCTTTCTTTACTGATAGGACCCATAAATTGCCTTCAACAGGAAAGAGTACTCTTGACAATCCTTCTTCGAGGTATAGGCTGGCCGCAAGATGTCCAAATTTTCCTTCTCAAACCCTAAGTCTAACCCGAGCTGTCTCCTCTCTCTCGCTCAGACATAACTCGTGACCTATCTTCTTCTTCAATCCTCGTCTCTCTCTCACACACATAGCATCATCATCATCTCATTTTTCTGAGTCAGACTTGCCCAGACACACCCAGACACGCCCAGGCCGCCTAGGCGGGCGCCCAGCGCCTAGGTGTCGTCTAGGCCCATTTTTGGAACACTGACTGGTTAAATAAGCAGGCAATCTGAAACAAAATGCCTTGATAAAAATGTTGAAGCCGTAGCTTATCATGTGAATCTAAAATCATCAAAACAGGAGAAATAAAAGAGCCACCATGAAAACCCTCTGGGCGGCCGCCTAGGCCAATTTTTCAAACACTGGCTGGTTAAATGAGCAGGCACTCTGAAACAAAATGCCTTGATAACAATGTTGAAGCCATAGCTTAACATGTGAATCTAAAATCATCAAAACATGAGAAATAAAAGAGCCACCATAAAAACCCTCTGGGTAGCCGCCTAGGCGGCCGCCTAGTGCCTAGGCATAGCCTAGGCCGATTTTTCAAACACTGGCAGGTTAAATGAGCAGGCACTCTGAAACAAAATGGCTTGATAACAATGTTGAAGCCGTAGCTTAACAAGTTTGGTCAACAGTGTCCTTTCGCCTAGGCCGATTTTTCGAACACTGCCTGAATTACATCAATGCTTTAACAGTTTATTAGCCATACCTACTTATGCTGTGTTTCTGAGACAGCATGGTGATCGGTGGCAGAAAGATTACCCTCTTTAGCCAACCTGGGAGACTTTTGAAGCTTCTCTCTTTTACAGCGGCGCCATGCTGTTTGCAAAACACAACCTGCCCTTGGTTCCCATTGCTGCAAACCAAAATTTTTACTGGCGAACCTATTAAGGCGCAAGGAGGTGCAGCTGCACCTCCCCTCGCCGGAAAATCTCTTGCAGCTACAACTGAGGCTACCTGAGGCGCAGTTCTTATGAATAAGATGACCACTGCGCCCTGGTTTTCGTTCTGATAATACCAAAATGAAACGACGCTGTTTTGAATTTGGGGAATGAAATCCTTTTAATGAAACGGTGTGTTTTGTGACTTGAAAACATTTCATTTTAATCTTATCAATGAAATCCTTTTATTGAATTCCTATTATACCCCCGTGAATTCAAGCCCAAATTGGACTTGCTGAGTTGATATCCCCGTGACATTTGATTCAAAGCTTGGTTAGTTTTGTGACTGTATCAAAATTTATATATGGCATTACTTTCTTTAGTTGATATTGCCTGATTAGTTTTTTTTTACTTTTTTTTGTTTTTTGGCCAACTTCTTTAGTTTAATAATATGTTATTAAGTAATATCTTAGTCTTTTTTTAATTACTTTGATTAGTAATATCATATACTTATGCCGGTCAACATTCATCAAGAGAAATCTCATCCGGCAAATGTTTGCCAGCTTAGGTCTCCACCGACAAAATCATTCTTAGGGAGAGGTTTATTTTATTTTATTTGAAATTAGTTTCTTTACCTTTTTTCACCAACTATTTTTGTTTAATATATGTAATTAAGTAAGATCTTAGCATTTTTTAATTACTTTAATTAATAATTATATTTTAATAATTATTATTTAGTTAATATTTAAATATTTTAATGATTTCATAAATTACTCAAATCTTCGAATATATTTAAGGAAATATGACACTATAAATCCATACTTTTGCTACACATAAATCCATATTTTTATTGTTGGTGATATATTAAAAGCGTATAGCCGCACGACTATACACTATAAATATTCTATTTTAAAGGTCTAGCTGCGTGGCTATACTATTTAAACCAAGAAAGTAAATTTAGGTTTTAATCATAAAAAAATTTTCACTTTTGGAAAAAGCCAAAGCTTTTTAAAAAAAGACAGAAAAACCTTTCAACTTTCAAATCAAAGACATACAAATGTAAAGGATTCCTTAAGAAATCCAAAAATAAATAAGAGTAATTTTGTCCATTTTGGCTTCTTTTAAAAAATTTCTCTCCTTTTGCTTTTTCTAAAGTCTCCCTAAAAAGAATATTCTAAACGTATAGCCGCGCGGCTATACACTTCAAAAGTATAAAATTAGTTTCTTTACTTTTGTTTCATGGCAACCTTCTTTAATTTAATTTATGTAATTAAATAAAATGTTAGTATTTTTTAATTACTTTAATTAGTTATTACATTTTAATTATTGCTTCTTTAGTGAATATTTAATATTTTACTGATTTAATAAATTACTTAATAAATAGTCATTAATTATTTAAAAATATAAAATTAGTTTCTTTACTTTTGTTTTTTTGGCGATCTTCTTTAATTTAATTTATGTTATTAAGTAAAATCTTAGTCTTTTTTAATTATTTTAATTAGTGGTAGTCTATTTTCCAGAGATTTCAATGGGAGAGGAATTAAAGGGAGCTGACTTGGGCTTTGCATTCCCTTCAGTGGTCTCGCAGGTCAGCAAGGCAGGGGCGGAGCCACACTGGGACCAGTGTGGTCCCGGGCCCCCACTAAAGTATTTTTATATTTTAAAAGTAATATACTGTTATGTATTTGTATATGTATATTATTTCAAATACTTTATGTTTTAATATGTACCCACATGTATTGTGGCGGACTTATTAAGGCACAAGGAGGTAGTTCAAATTGCGCCCTTGCTCAGCTAGTGGTGATGCACTCCAGGTGTACAGATTACCTTATTTCCGTTTTCAACATTTAAGTAAATGTCTTTGTCCTTTGACTTTAATTTATTTTTATATTACTCCATTTACTTAAATTTACAATGTAAATAAGGAAGTACCCCCTATTTGAATTCAAATAAAAATACTAGAAAATCAAATTCTCACCAAGTCAAAATATAAAAAATCGGTTTTAGTGTAAAATAAGATTTAGGCTAAAAATGATGGCTCATTAAGTCAATATATACTTCATACTAAAATCCCATAAAATCAAGTTTTCTTATTTCATGTGTAAGGAATAAAAGCCGCAAAAAATTATCTTGAGAAAATGATTATTCCGAAAAACCATTTTTCATACTTAGTCAATATTTTTTCATGTATGATATGAATGCATAAAGGGGCCTAAGGTTGTTTTTAATTTGGGAAATTTTGATTTTTTTTTTCCTTTCTATTGGATTTAATGGGGAAAAAGCTTTAAACATATTTGCTAAATCACTACTCTTTGTCTATCTCTTGCATTTTTCTTGCTTAGAATGTATTTGTCTATCCCTTTGTCGAGAACAATTATGATTGCAATCAATAAGCGATATAATTCTTGACATATGTGATATATATACACTATTTTTTGTATTATGAGTTCGAATTTTTTATTTTTTATATTTTGTAAGAGGCCCCCACACACATGAAATCCTGGCTTCGCCACTGCAGCAAGGCCTGCATCTTTTACAACCGTAAGTGTTGTAATGAACTTCCCTGGATTCTCTTTTGAAGCCTCCCATTTCACATACACTTCAGTATCTGCATCAGTGAAGGGTTGTAGTTCTCCTTGGAAGCCAATGCCATCTCATCACAAACTCGACTTTTGTTCATCTCTTCTGTCAGTTTCTGCTCATTTTCTTATTTAACTGATGCAACAGTAGGTGCTGGAGTTGTCACATGTTGAGAGAGCTCTCTGTAGTTTCCACAGAGTGTAAATATGTTGCGGATCCTGACAAGCCTATCATCTGGTCCCCCCTTGCCATCTTCTTCCCCTGGATTTCTGCTTGGCCGATTCACAGTTGGTGTATGTTGATAATCCTTAGGTAAAGATGTCAGGGATCCCATATTATAATTACTCTGGAGGCTAGACCCATCAACCATGCACACTCTCTATTCCTGTATAACTACTTTCTCCACTTCTTCAGCTTCCACATTTTCCTCAAGTCCTTCCTCTTCTTCCATTTCTTCTTCCTCAAAAACAGTGCTTAGGCATACCCTATCAGCATATTTTGGTTCAAAAGAATCAATGTTTACAGCATTTACAATACTGCTGTCAGATTGATAAGCAACCCCACCTACATATTTCACCTCACGAGCAAAAGGTTCTTGATCACCCATGTCCAAATCCATTGACTCTACCATTCCTCCTGCATCATCACTGGCATAGATCCCTAACAACCTTTTGGCAAACTGGGTTCCATCATGGTCCTTTGTCCCACTCTCCTTACCATTTCCATCACCTGAGCGGCATAGCTCAAGCTCAATTTCCTCCAACCGCCGCCTCAGCATTTCAGCTTCCTACTGTTGCTGCAATATCCTTTCTTCCATTCTCCTCCTCTCCAATTCAACAAACTCATTTGCCATACGCTGGCATTCCTCCAACTTCTTTTCCAACTCACGGTCAGTCACCTTCAAGTTGATTTCTTCCTCCTTTTTCCCAGATCCCGTCCCTTCCATAAGCTCAAGTTTAGCTCTCAGTGCAGCAACCTCTTCTTTCTCCTGTTACTCCCTGTGTGCTTCATTTCGCTCTTTCTCTTTGAGCATATTTTCCCTTTGCAGTTTAAGGATGAAATCATCCATGGCAGCAATCCTTGATCCTAAAATAGCAGCAGATGAATCTTCAGTCCCAAATTTATCCTTGATTATCGTATGAGGACCACGGACAATACATTTTGCTTTTGCACCATATTTAAGGGTGGAGATTGTCTTGTGTATTTCCTCTGGGTCTGGGCTTGCACACAGTACCATTAATTTTTTTGCTTTACATCTTCGAAAGAATCCTGCACAAAAAGAACATGAGAACTGTCATTCACATACAAGGTTAGAGTGCAGGGCACCATATAATCCCTAGTAACTGACATTAGTGTGAATAAAAGTTACCTGTAGAAGCATGGTCAGTTTGCTGTCTCTGAAAGGCACATGAGAATCACCATTGGCAATGGATTCAACCACTCTTTTGAGAGCTACGTTTCCTTGGTTGATCTTTGCAGTCTGTGAATTCAATATAACCATAATTTTACATTTGTTACAATGACAATGAAAGTGCTGCATACAGTATCAGCATAAATTAAGCACCACCAAGACATTACCTGCATTTTTGCCTCAAATCCAATTTGGCCAGCTTGCTCAATATTTTCAGAGCCAGCCATGTCCACAAGCATCAAGCGTCCTCTACTGTTGGGACATCAAAGGATTATCTGTGCAGAAATGGAAAGCAAGTTATATCCAACTAGTGACAAGACCTCTGGAAGAATTATCATATATTTGAAAGTCCAAGGGAATCCTACCATGCAATGGCTCCGAGAACTTCTTTCATTGCAAAGAGTACTCTTAACAATCCTTCTCTTCTCCACTTTCTAAATCTCTTCGGAAAATTTCCCAGCCTCATTTCCAGAAATGTTGGTTGCATTCTTTGCCTTCTTTCCCATCACTTCAAGCCTAACCTGCAGGTACAAGTATTAGTGCAGAAAAGAGCAGCAAAAGGAATATTCCCCTTTATGATTTATGAGACTAAACCACATCCCTCATACAATATAACCTTTATCATCATCATCACAAGTGATGCTCCCTCAAAAATTGAGAGTCTTGAGATTTTTATAACGAGTTCTCTCTAATTTAAACCAACACAACCAACTCAACCAAATTTACAGAGAGCCAACACAACCAACTCAACGAAACTTACAGGGGCCAACACAACCAAATCTACAAATTCAAGCTTGCGCAGAAAACCCATTTCCATATAAAAACTTACAGTTCTAAACACAAAAAACATTTGACAGAAAACTCATAAATAATTAAGAATTCAGTCAAATAAAAGAGACCCAGTTAATGTAATCATCTTAGAATTGGAGCCATTCCCTCTAATTTGAACCTACACAACCATATCCAAATCTCCAGACTTGAACAGAAAATCGGCCGCCTAGGCGGTCTAGGCGGACCCTATATATATATTTTAAATAAACCGTATAGCCGAGCGGCTGTACTCCGTGGTTTTAATTTTTGTAAAAGTAGACTTGTTTTGACACGTGGCGTCTGGGGGTCCTTTTTTTATATATTAAAAATGGTATAGCCGAACGGCTATACTCAGTTTTTTGAATTCTTTTTAAAACCGTACCGCCGCTCGGCTGTACTATTTCACAAGTGGATACCGTGAGGCTGTGCAGCACCCCTTTTTTTTTTGGGTGAATCGTATAGCCGTGCGGCTATACTTGTTTTTAAAATTTGTTTAGATAATAGCATAGCCAGGGGCTGTACTTTAAAAAAAAAATAAAAAAAATTGTCTTTAATAAAGATTATAGCTTTTACATATATATGTACATACGTATTTTTAAATAATACATTCGTGTTCTATACACATCCACATTTAGTGAATAATTAGTATTAAATATTTTAATAAAAATTCTAGAAATTTGGTTTTGGTACCCAAATATTTTAGTATTCCAAATATTTTAATAAATAGTATGGACGAGCAGCTATAGTATTTTACATATATAATACATATATATATATGTAAATACATATTTTAGAATAATACATTCGTGTTCTATACACGTCTCAAATTTTTTTAAAAGTGAACATACAATAGTCGTATTGTACATTTACATACATATTTATAATGTCTTATACACGTATTTTTAAAAAAGAATTCAGTAAGACACACAAAATTCACATATGATACAAATAATTCTCACATATTATTGAATAAGAATAACATATGTTACAAAAATTATATTAAAATATCATACAGTGGAAGATTAATATCTACTTTGGATATGTTGAACCTAGCAAATTCATATTTATAAGGTACAAACTAATGGAACTAGGAAGGTCCTATTTTATTTTTCATATTTTTATTAAATAGTCTAGCCGTGCGGCTATACCGATTAAATATAATGTATTTAAATAGTGAAGCCGGGCGGCTATACTACGATTTTATTTTTAAAAAATTTTATAGCCTGTCGGCTATACTTATTGTTACACGTGGCGCTAATTGATGGAGGGTCTTTTTTTAAAACAATAGTACCGCCGCCCGGCTATACTCCGTGTTTTTAATTTTTAAAAAATAGACTTGTTTTGACATGTGGCGTCTGGGGTCCTTCTTTTTAATATTTAAAAATAGTATAGCCGCACGGCTATACGCAGATTTTTTTAATGCAAGCGTACAGCCGCTCGGCTGTACTATTTTACACGTGGGTGCCTAGGAGCTCTGCTTGCTATACTCGATTTTTTAAATTTGTTTTAGATAGTAGTACAGCCGCTCGGCTATACTATTTTACACGTCGTCCAGGCGCTGTGCAACTGCTCTGTTTTTTTGGTAAATAGACTCGATTTTTTTTCTAATTTGTTTTAGAAAATATTATCCAGGCGGTTTTATTGGTTTTTATATATATAAAAATTGTCTTTAATAAATATATATATTAAAAGTCTATAGTCTTTTGCATATATATATATATATACATATATATATGTAAGTACGTATTTTTCAATAATACATTCGTGTTCTATACAAGTCTCACATTTTAAAAAAAGTAAACGTATAATAATCGTATTATATATGTACGTACGTATTTCTAATGTTTAATACACATAGTTTTTACAAAATTTTCAATAAGACACACAAACCCTAAAAAGACAATAAACTAACAAGCTAAAAAATATAAAAATAAAGCGGACAAAAGTATTCTATCAAAATATGTGTTATTTGACGATTTGGGCAAATTGACATGTGAAAAAAGTATTCATACAAAAAAAAAAGACACGTTATCAATGGAGTGTGTGTTAGATTGGCCCAAGTCTTTGGTGTAAACTTTGGCAAATAAAAAATAAAGAAGTTAACAGAAGTAGTTGAAAAACAAAACAAAACCCAAACTTTAAAAAACAAAAACAAAAAAAAACAAAAAACAAAAACAAAAACAAATGAAGAAAACGTTAGCAAAACTCTAATCTGATTGGGTTTAGGAATATCCCTATAACCAAACAGGTCCCAAATTTTATTAAAACCCTATTTTTCACCATCGAGGAGCGGCAACAGAAATACAGTCCTCGTTGCTCCACCGCCAAATTTCATAGCTCCTGAGACCTCCACTTTTGTCAAACACAGCAATTTAAGCTCAACCAAGTTTTAAAAAACGAAGAAGAGGAAATGATATCAGCAATTTCTTGGGTGCCCAGAGGAGTTTCAAAGCCAGTTCCCTCAGTCGCCGACCCGCCCACCAAAGAGGAAATCGATGAGTTAATCAAAACCGGTGCTTTGGAGAGAAGGTGAAGTTCTCAAATTTTTGTGATCGTTGAGTGCTTTATTGATGCTGAATGACCATTGTCTGTTCTGATAGCTGTTATTGTTCTGAGGCTAAGCTCTGAACTAATTGATTTTTTTTTTTGTTAAAGACGATCACTTCTTTTGCAACAAATTGTTGGTCTTGTTCTTTATGGGGTTGGTAGTTTCTTTCTTGAAGCAAAAGGAAAAGATTGAATTTTTCATGGAGTATATTTGTCATGTGTTTGCTGTTTGGCAAAGAGGGTTCATGCATTTTGGTGTTGATTTTCGACTTCCTGACTTGTATGGTTGTGGTGGGTGTTGTTTTGTGCAGTGAAGATGGTGAAAGTGAGGACGGTGATGGAGAAATGGATGTTGAAACCCCCAAGAAGGGTGATCAAATCTCCCAAGCATTAGAGGTAGCAAAAGCACTCGGCAAAGCTTCTAAAGTTACAGAGTCAGGGACCAAATTTGATGATATAACCGAAGGATTGAGGGAACTTGACATGGAACATTATGATGATGAGGAGGATGGTATTTATATTTTATCTTTATTTTCTTGAATTCATTTTTGGAGTATAAGGGGGATTATTCACAATGTTGCTTAAGCTGGAGGTGTTGAACTTGAAGCATTGTTGACATGACCAAAGTTTAAGCTATTAGACAAGGTTGAACTTGAAGCATTGTTGAAGTTACAGAGTAGTAATTTGCTTTAAGTTTTAAATGGCTTTATTAGTACTATAGTCTATATGTTTCCTCTCATGAGTGGCAATTAAGATATATAACTAACAGTGCTTCTTCTTATGTCTAACCTCAGGCATTGACCCGTTTAGTAGTGGGCTTGGAGACCTTTACTACCCTAGTAATGATATGGATCCATATCTCAAGGACAAGGATGATGTAAGTTTTACAACTTAATTATGCCACTGTTTTTGTTCCAGTTTTTGTTGTTCTTTTGTTTTGTGAGGCTAGAAGAGCGATTCGGTTTTTCATTTTCAATTTTTTATTTTATCTAAGGATGAGGAGTCGGAAGACAGTGATGACATGACCATTAACCCGACTGATTCAGTCATAGTCTGCGCCCGCAATGAGGATGATGTCAGCCAGCTTGAGGCATGTAATAGATAGCTGAAACTATTGTTTCATTTCTCTTTGTCGGTTTGTCACTGATAATAATTAAATTATGTATGAGCAGATTTGGCTGTATGTCGAATCAGAAGATGGTGAATCAAATGTTTATGTGCACCATGATGTCATCATTTCATCGTTCCCCCTTTGCACAGCATGGCTTGATTGTCCTCTCAAAGGTGGAGACAAAGGTGCGAATCATGTGATATTATGCATTTTGGTTGAAGTTGCTTGAATTTACAATTGTAATTTATTCTTCTCTTAAGAAAAATGTAATATTTTCTTTTTCTTCTTTTAAATTTCTGTTAATCATTAGCCTCTATTTGGTGAATTTGATTATTGTTCATCTTCATTGGTTGTTTTCCTAGATATCAATTACAATTTTATTAAAATTTAGATTCTTCATCTCGAAATTTCTGTTACCCATTAGCTCTCTTTTTGGCGAATTTAAATGATGATTATCTTATGCATTGTAATTTCTCACTGGACTTCATAGTAATTTGAGATTCAGAGTAATTTTTCTTGTGTTTAAACTTGAATCATATGCATTCTCTAGACTTCATAAATTTAAGTAACCAATTTTGTTTTATGAACCTTGTATGGTTTATTGGATCATTTCTGATTTTTATCGATATTTGAGGTCTACTCCATTTCCATTAACATATTGCTTGCTCAAATTCATGTGTATATGGGATATTCCTCTTTTTAGATACCATGTGCTTAGATTTAGGCAATCTTTCAATTAAAGATGCCAGCCACAGCTGGTTCTTTTACAAGTTTATTAAAACGTAGATAAGTTTTCAGTTTCGGCATTGCTTTACCTTTGTATTTAATTGATGCTTAAATTTTTTTATTTTTCATGCTAGCAGGGAATTTCATAGCTGTTGGTTTAATGGATGAACCTTCCATTGAGATTTGGGATCTTGACATTGTATGTAGTTTATGCCTTCTACTCTCGTTAGATAGGTTTAAGTAGGAAATTGATGGAGATTTAATTGCTTTTTCTAAACATTTTTTCTGTTTTTCAGATTGATGAAGTACAACCATGTGTGGTATTGGGCGGTATTGCTGAGATGAAGAAAAAGAAAGGAAAGAAGGTTTGATGCTCAATTCCTTCAATGCCTGGGTTTGATAATCATGCAATTCTTTGTCACTTCCTTTTACCAATTCTGCATCTTGCTTTGTGTTAGGCATCAATCAAATACAAAGAAGGCAGTCACAGAGATTCAGTTCTTGGGCTTGCTTGGAATAAGTTCTACAGGTTTGTTAACTCTTTTATAGTTTTGTACTACTTGTTGCTTCAGTGGAAGGTTTATATTCGATGTTGTCTTTTCCCATAAACAGAAATGTACTTGCTAGTGCAAGTGCTGACAAACAAGTTAAGATTTGGGATGTGGCTACCGGAAAATGTACTATTACCATGGAGCATCATAAAGACAAGGCAAGAATTTAGACAGAATTGCATTTATATCTTTTATCCCAAAATCATATTTTGGATGGTGTGCTATAGAACAAATGCAATCTTTAGCTCTCTATTTTAAGGATTTCAGGTGACTTTTCCTTGCAATTTTAGCAATTTAACCTCAATTTTAACTTCTTCATACAAATTTTTACAGGTTCAGGCAGTTGCATGGAATCATTTTGCCCATCAAGTTCTTCTTAGTGGATCTTTTGATCGTTCAGTAGTCTTGGTATATTATTTTTACTTGAGTGTTACATTCTTTTCATACATTTGTTTTCCGACAAACTTTAGACATTGTCAAGGAACTTTCTTATTTGAAAATTTCATTGACTGGTGAATTTATAATTGTTACGCATTCCAGAAAGATGGGAGGGCGTCATCACATTCTGGCTATAAATGGACAGTCACAGCTGATGTAGAAAGCTTAGCATGGGATCCACACACTGAGCATTCATTTGTGGTGTGTGCTTTGGTTCTTAAGACAGTCATTTTTCATACTCAATTACGAAGTTCTTTGCTTTTTTTTGGTTGATTCCTTGTATCAACACCTCTGTGTGTGTATTATATGTACTTTTAATGTGGATACAGTTACTCTCTGGCTAGATAAGAATTATCATTTATTGATCATCATTCATTTTGTAAATCCATCCAGGTGAGCCTTGAAGACGGCACAGTCAAAGGTTTTGATATTCGGGCTGCCACATCTTCTTCTACTTCTGAGTCTAAACCTAGTTTTACTCTTCATGCACACGACAAAGCTGTTTGCGCAATCTCCTATAACCCCTCAGCACCTAATGTATAGTCCTCTTTCTCTTCACTTTTGGGTACTTTTTATGTTGTTGATTTATGTGTAATCTCACATTTGTGCTTTTCTTTTCAGCTTCTTGCAACTGGATCCACGGACAAAATGGTATTATGTTCTTCCCATTACCGGCTGAGTCTGTATACCAACCAGATTTGGATATCCTAACATTGTTGCACTATTATTTGTTGCAGGTAAAGCTTTGGGATGTGTCAAACAACCAACCCTCATGCATTTCATCCAGGAACCCTAAAGCTGTAAGTGACGTATGATTTATATGCTAACGTAATGAGTTATTTTTCTTTTTCTTATTTGTTTATTTTCAATGAGATTGATTGTCGGACTCTCTTCTGAATGTTGTCAGGGAGCTGTGTTTTCTGTTTCGTTCTCGGAAGATAACCCATTTTTGCTTGCCATAGGAGGCTCAAAAGGGACTCTGGAAGTGAGCCATCTTTCTGTATCTTGTTTATGGGTGGATTTTTGGATATTTGAAAGGCTTTTCTATGGTGGATGATGATTGCTAATTCAATATGGCTGAATTTTCAGGTATGGGATACATCATACGATGCTGCAGTTGCCCAAAGATTTGGGAGTTACATCAAGAAGAGCAGAACCCCACCTGGGTCTTGACCTGGTTAAATTAGAAGATGATTGAGGAATTGTTTTTTCGTTTATTTTTTCTTTTTGCTCTTTAAACCTTGGAGCTTTTCCATTTTCTAGTGAACAAACAAGTGCCCACCTGTAGAGGTCTTGCAGTTTTGAAATCTTTATGACTTGGATACCCTTCACAGCCTTGGAAGTATACTCGTGTGTAAGCAGGGGTAGTTTTGTTTCCAGTATTAAATTTAATGTTGTGTTAAGGGATGCGATATGCTTGATGACCGAGTGGAAAAGAACAGTTATTCTCTTGTTCAACATGAAAGTCATAATCTTAAGCTCTGGTCCGGCTAACATTTCGATACCGTAAATGCTCAAATTATTCAATCCACGCTAGTCCAATCTTCCCACTAGTATTGTAGTAGGAATTACAATGTAATTAGAGATTCTCTTGAAGCATTTGGCAAAGTGAAATGGCAAATTGCCTTACTAGGTACGGTAATTGTTGTCTCAACTAAGGAAGGAAATCTATTAACCTAAAATATGACATGTTGTTCAAACTCCTCTGTGGCAAATGTCCTCGAAGGCAAGTTAAGTTTGTAAGGTTATATTAAAAAGAAGAAAGACTGAAAAAACAAGGTATGTCAAGCCAATAATTGCAACTCTCTTTCTAAGGAAAGATGGCTTTTTAATATGGTCAAGCCTACTCTTTTTTTTTCTTTTTTTTTTCTAACAATAAAAGAAAAAACATGCACTCTAGCTTTCACAAATTATAGTTAAATTTCTTGCCCATGAGCAATTCTGTCATAATTGGTTGGCCACATGCTTTCATCACCTTTCATGGACATTGAAACTTATCATATGCTTAATTAGCCTTTCTTTTTCAATTGAATTAGTGGGTGAGCAAGTGCCATGCCCAACACCACATACGTAATAGCATGGTTTGACACTTAATTAATCACCTCTATTAGGTCTACGCCTTACCTATATATTTTTAATCTTTAGAATTAAAATCATTTTCCCCATTAAGAACTAAATTTATTTATAAAAAAAACGTGCATTTTTAATCTACGCCTTACGTCTATGTTCATAGTATACTAGTAAGTGGGGCTCAAAGCCTTAATTTATTTTCTTCATTGCTTTGAAAAATTTATTGATCAATGTGATCTTATCACTCAGTGGCACAATGGGCACTCTGTTGGCTTGCCAACAGAACTAAATGAGCACCTCTTTTCTGACTTCAACTCATGAGCCTCCATTTCTTCTTCTCTTTTCCTGTCAAAACAAAAAACAAAATAAAATTGAAACGACATAATATTCCTTCTTGATAAACTCCAAAACGTCACAGGATTTGTCTTCAAACAACATCAGTTTTGCTAACCGGGTCTAAGCGCATTAATTTGCAGACTAGTGATTAAGTTTGAATTCCATGACACTTTGGTATTATGTGTGATACAAAAGTCATAACATGTAGGACAATAGGACAATAGATGAGTTATTAATATTTTGTCCTGCATATAAAAATGAGAAGAGGTTTTATATAAATAATGGTCTGATGACTATGATCTTATAATTAAGTAATGTTCATTATGCTTCCCAACATTTCTTAGAAGAAAGCATCATCCCACCAGCAAAGCACCCAAGCAAAGTTTAAATAAAAATATCAAACTTTCAGAGTCCACTAAATTTGTCTAACCATATGATCCAATCCAACCATGAAATACAAACAAAACAAAGGAAATAAACAATAGGCCAGCAGAGCACGCATTAAACTGGAAATGTACATAATGCAGCTGGGGGAGAAAGAAACACTATTCATATTCAAACAAAATAGTATTTTATTCAATCAAGTAATTGGCAACCAGAAAGATTGATTGCTTACAGAATGCCTACATGTTGAACAGTTGAAACCCATGACCCATCCATCATTATAAGAACAAATTTACACACGACATGGGCTTCTAACTTACATCTTGAACCCACTAATTTCTCAAAAACACCACCAGAAAAACTCATTTAACCCATGATTTGAACAAATTAAGATTATTAACACATAAACATGTCAGCAGAAGCCATAATTGGTTGGTTCAAACAGAGAGTGCTCCATGGATTAGGAAATCCATCACCACCAATAATCTGAGTGTCTTCTTCTTCAGCCTCAAAAAGCCATTTGCTTGAGTTAATGCAGTCTATGATATCATTGAGAGACTGCAGTCTGTTGCTGAGCTCATCCATCTGAGCTCTGAGGACAGAGTTCTCTGCCTCAAGGTTCATGTAGAGTTGGTTGGTCACATTCATGCTTGTGAGGATTTGGTGGTTCTCCTTCTTCAGAAGACTAATTTGAGCCGTCAGATCGGTCAGATGTTCCTGTTTGCGCATCCTAGATCTACGTGCCGATTCCCGATTGGATAGCATTCTTTTGCGCTTTCTTTGGTCCATGACCTGATGAAGATCTTCATCAGAGCCTGAGTTCTGAAGCATGCTTGACCCTGAAGAAACCCCACTAGAAGAACCCATGTGGAAAATATGCTTAGCAAAATCAAAAACCAATCTTTTCTTTTACCTAATAAAACTAGAATGATTATTTGAACAACCCAGATGCTAATTTTGAAACAAAATGAAAAACCTCAAATAAGCAATATAATTACTTATAAGTTGTGATGCAGAGCTATTTTATGAAGAGATGGTGTTCATGAAAACACATAGAACCAGTAGAGGAAGCAGACAGAGAAGGATTGAACTAGGTGGGTTCTACGCCTGAGAGTGGAATTTACCATAAACCCAGAGAGCAGGATTTCACTAAGTACAGGAGACATCAATTTAGCTCAAACATCAAGAACTGTATCTATATCTATGCATGTTAAGCATTAAAGGAGAAAAAGAAGTGCCCAAAGCTATGAACTTTAAAGCAGACACAGGTTTTCAGAACCAGGGAGATAGCTATGAGAGGAAAACAGAGAGAAGCAGAGGGACAGAGATAGAGATTAGACCAAATTTTAGGGTAGGAAGAAAAGATAAGGAAGAGGAGGTTTTGAAGAGTGGTGGAGGGTTGAATATATAGACCAGAAACGCCCACCATATAGACATAAACTATTAGGAATATTTAAGAACATGTCTCATTGTATCAATATAAAATTATAAGGTAAAGGTAATGAGAAACACTTGTGTGTAACGGGGATAACACTATTTTGTTATGTCAGATTAATCACGCTATGTCACGCTTGATAATTTTTCTACTTAACATAACCTGATTGACTGAGAATAGCAAGACTTTGCTATTTTCTGCCCCCAAGTTGCAGCCTGACTGATATGGTATGTATACTTCAAAATCAATGTGTCAGTCTTTCCTTTGATTTTGTGAGGTAAACTGAGCATGAAATATAAGTGAGATGTACTTTTTGAGGTAAATTTGTAAGTGAAACTGCTCAAAAGGAGCACTATTTCATCTCATCTTGAGAAACTATTGTTATGACAGTAAAAGTTTTATTATGCGGCATTTTCTTTTAAAGGGTTAAAAAAGATCCCAGAAGCATAAGCTGCTGCAGTAAAGGGCACATGCATTGGTCAGAATTCTGAAAGCTGGTCCCTAAACATCGATCAATAATGAAGGGTTACAGCTTAAAGGACAGGCCCACCCTATAGTCTACCAGAAAAATTTATATGAAATGGAGATAACATTATTTTGCTATTTTTGACCAATCACGCTATGCCAAATGAAAAAGTTATCACGCGTGATATAGCGTGATTGGTCGGAGATAGCAAAACAATGTTATCCCCATTACACAAGTGTTTCTCCTAGTCTACACCAGTGCCCATTGGCAAGCAGTTGCAGCTATGTGTTTTAAAAAGACACAAGCAGGAAAAAGGCAAATTGAACCTTTGCTGCTTTGAGATTCAAAAATTTCATTCATATGTTTTTCGTTTTTTTTTTTTCTGCCTTTGCTTTTTTTTTTTTTTTTTTGTGTTTTGTTTTTTTTTTTTTTTTTTTTTTGCGTTTTTAGGAGTTCACGAAGTCCGAAGACGAAGACAAAGAAGAAAAAACTAACAGATCACAGCCCTCTCAAGAGCTGACTCAAAATTATGAAGCCCTAAAAGTAATTCATACCCCAAATTAGCAAGGTGGTTAGCAGCTCTGTTTTCCCCCTATAAACATGAGAAATCTTGCAACTCCAATCACAAGTTAGCAACAACTTGCAATTTTCAATTAGACAAAAAAGGGAGCGGGATTGGTCAAAAACGTTGGTTTGAATTGTATGCATTTTCTAGACTTTATATAAATTTAAGCAACCAATTTGTTTTATGAATTGATTTATTGGATATTTTTTTATGCATTTTTGCTCAGCACTTTAACTTAAGGTGTATCATCATCATCATTCTCAATAGTTGACATGTGTTTATGGACATAATCATAGTTCTATAAATACAAAACAAAGAGTTAATTATGATTATATCAATGGACACGTGTCAAGTGATGAGAAAGATAATGAAAATACCGCTTGGGTTGTGGTGAGTAAAAATATTTCCCTCTTTATATCCCATGTGCTTAGATTTAGGCAATCTTTCATTTAAAAATGCCAGCCACAGGCACAGCTGGTTCTTTTTCAAGCGTACTTTTCATATTGAACAGTGAACACAAGCAAGCAGATATATGAAAACCAATGAAATCTGAAGCAACTTTTTTCTGTGCCTTAAAAAAGCACACGGTCTTGCAAGTTGCCTTGGAGGCTTGGACCCAGTTATTCGAAAAGAAGGGAGGGAAGGCAAAAGGAAACCAGGCAAGAGCAGTGGGCAGGGGTGGGCTGTTAGTGGGTTTTGGGGGTCAAGAAAAGTTGGGCGCATATCGGGTCTTGGGTCCCAAATTGTGTGCTCTGTTTTCTTTATAGTACTTTTGGAAGTGACATGTTTTTTTAGAGTAGGATAAGGTGGAGGGTGCTTTCCTAAAAAGCAGCATTCCATTCCGTTCCATGTACCAGCTTTGATAATAATCTCTTTTTTTGTTGATCAAATTGGTTAACCGTTAGATTATATTAGTTAATCTGATCTAACAATAAAGAGATACGAACTTACCTAAGAGCCATATATAAGGCTCTCACTATATAATGACTCTTGAACCATTTGGGCTGGCCCTAGGATAGGCCTTCTTACTTCTGACGGGCATTGAACTATTAAGCATATGGCCCAAATCATAAAGTGAAAGTACTTAGGAAAGATTTGTATAACTTCCTTTCAGGTAAACCAGACCAGCAAACGTTTCAACATATACAATATGCTTGAGTAAGTGACCCATGCATCTACCTATTAAGATTGAGTAGAGAAAATCAAGAAAAGAAAAAGAGAGAGAAGAAAATAACAATAATAAAAATAGATGCATCTTTATTCAATTCCCTTGGTTTTTCTTAGGAAATATCTTACATGCATTATCGATGATACAGAACCATAGTCGTACACTTCAAATAACAAAGCACAATTATATACAGAGTTACAAGACAGTATGTCCCATTCAGAGACCTCAAGCTACCAAACAAGATAATACAAAATCTTGTTAAGATCATTATGACTAACACCACATTTCTCTATTGCATGGTTTTCTATTATAAACCAATTGCACGAAGAAGCATTGTTGAGGAAACTGGAAAGCCTTTTGAAAATTACCTAGGCATTCACAAAAGCAGCTTCTGGGTGGTAGTGAAGCATCTCATGCCACATCATCTCCCTAATCATTGGTTCCGCTAAATTCTCATCTATGTCGAGGTTGATCGGAACCTGGGCAGGAGGATTGCATCTTGGATCATATAACCCTGACATGTAAGGGTGTTGGAGTGCTTCTGTGACAGAGATTCTCTTAGTTGGATCAAACACAAGCATCCTTTGCAACAAGTCTATAGCTAACGGATCAGCTTGGGGGTATAGACGGGAAAAATGTGTTCCCCTAGAATAGGGCAGTGATTTGATGTACTTCCTGGCTTTCGGATTGTCAATGAATGCAAGATCAGGTTCATGCTGGCTACCAAGAACATTGATAATTAGTTTTAGTTGGTTGAGGCATTCAGTTCCAGGGAAGATTGGTTTCCGACCAAGAATCTCAGCAAAGATGCATCCTACGGACCAGACGTCAATGGATGTTCCATAATTGTCACAGCACAATAGCAGCTCTGGTGCACGATACCAGCGAGTGACAACATACTCTGTCATGAATTGGCCAGTACCTCCACTGGTTCGGGCCAACCCAAAATCACATATTTTTAAGTCACAGTTAGCATTGATGAGCAGGTTTCCAGGCTTCAAGTCCCGGTGAAGGATGTTTGCTGAGTGAAGATACTTGAGCCCTCGAAGCAACTACAATGCAAAGTCAAAATTAGTCACAAGCTGAACAACTACTAGAAGAAATAGATCTTAAAAATTAACTGGAGCTTGGTCTCTAATCACATTTTTTCAAGCTTTGAAATGCACAGAACCCCAAGAGGGTAATTTCTACATAAGAAAATGCAAGAAAATGTCTCATTGGTAACATGCGTTCTATTCATTAAGTTCCCACTCCTATTCCCAAAATCATTTGCATGCACGAATTAAGTTGGCACAAAATTAGCATCAATCAATTAGAATGCCTACTTGAAAGAATCAATGAGGTAAAATAACACTAGTTGAGAGAAAGCTAATACCTGAAATAGAAAGTATTTGCAATGGTCACTGGAAAGTGGTTGAGAGGACTTTATAATTTGATGAAGATCTGTATCCATGAGCTCATAAACAAAATACACATCCTTGAAACTTGTCCTGTGGATAGGCATCATAACATCCTTCAAAGCAATCACATTCTCGTGCCGGATATGCCTAAGAAGCTTCAACTCCCTCAGAGTCCTCAATGCATCGATTCGGTTCTCAAACACATTATTGATCTTCTTGATTGCAACTTTCTCATTTGTTGCCCTATTGATGGATGAGCACACTATGCCATATGCTCCTCGCCCTATGGGTTTGATCGGAACGTACTTGGTGTCAACCTCAAACAATGTTTGCCACATTGAGTAATAATGCTTCCCCCGTTGCCTAATTCCATCTGGAGGCTCAACTAAAGTTGCCATTTTTTTTCTTCTGCAAATCACCATAAAATGGTCTAAATGAATCAATACCCAGTATAACTGAAAACCACAAATGCTTCTTAAGTGACCTTCAGGCAATGAAATATAATAAGAACAACATGAATTACCATATTAACTTACTGGTGAAGCTGGTTGGAACAACAATTTAGACAAGGAACATAAACAAGTGACAAAAGTTGAAGTGCATGACATGCACTAGATGAAAATAATACAAAACTAGAAAACAATACGTCTTGGTGTATTTGCGTGTGTGAAGAAGGAGGCTTTAGAATGGAATCAATCCTTACTTGCCCTTACCACTTCTGGGCTTGGATCTTTTCCGGTCACCCTCTTCCCTGTTTGAGTTATTCTTGTTGCCTTTTTCCTACTTTTTTATATTTATAAAAAAATTTCACTTCCCCTTTAGGCTTTTCTCTTTTTCTTCTTAAAACCCCACTCTGTCCACTCCTAAACCTTATTTTTTTTCTTTTCCTTGTCGACCCAGCAATTCTCAAATCCCATTCACACCAAAAACTCTCCACCTTTTACACTGTCTGTTTCATGCCTTCAAACTCAAAATTGAACAAAGCTAAGCTAATAAAGCAAGGTTTTTCCCAACAAGATGCTCCCAAATTCACTTCCTAATACCCAATTCATGAATTCGCAGCTCAATTCTACGACTTTACACAAAATTGAAGAAGAAGAAAAAAAACCCAGAAGAGAGAAAAGGCCTAACCTCAATACTTGGCGAGCAACATTAATCAGAGAGAGATTCTCAGGTCGTGGAGACAAGGGGCATGTAGTTATGCAGATCCCTCCTTTATCTATAAATATATATAGATATAAATGGCTCAAAAGCAAATGGCTCAAAAGCTCGTAGTGATCAGATCATCACGAGTTATGATTCGTTATCTCGTCGTGATCAGTGAGAGATCTTAGCGACACGCTACATGGCACGCAAATACTATAGAGAGAGAGAGAGAGGCTCATGGGTTATATTATATAGAGAAGAAACGAAAGGTTGGTTTTGGGTTTGGGGGAATGGGGCAGAGAAATGAGAATGAGCCAAACCCATGACACGACGGCAAATTTCGGTACAAAAACTGCTCAGAAACGACAGCTCTTCTCAACATCCATCTCTCTTTCGGTCTTCGTTTTCTTGCTTCTTTCATGTGCAATCAACACAACCAAATCATGGAAATGAAAGAAACAAACACGCTCACGCTCAGCGCCAACGCCAACGCAGCCTGCCGACGGCGGCTCCTTGTCAGCTCGGCTTGGTTTGGTTGGCTGACTATTTATCAGTCAATCACTTATCACAAGGAACAGGGAAAGTCTCTCTCACTCATGTATATACCTTTTTTCAACACTTACTTATTTGGAAATTTATGTCTTCAACGGCACAATAATTTTCTAATTTTAAAGTATTATCACCAAAATTTAATATACAAATTTATAAATAAACCCAATCCTAGATATGTATTTATAAAAAAAATCAAGCACTATTTAAACATAGAAACACACCCAAAATCAACCCCAAAGTCAACTTTTTGGGTGTGTTTATAAATGGGTTTTGAGTGTGTGTAATGATGGGTTTTGGGTGTGTTTATATGTTTAAATAGTGCTTGGGTTTTTTTATAATTTCAACCCCCATTTTTGGTGTTTTAGTGAAACTCCTTATAGTTAAGAGATCTAAAATATTCATTTTTAGAAATATTAATAGTAATTATAGCTTAATTTTTATGAATTATATATTGGATTATACATTAATAGTATACGGGAATTTCGAACTTGAACAGAAAAGAAATACCATTAGCACGGGCATAACTAGAGCCAGGTGCAAGGTGACCTTGGCTCCCACCTCTTTTACAACCCTTTTAACACTTAGAAAAAAAAATCATAAAGTCATTTGCTATTAAGTTTTAAAATTTGGCTCTCCGAATCTAAGGATCTTTAGATTAACCATTAGGTTAACTAGATGGCTCACACTCTTTTTGTTATTTTATGTGTAACAAAAAAGGAATGATTTAGTGATTTTATAATGCTGATGTATATTACTATGTGTAAAGTTTATGGTGGGTGGGAGCTCTAAGTTAGCCAGCTGGGAATGTAAAGCCTAAAAATCCCTAGGGGTGGCAGTCCAACTTGAAGATATGGCAAGGTTGAAAGTTTGCCTTTGCTTTCCCTACAATTCATTCATTCACTCTCTCTCTCTCTCTCTCTCTCTCGTGTGAATCTTTCAAAGAAACATTCCCATGATATGCTCACTTCTCCTCCCTTAAGCAAGCGGCGCGCCACGTGTAAAGTGGCAGCTGCCCGAGGCCGGTTGCCTTTGCTAGCTTAAGCTTGCTTGGTGAGTGGGGGGTCCCACTTGAGCTTCATCAAACTCTATTATCCAGATTCTAAATAATCTAAGTAGCTCAACTTCACGCTTGCTTTCCTGCTAGCAAACACAAGAAAGTCTTTGCGTACAACTAAAACATGATGAGAAGAGATCATGCAAACACCCCAAATCCAATTGGGTATCTACCAAACACTATATACTTTACTAATTATTAGACTTTAGAAATTTATTTTGAAAAATATATCTGCATAATCATTGACCCAAAATAAAGGAAAGAAATAATCTGCAAAATGGTGATGGTCTGGCAAACTCTGTATCTGGCCAAAACTTCTGTTCATTCACATATGTGGTAAACGTTTATGGAACAATAATTAGAGTAGGAGTGCATTTGGGTGGCTTTGGAGAGCCAACAACATTCAAAGTATTCAACAAAGCATATGCATCTTTCTTCTGTGTTTGACATTTCACCTTTCACCAGATGAACTGCATTGCAAGCCAAAAGCATATTAGAAATGTCACAAACTCCACATAAAATCTAAGGCTGAATTATTATTAGGAACTAAATAGGTGATGTTGTGATCTTAGTCTCAGTCAGTGGCATACCATTTTCTTATTGATCTTATTCTTCTTCTTCTTCTTTTTTTTGTCAAGACTTCCCAAGAGCTCGTCTTGCCGGGTAAGCGACTCCTCCAGAGCCTAAACAAAGAAACCATTTGAATGAGATATCATACACATCTCTATTGAACATTTATTATTGGATGCAGCAGCAGCATTTGTGCAGCTAGGCTTAACAGCTCTGTTCAAAAAAGTTCATGAAGGAACTTAAAGAAACCCAAGATAAGATACCTGCTTTGTTGCCATGAGCTCTTGCTCCAAGGCATCAACCCGGCCTAAAGCAGTTTTCAGCATTCTGTCCTTCTCAGCCGGCACGGTAGCTGGTTTCACACTCAGCATGCTCATTCTCTCTTCCAGTTCAGCCATGCGCTTCATGACAGACATGAGATCTGTACCAGAGATGGCAGGGTATGAAGGCCCCTGGGTTTTGATCATTGTGTCACCATCACAAACAGTGCTGGAGTAGAAGGTGGAATCAGTGAGCTTCTTTGGCATGTTACGCGTCAGTCTGACCATGGTGACTATTCCCATAACAAACGCCATAACAGCAGCCAAAATCTGAGAGCCGAACCCATCAGGAACTTTGCAAGCATCATCCCTGGAAAAACAATCTCCTGCTGCAAGTTAAAGGAAACTCAGAGCCTATTTTTTTAATAAAAGACACATAAAAAGAAAGAAAATACAGATATAAGGTCACCTATGTTCTTAGATGATGAACCCTTTGATAGGGCAAAGTTGCTGCTCCCTGCCATTTGCCAACTTGAATCCACAGTTTTACCAACCATTGAGACATGTTCCTTGCACTTGTAAGATTCATGGAGATTTTTCGCTATGGATGCCTGTGAAGATTGTTTATCTTAAAAGACCTTGTTGCAAACTAAAAAAATAAAGTATCCCACTTCAAATGCTGAATGTTTTGACAATTGTATTTGACCAACAATTCCTATCATACTCAGATTGCAAACAAATAAATGCCTGATTTATCTAGCAATTGTTTCATACACACAGAGATTTGGTAGCAACTAAAATGAACTTGGAAGTCTTTGATACTTACTTCTTCCTGAAAGCGAGAAAGTCCTGGATACTCGATATGCTCCATTGTAAATCTAGGAGAGAAAGGTCGCTTATCAGCTAGAGTTGGAGCTGTGTTACGTTCCTGGGAAGATTATATAAATAAGCTTGAGCTTTTTTTTACGACAATAAGCACCAAATGAGATGTATCTTACAAAACCAGTTAAAATCAAGTAAGACCTACTTGAATTCCAGATTTTCTTGAACATTTATGATCACCATTTTGGACCATCTGCATGTGCACAAGTCAAATATATAATAATTTTAATTCAACTGCAAACTAAAGAAAGTATACGGAGTTGCAATGATATATAGAAAAGAAAACAGAAACAGAATGGTTTGTCCACCTGCATTATCTCTGGCTTTTTCCAGGGGCCCTTATCAGAACGCATACAACCTCCTTGATCAGCACAAGTACATGTACCACCTAAGAACTCGGGCAGCTCACTGGAGCAAAGCCAAACCAGAAAGGGAATATCAAAATAAACAAACTGAAGCAGCACCGTGGCGCGTTTAAACAGACGACGCCATTGGGAACACTTGAAAACAATACAGGTAATAAATCCTGGGTTAGCAAAATTAAGAGTGCAAGATAAATTGCACAATTAGAGACTTACCTAGCATCAATTATTTCAAGTAGCTTGCTCTGATACTTATTGCCAAGGACCTGGATGATAATAACTTTCCTTTATTAATAATATGGCCCTGACAAGAACTAGCATTTGTAGCATCAAAAGCTAGGTACTCACATTTATCTTTGCCGTTGTCTTGGGATCAATGAAGGACTTCACGGTGTTCCACAGCATTCTAAAACCAGGACCAGCATTGATGATAAACATGCGATTCAAGGTCTGCATTGTTCACAACATTTTTTCATGGCATCACAATTCTGCTATCGACGATAAAAGTTCTAAAAATCCGGAAATTTATAGACCAAAATATGTCAACTTTTAAGACAGTACCTCAGGGTAATTGTCACCGTCAATCTTCTGAAGGCGAGCAATAAGATCCCTGGCAGCTTTATTGAAATTTTTAAGTCCCTGAGGCATAAAATTTGTTAAAATAGTTCATTCCATGCAATGAAATGGTGAAAAAAAAAAAGAAAAAAAAAAGACATGACTTCAAAGACAGAAGAACTTGTGAGACCGCTATGTAAAATATGCACACTGCTTAAACTGTGTATGCCTCTTAAGATCGATTGCAGTCATTATCCATAATGGTTGACATTTAAACAACATAACAACTTCTCTCTAATTTTCCATAGTGATTATAGTTGTCACATACCACTCCTTGCACATCGAGGATCGTTGTGCTTTGGTCAATGTGCTTCTTTGCTGCAATTGAGCAAGCTGGGAACTTAACAGAAAATGTCCTTTCAAACTCCCGGACATGGTATTTCACATAGCGGTCCATGGTTGTGGCTTGCATCAGCTTGGTCACATCTACTTGCCCTATTCTCTCAATATACACAGGTTGTCCATCCTTGTCTACTCCATGATGTCCTTGGGGATAGTGTTGCAAGACTTCACTGTGTTCCTTGAATTCAAAATCCTAGACAAAAAGATGGATAAATGAGTAACTAAATTGATGAATAAATATAAGCAAATGAGAATCTGCTGGAGAGTCTATTACTGGGAAAAATGAAAATATGATCTAAACTAAAAGAAGACAAATTTAAAAAATGAAGAGATGTAAAATAAAACAATCAGCAAAATTCAAAAGCCTTACCAACTATTTTTACAGTGATTACCTCCATAATTGTGTCAGCACCGAATTCCTTCCTCCACTCGAGCATGTCAGACCACATTTGCTTGGTTTTCTCGATATCAAATTTTCTGGCCTTCAAGAATCTGTCGTACAATGATTTAAGTTTAGATGAAAAAAACCGAAAAATCAGAAAAAGTATCCACAAAACTGCAAGTGGAACAACAAGAGGAAGAAACCTGAGCATCATATGATAATCATCGTGCTTGGAAGGAAGAAGCTCCTCCAATATAAGTGCCTGGCGCAATGAGTCCACAGCTTGTAACTCCACAGAGTCGTGCACATCCTCAATTTCGACAGACAAGACTTTACTGCTTCTTCTACCCCTTTTGGACAAAGATTTTCTGAACCTAGCAGAGGCATTCATTGCTTTCTTCCTCAACGACGCAACTCTAGTCTTTCCCTCTTCCTCAGAGATTTCGACATCAGATACTGAAATTATACAAAAGATGATTGTTCTATGCACATCAAACATGAGACATCAAAATATGCAAAGATCATGAATTTATGAGTCTACCTATATCAATGCATCCAAGGTTTTGTTATTTCAACATCCTAAGGTCCTTTTAAGTGTCAATGCACATTATATATTTAAGGGAAATCCAAACATTTGAAGCATATAGTTATATATACATAATATAAACGTGTCTTGTGAATATACATTGATTCTCAATGATTATTGATGAACAATATGAGACAGAAATGGCAGTTTTATTACCTGGTCTTGCAAAGAGAGATACAGACATGGCGTCACACGTTAGAAAACAGTTTCCTTCTCCGAAAATCTATGCAAAATTAGCCAAAGGGCAGAAGAATCAAGCACTCATATCACAGATACAGACCTGGAACCAAAGCCCTGCCCAAATGCCCGCATTTACATTCCCACTCTGGAAACCAAGATCACAAAACAGACCAAATTATACTAATTATGCTAATTTCCAACCAAATGCAGCTCAAATTTATAAATACCTAAATTTTTTTTTAAAAAAAACATCAAAACCAAACTGAAGGCAAATTAATTCAAATAAAAATGAGCAGAATTTAGGGGACCAAATTGAACAAAACGACAGTGGGATAGAGGGTTTAGAAGATTATTACCTCTGGTGATAAACACAGTGGGTGGTCAGTCCAAATAAAAAAAAAAATCAAGGGGGGTTTGGGGCAGAGAGACAACAATGGGTATAAATATCCTGAAACATAGTTGGGATTTGACCATGCTTAGAAAATGACGGAGAGACAGTGAGGTAGACACGTCGAAGAGAGACAGAAATTAGTATGTTGTTTTCTTTTTTAAGGTTTTGATTCAGAGCTTGGTGTTGACGAGGTCTCAAAAACGCCATGCTCATTTTGCTAGTCTTGTGTTATTCTTAACCAACAACAGAGAGAGACAGAGAAAAAGAGAAGTTGGCGAAATGCAAGGCAACTCCACTCAAATCCTAGATAACTGAGCTGACTAACTTCGACCACTAACGTCTGTTTTGCTTGTTTCCCGGGAAAATTATTCTCACTACTTTCAGACATAGTTTCTGTGAACACTAACTTGTTTAGATTCTTTGTTAGATCAAACAAACAATTACAAAGAGTATTATGTTAAGATTGAAGCTCAAAAGAAAATCTAACTAAAACGAAATCGAAAAAGACAACCTAAAACAAACAAGAACAAGTATAACTCAATTAAAGAAAGACATACATTGCGTTCTCTTCGTCTGTTTTCTTCACCAAGTGACTTTCTTTTGGGCTAGAAACAAACACCCTTTGTTATATAGTGTTCATTTGGAGATAGTGATTTCAAATCTATAGATTTGAATTTGATTGGTTTGGATTGTGTTGTATTTACTACAAGTTGTAATAGAAGAAAATCTGAAATATATATATTTGAAATTCTTCATTGGATCTAGCCATTTTAATTACAAAATGTGACACAATATCTTCGGCGCATGCACTTGCAAGAGATTTCTATGCCAGTTAAGAAATTCACCCATTTACTTTTTGTGTTTTTATAGTCATTTTTTCATTAACTTTTCTAACTTTATTGCTAATATTCAATCTCTTTCTTTTAAATTCGATTAATCCAAATGTACATTGTTATTATTTGTGATTATTCAGCATTTATAAATAAAAAAACCAGATATTTTTCTTAATTCCCCTGAATTCCACACCAAGGATTCAAAATTTACAATATTTTCTGGTTGCTTACCAAGCTTCTTGATTTGTTGTCATTTCTCTTTCCAAACTAAACAACCTCCAAGGATTTTGCTTGATTGTTTCCTTATTGGCTGAAATTGCATGTTGGTTGGACGTGAAAAGATTTAGCTCAAACAAGATGAGCTTGAGTTGACTCACAGCCACGCACTTTTACAGTAAAACTGGGAGTTCAAATTCATTCAGCCTTGATTCTTCCCTTTGATATCTTGGCCATCCGGGTAGGATAGAGTTAGCTTTCCTGAAAAACTGTCATTCCAATGTTGCAATAGTCACACAAAAAATTTCCATAAAGAAAAATCAGAAAGTACTTTCTAGTCAACAGGCCTGGAAGAATATATTTCCAATGCAATTTTGTTCCTCAGAAAGAAAAAAAACAGAAAGGATACACTCAGAAGGTAACTTAAATTAGATGTGGCAACAAGTATACAAGCATGCAATCAGAAAGCATTGCAAACTCAGGTATCATTTTCCTTTTTTTTTTTTTTTTTTTCTTTCTTTTTTCTTTTCTGAATCGGAATCAAGACTCAGAGGATTTGACTGTCCCATGAACACCTTCATGATATCCATCGTCGTCTTTCTTCTTCTAATTATACCTCTAAAAATGGCAGTTTAGAGACTCCACAACAAGCTAAGGACATTTATGCAACATAGAGCATGTACATATATTACATGCCCTCATGCTTATTTACAAGGAAAATTGAATTGAACCCATGCTAAAATTTAGCACTAGCTGGCTAGCACATGACATTTGCATTTAGCTTTTGTGCACTTCCTCCTTCCAGAGACCACCTCTAAACCCAACATTCTCAATTGGAAAAGATACCAGCTCTGGGCACCAGCTCACATTGACGACTCTCAATGCTGGCATAACTTGTTGAAGCCTCTCCCATTCTTCTTCGAAATCGGAAAGAGATTCCAACAGTAAGCCCTCAATTTTCCAGACAGTGTTGTCATTCCCCAAAAACTTTTCATTCATCCTTGCAAGATTGCCTGATGATATTGAAAGATACCTCAATATAGGAAGTGAGATGGGATTGAGCCAAGATGGACTAATCTTTCCTGGATAGAATTCTAGGCTGAGCTCATGGAGCTGTTGAGGAGGGAACAGCTTGTCAAGCTTGGCTGTGAGGTCATTATTACCATGACTATCAAAGCAACTTATTGACAGATGCTGCAGTTCTTGTAGATTTACCAATACATTGACCTCAGTATCTCCAATCTCATCAGAGCAACTCAGTCGAATCCCTAGTGTCCTAAGCCGAATTAAATTTCTGAGCTCACCAATCCTGCAACCTTCTAACTGGCTTGATTTGGCTGGTTTGAATCCCAATAACACTTCAAGATTTGAAAGCCTTCCCAAGCCTTTAGGTAGATACTCGAGTGAACCACAATAGCTGGCATCTAAGACCCTTAACTTCTTGAAAGTCATAATACAAGGGGGGAGTATCTTTAAGTTTTGACAGTAGCTGGCATCCAAAACCTGAAGGTTGCTAAGCTTGTCAAGTGAAGGTGGGAGTTGAACCAACGGATGTGTGTTGCTTACACTAAGGTAGGTTAGGTGTTGAAGAACACCAATCTGATGTAAAAGGCCTGAGAGAGGTGTATCAAAGATTGACCTGGACAAATCCATTGCTCGAAGGTTTCTAGACTTACAAAACTTCTTTGCAGTGTTTGAAGCAATCTTGTTCACTTCACCTGTCTTAGTTGTAGATAACAATGCACGCAGCTTGTGATTGGCCTTCTGAGTCATGCTACTTGCAATACCCAAATGGCGGCAGTTTTTACCTTCTGTGTTGAAAAATGCATCATCTTCTGCCATTTTTATCACCACATCCCGAACCATATCATGAATTTTACATGTGGAGATTGTTCCATGATAAGTCTTGTCCACCACCTCTAGCAAACATCGATTTGTTAGCCCCGAGAAACAATCTTCCCCTGCTGCAATTGCTGATCTACCATTTCTCAGCGGAATAAAACCTTCTCCAAGCCACCAATGTACCAATTGGTCTTTGGTTATGACACAATCTTCAGGATAAAGAGACAAACAAAGAAAGCATGACTTCAAGTAAGATGGGAGTTCATCATAACTCAATTGTAGAGAAGCCATAACTGAGTTATCATTCTCTGCTAATTCATCACGAAAATGGTCTGCAATTCGCCTCCATTCATGATAGCGTGATGGTTTGCAGAGCATTATTCCTCCAACTGCCTTGATTGCTAATGGAAGACCCTTACACTTCTCAACAATCTCCTTTCCAACATTTTCCAGTTCTGGATGCATACACTCACCTCCATCAGCTGCAAATGCAATCTTCTGAAATAGCAGCCAACTATCATCCTTGCTGAGGCATTTGGGCCAATGCAATCTTGCTTCCTTCACTCCCATTTTCTGTGCAACCTTCTCTATCCTTGTGGTGATAATGATGCTGCTTCCATTTCCCTTTGGCAATGCTTCATAAATTCTGAGCCACCAAGTGACATCCAAGCTCCACACATCATCCATCACAATCAAAAACCTCTTGCCTAAAAGATATTCATTTATTTTCTTTAGTAATTCACCCTTATCGTCTCCTGCGCTTGCATCTCCCAAGTTCCTTAACATACTTCTCATGATTTGCTCTTCACTGAAATTTTGAGAAACAGAAACCCAAATTCTTCTATCAAAGTGCTCCTCAATCTTCCTGTCATTAAATACTTTTTGAGCAATAGTGGTTTTCCCCAGGCCCCCCATGCCCACAACTCCAATAGCTAGTATCCCCTTATCAGCTTCAAATAACCATTCTTTGAGCTTACTCGCATCGCCTTCCAAACCTACGACTTGGGTGTGATCATACACAGGACTGCTCCATCTAGGCATCAGGTCATTTTGTGCATTTATTGGCTCCAGTTGATTCAGCAGTGGAACTCCAAGATAGAATGAAATATCTTGCTTAATGCGGGCAATTTTCCTGTTGATTTCTCCAAGGCTCTTCCCGGTTTGATATTGGAATGGAAGTTTAAAAGGGTTGGTGCACATAAACCAACCGCTGGAAAACAGCCCATCATCTCTTGATTGAAGCTGACAATCTGCTAGTATGTCTTCAGCTTCATAAATCAATTCTCTCAAATTAGCCATTACGCGACGAACGGTCTCTTTCTTCCTCTTGAGCCTCTCTGCATCTTTGAGAAAGCTTTGCATCAGTTGAAGCTCAGATTGTAATGTTTCAAATTTGTCCCTGACTTCACTGAAAACACGGCTCTCCTCTGATAAAGCTCCCAACAACTTCTCCAAGAACACTGTTACTACAGCATCCACCATCTTGCACAAATCTAATAAGAAAAAGAAAAAAAAACTGAGACTTTCTCACATTTTGAACATATAACACTCAGAGTGTAGCAAACTATCAATTATCTTTTACAATTATGGACTATTGTTTCTTGATATCAATTTCCCAAAGGCTCCTACTCAAAAATCAACATGTCTCAATCCCCTTCTTCCTTTGAACAACCAAGTCTCAACCAAATCTAAAAATAAATTACTGAAAATGATATGGTCTTTCATAAATATATAAAGTCTCCTAATTATATTGACAGAAGAACTGATAGGAATGGAATATATTTACATATTGGTTGGTTGATCAAGGATGTAAGCAAAAAGAAATTGTAGAACTGAGTGAGGGTAAAGTGAAACTTACATTAATTGGGTTTTGTTTACTTTGTTAATCTTCTCTCTGCACACCCTGGGATCATGTTTGATCAGACCAAGATTATCATCAAAATAAATAAATAAAGGAGCAAAACTTCTGCAACCAATAAATAAGGAAAAAAAGGGTTCACGATTGACAAAATTTAGGATTATAGAGACACTTACAACCGAACCCTGTTAGAGAACACAAGAATTCTGAATAGTCCTCTGTGTTTCTCTGCTTCCTAGAACACAAGAATTCTGCAAGCTTTGGTTTGGCTCAAATGGAGGAAAAAGGCAGATGCACAGAAAGGAATTTACAGAACAATTCCTTGTCTGTCAAAGCCTAAAGGGACCCAAGTCAACGAGACAAGTTCGGAGAAGTTCTACAAGACGGGAGAAATTTCCATCAAATGCTGGTGGTTGCTTCCTGTTGCCTTCCTCGTTGACAAAAGTCAAAGTCTCTGTTTGCGTGTCTTTTGCCATATGAATGAATGGGGCCTGAAACTTTTCCTTGATCAAGGGAGGGAGGGATGGTGTTGGGGGAATTTCTTTGATCAATTAACTTGGGGACATATATTTGAGGTTGCTTAATTTGAAAGCTTTTTAGACCCCACAACTCCCAGTACGAATATGAAACAGGCATAGAGCTAGAGCTAGCCATAGCCAAATATATACAATTTCCAGGCCATGCAGCATGAGAGTACAGTTGCCAAGTATTTACTGTGGGGTGGGTCCATCTCCTTCACATGCATGATGCATCAAACCACACAGAAGCTGGCTGGTTGGTGGTTGCTTCTCCTTCCTTGCAGTTGACTTATTGTACATATATATATATATATATATATAGAAACTTCAGAAAGTACCACATATTTCAAATCCCATGAATTGAAGGTGTATAATAGATTTTTTTTCCTTCAGTTTGGTATTATAATTAAGAAGGGAACTGCTTTTAATTATTGCATTTTAAAAGTAGCCACTTGCACTCTATGCATGAACTAAGGAGGAGCAGGAAAAACTACTATGCTTATCCTTGAGTTCTCTAACAACATCCTTGGGAATGTATAAAATCGCATTTACATCTTAAATTGCATTTTTTGTTTAAAGACTTTTCTATTGAGAGGACTGGTAGCATGCTAAACTTGCATACACGATACGAATGTGTGAAAAAATAACACTTGATTTAAGGTATGAGTAAAAAAATAACATATGACCCTATACAAGCGTTTAGGGTGATTTTGGACCCAAAATTCCACATATTGAGTTTGGCCTGCTTGCATTCATACAATTGAAAATTAGTGAATGATAACATCCAAATTCTCTCTTCATTTCATCTTTCTCTAATTCAAGAATGTTACACCTCATTCCCAAATCCCCCCTTCTTCCTTTGAACAACCATGTGTCAACCAAATCTAAAAATATTTGGAAAATTATATGGTATTTCATAAATATAATGTCTCCTAATATTGACACAACTGATAGGAATGGAATGTATTTGCATTGGTTGATTAAGGATGGAAGGTAAAAAAAAAGAATTGAGTCAGGGTAAAGACAGAGGGAGATGCAAAGTTAAGAGGCTAGCTCATAAATAAATTTACGAAACAATCCATGTCTATGTGATCCTAGCAGCTGTATGGATTTCATTTCAGAAGGCAACTTGGTAATTCTGCTCACAATTACTTGTGAACGCGTAAAAGGGTCCCAAGTCAACGAGAGATGTTTGAAGAATTTCTGTAAGACCAGAAATTTCCATCAAATGCTGGTGGTTGCTTCTCGTTGCCTTCCCTGTTGACCAAAGTCAAAGTCTCAGTTTGCATGACTCATAACAGCTGAAAAAAGTCGTTAATTTTTGTAATTTCAAAAGACACTTGCACTCTGTCTGGAGCATGAAATGTAAAATTGCGGACATAATCTCAAACATTTAATGTTAAAGTAAGAAGATCAATTTGAAAAAAACAAGAAAAACGAAAAAACGAAAAAGGGTTAATCACACCATTACTTTATTTATCGATATAACCAAAGTGATTACATCATAATCAGATAGGATAATAGGACAACACCAAACATGGACCCAACAGAAAAAGGACATGACACCAAACAAAACCTAGGAATCTAACATCCATATTTATTTTTCCAACAAAACTACTTGAACCCAAAACCATCTCAAAGGGGCTCGCGATAGCTCATATTAGATGGATGAGTTATCACTTTCATCATTCACTTTCAGATCCATTTCCTGCTTTTTCTTCTTCTCGAGTTTCTGTCTCATCAACATTATTAGCCCCTTCAAGCTTCCTAAGTTTGAGGAACTTGACAACTCTTTCAAGAGCAGCATCAACATCAACATCATCATCATCACCATCAACATCATCGTCATTTTGCCTCAAGAAATCTTCACAAATGTCAGCAGGGGTGACCTTTGTGCTCTCTAGCAACCCTACGATTTCTCCCTTAAGCCGATGGCTGTCGAAGTCTTGAATTCCAAGGTAGTTGGAGGCCAAAATGCTAAACGCACTCGGTGTGCAATAAGACATGTGAATGTGGACGTCCATTCTACCAGGACGCAGCAATACAGGATCGAGACGATCCTTGTGGTTTGTTGTGAACACAATAACTCTCTCATCACCACAACTTGACCAAAGACCATCCATGAAGTTTAGTAGGCCTGAGAGTGTGAACTGCAAAATCAACATAACACTGAATGTAAATAATATTTTTATTATTTACAGAACAAATCACCAAATGCGATTATCAAATATGCATAATTAAGAGGTGCATTTAAGGTCACTATATTTAAAGAAAAATTAAAATTCACCACCGAAAAAAAAGAAAAAAAGAGTAGGTACTAACCCGGTTATCCTTATTATGGACGGTGAAATCAATATCCTCAATCACCAAAATGGAACGATTTGTAGTGGACAGAACCACACTCTTCAAATGAGAGTCGCTGCGAATACTAGCAAGCTCCAAATCAAACACATCAAACTTGAGATGATTAGCCATGGCCGCAATCAGGCTGGATTTTCCAGTACCAGGAGGGCCATACAACAAGTAGCCTCTTTTCCAAGCCTTGCCCACCTTCTTATAAAACTCCCTCCTGGCCACAAACCTGTCCAAGTCCTTCATAATCTTTCTCTTCAGGTCGGGCTCCATGGCGATCGTCTCGAACGTAGCTGGGTGCTCCAAATCCACTGATGAGTTGGTAAGGTTAGAAAGTTTGAGAATCTTTTCCTCTTTTTTAATGGCTTCGGCCCGATCAACCACATAGGGTAAGTAGGAACTCATGACTTTTTCTTTGTGTTTCTTTTGGAACGTTAGCTCAAAGCGATATTCTACGCTGCCGTCACGGAATGTTTCGACCACGTAACGCCAGTTGAGGTTAATGTCCTCAAAGGTGTCGGGGACTTGCTCACCGCTTTCTATGGCAAGCTTGACTGTCTCTTGCCGCGGCGTTTTGCTCACTTGGATGGTTCGGGTGGAGGGATTGATCAAGTCAATGGTTGGGAGGTACCGCTCGGCGGCATCGTAGACTTGGTTGGGTGGCCTGTAGTCCTGGCGGATGATGAAAGTAAGGTCCTCATGACGATCATGAAGATCATGACGAGGGGAGATAAGGGTAGCAAGGTAATTGAGGACAGTGGAAATGAAAAGCAGGAGCTGCTCCAAGATAAAATTCATGGCTGATGGATCGATGCAGCAAGGGAGAGAGAGAGAGAGAGAGAGAGAGGCACAGCTTGAGAACAAGGTGTGGATGGTGTTGCGGGGTCGTTTCTATATATATAATATATATATATAGATGAAAGGTTGCTTACTTTGCAAGCTGTTTTCAGACCCACAACAGCGTTTGGGTAGACCCCACAACTCCGAGTATGATATAAACAAGACAGAGGGCTAGCCATGGCCCAATAGGGCATTTGTGCCTACGTGTGCTGCACCTGCATCCACGGCAAGTTTTCACTGTGGAGTGGGTCCATATCCTTGACGTGCATCAAACCCCATAAGCTGCTGGTTCGTGGTTGCTTCTCCTTGCCTTCCTCTGGTTAGTCTGCCTTTTTTTCTGGTTTCCAATCTGACCAAAGTCTCTAAAACCAAAATCGACAAAAACCACACTAAAATTAATAGTCCACATCATTATATAATTATGCATAATCTCAAATAAATTCTGCAAATCCAATATAGTCGAAACTCTAAAATAACTCAGGTGCTTAAATGAACTATATAACCATTACTATTTGAAGAAGCGTTGTCGTAATCACATCCACTAACATAAATTCTTGAAACGACCATTTTGCCAAATTTTTGTTAAGACAACACCACTTAATTGTAGTTTTTACTTTTTTGGGGGCCAAAGTTAGGAAGGAGGAATGAGAAACTCACACGCATAAGTACAATGAGACTTGAGCCACAACGCACTATTGGTCTTGACTGTAGCCTTTTTATCAGTCAAAATGTATACATGCACCTTCTCTAATCACATCTTCTACAAATTAAAATTGGATCAAAGTTGGGGATATTTACGTGAGGTGGTTTAATTTGCAAGTTTCTTAGACCCAAAACCGCGTGCACACAATCCCCAGCCACAACGCCCTATTGTCATCTTGTTGACTAAAGTCATCCCTTTCCTCGTGTTTTGGATAAATATTTGATTGATTATTTTTGGACTGCTAGCTAGTGGTACAATAACAATACAAATGCTTGACTCTTTTTCTCCTATCATGAATCATGACCATGTGAAGTGAACGTAGGAGTTGGGGTGGGTATTAGTTTTCTCCTATCATGAATCTTGATCACGCTTGACAATTTTTGCTAACCATTCACATGCGCAACAAACAAAAAAAGCCTTCATTTGGTTGCACAGAAATTTCACGCCCAGTACCTTCATTTGTTTGCTTGTCTTTGCCTTCCTTATTTTTCTCGACCACCTTACCATAATTAACCATACAATAATTAATTCAACTCTTTTTCCATTATAATGAAGAAGATTAATTAATACATATATATTATATAGCTGATTTTTGCTACCAAACACTTTCCAGCATCTATATATCACCATCGTTTATTTTCTATGTCATCATTCACTTTGACATTTATTTCCTGCCTTCTTTCTTCTTCAGTTTCTCTCTTGAAAATATTAATATTATTAACATCGACATCCATTTTCTGCTTTTTTGCTTCTTCAATTTCGGGTTTATCACCTTCAAGCTTCTTAAGTTTGAAAAAGTCGACAAGTCTTTCGAGAAGAGCATCAGCATCTTCATCATCATCCTCATCATTTGTCTTCAGTAGTTCCTCACAAATCTCAGCAGGAGTAACCTTTGTGCTCTCTAGCAAGCCTACGATTTCTCCGTAAAGGCTATGACCGTCCAAGTCAGGAATGCCAAGGTAGTTGGAGGCCAAAACCTTAAACCCACTTGGGGTGCAATAACCCATGTAAATGTGGACATCTATTCTGCCAGGACGCAACAATGCAGGGTCAAGCCGATCCTTGTGGTTTGTTGTGAACACAATAATTCTCTCATCTCCGCAACTTGACCACAAACCATCCATGAAGTTTAGTAGGCCTGACAGTGTGAACTGCATGCATGCAAATATCAACACATAATATTAATCTTTATTATTTACAGAACAAAATCACAAAACTATCAAATATACTAATAAAAATTCAGCCCAGGATCCAAGGTTCTAAATTCCATTCCCCGGTGTCACTTAGTATAAAAATTTACAAACAAAGAGTAGGTACTGCGGTTTTCCTTATCATTATTGACGGAGCAATCAATATCCTCAATCACCAAAATGGAACGATTTGTAGTGGACAGCAACGCCCTCTTCAACTCAGAGTCACTGTCAATAGCATCAAGCTCCAATTCGAACACATCAAACTTGAGATAATTAGCTATGGCTGCAATCAAGCTGGATTTTCCAGTGCCAGGTGGGCCATACAACAAGTAGTCTCTTTTCCAAGCCTTGCCCACCTTCTTATAAAACTCCCTCCTGCTCACAAACCTCTCCAAATCCTTTATAATCTTTCACTTTAGGCCGGGCTCCATGGCTATCGTCTCAAACGTAACCGGGTGCTCGAATTCGACTTCATCGTACGAGTTAACGTTGCGGAGGTTGAGAATCTTGCTCTCTTGTTTAATGGCTTCGGCGCGAAGAACAACATAGCCCAAGTAGAACTGTAGAAGGTCATGACTTTGTCTTTGTGTTCCCTTTGAAACGTCAGCTCAAAGCGACGTTCAACACAGCCGTTCGGATGTTTTTCGACCACGTAAAGCCAGTTCAGGTCAATGCCGTCAAAGGTGTCGGGGACTTGCTCACCGCTTTCAATGGCGAGCTTGACTGTTTCTCTGCCAGGTGTTTTGGTGACTCGGATGGTCCGAGTGGAGGGATTGATCAACTGAATGGTTGGGACGTAGAGGTGGGCGGCGTCGTAGACTTGGTTGGATGGCGAGCCCTCCTCGCGGATGATCAAAGTAAGGCCATGATGATAATTCATGGCGGATGGATGGATGGATGCAGGGCAAGGGAGGCAGAGGTTGAGAAGAAGGAGGATGCTCCTGTTGGGTGGAATTTTTTTTTATATCAAAATTTGGTTATATATATAGTTGAGGTTGCTTGATTTGCAAGAAGAAAAAGAAAAAGAAAATTCAGGTTTGGGTAGACCCCACAATCCCCAGTAAAAGACATGGAACCACAAAAAACCAAATGTCATGCTGGTCAGCCACACACATTTGCATAGCAATAGCGACGAAGACGACTTCTTCCACATAATTTCTCCACTTTGGTAGCTACACTATAATTAACAAAGAAACTGTTGTTAATTATTGCATTTCCAATAGCAGCCATTGTGTTTGGCAAAAATCGGGATTTCACTCATGGAAAACGGAGCATTTTGCAGCATTTCCAATACTATCAACTCAGAATTTTGCAAATTACATGCGAGTAATGTTGGGGGATTTCGCAATCCAAAATTCCAAGCTCAAATTCTATAACAATATGCGAATTGTGTAAATCTCAACATAGGAAATTTCATTTTTGGCCAGCCAAATCTTCTAGATAAATACTAGGACCATCTACCCATATCAATTCTGCTAGAAGGAGAGCGCGAGGAGGACATCCGTCCGATGGTGCTCGATTAATTTTGCTAGTGAACAAGAGGACATAATTAATATATGGAAATTTTGCACAAATATCACATGTTTTTATTTTTTAGCTTGCAATGTTGAAAATTAATATAAAAATAAGAAAACTTAATAAATAATTTTTTTTTAAAAACCAGCGCATCCCTCTCTTCCTCTCAGCCCCACTCGACGCTCCCCCACCCCATTTTTTCTAGATTAATTTGCCTCTATTTTTAAATTCGAGATCAAGCTATTATGTGTTTTGAATCTGAAGAGACACATAGGGTGAGAGAGAGAGGGTTGGGGCTTTATATATTAATTATTTTTTATCATCAAATTGCATTAAACTAGAAAAAAGTTCAAGTGACTAACACATGTCTTCCATTACTTCATTATCGATGGATATATATATAATAACCATAACAAGGATAGCTAAACAGAAAGGAGAAACATAACACCGAACAAAACCAAATACAAAAGTACTTAAAGCCAAAGGGGCTAGCTAGGCCATCGGAAGATGCAACTTATTCTACTGCCTAGCTAGCTATAGCTATGGTCGATTATTTTAGGTGCTTGAGCTCTCACTGTCGTCATCATTAACATTAACATCCATATCCTGCCTTTGTCCTTCTTGAAATTCCGGTTTATCAATATTTTTATTATTATTATCCCCTTCATGCTTCTTGAGTTTGAGAAATTTGACAACTCCTTGGAGAGCAGCATTAACATCATCATCGTCAACATCATCATCTCTCTTCAATAGCTCCTCACAAACCTCAGCAGGGGCGACCTCTGTGCTCTCTAGCAACCCCGCGATTTCTCCGTAAAGAGGATAAGGGTCCAAGTCCTGAACACCAAGGTAGTTGGAGGCCAAAACCTTAAACGCATGCGGAGTGCAATAGGACATGTGAATGTGGACGTCCATTCGACCAGGACGCAGCAATGCAGGCTCAAGCCGATCCTTGTGGTTTGTTGTGAACACAATAATTCTCTCGTCACCGCAGCTCGACCACAGACCATCCATGAAGTTTAGCAGGCCTGAGAGCGTGATCTGCAAATATCAACATAGTAATTAAAATTTTTATTATGTTACACAAAACAAAAGGCAAAAATTATCAAACACCTAATTCACCCAAAAAAGAAAAAGAAAAAAGTAGGTATTGGTCGGTACTAACCCCGCACTTCCGGTTTCGCGCATTACTGGCGCTGAAATCAATATCCTCAATGACCAAAATAGAACGATTTGCAGTGGACAGCAACACGCTCTTCAATTGAGAGTCACTGCAAATACCATCAAGCCCCAATTCATACACGTCAAACTTGAGATGATTAGCCATGGCTGCAATCAAGCTGGATTTGCCAGTGCCAGGAGGGCCATACAACAAGTAGCCTCTTTTCCAAGCCTTGCCCACCTTCTTATAAAACTCCCTCCTCCTCACAAACCTGTCCAAGTCCTTGATAATCTTTGTCTTCAGGTCGGGCTCCATGGCGATCGTCTCGAACGTGGCTGGGTGCTCCAGATCCACTTGTGATGGTGAGTTAACGCTGCGAAGTTTAAGAATCTTTTCCTCTTTTTTAATGGCTTCAGCCCGAGTAACTACATGGCCCAAGTAGGAGGTCATGACTTTGTCTTTGTGTTCCTTTTGAAACGTCAGCTCAAAGCGACGTTCTATACAGCGGTTCGGGAGCTTTTTGACCACGTAATGCCACTTGAGGTTAATGCCCTCAAAGGCGTCGGCGACTTGTTCACCGCTTTCCATGGCAAGCTTGACAGCTTCTTGCCGCTGTGTTTTGTTGACGCCGATAGTACGAGTGGAGGGATTGATCAACTCGATGGATGGGAGGTACAGCTCGGCGGCGTCGTAGACTTGGTTGGGTGGCGTGTTGTTCTGGCGGATGATGAAAGTAAGGTCATGGTGATAATGGCGAGGGGAGAAAAGGGTGGCAAGGTAATTGAGGGCAGTGGAAATGAAAAGCATGAGTTGCTCCACGATGAAATTCATGGCGGATGGATGGATGCAGGGTAAGCAAGGCAGAGGTTGAGAAGAAGAAGAAGAAGAAGAAGAAGGAGATGTTCTTGTTGGGGGATTTTTTAATCAAATTTGGGGATATATATTTGAGGTTTGTTACTTAGGGGGCAAGTTCATATACAGTACTAGTGAAACCACAGCCACAATTGCACATGGCAAGATCGACAAAGAAGTCTTCTAGTACACCACCAGTCAAAACCGCGTGCATTGACCAAAGTCTCTCTTTTTTCTCTTCATGCTAGATGTGTTTTTTTTTAACTGTATGTGGTTTTTTTTTCCGTGTGCTAGGTGACTTAGTTTAGGTAAGTCTCTGGATAAATATTCAATAAATATTTTACTGTGTTAGGACTGATAGTGGGAATGCTTTGACTCTTTTTCTCCTATCATGACTCATCATCACGAAAAGTTGAACGTAGGAGTTAGGTTGGGTGAGTTGTTTGATTAGATTGTTATGCTTTTATAATGCCCTAAAGCCAAAATGAATAAAGAAATGGAAAAAAAATTTCTTAGTGAGGCTCTTTCAGAGTTTTAGAGGTTTATTTTTCCACAAATTCGGACCTACGAGAACTTTTTTTTGAGTGGATATTACTTTTCTCCTCCTTGGTAATAATGACTTTTAGGGCATCACCCTTCTTAATTTCCTAGCAGTTTCTCGCTGCTTTCATAGAGACCAGCACATGCATGGATAGATGCGTTCAATTTTTTCCTCGAAAGATTATTCGGGTTGATACTTGGGAAGGTAGCAAGAGCGAGGAAGAAACCTAGTGCAGACCATGATTAATTTGATGGATTTGATGTTTTCAATCATACCGGATTAATTTGCATACAGTTGCCATTCTTTTCCAACCATTCCAATTGCAACGACACAAAAAAAGCTTCTGGTTGCACCAAAATTAAAACCCTATGAAGACGTACAACAAAAAATATAAATCCTCTCCACTTTGGTAAGTAAACTATGATATAATTAAGAAAGTAACTGTTGTTAATTATTTCATTTTAACACTACAAATTAAAAAAATTAAAAAAAAAGGTGGCAACAGTCAAACATTATTTGAGAATTTTCATATTAATATATGAGAATTTTGCACAAATACCACATCAACTATAGGATTGTGCATAAATACCACCTAAAAAATTTGTTCTAACAAATGTGACACTCAAGCTTTCCTCCACGTTGCAATGTATCACATAATCGTTAAATTTGCTGTTAAGTGATGACATGGTTAGGGTGGGGCCCACATTTTGCTGAGGTGGGAACTACATTTGCACCTTGTAAATGTTTTTATTTTTTACTTTGTAATGTTGAAAATTAATATTAAAATAAGAAAACTTCATAAATAATTTTAAAAAAAAACCAGAACTTCCCTCTCTTCTCTACACCCACCTACACCCAATGTCCATGTGTTTTGACTGACATCCAATGTCATAGCATTAAACTAGTAAAAAGTTCAAGTGACTATCACATACAATAACCATAACAAGGATAGCATAGCACCCCGCAAGGATAGCCAAACAGAAAGGAGAAACATCACACCAAACAAAACCAAATACAAAAGTACTTAAAGCCAAAGGGACTAGCTAGGCTGACCATACTGCTCAGTGGAGCTACAATCTGGACTTAGGTGTTTGTCTTCTTGATATGGCTCCAAGCTGGATTCTGGATTGGTGCTAGTCTTGTTGATGATCTGCTTGGAGTCACTAGGACTCGGCTAGTCTGTAGTAAGTAGTTGCCGTGTGTCCTTGGGGTTTTAACCCCCCATTTAAAAAAAAAAAAAAAAAAAAAAAAAAAAAAAAAAAAAAAAAAGGGACTAGGCCATCGGAAGACGCAAACTTATTTTACTGCCTAGATAGCTATAGCTATGGTCGATTATTTTAGGTGCTTGAGCTCTCACTGTCGTCATCATTGACATTGACATCCATATCCTGCCTTTTTCCTTCTTGTAATTCTGGTTTATCAATATTATTATTATTATTATTATCCCCTTCAAGCTTCTTGAGTTTGAGAAATTTGGCAACTCCTTCAAGAGCAGCACCAAAATCATCATCTCTCTCCAATAGCTCCTCACAAACCTCAGCAGGGGCGACCTCTGTGCTCTCTAGCAACCCCGCGATTTCTCCATAAAGGGGATGACGGTCCAAGTCCTCAACACCAAGGTAGTTGGAGGCCAAAACCTTAAACGCACTCGGAGTGCAGTAGGACATGTGAATGTGGACGTCCATTCGACCAGGACGAAGCAATGCAGGCTCAAGCCGATCCTTGTGGTTTGTTGTGAACACAATAATTCTTTCATCACCACAACTTGACCACAGACCATCCATGAAGTTTAGTAGGCCCGAGAGTGTGTACTGCAAATGTCAACATAACACAAATTCAAAAAATTATCAAATACCTAAATAAGAGATGCCCTTAACCTCATATATGTGTTTTTTCTAAAAATAAAAATTCACAAAAAAACTGACCCTGCGTTCCTCATCATTGACGGAGCAATCAATATCCTCAATCACCAAAATGGAACGATTTGTAGTGTACAGCAACGCGCTCTTCAAGTCACTGTCACTGTCAATACTATCAAGCTCCAATTCAAACACATCAAACTTGAGATAATTAGCCATGGCTGCAATCAAGCTGGATTTTCCAGTGCCAGGAGGGCCATACAACAAGTAGCCTCTTTTCCAAGCCTTGCCCACCTTCTTATAAAACTCCCTCCTGCTCACAAACCTCTCCAAATCCTTTATAATCTTTCGCTTTAGGCTGGGCTCCATGGCGATGGTCTCGAAAGTACCCGGGTGCTCGAACTCGACTTCGTTGTCTGAGTAAACGTTGCTGAGGTTGATAATCTTGCTCTCTTGTTTAATGGCTTCGGCGCGACGAACAACATAGGCCAAGTAGGAGGTCATGACTTTGTCTTTGTGTTCCTTTTGAAACGTCAGCTCAAAGCGACGTTCTATACAGCAGTTCGGGAGGTTTTTGACCACGTAATGCCACTTGAGGTTAATGCCCTCAAAGGCGTCGGCGACTTGTTCACCGCTTTCCATGGCAAGCTTGACAGCTTCTTGCCGCTGTGTTTTGTTGACGCCGATAGTACGAGTGGAGGGATTGATCAACTCGATGGATGGGAGGTACAGCTCGGCGGCGTCGTAGACTTGGTTGGGTGGCGTGTTGTTCTGGCGGATGATGAAAGTAAGGTCATGGTGATAATGGCGAGGGGAGACAAGGGTGGCAAGGTAATTGAGGGCAGTGGAAATGAAAAGCATGAGTTGCTCCACGATGAAATTCATGGCGGATGGATGGATGCAGGGTAAGCAAGGCAGAGGTTGAGAAGAAGAAGAAGAAGAAGGAGATGTTCTTGTTGGGGGATTTTTTAATCAAATTTGGGGATATATATTTGAGGTTTGTTACTTAGGGGGAAAGTTCATATACAGTACTAGTGAAACCACAGCCACAATTGCACATGGCAAGATCGACAAAGAAGTTTACTAGTACACCACCAGTCAAAACCGCGTGCATTGTGTTTTGTGTAGGTTATTGTCGTTTAGTTGACAAACGTGGTGTTTATGCTAGATGTCTTTTTTTTACTGTACGTGGTGTTTTTATTTTTTTGGTGTGCTAGCTGACCTAGTTTATAGGTAAGTCTCTGGATAAATATTCAATAAATATTTGATTGTGTTAGGACTGAGAGTGGGAAATGATTCATGATTCATCATCATGTAAAGTTGAACGTAGGAGTTGGGTTGGGTGGGTTGATCTTTAACTTGAGCAATTTGCACAGAGTTGCCATTCTTTTATCATTCACATGCAACAACACACAGAAAAGCTTTGGGTTGCACCAAAATTCAAACCCTATGAAGACGTACAACAAAAAATATAAATCCTCTCCACTTTGGTAAGTAAACTATGATATAATTAAGAAAGTAAGTGTTGTTAATTATTTCATTTCAAAAATAGCCACTTGCACTCTAAAGTGAAACATGAGAGTATGAAGCTAATGGGTCATAACATAGTGGAAAAACATGTTTGATCTAAGACGAATGAATTTTATAGAGTGTTGCAAAGTACATTTGACAGACTAATGAACTGATTTTAGGAAAATAAACTAGCTTAGCAACTCGGAATCGATACCAAGTGCTAGCAAGGCAATAAACTTAAAAGATAATTTAGGAGTTGTCAACTTGGTATCTTTATACAAGAGAGATTAGTTTAATTCAACGAAATCAAGTGTTGATCGAGTGAGGTGGTGTTGATTGTGGAAGTATATATGCTTATTAAGTTGTGAGGTTGAACAACCATGTCTCAAACTCCTACTTGAAAATCAACAATTCTCAATCCCCTTATTCCCTTGAACAACCATGTCTCAAGCTCAACCAAATCTAAAAATGTTTGCAAACTGATATGGTTTTTCATAAATATATGAATGGGACAACTGATAAGGAATGGAATATATTTGCATTGGTTGATTAAGGATGTAAGAAAAAAGTAAAACTTACTACGTTACTCGGGTTTTGTCACTTTGTTAATTTTCTCTGCACACCATTTGGTCATGTTTGATCAGAGCAAGAGGTTCAGAAAGATCATTTGGTATGCATTTCGTTTCAGAAAACGCAACATGGTAATTATGTTTATGCTCACAATTACGTGTCAACCCCAAAAAGGGACCCTAAGTCAACGAGACTTGTTAACAGAAATTTCCATCAAATGCTGGTGGCCGCTTCTCTTTGCCTTCCTTGTTGACCAAAAGTCAAGGTCTCTGTTTTCATGTCTTTTTCCACATAATTTCTCTACTTTGGTAGGTACGTTATAATTAAGAAAGAAAAAAGGAGAAGAGTCTGAATATAACCATAAATTACTTCACAATCAGATGGGACATATGACACCAACTTATTCTACTGCCCTAGCTCATGCTAGGTGGACGAGTTGTCACCATCACATCATTAACATTGAGATCCTTCTTGAGTTTCTGGTTTATCAATATTATTAGTCTCTTCAAGCTTCTTGAGTTTGAGAAAGTTAACAAGTCCAGCAAGAGCAGCATCAGCATCATCGTCGTCAACATCATCATCTCTCTTCAACAGTTGCTCACAGACCTCAGCAGGGGTGACCTCTGTGCTCTCTAGCAAGCCTGCGATTTCTCCGTAAAGGCCATGATGATTCAAGTCTTGAATGCCAAGGTAGTTGGAGGCCAAGATCTTAAACGCATGTGGAGTGCAATAGGACATGTGAATGTGGACGTCCATTCGACCAGGACGCAACAGTGCAGGCTCAAGCCGATCCTTGTGATTTGTTGTGAACACAATAATTCTCTCGTCACCGCAGCTTGACCACAGACCATCCATGAAGTTTAGCAGGCCTGAGAGTGTGAACTGCAAATATCAACAGAACACTATGTGAATGCCCAAAAAAAATCTACATATAAAAAAAGAGTATGTACTAACCGTGGGCTGCTCCGATTTCCGGTTTTGCATGTCACGGACGGTGCAATCAATATCCTCAATCACCAAAATAGAACGATTCTTAGTGGACAGCAACACTCTCTTCAACTGAGAGTCACTGCAAATACCGTCGAGCTCCAATTCATACACGTCAAACTTGAGATGATTAGCCATGGCTGCAATCAAGCTCGACTTGCCAGTGCCAGGAGGACCATACAACAAGTAGCCTCTTTTCCAGGCCTTCCCCACCTTCTTATAAAACTCCCTCCTCCTCACAAATCTGTCCAAGTCCTTGACAATCTTTGTCTTCAGGTCGGGCTCCATGGCGATCGTCTCGAACGTGGCTGGGTGCTCCAGATCCACTCGTGATGGTGAGTTAACGCTGCGAAGTTTGAGAATCTTTTCCTCTTTTTTAATGGCTTCAGCCCGAGTAACCACATGGCGCAAGTAGGAGGTCAGGACTTTGTCTTTGTGTTTCTTGTGGAAGTTTAGCTCGAAGCGACGTGTTACCTGGCCGCTCGGGAATGTTTGGACCACGTAGAGCCAGTTGAGGTTAATGTCCTCAAAGGTGTCGGCGATCTGCTCACCGCTGTTGATGGCAACCTTGACTGTTTCTTGGCGAGGCGTTTTGCTGACTTGGATGGTTCGGGTGGAGGGATTGATCAAGTCAATGGTGGGGAGGTAGATTTGGGCAGCTTCGTAGACCTGGTTGGGTGGGGCGTTGGTCTGGTGGATGATGAGAGTAAGGTCATGGCATTGGCGAGGATGAGGGGAGAAAAGTGTAGAAAGGTAACTGAGGGCAGTAGAAATGAAGAGCATGAGTTGTTCCACGATGAAAATCATTCTGGATGGATATGCTGCAAGCAAGGGAAAGGAAGGAAGGCAGTAAAGGTTGAGAGAACAAGGAGAGGATATATATACGTATAGACCCTTTCTCTCCCAAATAATTTTATTTGAGGAACACCTTTCGTGTCTACTACAAATTTATTTTCAACGATCCAAACAATTTATTTTTCAAATCTACATTCATAGATCATTTTTGCAAAAAATTAGATAAATTAAAAACCGTTTCGATATCCAATTATGTCCTACAAAAGTTCTTCAAGAAAGTAATAAATTTCAATAATTCAATTGAGTGGTCAAATTATATCAAATTCAAGTGATTTTTTTTGTAGAGACGATCTTTAAATGAGTATCTACAAAATAGAGAATTTGAATTAGTGAAACACAATATGAAATGAACTCTATAAGAGTGTTCTTTAAATAAGTTAATTTGAGAGATTTCTCGATAAAAACTCTTAGTATATATAATAATTGAGTTGGTGCTTGAGAAGTTGCTTAGGAGTTTCTTCTTGTCGTTTTGTTGACCAAGTCCCTCCTTTTTCTCTTAGCAATCTGAGTAGGATATGATATTTCTTTTCCATCACTAGTCTTATCTGTAGCGTCCTAGTCAAACATTCCCTTCCTTTCGGCACTAAAAAAAAAAAAAAAAAAAAAAAAAAAAAAAAAAAAGTTACCAAAAGTACCGAGTTATATATGATACGTATTATATATATAAGTAGATATTTAATTATTTTCGTTCTTCTATATTAATGTTGTTGTAAAGTTATAATGCTTATTGTAACAAGTATGATCCCAATAATTGATTATTTTTCTCCCCATATACAAATATTTCTTTTTCAATTTTGTAAAAAGCTCTTTTTTTGGGTCAAATTGTATAAAGCAGCATGGAGAAAAATGGATACAACAAGCCATTAAACTTATCAGACATAATGCTAATGGCCTGTTGAAAAGTAAATACACACCGACTTTTTTTATAAGTGCCAAAGTTGATGAGACAACACTAATGCCTTTTGTTTTTGGTGTTTTTTTGTGGGCAAAGCACGCGTGGTATGCGTTGTCCTGTTTTTTTTACTAGTGTAAGCAGAAAACTATTATTCAATATGACATATGTAGTGGCAATAAACTATTTTTTATTGACCATGAATGCTTGATTTCCTAGTAGTTTCTCTGTGTTTTCACAGAGAGAGGGAAAGCAAGCTTTCAACTTTTTGCTAAAAGATATGTATATTGGGGTTGATACTTACTCGGGAAGGAAGTTCATATAGCTAGCAAGTGCAACCACAGTCACAATTGCATAGCAAGAGCGAGGAAGAAGCCTACTGCATGCACACCATCCATGTTTGATTTGATGGATTTGATGCTTTCAATCATTTACTTTAGACAGCAATGTTGTTAATTTGACCAATCACAAGCAAGCATCCAACGTTATTGACTCGGCAAAGCATGATATATATATATAAATTTCTCCAAATAATTCAAACCCCATGAAGACGTACTATATATAAAAAGCTAATGGGGCTTATTCTAATAAAAAGTTGATTTGATTTGCAGATTAGAAGTTTCGTATTCGAACTCTCATGACACTTTAATTGTGTGTGAGTTTAGACTATCGTTTGTATTGAAAAAAACAACAACTAGAAAAAAAAACAAAGCAGCTGTAAACTAAGTTAAAATGACCTAAAACAGATAAGCAACAGATGGATTACTAGTCCAAATTCGAACTGGATACCAAAATAACACGCAAAGTTATGTCCAAATATAAAGAAGTAGACAAAAGCTAACTGGTTTAGTTAATTACGTATCTGAAGCTCATTTTAAAGAAACCCTTTACCTCACTTTCCTAGTCTCCCTGCATTTTCGTGCTTGAGTTGTTCAGAACCCAAGTCCAACAATAAGTTTCTCTGTGTTGGTTCATACTTACCCTCATCATACTTGCCATCTATTTTACTTGTCAAATCCCTTATTTTTAACATTTATATTTAATTGCTTTGAATTTTGGAACCTATTCTTGGGCACTTATTTTTTGAACACTTAGTTTTTGAACCTGTTCTTTCTGGGTTTAAAACTTAATGGCGGTGCTCCAAGATGTGAGCATCAAAAAAAGGTTTCAACCAAAAATAAATTAATGGACATACACCAATATACATAAATAACCTAATACATATAATAATAGGGCTAACATCATTTTACCCCCCGAAGGTTTGTGGCCATTCTTGAAATGGACCACGAAGTTTCAATTTTGTCAATTTACGCCCTAATGTTTTAAAATTCTACAAATTTACACATTTTGTCAGTTTGACCGTTTGGTCTTCTGTTAAATGATGATGTGATAAACGTAGAGTCCACTTTTTAGCTTAGGTGTAATTAAATATTTAAAAAGAATTTAAATTTTTTGACAGATATTAAAATTAAAAAAAAACATATATCTTCTCTCTCTCTGCATGCGCCCAATAGAAATTATTTTTATTCCCAACAAAGTATTGATCTTGTTTGTTGGAAAATTATGGTGCTACATGCCCAAAAAAAACCGACATGTCCAATACATGATAGGTAAATTGATAAGACACATTTATGTAGAAAAAATAGGTACATTATTTATATATAAAAAGATAGGTACATAATTCTTTATAAATAAAAAAGAAAAAGAAAAAGATAGGTACATTATTCTTAAACAAAAAGAAAAAAGAAAAAAAAAAAGATAGTTACATTTACCTTATATTAGATAGGTAAAAATATATAGGTAAACAACTGACCAATATGCACCTATATTAGATAGGTAAGAATATATAGGCAAAAAAGGTAAATGGGGGTGAAGTACTAATATGAAGAGTAAAAAAAATATTTCGAACAAGATATTCAAAAGTAAGTACCTAATTTATTAAATAAAATAAAAACTCAAACAAAACAAAAGAGCTACAAAGAAGCGGACTGCAATTCAGACTTTACTCATCTAGTCTCCCTATAATTTCATTGTTTGAGTTGATCAGAAACCCAAGTCCAGCAATTTACTCTGTTTCTTCACCCTCATCAGTTTTCTGCCTCTTTGCTTTCTCAGTCGACCCTTCAATTTCATCCTCGGTTTTGTTACTCTCGACCTTCTTACGTTTCAGAAAATTGACAAGCCCTTGAAGAGCACCATCAGCTTCATCACTCTTCATGAGCTCCTCTGCAGGGGTCACCTCTGCGCTCTCTATCAACCCTTCAATTTCGCCGCAAAGAGGATGAGGGTTGTTGCCGCCACCGTGGATGCCAAGGTAGTTAGTGATGAGAGATGACTGGCCTTGTTAGGTCCTAGTTGAGAGTAGTCTTTTGGTGCTAAATGAAGAATTTGAGCATACAATCTGCGTTTCCTGAAAAATAGAAAAAGCATGATATATAATTTTTGAATTGCACGAAGACAATATTATAGAGGTTTGACTGTACTGCTGCAAGTTTCCTCATTAGGGGAGAGAGATTGGAGTTGCGAGTTGGACCACACCTATTGGAGTTTCTCAGACTTTGACCCGGATTGATTGCTAGTTAGGATTAAGAACCAACATAAATTAATGTAATATTAATTTTCTTCCTGTATGTGACACAGATATATTCTCTCAATTTTCTGCCTCTTTGCTTTCTCAGTCCCTTCAATGAATTCATCCACCACTTTGTTGCAAATATAGGGAGACTAGATGAGTAAAATTAGTTTGTTTTATTTTGCAAGAATCTATCTGTTTCAGAGAGCAGTTATATGTACTCGTTTTGTTGCTAGAAGAAGAATTGGTAATTTGGGTTTTAGTAATTAAGTTCATCTGCATATATATAGCAAAAGACTTGCTGTACAAGCATACCATGGTTTGAATTGCATGAAGACACTATGTTAAGGTTTGACTCTGCTGCAGCAAGTTCCCTCATGAGAGAGAGAGAGAGAGAGAGAGAGAGAGAGAGAGGAGACTGAAAAGTCTGGCCCAGTCTTGGACATTTCCTGGATTTGGCTTTCTCAAACTTTAATGGAGCTCATTCTTGCTTTGCTGTGAACTTTGACCCGGATTGCTTGCTAGCTAGGCCTAAGAACCAGCATAAATTAATGTATAGTAATTTTTCTTTTTCTATGTGACGTAGATATAACTTTCCATTGTTTTCATTCATAGAGTTCATAAAAGCAAGTTCAGCAAGTAGGTTACATCAGATAAGATATCATAAGAGAGAGCTTGAAAGCTAAGATGATCTAAAAGCGGGGTTTATCTAATTTTAAAACATAAACTAGGACGGTTTTTATCTGATTTTGAAAAATAAATTAGGAGATGGGAGGCCATCATCATGCGTCAGAATGTGTAGTTCCGGTAGATGGAACCTCAGCAACTTTGTTATCCATTTCCTGCCCCGTTGCTTCTTGATTGGCAATTATCTTTGTTTCCTGCGCCGTGCCTTCTTGATTGGCAAGTTTCTTTCTCTCTGCCACGGCATTCTTCCACTTTAGCAAATTGACAAGTCCTTGAAGAGCAAAATCAGCATCATCACTCTTCGTGAGCTCCTCGGCAACCTCTGCAGGGGTCACCTCTGTGCTCGCTATCAATCCTTCAATTTCTCCGCAGAGGCGGTGATGGTTGTCAACGGCAATACCAAGGTAGTTAGAGGCCAAGATCCTGAACCCACTTGCTGTGCAATAGGACAGGTGAATGTGGACATCCATTCGACCAGGACGCAGCAATGCAGGGTCAAGCCGATCCCTGTGGTTTGTGGTGAACACAATAATTCTCTCATCACCACAGCTTGACCACAAACCATCTATGAAGTTCAGGAGGCCTGATAGTGTCGCCTGCAATTAGAACATGAGGCCATGTAAAAATCTAATTTTTTTAGCAGGACAAATGACCAAATCACATATGAAATAAAACTAAAAGGACTTGAGTGGAATATGGTTCAGACTTAGCCTTACGTATAGTAAAAGATTGAACCTATGATCATCAAAATAAGATACAGGTAAATAAAAATAAAAATAAAAACACACAGAAAACAGGTACTAACCCTGTCTTCAGAATCTGATTTCGATTTCGAATCCGCTGCCCTGTTTCCAGCATCCACTCTGCAGCAATCAATATCCTCGATTACCAAAATAGAACGATTTGTGGTGGACAGCAGCACCCTCCTCAAATGAGAGTCGCTGTAAATACTTGCAAGCTCCAAATCATACACGTTAAACTTGAGATAGTTAGCCATGGCCGCAATCAAGCTCGATTTACCAGTACCAGGAGGGCCATACAACAAGTAGCCTCTCTTCCAAGCCTTCCCCACCTTCTTATAAAACTCCCTCCTCCTCACAAACCTGTCCATGTCCTCTACAATGGCTCTCTTAAGCTCCGGCTCCATGGCCATTGTCTCAAATGTAGATGGGTGCTCCAGATTCACCGAGCCCCAGTAAGAATTGCCTTCCTCCTCCTCCTCCTCGTCGTGGCTGCTGCTTGGCCAGAAATGGCGGGTGTAAAGCTTGACAACCTTTTGCTCGTCCTTGATGGCTTCGGCTCGAGCAAGCACAAAGGGCAAGTAAGAGTTCAAAACCTTGTCTTTGTGCTTCTTGCTGAAGGTGAGCTCAAAGAAGCGCTTCTCAACAATCTTGTTTTTCTTGCCCACCTTCTTGCTCTCTGACGAGAAACGCCACCGGAGCTTGACGTTGTCAAAGGTGTCGGCGACCTCCTCGTCTTTCGTCATGGTGACCGAGATGGCCTTCTTGCCGGGCGCCTTGCTGACACGGAGGCGCTCGGTGGAGGGGCCGATCTTTGTCCGGAGGTAGACGTCGGCGGCGTCGTAAACTTGGTTTTGTATCATGCCGGAGTGCTCGTCGACGATTAGAGTGAACTTGGTGGAGAAGAAAGGGGTAAGAAGGTAATTGATGGCCGAGAATAGGTAGGTGCAGAAAGGCTCAGGGATGAGTTCCTTGGCCATGGAACGGAGCAGCATCATGCATGTTGCGAAGGAGGCGTAGGCTGAGAACAGAGTGGATGCTGTTGTTGGCATCTGACCTTTCAGATCGTTGAGAGAAAACATTGTGTTTGTTTCGAAAACTTGAGATGGTATTGATTCTTTAGGGCAGCAGTTTTTTTGATTACCAGAAAGAGTCTCTCTCTGTTTCAGAGTTGCGGAGTTTCAGAGAGATGCACTCATTTTTGCTGCTAGAAGAATTGGTGATTGGTTTGTAGCAAGTAAGTTCATCTGTCTGCATATATATATATAGGAGCAAAGACTTGTTTGTACTAAACGCATACCAAGTGCATTTCTTCAACAACAACAAAAGCATGAAATTTTTTGTTTGAATTGCATGAAGAGAATATTGTAGAGGTTTGACTCTGCTGGTCTGCAACTTCCCTCATGAAGAAGAGAGATTGGAGTTGTGAGTTTGACCACATTGATCTTTTCCTGGATTTGGGTTTCTCAAGCTCTGATGGAATTTTCCTTGATTTGGGCCTTTTTGTTTTTGTCAAATTGATTTGGGCCTTTTAGAATTTTTTTTTTTATAGGGCATTTTCTATTGAGTGGAGCAATAATATACTAAACTCATATACACAACACAATATGCTAGGACTCGAACACAAAACCTTGCAAATGAGCAATTACTCCAATCCACTAATCCTTTGCTTTGGATTAAATTTTGAAGCACATTTCTCACCCTGCTGCTTTGTTGCTCTGAATTTTTATAGGACAAAGCACACTTCCAGAGTCCGCATTTTCTATTGAGTGGAGCAATAATATACTAAACTCATATACACAACACAATATGCTAGGACTCGAACACAAAACCTTGCAAATGAGCAATTACTCCAATCCACTAATCCTTTGCTTTGGATTAAATTTTGAAGCACATTTCTCACCCTGCTGCTTTGTTGCTCTGAATTTTTATAGGACAAAGCACACTTCCAGAGTCCGCATTTTCTATTGAGTGGAGCAATAATATACTAAACTCATATACACAACACAATATGCTAGGACTCGAACACAAAACCTTGCAAATGAGCAATTACTCCAATCCACTAATCCTTTGCTTTGGATTAAATTTTGAAGCACATTTCTCACCCTGCTGCTTTGTTGCTCTGAATTTTTATAGGACAAAGCACACTTCCAGAGTCCGCATTTTCTATTGAGTGGAGCAATAATATACTAAACTCATATACACAACACAATATGCTAGGACTCGAACACAAAACCTTGCAAATGAGCAATTACTCCAATCCACTAATCCTTTGCTTTGGATTAAATTTTGAAGCACATTTCTCACCCTGCTGCTTTGTTGCTCTGAATTTTTATAGGACAAAGCACACTTCCAGAGTCCCCACTCATTGGCCCATTCACATATAAATTAGAAAAGAATAAACAGCCTATAATTGCTTGAAATCTCGGAGCTCTGTAATTGCAAATGACCCTATACTATCATCTCTATATCCTACTTGCATATTAGCATTTCCCACACACATCACGTGCGCATCTGGAATTCTGGATCATACAAGTTAATTAATTTGCTTGTTTTTCCATTCTTGATCGGTTCAGAAAACCAAGTTCAGCGAGTCATTACATCAATCAAACAACACAATTGAGGACAAAAAGGAAGTCATATTCGAATCATAATTAAAAGTATAAGGATTTTAATTTTTCTCCCCTGTATGTGAATTAGTTTATGAGATGGTGTGCGATTCACTTTCCTATCTGCCATTGGTTCTGTGTGCTTTCATTTCTTGACTTCATAAAATCAAGTTCAGCATTTAAGTCATTACATCAGATAAAATAGCATAAAGAGTGTTCTAAAGCTATATGTTTCTCAAAAGGGTTTAGAGTTTATCTCAGATTTGAAACATAAACTAGGAGATGAGCTCGAAAGCTATATGTATCTCAAAAGGGTTTAGGTTTTATCTAAGATTTGAAACCTAAACTAGGAGATGGGAGGCCATCATCATCATGCATCAGAATGCATTGCAGGGAAGATGAACCTCAGCAACTTTGTTATCCCTTTTCTGCCTCCTGGCTTCTTGTTCTTGATAAGCAATTTTTTTTTCGCTCTCGGCCTTCTTACGCTTGAGCAAATTGACAAGTCCTTGAAGAGCAACATCAGCATCTTCACTCTTCATGAGCTCCTCGGCAACCTCTGCAGGGGTCACCTCTGCGCTCTCTATCAACCCTTCAATTTCGACGCAACGGTGGTGACGATTGTTGTCACCAATGCCAAGGTAGTTAGAGGCCAAGATCCTGAACCCACTGGTGGTGCAATAGGACAGGTGAATGTGGACGTCCATTCGACCAGGACGCAGCAATGCAGGATCAAGCCGATCCTTGTGGTTTGTGGTGAACACAATAATTCTCTCATCGCCACAGCTTGACCACAATCCATCTATGAAGTTGAGCAGGCCTGATAGTGTCACCTGTAGCACCATGTCAAGGCCACAGTAACATGTATATCAAACTCTGTTATTACGGGACAAATGACCAAATTCCATACGAAATAAACTATCAAAATAGAACTAAAGGGACTTGAGGGGAATTCAAACTTCAAACTAGTGGAATCAAAACTGTAAATTAGTCTTACATATAATAAAAATTGAACCTTTCATCGTCAAGTGTAAGTATTTTTAAATAAAAAAGGTACTCACCTGGTCATCCGAATCCGAATCCGAATCCGAATCCGAATCTGATGCCCTGTTTCGAACATCCACTCTGCAGCAATCAATATCCTCGATTACCAAAATAGAACGATTTGTGGTGGACAGCAACACCCTCTTCAACACAGCGTCGCTATAAATACTAGCAAGCTCCAAATCATACACATTGAACTTGAGATAGTTAGCCATGGCTGCTATTAGGCTGGATTTTCCAGTACCAGGTGGGCCATACAGCAAGTAGCCTCTTTTCCAAGCCTTGCCCACCTTCTTGTAAAACTCCCTCCTCCTCACAAACATCTCCAAATCCTCAATAATGGTTCTCTTCAGCTCTGTGTCCAGCGCCATTGTCTCGAACGTGGACGGGTGCTCCAGGTTCACCGAGCCCCACTCGGAGCAGCCGTCGTCGTCCTCATCACTGCGCGACCGGTAATGACGAGTGTAGAGCTTGACAACCTTTTCCTCTGCTTTGATGGCATCGGCCTGAGCAAGCACGAAGGGCAGGTAAGCCTTCAAAACCTTGTCTTTGTGTTTCTTGCAGAAGGTCAGCTCGAAGAAACGATTCGTAGAAGTCATGTCGCTCTTGCCGAGCTTTTTGGTCTCCACCAAGAAACGCCACCTGAGCTTGACATTGTCGAAGGTGTCGGTGACTTCCTCGTCTTCGTCAATGGTGACGCCGATGGTCTTCTTCCGGGGCGTTTTGCCAACGCGGAGGCGCACAGTGGAGGGACCGATCTTTGTCCGGAGATAGACCTCGGCGGCATCGTAGACTTGGTTGCGCGTCATGCCGAAGTACTGGTCGATGAGCAGAGTGAACTCGACGGAGAAGAAAGGTGCAAAAATGTAATTGATGGCCTTGTAGATGTAGGAGCGGAGAGGGGCCGGGATGAGCTCGTTGGCCATGGAGCGCACCAGCATCATGAATGCTGTGAAGGAGGCGTAGGCTGAAAGCAGAGCCGATGGTGTTGTTGGCATCTGATCTTTCAGATCGTTGAGAGAAAACATTGTGTTGTTTTTTGTTTGTTTTCAAACAGATGGGTTTTTGGCAGAGGAGGTTGGCTAAGAAGAAGTATTAATGTTGTGTAATTTTATTTATGAATTAGCGACATTAAAGTTTGTTTGATGTCCCTATCTCTGTTTCAGAGAGTTGCAGAGTTTCAGAGAGCAGCTATGCACTCATTTTGGTGCTAAAAGAAGAACTGGCAAAGGGTTGTCAGTAATTAAGCTCAAATGCATATATAGCAAAGACTTGCTGTCCAAGGAGCATACCAACTGCATTTCCCCCACACACAAAAAGGCATGATATTTTTGGTCCACATATTTTGAATGCATCAAGAAATTGTTTGACTGTACTGCTGCAGGAGAGAGATTGGAGTTGTGAGTTGGAACCACATCTAGAGAGAGAGAGAGAGAGAGAGAGAGAGAGAGGGGAGACTGTAGTTGCTCAAAGCACATTTCTCTCACCCTGCTGCTTTCCTCTGAATTTGACAAAGCCCATTTCCACAGTTCCAAAATTCTTTGGACCATTCAGTCTTCAGATACAAATTACAAAACCCAACATTCATAACAAATTTTTGTTAAACAAAGAAGCAAAGTCCCAAACGCACACACAGTCATATTGGAAAGTCAAAATCACCAAAGATGGAAGTTGAACAAGTTTCTGATCCGTCTTCTACGACGTCGTTTCTTCTTGGTTTTCAATTTCTTCATGTACCTCTCAGTCTCAATCTTCTTCTTTATGATGAAATTGACGAGTCCCTGAAGAGCAACATCAGCATCATCACTCTTCATGAGCTCCTCCGCAACCTCAGCAGGTGTCACCTCTGTGCTCTTTATCAACCCTTCCACTTCACCACAGAGGCGAGGGCGGTTGTCGTCACGAATTCCGAGGTAGTTAGAGGCTAAGATCCTGAACCCACTTGTCGTGCAATACGACAGGTGGATGTGGAGGTCCATTCGGCCAGGACGTAGCAATGCAGGGTCAAGCTTCTCCTTGCGGTTGGTGGTGAAGACAATAATTCTCTCATCACCGCAGCTTGACCACAAACCATCAATGAAGTTCAACAAGCCCGATAGCGTCACCTGCATCATGCAACACATTGATTGAATTTATAACACCAAAATATATAACAAACAAATATAAAGTATACTAACCCCGGTCTTAGTATTAGGTTTCGACTTCTTCTCCGTTTCCGAATCCGAATCCGAATCAGAATACGAATCTGAATCTGAATCAGAATCCGAATCATGTTTTCGTTTTTGAACATCCACCTTACAGCAGTCAATGTCCTCAATGACCAAAATGGAACGGTTTGTGGTAGACAGCAAAACCCTCTTCAAATGAGAGTCGCTGCGAATGCTAGTAAGCTCCAAATCAAACACATCAAACTTGAGAAAATTAGCCATGGCCGCAATCAGGCTGGATTTTCCGGTGCCCGGCGGGCCATACAACAAGTAGCCTCTTTTCCAAGCCTTGCCCACCTTCTTGTAAAACTCCCTCCTACTCACAAACCTCTCCAAATCCTCTACAATGGTTCTCTTGAGATCTGGCTCCAGCGCCATTGTCTCAAACGTAGCCGGGTGCTCCAGGTTTATGGATCCCCATTCAGTGTTGCCATCCTCAACGACGTCCTCCCATGACAAGATATGACGTGTATAAATCTTGAGAACCTTTTCTTCTTGCTTCATGGCGGTTGCCTGGGCAAGCACGTGGGGCAAGTAGCTGCCCATCACTCTTTCCTTGTGTTTCTTGCGGAACGACAGCTCAAAGTAGCGCAGCCTGTTGTTGTTCCCGATTTTTGTTTCAGTGACGAGCCTCCACTTGAGCTTGATGTTGTCGAACGTGTCGATGACTTCCTCGTCTCTGTCGATGGCGACGCCCATGGACTTCTTCCGGGGCGTTTTGCTGACGCGGAGACGCTGCGTGGCGGGGCCGATCTTTTTCTCGAGGTAGACCGCGGCGGCATCGTAGACTTGGTTGCGGGACATGTCGGAGTACTCGTAGAAGGCGAGAGTGAGGTAAAAAGAGAAGAGGCCGGAGAGAGGGCTAAAAAGGTAACTGAGGGAGGAGGAAATATAGGTGCGGAGAGGGTCCGGGATGAAGTCGTTGGCCATGGAACGGAAGACCATCATGAAGGTTGCAAAGGAGGCATGGGCTGAGAACATAGACGACGCCGTTTCCGGCATGACATTGTTGAGAGAAAACATTTGTGTTGCCCTATAATTCAAGTCCCAAAGGGTTGGGGAACTAATAGGATAGCAAGTAGCAAGTGAGGTGAGATTTATAATGAGCCACAACTTGAGGTGCAAGGAGAATCTTTTGTTCATTAGTGAAGGGTAGTTGCTTAGTTTGCAAAGCTCAAAGTCGGTCATGACTGTCTTGACCGTATCTTTACCTTTATCCAACTCATAAGTCTTCATGATTTGACTTGGTGTCAGTTGTAGCTCATGGGATGAAGTTATTAATAGCTGATTTTATAAAATTTATTTATCTATATATATGAAGACTAATAACACAATTATTATTTATTTTGCAATGGACTAAAAACACTATTGACCAAAAACAGACCCCAAAAAAATTTAAATCCTGACACAAACATAACAGATATCCTACAGCCGTTGCGGGGCTTCTCGAGGGTCACCACGTAACACCACTTCATCTTAACGCCGTCGAAGGTGTCATCGAGTTCCTCATCCCTGTCGATCGACACGTTGATCGCCTTCATACGGGGCAATTTGCTGACACGGAGGCACTTCACGGAGGGGCATGGGCGGAGCTAGAATTATAAAGTTGGAGGGCCGAAGTAGAAAATACAAGTATATAAAACACTTAAGTATTCAATAATTATATGTTTAGAGCTAAATATTTCTAATTGAGTCAAGTCTAATTTAATTATTTTAGAGGAAATTTTAACTTAAATTATAAGTTGTTTATTACAAATTCTATATGTTATATATAATATAATAGATGAGCGATAAAAATTTGGAGGGGCCAGGGCCACTCCAGGCCTAGGAGTGGCTCCGCCTTGAGACATAATTTGATAATTTTGTAAACTTTGGATGTTTTGTGATATAAAGCGTATACAAAAAATTTGGGGGTGGCAATATTTAATTGAGATATTTAATCATATACCTATTCTTAGCATTAAAAATATAAATAAACCCTACACTATTTAATTTCTATAAAAAAAACCCAAAAAATAATAGCTAGCCTTATTGAATTTAATTTTCATTATTAAATTACTTTGATGCCCTATTGAGTGTTTTGAGCTTTTTTATAAGGTTTTGGGATTAACTTTGTTTTAAGAAATAAATAGCAGTTTTGTAATTTAAAAAAAGTTATAAGCTTTTTTGTTATGTTGTAAATGGACTTTGGGTATATTTCTAAAGTCCATTTCATATATATTTTTAAAAAACAATATAATTTAGGCTCCTATACTGAGTATAATAATGAGTCTCCCTGTTTAATTTTCTAAAAATTTCCCGTAAATACAGCGTAGTCGAGCAGAGGTAGCCGCAGCAAAGAAATGTCCAAGGAGCTTCGAACCGGCGGAAATCTTCGAAAATGGCGGTTCACATGGGAAGCCCAATCTCACATCCCAACCCTCCGCTTGTTCCTCTTCGATTCATACACAAAACCCTCGATTCAATGCGAGAAGCTCAGCGTCCTCATATGCCCCTCAGAGTCTCTGGTCCTGGTGAGCTGGACCGAGGACGCCCAAGTCTCGCTTAGGGTTCCAATGCCTAGGGTTTTGGTGGATGCTGACTCTCCTGTGAGCTTCAGTGCCTTAGATGATCACATTGAGGTCAAGCTCGTCCTTCTTCTCCCCGTTGATCACCCTATTGTTTTGAGCTTCGATTCTATACTCAGTTTGAATGAAGAGAAAGAGATTGCGTTTGAGGATGCTTCCAAGCCGCTTCCGTTGGCCTCTGGTGAGTTGAAATTGTTGCTTAATCTGTTTGGTTCAGTTCAGTGTTTGTTTGGTTGCTGCAGAAAACGAAACGAACTATTGAACTGGGTTTAGCTAAATTTGTTTTCTTTGCAGAACGAAGAAGACCATAAGTAAAGGAGAACTAAAAAGACTTCAGCTTTTCTGTGTTTTTATCAGTGACTAAACAAAATTGTATTGAAGTTGTGGTCTTTCGAGGATTAATTAGTAATTTAGTTGTCAAATGTTGCTGATTTTTCCTCAATACATGGATGCTATGGCTGTTTTATGCGAAAAGTGTGCACATTTTGCAATGTTCCTCAATTATTGTAAATTTTGTTTGTGTTTCGAATGTCTGCTTCTTTCATGTAATTCTTGGTTGGTTGATTGGTTCAGAGGTAAAGAGGCTATCTTCGTCTGGTGGAGTTCACTTTTACTGCAGAAATTGCTCATTTAAGTTGACTGCAAGTCCCCTTAGGTAAGCATGTATTTGCTGGCTATGCTTATAAGTTCATTAAATTGTAGTCAATTGTTAAAGATCTCTTTCCTGTTTATTTGTGATATTTCAACCTTTATTTATAAATGTAGCCATTTTGTGGAAATGCCTTCAGTCAATTGGCGAGAGGTGGCTGATAACTGGTTTGGGGCTTGCTGCTGTTCATTTGGAGGCATTAGTGAGAAGCTGGTTGCTAGGTATGCAAATTCTTACGCATGTGCAAAGGGCGTGTGCCTGTTGAACTCTACAAATATTACACTTTGCAAAGAAGATCTTGTTGGGTTTGAATTTCCTGACTGGGGTGAACGTCCAAGATACGACAGTGAATCAGATGGAAGTGGTGAAAATGGTTTTAGCAAATCTGAACTTAATTCAGGAAGTAATCTTGCATGTGATGAGATACTGAGGTTCGCAGAGGTTAGGGATACATATTTTGCTGAAGATTTTAAATGTGAAGTTACTAAGGTTGAAAGTAACAGTGAGGGTGTACCAGAGTACTGTGTAAAAATGGCTTCAACACCAGGATGCTGTAATTATACGGGAAGTCATTTTCAAAATTATGATGAGGAAGGCTGCAGACTTCATTTGTCTGAAATTTCCTTGGAGGACCCAAAACCTGCTAAAAGCATAGAGATTCTGAAAAACCACAAATCTTTCCTAAATGGGTTTCTTGAAAATATTTTCATGGTTAGGTCCTCCAATATGTCGGTAGATGTTGAGTGGATTGAATTTTTCTGCCCTCAATGTTCGTCTCTTCTTGGAGCTTACCCATGTGATGATGGTAATGCACTTGTAGACGGTGGGGTTCGATTGTTTAAATGTAATGTTTCCACCGGTCTACCAGTTGGTGGGCCAACAGACTTATTCAGGTTAGCATATACCATATAGTGATCTACAATTTATAATTTCACATTGCTGTTTTTTCTATTAATGTTGTACCGTGGGCACTCCTCCTTGTAATTTTGACATGTTATTTCCATTTTGCTTTATAGTCTTGAAGTTTGTTCGAGTTTAATATGGTAGACATATGTCTAATTTTGAAAAGTTTTATTTCATAAACAGGAAGTATACCTTGGAAAAAATGTTTGCGAATCAGCTACTTGAATGTGCAAAAGATGAACTATCTTTTAGGACCGTGGTTAGGGACCTAAAAACCAAATCTCCCATACTGCAAATTGTTCTCATTAATACAAATTTTTGGTCTTGCACTGGTGATTGTTTGGCCAAAGAGGGCAAGGAAGAACCAGTACCAAAGATAGATCTGCATCCTGTCATCAAGGTGCTATTCTCACAGTGCAGCAGCAGTATGGACTCTCAAATAAGGTTGGTTTATCATTTCAGCTTGTGTTTAGAGGAGTTTTTCATTATATTCGAGGTCTATCTTGAAAACTGTTGCTAGAGTAGGCTTAAGAAGAAACAGGAATGCATTTTTCTCTCTGCTAAGTAAATATAAGATATTCTTTGTTTCCTTATGAAAAAAAAACTATTATGTGTTTTACTGTGATATGCGGCATATGTTTTTCTAATTCTGATTAATATCATACTCTGTTTTTTCTGTTTCTCTAATTTTATAAGATAACTGGAACTTAATGTAGGATGTTAGAAGATTCAGTAACAAAGGATGCAGCTGATGAAGTGTTTATGCTGACGCATCAAATAGAAGAATTAATCGAGTCTCTGTCAGCGAGAAAGGATACACTTCCACCTTCCTGTTCTTCTTTACAGGGATTATCTTTGTCATCCATGCTGAGGTAGCATATATGGAAATAGCCTAATTTCATTTGGATCTCCAAAGTATGGGAAAGAAACCCTCCTCTACCAAGAGTGACAGATTCCGTCTTGTTTGATCTCAACTTAATACATAGAGCGGGATGGAAACATATTAAAATGGCGATGGTGTATACAGCGGGAGACAAGTAATAGTGATTTTGTTACTGCCGCCGTATAGGCCAAATTGAATAGTTTTGGAACCGTAGCATGTAACATAGATATTGGAGTTTCTATCAGATTGTCCTCTGTTTTGAACCTTATTCAGGGAAGTAGAAAATTGTTTCTGAAAGCAACAGAGCTCTTCCTTCCTTTCCTTACAAGTACTCGAATCATACCCTTTCTTCTTTATTGAAGTTGGGAAGTTTTTTTTAACAGCTGAAAGAAAACTTTTGCCACTAATGTTAAGATGACCATACTCATTTATTTTACTACATAGATTCCCAAGAAGGGCAAGGCAACCCTGTGGCAAATAAAGAGTAGTGAAACTAAGCCCCAAAATCTAGCATCAGTGTTTTGGTATTAGGATCAGAGACAATTTTTATCCAAAGCAGATTAGTTTAATGCAAAATGGTTTTCTTAGCAGATAAGCGGTTGCTTGTTCTTTTGGTGTTGTTTCTTCTATTATTCCTCACGGGTTTCCTTTGTTGCTTCCCTGTTTTCTGCCTCTTTGCTGCTTGAGCTGCATTCTTCTTTTCAGCCTCATCCTCAAATTCATCACCTTCCAATTTTTTCCTCTTCAAAAGCTTCACAAGTCCTTCGAGTGCAACATCAACATCTTCACTCTTCATCAACTCTTCTGCAACGTGTGCCGGAGTCACATCTGTTTCCTTCATCAAGTCTTCGATTTCTCCGTAGAGGTGGTGGTGGTTATGGATGCCCAAGTAGTTTGAGGCCAAGAGTTTGAAGCCGTGGTAAGTGCAGTAGGACATGTGGATATGCATGTCCATGCGCCCCGGGCGCAGAAGAGCCGGGTCTAGCCTCTCCTTGTGGTTAGTGGTGAAGATTATTATCCTCTCATCTCCACAGCTAGACCATAAGCCATCTATGAAGTTTAGCAGTCCCGATAGTGTTAACTGCAGGAAGCCAAAGACATAATAGTGAAACTCTAGTACAATGAGGTGTCTCAATCTGAAGTTTCTTTTTAAATGCTTAGTAGCAAGAAACACTCTTCAGAGGGAAGTAGCAACAAAGAAACTCCCTATGACCAAGTGGGTTCTGCCCCCTTTGAGCTAAAAAACAAACACAAAAAGAGCAGAGCAAAGAGAGAGTGAGGTGGGGTTGGCTGATTGTGAAAGTGAAAGTGAAAGTATGCCTTTTAGGCTGTGAGGTTGAATTGCCTAGTGCTGAGCTAGTGGGTTCTGGGGTAATTAGATGCTAAAATAACCAATCAGATGCTAATATAAACCTAAATTAAGATTCACCAAATCACAAGATCAGTTCAAAGCATTATACACTCCGGCCCACAAATTTTTTCACCCTGCACTTTTAAACCATGGCACTTCACTTGGTTACTGAAAAGAAAGAAAATGGGGCAACCCAACAATATAAGAAAAGCCAAAAAAAGGAAAAAAAACATGACAAAAATTGTGCTGACCGTTATTTTATGCAAACAAAATAGAAAATCTAAAGCAGACAAATAAGTAAAAAATTCCCAGTTTTGCAGATAATTTCTTGACAATTAATTATCTATCAAATGTAGGTGCAGCAGCCAAATTACGACCTTTTGGAAATCACTATAGTTGATAATCCTGGTACCTAATTGGTAGACTCCAAAAACGCTTGAAATTGAGTGAAGTTAAACAGAGCATGATAACAAACCTGGACATCAGGTTGCTTTCTTCCATCTCCATGTCGGCGATCAGGCAGCTCAACACTACAATCAATGTCTTCAATCACAAGAATCGACCGGTTCGCGGTGCCCAGCAGCAATTTTCTCAGGTCCGAGTCACGAAATATGTTGGCAAGCTGCAAGTCATAGACATCAAACTTGAGATAATTAGCCATGGCTGCAACCAAGCTTGATTTGCCAGTGCCTGGAGGGCCATACAACAAGTACCCTCTTTTCCAAGCCCTTCCCACTTTCTTGTAAAACTCCTTCCTCTTCACAAATCTGTTAAGATCCTCAATAACTGCATTCTTGAGGTCTTGGTCCATGGCCACCGTCTCAAAAGTTGCAGGGTGTTCGAGATTGATGGACTCCCATTTGACGCCATTGTAAGGGTGGCAGGAATTTAGTGTGTACATCTTCAAAACCCTCTCTTCATCTTTCATGGCGTTGGCTCTTTCAAGAACATAAGGCACATAACAATCCAAAACTCTGTCTTTGTGCTTCTTGTGGAATGTTAGCTCAAAGAACCGCTTCTCGGACCTCGGAGGAGAAAATGGATCATTGGGGTCTTTCTGTTGTGACTCTGCACAAATAAACCTCCACTTGAGCTCAATCCCTTCATAGAAATCAACCAGCTTCTCGCCTTTCTCGAGTCGAATTGTCAAGCTCTTCCCCTTTGGGCTTTTGCTAACTCTGATCCTCTCCGTGTTGGAACTGATTTTTGTGCACAAGTATATCTCTGCAGCTTCATAGACTTGGTTGCGAGATATGCCGTTTGATTCCTCTATGACTAAGGTTAGCTTAGGGGAGTGAGTTTTAAAAAGGTAGCGGAGGCTAGAGACTAGGTAGCCCCTAACTGGGTGAGGTATGAGCTCATTGGCCATGGACCTAAAGAGCATCATTGAGGCTGCCATGGAGGCATAGGCAGAGAACAGTGATGATGGAGAAGGCATTTCTTTGTTCGAAAACATGTTCATGATTGGAAGCTTTGGATTCTGAAAAAAGAGATTGTTGTTTGTCTAAAAAAATTTCTAGTTTTGAGCAGAGTGGTGAATGATTATATAACCAGGTTCTCTCTTTGTTTGGACTTACAGGGCAGTGATGAATGAAGTGTACATGTAAAGTATCTGCGTCGGCTTGAGTGGAATCCTACTACAATACTTCCAAAAGAGAGAGAGCGAGAATGAGAGACCCCATTGCTTTCTTTCCCGTTCATTTCTCTTTTATTTTTGCTCGTCCTTTTTTCTTTTTTTTTTTTTTTTTCTTTTTTTTTCACTAATTCAATTAATTATAACTGGATGACCAAAAAAGCTAAATTCTGAAAAGCTTCGGGTGCAAGCAACGAGGCTGCGTACGCTCCTAAAAAGACAATAATTCGTACATATTACAAGTGTATATAATGCTCAACTCACGATAACTAGTCGCGTAATCAACACGCCCTAGGGTAAGAACCATTGAACTCAACTACCCTTTTTTTTCTAACAGTGAAGAGAAAGAAACAGGTCTGCCAAGATATGCCCCTACTTGAGCTCAAAATCAGCAGCAGCATGGTCCCAACCATTTCATGGAAGAGGCACATGGGTTTATGAGGGTGAAGTGCCTTCAATTTTCCAGGGTTATGTATTGCATTGTATGTACTAGAATTCTGAGTAACAGGCCAACAGCCAACCTAATTTGGTAGAAAGAATATTTGAGGATGTCATGCATATCTTTTAAACAGCCAGGAAACACTAATTTAATACCTAAAAAGGGCTCTGTAAAATTGTCCCATGAAAACCACGCCTTACATATCAGAATAGGAATTGGTTCTTGCCACGCTAAAATCTCAATCTACACACAAGTGAGAACAGCTAGATTCTATAGGTTTAAGTTTTATTGCTTTTTTCTTCTTTTTTTAATGCGTCATTTGAACAAATTGGTTTTTGCTAAACTTCTTTTAACTTTATCTTTTTATTTTTCTTTTTGGGTGTAAGCGATAGTCTGAACTACAGAGAAGGGGAATTTCTCACACACACACACAACTATCATGTCGTGGGAATTTGAACCTTTTAGCTTTATCTTTATTAGCTTGAAATTGTCTCTTTTAGTGTCTTAATCCACGAAACCATAAACCGACTGTAAAAAACTATGATTATAATATTGCTTGAAACTTGACCTATGGGGCATGACTTTGCTAGCTTTCGGCGTGGAAGAGGAAAGTTGCCAGCAGAGTTGCAAGTCAGTCAAGCACTTTCTTTGTCAGTCATATAATTGGTCACTTGCATTCCTGATTCTTCTGCATTTTTATTCTTAACTTACCATTTTAAAACTGAAACTTTAAAGGGAAAAGCATTTTAACCCTGACAAATTTCACAGCTCAAAGCCTCCCCAAGTCGCCTTTGTAAGTCTTGCCAAAAGCCAAAAATGATAAAGAAGACATAAAGTTTCTGAGAAAGGCCTTGGCAAGCAAGCCAAGCCACAGCCGCAGCACATGCATTAAATCTATATGAATCAATATTATATCTTGCTTCTTATAATCCTTATCAATCCATCTCATCCAAATACTGACTGACCATACTTTTTTACGTGGCATAATCTACACCGATGAAAGCAAAGCAAAGCAGATTTCAAGATGAAGATCCTAATGGGCCACTTCAAATCAAATTCAATGAAACAGAGCCAAAAAAGCAGATTCTATTTCAACTTGCCACTACAAAATGCTTAAAGATTATGGGGAAATTTCAAAAGGAAAGTTTTCTTCCTAGGCTTAAAAGTCTCACATCTTAGGACCTATAATTCATCTACTAATCCAAGCATAAAAGCAAAAATGTATTGGGATGTCAACTTTTGCTGATCCAAAGCAGAAACTCAGATGGGTATTTTTATAACATTTTTATGGTTATAAACCCAACAAAGTTTATGGTCATAAATAAAGACAGCCCACATTAGAAATATATATATGGCCCCCCCCTAACAAAACAATCACAAGCAAAGTAAAATCCTCGTGGGACTCGGAAATCAATGTGATGGAAATTGATGCTTCCAAAGGGACACCAATTCTAATTACCACTTAATTAGTTATTGTCATAATTAATCATCTACTTTTTCTCACTACTTTTTTCGTCGTTATCATCTTTCTTGTCCTTAATCTCAGCCTCAGCCTCAGCTTCTTTAGCTTCTACTTCTGCTTGTTTCCTTTTAGCCTCCTCATCAGCTTCCTCATTCTCCTTCTTCTTCACTTTCAGAAACTCAATCAGGCCTTGCAGTGCAATGCCAGGCTCATCACTCTTGATCAGTTGCTCAGCTACTTCTGCAGGGGTCACTTTAGTCATGTCAATCTGTTCCTCAATCTCCCCAAACAACAGGTGGTCTTTAATTCCAAGGTAATTGGCTGCCAGAAGCCTAAAGCCAGATGGGCTGCAATAGGACATGTGGACATGAACATCCATGCGACCAGGGCGCAACAGTGCAGGGTCAAGCTTCTCCTTGTGGTTGGTTGTGAACACTATAATTCTCTCATCTCCACAGCTTGACCACAGCCCATCAGTGAAATTGAGCAAACCTGATAGTGTCACCTGTGGCGTGGCACAACAAAATTATTAGGACCACAAAGCATAAAACTAGACGACAATTAATTCAAGTGATTACGTTTAACATCAACATAAGTTTTGAAACCACGGAAAGATTTGGACTAGTCTCAATCAACGTGGAAATTCATAACACGAATAGTACTCAACGTGGCAGAAACTCATTGGCTTTTTATGCATCAAAAGGAACTTTCTCTGAAGCTGCCTGGAAGTCCTTGTCTTGAACCTGCATATATTTGTCTATTATAATTATTGCAATCAGACCTAATTTTCTACAGTATGGCATGTGCTATGTCTTTGGCATGCCTTCATGCTATTCCAAATAGGACAAGGGCATTGAACTTGGTCGGGTGTTACATGGGGAAACACCATCATTTTTATTTTTGTTTTTCACTGTTTCTTATTTTGTTTTTAACACAGAAGCGATGGAACCCTTTATCTATCATAATTCGAACATTTAGGCTTACCCAAAGATTTTTTTTTGTTTTTTTTGTTTTGGATGTGAAGGAAAACACATATGAAAATAATAATTATTCTTATGGAAGTTTAGCATTTGTTTCTCTCTCTCTCTCTCTCTCTCTCTCTCTCTCTCTAGCCTTTCAAGTTCAGCAAAGACATTCTTCCACACTTAAACAAAAGACACATGATACAACACATAAAGAAAGAAAAAGAATTTGTTAATATACCAAACACCAAGTTAGCAGAAGAAAACAAAGGCACAAGAAGAAAGTAAACTGACCTGTTTCTCCTGGGACCCATGTGGGTATGAAGCTCTAGACTCAGCCATTCGATCTTGAAACTCAAGGGTACAGTCAATATCCTCCACTACCAATATAGACCTATTAGCCATGGCAACCAACAACCTCCTAAGCTCCGAGTTGTTACTCAACTCAGTGAGTTCCAAGTCATAGATATCGAAGTTCAAGTGATTGGCCATTGCAGCAATCAAGCTTGACTTCCCTGTCCCTGGTGGGCCATACAACAAATACCCTCTCTTCCAAGCCTTGCCAACTTTTCTATAATACTCCTTCCTCTTTATGAACCTCTCAAGGTCCTGAAGAATGAAGCTTTTGATCTCCGAGTCCAAAGCCAGGGTGTCGAACGTTGCCGGGTGATCGAGGTTTGTGGGGATCCATGCTTCTGCTATGTTGCAGTACATGTTCTGATAGTCAACCGTGAAGATTTTCAGGGTCTTCTTTTCTTGCTTCATGGACTTTGATTGTTTAACAATGTGAGGGAGGTAAGAGTTTAGCACGAAGTCTCTTTGTTTCTTGTGGAAGCTGAGCTCAAAGGATCTCACTTCTGATCTCAGTGTGGAGTTTAGGTCACGAGAGTTGTGGAAGTTCGACTCAACCTGCCTGTACACAAGGTATATGCAAGTGTAAATTCAGAGTCTGACAAAATAAGTATCTTACGATATGAGATAACTATAACAATGCTCGAAAAAGTTGCAAGGCTAATTTATCGAAAAACTGAAAAACATGCCTGGAAACCAAGATCCAATTGAACTTAACCCCATTAAAGACATCCACAATCTCCTGATTGCTTTCCATGGTGATGGTGAAGTTGTTTTCCTTCTCGGGTTTGCTGACTTTGATTCTGTGTGTTGATGGGGAGACTTTGCTGCCCAAGTAAATTTCTGCAGCCTCATATATTTGGTTGTTGACAAGGCCATCGAACTCTTCAATGACCATGGTGAGTTGGGAGGAGAAGCGAGAGAAGAAGCTGCTGATGCCAGAGAACAAGTAGTGTTGGATCTCATGGGGGAGGAAATCTTGGGCTATTTTCCTTACCAACATTGCTGTGGCAGCCACAGAGGCTGCTGTTGAAAGAACTGTCTTGGCTGTGGCCAGTTTGGTTTCAGCAGAAGATGATGAGGCCATTTTGGAGTATTGATCAACTAGGACTTAACAAGTATATGGTTCTCTACTCTCCATTTATAGACCAAATGTTCATGTTTATAAAAAATTAAAAAAAAAATGTGAATTTGATCTGATAGGTACCTACAGACTTCAACTCAAAAATCTGAAGAGAACCATCGCTGCTTCTTCCTTGGCCCCAATTGAGTTTGACTTGGATTCTTTTGGGTGCAATGACCAGCTAACTTAATCCACGTTTATTGATTTTTATTATTTATTTCCGTAAACTTAGACATTCTTGTATTTTATATTATCAAATTGCTAATCATAGTCTTCCATTCAAATATGCATAATTTCGTATGGTATGACCATCCGTAGGGCCTTATTTGAAGAAAAAGAAATGTCGTATGAAAAAGGGTGTTTGGTGGGACAATTGGTCAAAGTCTACAACATTGTCTTCGTGCGAAATGGGTTAAAAGTTGACTTGCTTGACTCAAGACGACTTTTCTTTAAAATTAAAATTTTGCCCCTATATTCTAGAGTTTGCTTTGGGCTCATTGAAAGTGTGGAAGGACAATGTAGCTACTCATGTGGGTTTCAAAATGAAATAAGACCCAATATTCGTGTACCAAATTCAGCTTTGTACCAATATTCTTGGCATCATTTAATTCTGTATGAAATATTATGTCTTTATGGGGATTTGAACCTCTAATCAACCATAACTACTACACTAACTTTCTTTGTCACATTCGGAATTTTGAAGGCTTCCGATCAATTGTGATAATAGTCAATTGGTCATGTGACAGTTTTTTCTTTGTCGGAAAATACAATGAATTGAACCATCATAAACGATAAGTTGTTGGAACAGCCGGTAACTCGGTGGAGTGAATTGATGTCATTGGTTCGAACCCGTGTATGTAATTCCTCCTCCTTTGTCCCTCCCTTGTGTGTAATTGCTTCTACTTTAAAAAAAAAAAATCATAAGTTGTTGAATAAATAAATAAATTGTCTGAACATATTCTTTAGGATTTTGAAGAATTTATCTCTCTCTCTCTCTCTCTCTCTCTCCCCTAAAATCTGAAACCAATGCCAGGCTCGAAACCAGAAGTACTGGAAGAGTTTGTGGCTGTATTGTTAAAAATAATTTTGAAGGTTAATATAAAACAAGTTTTCATATCTTAAAAAATTAGTATTTGAAAACTCATGATTTTAAAAAGAATCATTTTTTTTAGTAGGATACCAAACAAGCCCTAAACTTTGAAGAGATTGTGGTTGTTAGGCCCATTTTTTTAGTAGGATACCAAACAAGCCCTAACAGTTTTGAGTCCAAACTTTAAAAAAAAACCTGTTTGTCAGGCCCATTTTTGAAAATTCAAACCTAAAAATAACTCAAAAAAACCAAAAAATTTGAAAACATAACAAGTTTGTTTTCAGAATTTTTTTTTGCTCAATCCATCTCTCTCTTCGTCCCTCTTCCCCTTCTTGATCACGTCGATGCCGATGTTGGCATGCTGCATGATGTAACACAAGCACTCGGCCTCGATGTCCCTTATCTCCTTCACCAACTCATAGCACTCTTTCATCAGAGTCTCCGCTTTCTCTGTCGTGTAGCTCATGCACACATTGCCACCTTTTGATTTTGATGTATGACCCATTAAAGTTGATGTAACAAAAAACCAAAACAAAGACACAATTTTGTTATTTATAAGAAAAGTAGAAACAGTTTACAAGAATTTAAAAATGGAAAATAAAATTGTTTTCAAGAATTCAAACCCAAAAAGTTTGAAAATATCCGAGTTTGGTCTTCTTCTTGGGTGGGTGGGGGGGGTGGGGCGGGGGGGCGGGGCAAGTCAAAACGCATGGTAACATAAAGCATTGACCTCCTTACTTGCCTGGAACAACTTAATTGGTATTTTGAGCATCATGGCCAGGCGGCCACACCACTCCAATCTGTCTGTCTTCTTTTTTTTATAGGTTTCCATCAACATATATGCATAGCATATAATCGTGATGACGATGATCTCATTCCTTTGCAATCATCAAGGTCTAGCTAGTTTCATTTTGGCCACATTATATAGCTGAGAATCCTTAAACCATTAATGGAGGTGTGCTTTCTTTCTTGTACCTATTCATTTCCAATATGCCAATCCCACCATTACTGCGACCTCTGCCACCTCTTTGCCCTACCAAGTCCTCATCAATCAACTATTTCTTTTTTCCTTTAAATCTTAATTTTGCCTTTGGTCCATTATATTTTGATGCTCATGAATCTTAATGTTGTAAGATCTCAATCATTGTTAGGTCACTATATGTATTCAATGTATAATGGAGCAACATGTACCATTAAATCATGAGCATGCACAAGACTGTCCTTCTTGGAATTTTTAGTCTGCATCAGAATTATGTAAGGAATTGAAAGGTCATACAGCTCAATCCACTATGTTTTAGTTACCATTTACATGCACAACTCTCAGGATTTAACTTGCCTTTTTACCAAGTAATTCATTTGAATCTGACCAAAATATGTGCAAGTCAATTCTCCTTTAGGAAGATGCTCCACACAAAAATATCAGAAAATTAAAATCATTACTCTGTCTCATTCGAAACATTACAGGTGTATTTATGTAGAATGCAAGCAATATTGGAACCAAGACTTAAACAACCTAGGAGGCTAAAGACCCCTTAATATTTTCTTCATATCAGTAGAGACTGGTTCAAGAAAGCTAAGAGATGTTGAATCTATCCGAGGAGGGGCTCCTCTTCCTTGTGAGGAACTACTATGATGTTTTCATTGTTGTAGTGTTTTCTATTGGGGTAACATTTTTGGTCTCCAAAATAGCTTGGAGAAGTTTGGACATGACCACTACAAGTTACAGAGGTGGCGGCATCCCGGGCCGGTTGGGGTTGCCCTTTGTTGGTGAAACCCTTTCTCTTCTTTCTGCAACTAGCAGTATAAAAGGCTGCTACGAATTTGTCCGGCTCCGACGAAAATGGTTAGTTTTTCTGTTATTCCATTGCTATCTTAAAAGGTACAAGTTGGAATTATAGTATTTTCCAAGTATAGTTAGAATACATGATCAACTTGTGTCCTTCATCAACCATGACGCTAAATTCGATTTTTCGTCTTTGTTATTGAGCCTGCAACAAGTGCCTTTCATCCTAAAAACCATATTAGACATTCATGCAAAGGGAACTTGCCTAAGGTGATCCTTGGGCTGCAAGTGCACCAGAAAAACGATGTGGTCTTAACTGTTAATCTCACTTTCAAGACAAACTTTACTGTATTGATTTGTGGTCCACTGGTCCTATAATCATTTTTCGATCGAAATACTGACCATACGAGTTAGGAATTAGTGAGATGCATGACTTCTTTCATTTCCAAAAAAAAGAAGTCATTTTTTGTTTATATATTGTATGTTGTATTTATTAGCTTCATGTTGATAGCACGTTGAATTGATGATTGTGGTGAAACTAGGCACGGGAAGTGGTTCAAAACAAGGATTTTTGGACAGATCCATGTGTTTGTTCCCAGCACAGAGGGCGCAAGAGCCATTTTTTCTGATGACTTTGCGAAATTCAACAAAGGGTATGTGAAATCAATGGCAGACTGTGTTGGAGAGAAGAGCTTGCTGTGTGTGCCGCATGAGGACCATAAGAGGATTAGGCGCCTTCTTTCAGAACCTTTCTCCATGAACTCTTTATCAACATTTGTTCAGAAGTTTGATAAAGTGTTGTGCCGAGGGCTGAAGAAATTAGAAGGCGGCGGGAAAAGCTTTGCGGTGCTTGACTTCACCATGAAGGTAACAGCACAACAAAACCGTCACTGTTTTTTCTTTTATAATAATACTGCATCCATTTTTGGATTTTTTGAATAATTGTAGCTGATCTCTCTGAATATATCTGATGTGCAGATTACATTTGACGCCATGTGCAACATGCTATTGAGTGTCACGGATGACTCCTTGCTCCGAAAGATCGACAAAGACTGCACTGCGGTCTCGGATGCAATGTTAACCTTTCCTTACATGATCCCAGGCACCAGATATTACAAAGCCATCAAGGTAACTCGGGCATCCCCGCGTGCACGATGAGACTGCATGAAGGATGGCATTAACTGATTTACATTGTTGGCCTATTTCCTAACGATTTATAAGTTCTTGAGGATCTGATTAAAGAAAAAAAATTGTTTTTATCTTAAATAGTATACTAACAGCAGTGTTGAAACAGGCACGTCGACGTCTAATGGAAACCTTCAAAGACATTATTGGGAGAAGAAGAAGTGGAAAGGAGTCTGCAAGAGACTTCCTACAGTCTATGTTAGAAAGAGATTCATGCCCTCCCAATGAAAAGCTCCAAGACTCAGAGATTATGGACAACCTATTGACATTGATAATTGCAGGGCAGACCACCACTTCCGCTGCAATGATGTGGAGTGTTAAGTTTCTTGATGAGAACAGAGAAGCACAGGAAAGACTGAGGGCAAGTAATTCTAAAGTGCATCTGCATATTGCATAAATCTCAGTAGCAATTTCAGTGTTGTTTGTTTGAGATAAATATATTTATGTGGAAAAAAATTGAGATGAATATTTTGAGATCAATACAGGAGGAACAGTTGTCAATAGCCAGAGCTAGGCCAGATGGAGCTTCAGCTACCCTAGAAGATTTTAAAAACATGCCCTACTGTTTGAAGGTTATCTCCACATCCTAGATTAACAGGAAAGAAAAGAAAAGGAAATGGTGCTTTTGCTACTCTTTCCATTTCAATTTGGATTATGTATAGAATCTTTTTCACATGTTTTGGACTGACAGTGGTGACATCTTTGGGTATGGATGGTGGTGTTTTTTCCAGGTTGTCAAAGAGACATTGAGGATCTCAAATGTCCTTCTGTGGTTTCCTCGTGTTGCACTCTCTGACTGCACTATTGAAGGCAACTACATTGAGCAGAAAAACCTTTTAAAAGCCAAAAATTATTCTATATGCCTCTTTAAACCTTCTCTCTCTCCCTCTTGTTGCACTATGCACATGAGCTCCACTGTTATATAATGGATCCACATGCATATTGCTCGAGAGAAGTTATATATAACGCATACAAAAATTTGTTATGTTGGAAGCCATGAATTTAGTGGAAATGCTTCCCTTGTCATGTATTCTTTGTCGATCTTTCTCTTAATACAAGAACTTGTTTAATTGATATGTTTGATTGCAGGCTTTGAAATAAAGAAAGGTTGGCATGTGAACATTGACGCGACTTGCATACACAACGACCCAGATTTATATGCAGAGCCAATGCAATTCAACCCATCTAGATTTGACGTAACCACCTCTCTCTCTCTCTCTCTCTCTCTCCACACAACACTTCATTTTCCATTAATGTCTTGGTATTGACATCACGTAGTGATTTTATATGTCCTTTGTGTGATTTATTCTCCAGGAAATGCCTCTCTCTCTCTCTCCACACAACACTTCATTTTCCATTAATGTCTTGGTATTGACATCACCGTAGTGATTTTATATGTCCTTTGTGTGATTTATTCCCCAGGAAATGCAAAAGCCATATAGCTTTATCCCATTTGGGTCAGGACCAAGGACATGCTTAGGAATGAACATGGCCAAGCTGACAATGCTGGTCTTTTTACACCGTCTCACTAGTGGATACAGGTGAGTTGGAATTAGAGGATAAAAAAGGCATCCGCGAATGCTACAAGTTCTACCCACGCATGTGTAGGTGTTTTTAGTCGTTTTTCAACAGTAAAATCACCTGCGCACTCGTAGGCGACTAACGTTAACAAAAGTCCATGCATTGATGAACCTTACACTCTTCCATTACTGTGTAGGTGGACAGTTGATGATCTGGATACTAGCCTAGCGAAGAATGCACACATTCCGAGATTAAGAAGTGGGTGTCCCATTACCTTGAGGGCCTTATAAAGCACTGTGCCTATGAATTATTGTGGGTAGAACTTGTACGCCTCAAAAGTTATGGTTGTACACGTGTAGGCATATGATGCATGCAAGTGTAGGGTTATGATATTTTGTAGAACAATATACCACTTCTCTGCCAAATTATAATTATTATTGATCAGATCGTATAATTTTACAAGTGGTACTAGATTCTTGAGACAACAATATCAAGTTATCAACATCAACTTGTACATTTTGGTGATGCAACCAAGCAAATACAATAGCACGTGATGCATTTGGGCTTACGAGAACAGGCGGATCATACTTCAGTTTATGGATATTGATTTGTATTGTTGAACCGTGGAGGTTATAGCTTGTTCAACAGGTAGCCTTTCCACGCTTGATGCCCCATAAAACCCATGAACTCCCTTGGTATTCTTAAGTATAAATTCTGCCTCTCTTGGACCAGAGATCGGTCCTGCAAATTGCACCAAATCAATAATCTTTATGTTGGTAGCTAAAAATGAAAATGGCTTCATATAAGATCAAATATACTTTCCCATGCAAATCCACCACACGAAGCAACCCCGCAAATAAAAAATTTATAAGAAAAAAACAAAGTTTCCAAGATCATACCACCATGGCAAAGCACAATGACATTTGGATTGATCCTATGTGCAGCATCTGCAATATTTTGTACACGAACTACACTTTCCTCTATTGAAACAGCCGTCTTTGCCCCTATAGAGCCGGATGTAGTGAGTCCCATATGGGCCACAATGATATCAGCCCCACTTGATGCCATTTGCACAGCTTCATCTTGATTGAAAGCATATGGGGTTGTCAAGAGCCCCATCTTATGTGCTTTTTCAATCATCTCAACCTCCAATCTGATCAGTACATTAAGAAAAAAGTTATAACTACAGAATGCATAAATAATATTCCTAAATGTTTAAGTTTTAAAATATATATATGTTTAATACCTACCGGTATCCCATTCCAGTTTCTTCAAGATTTTGTCTAAAATTACCGTCAAAGAGACCAACCGTTGGAAAATTTTGGACCCCACAGAATCCAATTGACTCCAACTGCCTCAGGAAGAAATCCATTCGGCGAAAAGGATCAGTGCCACATACTCCAGCAAGAACAGGCACCTTCTTCACCACCTACATTATCATCAGCTCCACATCAGCGAGAGATGATTTTAAAAGGGACATTAGAGCTGGTAAGGTATTGCATTACGAATTTGACTTGTCGGTCTTTAAATTTTACAGTTTAGTTTCACTTCCTAACCAAGAATTTGAATACTTGAATTTTTATTTTAGTTGCTTTAGCAGGAGAAATCAATTAGACCACAGAGAAATTTGGATTATATGAAGACAATTTTTCAGAAAAAAAAATTTCAAACCAACAAACAGTGAATGACTGAAGAAGCACTCTTTTAAAGTTTTAGAATACGAAGCCGTTGAAACTTACTGGCAAGACTTCATTGGCCATGTCTAGTACAACGGCATTTGCATCAGCAAAAGGCAATAAGCCTGCCAATGAACCTCTTCCTGCCATGCGAAAGCGACCTGAATTGTACACCACTATAAGATCAACACCACCAGCTTCCTCAAACTTTGCAGATATGCCTGTCCCTGCACCTGCCCCTATAATTGGAATTCCTCTATTTATTTGATCTTTGAGTTGCTGCAATACAGCCCAAGTTCGCTGCAACGTTTCTGCAACATAAGTAATAAGTTACTCATTAGATCTTACTCCAATAATGACATAAAACAAAATCTGGAGTTCTATTTATTGAGCTAAGTTGCTCTATATTTTACGATAAAATGCTGACATTTATGACCCAAAGCATGAAAAAATGAAGATCAAGCCAGATACTATACATTCCATGTCGCAAGCCACGTGTTATAATACAACACATGCATCTGTTGGATATCAAATGCTTCTGATTTAATTAAAGCTCCTGATGATTGATAATGTCACAAAGAAAATGATATGGTATAAACTCCAACCTGGTCTTGCATCTGGAAAGTCAATCAGGTTCCGCAGAATGGCCCCAGAGCTTGATAAATTCATCTTTGAAACAGAACTTTCATGAGTTTGTTGATTAGATTCAGGAATAGAAACTTGGGAAGGAGGAGACTGGATAGAGCTCTTCGTACTAATCTCTAAAAATGAGTCAACCAATGCATTTGCAAACTCATGGTCGTTTATATGATGAGGGTACACCTTTACCTATTAAAAATGCACCATTTCAATAGTAAAGTTGGTCCTGCACATGAAACCCAAACAACTAGAGAAGGTTTAAGCATTGAAACAAACCACTTGATGGACAACAATAGTACCTGCCGATCTTCATTTGTCTGGATCAGCCTCTGCATTTCGTTAATCAGAGAAGCAGTGGCCTCCGGATCATAGAAAGGCTTCCCTGGTGCATCCAAAGCAGAGATACCCTTTTGTGGCAGGCAAACAACAACTTTTGATGATGATTTGTTCAATTTATCTGCTATAAAGCTAGCAAATTTCTTGTTCTCATCTACTGTGGTTCTCATGACTGAAACCTGAAAAATGACAAGTATTGTTTCCATGTCATACACACAAAACACCCTTATGCTAACTTGTCTGTCAACAGATCATATATGAAATTGACATGTTTCACACCCATTGTGCTTTTAAGATGTCTATATATGATCTGAACACTTCCAGACAGGTCCTTAATCTTCTAGGGTTATATCATGTTAAGAGACTTATCAGTGATCACCTGCTTATTATGTTCATGAATCTTTCTGTGTTGAAAATTGGATGGTATGGTGTCCTTAGCTCCAAAGTTCACCATATCCAAAGCTCCAACACTTAGAACTAAAGGAATCCTTTTCTCTATGATGGCATCAAAGCGGGAAGTATCGCAAGCCATCACCCCTCCAACCACATAATCTGCAACCTCTGTTGTTGTGATATCCAAAACACCCTATGTAAAACCATAAGGAAAGGAGTGAACATAAAGAATAGAAAGAAACAAAAGAAAACAAATGAAAGCCCCACGATAGGATTAACACAATACTAAAGGTCTAACAAACAGTGAGAGACAGAGCAATGCATGTAATGTAAAGGTCTCTAATAAGTCAACTTTATCAAGAAAGAATATAAACTCTGCACTTAAACTGATATCCATCCTTAGCCTAAGCTTGGCAATGAGCACATCTATTCAAGAATTTACATACAAAAATGAGAAATAGGTCATATCTCAAGCTTCAACAATCAAACTATCAACCAGTGCCCTGTTCCCCTACTCTGCAAACGATTCTCAAAAATAAAAACTTGACCAAGTTCACATTTTTATATGTTCATCCCTAAAGTTCTACTCAAACAACTTCTAACACTGAACTTGTACATTTCAATAAACACAAATGAATAAATTTCCGATAAAAAAGACATTACCTTTATAAACCCATCACTAACCAGAGACTCCATGGCCCTGCCTCCAACCCCAGTGGAATGAAAAACCAGTGTCTCATACCCCTCCTTAACCAATCTCTCTTTAACAGCATTCACGCACTGAGTCGTAACCCCAAACATGGTAAGCCCCACCGTCGATTTCTCTGCCCCACCGCACGAATCTCCACCTCTCTCAGCTCTCCCAATCACCATCCCACAAAAAGCAGCAGCAGCATTGTTCAACACAACCCGGCTCACGCTATTAATCCCACATACATCGACTATCGACGGGTACAGCACCAGGTCGGATTCTCCCACATAGTGATCGGTTCGACCGCTCGCTACGGTCGATACGATGAGCTTAGGCATTCCAATTGGGAGAGATCTTAGGGCAGGAGATATGAGAGCGGTGCCTCCACTGCCTCCGAGCCCTATTGCACCGGCCAAAACGCCGTCGTTTTGAGATTTCGCTAAAAATTTCTCGAGCGCTTCGCTCAGTACAGCAATAGCTTCGCCTCTGTCCTCCGGAAGTTCACGAAGCTGGCCCGATGCTTCAGAATAGTGAAACAAAACCTCCTTTCTCGAAACGAAAGCGAAATCGGTTGTTTTGTTATCGGTCTCGCTCTGACTGGCCGAAACGTCGACCACCGAGACTTGGACCTGTATCGGACATTGAACTTCCGTATCGGAGTTATTCAAAACTACGTGAGCAAGATAGTATTAGAGACACAGAGAGATGGATTTACCTTGAGCGAGGAAGTATTGGAGAACGCGTTGAGATGGGATCGGACTGACTCGGCGAGGAATCGGAGCTCATCGAGCTTTGTATCGGCTGTTCCAATACAGAAGACTCGGAGAGGTTTATCATCGGACGCCATACTGAGTTTCTCCCAGTTAAGGAATTGAGTCAAGGACGAGCGAGTGCTGAGAAGTGTGACGTGGACTGTGGAGAAGAAATTGAGGAGGTGAGAGTGAGAGAGTGAGATGAGAGCTCGGTGACGGCTTGTGGAAGTAAAGAGTGAGGCAAAACGTCGTGCATTCCATTTCCGGGTGGTTGGGTGGTGAAATCTGTAATTTCAAGCAAAGTCTGGATTTGGAGCCGCGTCACCCACCCTTGTTTTTTCTTTTCTTTTTTTGGGAAGCACCCTTTTTTTTCTTTTAAAAGCCATAACCACAATTTTTTTCCTTTTAAGTATACAAAAATTAATAATCAAATTGCAGAATTTCATCCTTCATTATAAAAAATAATAATAAATTTACAGAAATAGTACTTATCTTTTCGCATCTGAAGGGGTTTGTAGCGGAGTAATAAAAAAAACTCGAATTAAAATAACATATCTATCATTTATCCTTGACGGGTAATAACATTGGAAAAAGAGTGTTATGGGTGGCATTGGTTGGCTGGAGGGGGGAGAGATAAAAAATCTTTTGAAAATGTTGCAACACAAATGAGAAGAAAAATGGTATCACCGAAAAATAGGATGATTGATAGATATTATCTTTTCCCAGGTAGGCATCACATACTGCTTATGTGGCGACTTGTTGATTTGGTTACCTTTTGATGCGTTTTTTTATTTTTAGGTAAATTACTCAAATGGTCCTCAAACTTATACTCAATTTACATTTTGGTCCCTCAACTAAATTATTCGTTCAAATAGTCCATTAACTTTATATTATTCATTTCATTGGTTCTACCGTTACATTCTGTTAATATTTCCATTAAATATGAGAGCAAATTGGTCATTATTTACCTTAAGATTATGTTAAATCTAACAGAAAATTAGACGGTATGACCACTGCAGCGAATGATATATAGTTGATGGACCATTTGAACGAATAATTTAGTTGATTGACCAAAATGTAAATTAGGTATAAGTTTAAGGACCATTTGAGTAATTTACCCTTTATTTTTCAAAATTTTATTTTTGCTGGATGGTAAAAGATAGAGCAAGTATGGTATAATTTGTGGAGGAATGCTTACATCAAGATTTCCAATTGTATGACGCATATGCATCAATGATTTGAAATTTTTCATGTGTCTCACATATGATCGACTATAGAAACATTCTAGTTTGTGTTCTAAAATCCGAAATATTATTGTATATAACTAAAATATTATCAAATGGTATAATCAGTCGTGTTATAATATAAGGTAAATGATAATATCAATAAACATTCATGATCATATTATAACAAGTAAACTAATTATATTCCAGTACTGCATAATAATTAAAAGCCAAATTTACATTAACCAGATCGGACGACCACCATCATACAAAAATCATTGACTAAACAAAATAATCATGGATTGACTATTTGACTTTATCACATGATAGAGCAAGAGGGGTTGGGCTCATTACATGCCCCTACAATAACATAGTCATGGGGCATGCAAATATGTTGGGGCCTCGGGTCTGGTTTCTCTTTTTCCTTCTTCGGTGGAGGCTGTTTAGGTGGAGGAGGAGGAGGCCCAATACTCACTACTTCAACACATTTGCCAACTTTTCTAGTGCGAACTATTATTTCATATGGATCACAGTCGCCTGTTACAGTCAAAGTTCCCTTGGCTGCATCAGCTTCAACTTTATCCACACCTACAATTCATTGACAAGAAATAACTTAGAAATAACAACAATAAAACCACTTATAAACAACAACTACAAGACCAAATTAGCTAGGTATATGATCCTAATTAATAGCTCACACGAGGTTTAATCTTCGCTCGAGTTTTGCTGTTGTAAATAGTTCACACGTGCGCCTACGTGGTAGGTTTTCGAGCATTAATTTATATGTAGTTCATGAGGTCTATATCAATCAACAATTAGTATTCATTTATGCAGACATAAACAACTGACGCTAGCATTTATCGTATACATAAACGACTAACGTTAACATGTATCATATATTCCCTACATCATGGCTATGGATTCTTGTTCCATAGGTAGAGAAAGTGATGGTAAAAGAAATCTATACCTATGGGAAAACAAGATTCAAAAGGGACATGATCATGTTACCTTTCAGGCCACTCACTGCCTTGATCAGCTTCTTCTTGCATTTTAGGCATGATATGTCAACCTTCAGGACAGTCTTTTGTACCATTGAAGAGCAACAAATATATACTCTCTCTGTTTTTCAATATCTCCTAAACTAGCTAGATGGGTGGATTCTTGGCATATATAGTGTTATTTAAAGATCATCTCAGCTAGGAAGAGAACCAAATGTGTAATATGGAGCTTTGGGTTGCTCACCTTTTTCTAGCTAGGCTCATCTCTTAAGCTGTCCCTTGTCCAACATGTCCTTTATATATATATATATATCCTAACCCAACATATATTATATCAACTTGATGAAAATGAAGACTAACGAAGTGTAGGAGATGAAACCCATATGTTTCATTGACTTGTTTTTATTGACAACAATTTGATTCCCCAGGCCATCAGCCACCGTCCACCATATGGCACTCCTATTAAATAACCCAATATCCTAACCTAAAAGGAGTAGAAGTTACACCAATATGAGGAAATTCAAGACACAAGCTAACTATAGAAAAATATTATATATATATATATATATATAAGAGTAGAGAACAGGAGTCATATGTTGACAAATATGTGATCCAATCAATCAAAGGATAGGGACTAATTTGACTATTATAAGTCTATAATCTTTTTTTAAGTATAAACGATAGCCTAAACAAACATAGAATAAGATTTCTCTCACACACAACTATGATGTCGTACGTGGAGATTCGAACTTGAGACATCTGGTCTGCAATCATCATCAAGAAGCATGGCAGGTTATTTTAATTAACAAAGTGGAGAGATCATCAAGATGCATGCATATGCCATGTCTGCTGTTTGACTTTGTCACAAAACCAAATATATATTATTTTTGCCATTTTAACCTTTACAATACAATTGATTTTACTTTAATTACTAAAAACAACACATTTTATAACAAAGGAAATGAAGTTTATGTCTCTATATCGAAGGAAATTTTCTTCCTTGTATATAACTGGCTGTATGAAAGCGTTTTGATGACGGTTGATTTATTATTTTTTAACTTCATTTTTTTTGTCTGCACATAGAGTGATGGATAGAATTCAGAGAAAAAAAACAAGGTCTGAAATGTATCAAGCAAGCAGAAGAATCTACCAACTGATTAAGAAAATCCTTGACAGTGATTCTAGGTTTCGTAGAATAATGTCTTCCATCAACATGTACAATCGGCTAAACACAAACCAACAATAACAAATATAAATAAGCAGGTGGAGATAGCCCACCTAATTGTCGTTGTAAACAAAGAAAGGTGCATGTTTCTCTCTTCGACTGTTTATGTAAATTATTTATGAATTCCATAATTTCTCTGTCTTCTTTTTTGTTTCTTTAGGATACAAGATAACTAGGTTGGGTTGCAATGGCAATACAGTGTGTAGCTTCCTCGTTAGATCTCTTTGTCCATTTATGTACTGTCTTATTTGCTCACATCACGTGTTAAGTTATCAGGCAATGCAATGGATCCGTGCCATCCGGCGCTCCTCAATTCATGAAGAGATAAACTCACTCATCCCACAACATTGTTTTTGAGACATGTTAACTAGTCGCGCGTAGGGGTGAGAGGGATTCGAAGGTGGATTGAACGAGTGGACCTCAAGTATACGACAATCTCACCCAAAAATTACTCGGGTCTGAAAATCAAAGAGCAGTAGAGTCTACAAACCATGAGGGGTGGATAAAGTTGACTTTGCTGGTACTCCACTGCATTGATTCCTCAAACCAAAAGTGCAAATTCACAAAAGAGTTCCTCCTCGTAAGCAAAGGTGGCCAATCACCAATGGACTATGTGCAGGAGGACAGACAGTCTATCCTCTGAAAAGTAAATGAAATAAGCTCTGTGGCTTTAAAATGATTCCGTGGATTCTCTTTGAAGTTAGGTCGCAACGAGCTGAGGCCAAGAAGACAAGAAAAGCATTGATTGCCAAACGCATTATGTTGAAGAAGCAAAAGCTAAAAAGCGATACAAAAAGGAGAATTATTGGCCTCATATGTGTGTCTCCGCTTTTTTTCTCCTTCGTCTGCTTTGCTCCTCTTTCAGCGGTCCACCACAACCCCGTCATGCTTGTAGTTCTTGTAAACGGACACAAACTCCACGACAAACACATCTGTTTATATATATATTTTTTTTTATAGTGCATGATAAGTGGGAAGAAGACGTGGTTGATTTTAATAACATTACATGTTATTATGGAGTTCACAGTTGACACAAAGGTCAAATTTATTCATGAACCTGGAAACTTTCTGGGTAGAAATTATTTTTCCATTTGGGTTTGACAGATTTTGAACAAAGCTTTTAGGCCCAAAATGTAATTAGCCCATGCCTAAGAGATGTTTTTTTCCTTAAAATAGCCAAATAATAATAATAATAAAGCAAGAAGAGGGATGTACTCATATTGTACTAGTGACACAAAATTTCTCAATCAAATCATCTTCTTTTTTTCAAGACAATCAAATCATCTTTTCAATGTAATAATTTGCTATTTAATTCAGTAGATGAAACTATATATTTAAAAGTTCTAGTTATTCTTTTATTCAAATTATTGGAAAAAATAATAAGGTATACTAACCTAACGAGAAATTATTGGATGGTACTAAAACACTACCACATGTTAAAACGTATCACATATATTGTAACATGTATTTTGTTGATTAACACTAGACATTAAAGTATGTCCGCCTATATTATAACACCTAAAATAATTATATCACGTGACACTGTTTCAGTACTACTAATCTTTTAGAATTGACCACAACCTTGTTGACACGTGGCTCAATTATGACCTATGTGAATAATTATAGTACTTTTTTTTGGGTGGGAGAATAATTACAGTACACGTGTCTCAATTATGACTTATGGTTATAAAACAGGCTCCTGTAGGAACTGTTAGAAGAGTCATTTTGTGAGAAATCTTATTTTCTCTTTGTACTTGGTATGGTAACCTCACTAATAAGAAGCATTTTTATTAGATAATTATTTGTTTCCATTTGGTGCTCTGAGCACAACAAACCCCACTTCCACTTGTTCCATGCTATTCCAAATAGCAATCATAGTGATTCACAATCTGTTTATTGATTCTGTAATTGTAGCAAGGACCAATACTGGGACTCATCTTTAAAGTTCATGTATGTGTTGGATAACACAGCCTCATGGGCACCAGTCACTGCCCCCTCAGCCGACATGTGTCCACCAGGCGTGCTCTTTGTGACAGGATATAGACAACCAGGTAAAGTATGTCAAAAAATTTCAACCAGGGTAAACAGTGTGTCTCAGTGATTCGCAAAGTCCTGCTTCCCCAGACAACTTGGGGAAAAGTTTGGGACTAAAGCCTGCTTATAAGCCTTATCATCATGCACTAAAAGCTTGAACCATCTCCATCAATATGACTTCATTTCAGGCACGAAAGTTGGTCATTGGCCAACAAACAGACTTTTCAAATTGAGGAGCAGATAATGTCCAAAGCCAGAAATTTTTGAAAGACAATTCCAAGTCAAAAGTAAGAAATGTCATACTTTCTGGAGTAAAAAATTGCCGTGTTTTATGCTATGTTAAACATTTTTAGTGCTTGTTTACCAAGGGATTAAGCTTAGGCAATGTCCAATAGGATACGATATATTCTCTACTGTTCGGATTAAGCAAAGCAATGATGGGCCATTTTGGAGATAGGTTGCCAAGCCACAAACTGTACCCATAATCATGACAGTTGGATTATGAAAAGGCAATATGAATTACCATGATGAAGAATATATATATTTTAAAAAGGATAGGTGCCCCAAAAGGGTAAAGAGATGCATCATTTGAACTTGTCTTTATAATAACAGTGAAGAAAGCAAGGCACCACCAAGTTCAAGGCAGCTTCAACAAGCATGGATGTAGAGAAAGTCTTCCACATGAATGGAGGGGTTGGCCATACTAGCTATGCAAGAAATTCTTCACTTCAGGTCTCTCTCTCTCTCTCACTCTCACTCTCACTTAGTAATTTGATTTCACAATGTTTATTTCCTTACATGTTCTTCTTTTTTTTGTGTTTTTTATTTTCTGTTGTGACAGAAGGAGGTTTCTGATATGGTGAAGGACATAACATTAGAGGCAATACAAGAACTTTACCTCACCACAACTCCAAAGAGCTTAGGCATAGCTGACTTGGGTTGTTCATCTGGCCCCAACACCCTATCAATTATCAAAGACATCATTGAAGCAGTCCAAGGGACAAGTAGAAAAATCTTTCACCCAACACCAGAGTTCAGAGTGTACCTTAATGATCTTCCATCCAATGACTTCAACTCCATCTTCAAGGCCTTGCCAGACTTCTCTAAAGGCCTCAGCAAAGAAAGAAATGATGGGTCTGCTTCTATTTATATAGGAGGCTATCCAGGCTCATTTTATGGAAGACTTTTTCCCAACAATTCCTTGCACTTTGTCTACTCATCCTGCAGTTTACACTGGCTGTCTAGAGTGCGATATTCAGATTCCTGAATTTCATATTTATTAATTTGCTTTTTTACTGTTTATGTAATGACCAAATGCCATGCAGGTTCCTCCAGCCATCTATGAGCAGGGGAAGTCAATAAACAAAGGAAGTGTTCACATTTCTGAATCAAGCCCTCCTGGAGTGTCTCAAGCTTACCTGAAGCAATTTCAAGAAGACTTCACTTTGTTCCTTAAGTCAAGGTCTGAGGAGTTGACTGTAGGAGGAAGAATGGTGTTGATCTTGCTGGGAAGGAGAGGCCCTGATCTTGTTGACAGAGGCAACTCTTTCTTCTGGGAGCTTCTCTCTCAGTCCATTGCCATTTTGGTTTCCAAGGTACTAATAATATATGCACACCATCCAGAGATGACTTGAACACTTATGGAGCTTTTAATTAATTTATTTTTTTCTGTTTTGGTTTTTAGGGAGAAGTGGAGGAGGAAAAGCTTGATTCATATGATGTGCATTTCTATGCTCCATCCAGAGATGAAATAGAAGATGAAGTGAGGAAAGAGGGTTCTTTTGAATTGGACAGGTTGGAGGTGCTAGAGCTGGATCAGAGGGGGGATAAGGATAA